GGGGGGGGGGGGGGCTATAGCATGGTACGTTCTCTAAACCTCCCCATTTCTTGCTACATTGTTGGAAGGCTCAATAACTAATATTTCTAATACTTGCTGCCTGATTGCACTGAGCTTGAAACTTGAGTTGCGATTTAGAACCGTCCGTTTTGAACACCAAACCAATACATCACAGTGTAGGCAGCATCGACAATAATCTTCATGGCAAGGTTGAGATCACATAAATGATTTCTTCATGAGAAGGAAAACTGGGCCATAAAGACTAATTGCTCAAAGGAGACTAACTCTAGCCATGGTGAAGCTCGTTGCTAAACGAGCTAATTTTTTAATTGCAATTAAAATGACCCAGAGCCAATGTGGACATGTTCTGATCAAAGGTTCACCCCCAGTGGCACAACGGAATTATCTGAGGCCCTAGGGAAAAACTGAGACAGACCCCTATTTCCGGACTAAAGAAGGTTCCATCCAAAGGTGTAGAGCATGTCAAACACAAAAGTAATAACAATGATGTTTTTGGTATACTAAGGAGGCAGAGTTGAAGAGCTTCTGTTGAAGAACTTTAAAAGCTTTTGAAAATGAGATGAACTTGAGCGAAGTCTCAAGAACATGGACATGAAAATAATTCCAGGGCTCCTTTTGGTGGCGGGCCTTTAGCTATCGAACTAAGCTGCATTTCGCCACTGAGCACGCCTCTCACAACCAGAAGTCTAATTTTCATGTTAAGGAAGAAAAATGAAAACAAGCCTTGAATGATATCAAATTGTGATTTATAATCATCATATCAAACGAGTTAATCACTGAGCGGTAATCAATGTGTCACAACCAGCGATAATATTTATTGGCTTAAAAAAGACACGGGTTAACACAAAAGTGAAGATAATTATATCAAGGTTAAGATACATGGACTTGTGAATCATGTCCTCATCTGAAGGAAACTATGTTTACGGTCAACAAAAATTATTCTGTTTAAAGAATGCTCCATAGAAAATGGTTCATAAAAATCTGCACTGAAAATTAGCCAAAAATTGACGGATGGTTCATGGTTCAAGATACGACAACAGTCACATTGACAAAGAGGGAGGGGCTGGGAAAGTGGTTAAAGATTTGTACGTGCTTTTTAATTAGAAAACTGCAGGAGGGAGGAAGGCACAGACGCATTTCTAAAAAATTCTAAATTTGCTGAATCTACTTGAATAAAGCAAACAATAGATTAAATAAAGTCAAATTCTAGGTAACAAAGAAGTAGCATTGAAGAGGTGTGTCAACTAAATAAGGTTGCTCTTTATGAGTCATTTTTTGAAGAAAAGATGGAAGTAAAAACCGAAAGTAACACTTTAATGAGGGGGAGGGGGTAGCGGGCCAAGAACCAACATCTGGATTTTTAAGGATAATCCTAAAAAAGATTAATTCTTTGTTTGTGAAAGGTTTACTCTTTTGGCTGGAAAAAAGCTGATGAAATACGGTTGAGAGGTAGAAATGAGTTCCTTTGACAAAGGATCAAAAGAAAAGGCAGCATTCGCATAAAATATCACGAACTTTGAAATCATCTGTTTTCCAATGATTTACTTGCATAACAACTGAAAGGGGGGGGGGGGGTCAACTGAGTGAGGTAAAATAAGAGACAGGAAAATGTACGGTAACCTAAGATCTTTTATGACATACAAGATACAGCAAAATAGGTTCAATTGAAGTTGATAAAAAACAGTAATTCTCCGACACTTAAGACTTTTTATATGCATATCTACGCTTGCAAATTCACAAAATACAAAGGATATGACTGTCCTAAAAATAAATGGAACACATACAAAAATCTAACTCTTACTAGTGAGTTTATCGATCAGCTCCTGTAGAGGAGCAAGCTCCCGTTTGTCGATCAAGTTAAACTCTTGCACAAAGAATATGAAATGTTTGAATGAGGTGTTTAAATGTGCTTCTTCACCGAGATTGACAACTTGACCAAAATGTTGATGATAAATGTGTGCATAAACACGGAACAGCCTCTTCAATATCGTCTTTGCAATTGTAAGAAAATTCTTTGGAAAAGGAACACCTAAAGATAAAAGAAAAATTAAATAAAAGCCGAACAGAAAATAATAAAGAAAAAGGTAAAAGTTTTAATTAAATAACCTTTGATAGCACTATAGGGACACTTATGCGAAGGCCAAATCTTGTGCAGACCATATTAACTAATGCAAACTTGATGCAGTCCAACACACCAGAGTAGCAGGCAAAAAACTCAAATTTAAGCGAAGTGAATGTAGTACTCAAAGCGAAGTACTCAAAGCTATCAAGCAGGGCTCATTAATAATATTTTGTGCCTGCGAGCGCAAAGCTGAGTAAAAATGTGTCTGCAAGTAAAACAGGGAGCACTTTATAGTCTTAAATTGCACCCTATAAATTGAGAAGCATATACCTTAGCAATATCATCATGAACTACATGTAACTAAATGTAAAACTGAACAGATGACATAATTAATGCTACCAGTTTTTATCTACGGGTTGTTTTGGGTTGTCAAGTAGCCCTATCGTTGTTATCGATTTCATCAAATAAAGACATCTTCAGTAAAAACGCTTTAATTTATCTTAAAAGCTTCACTTTTAATGGAGCAGTTTAGTTTACAACATCTTCTTCCAAGGTTTCTAAATTTTAGGATTTTGCTTTCGCTCCCTTGGCAAAGGTTGCAAGAATTTCGATATTACACTGGGCTTTTCTCATTTGAAAGATATGAAAAATAGCCATCAAAGGTTCTATTCCCAATTACTTTCGTTGAAATGTCTTATTATAAAAAGCATCTTATTAGGATTCTGTTTCTTAGCTTTGAGTTTATCATGCTTGTAAGATTTGACACTTTTAAAATTAAAATGCTGTCACTCCAAAAATTGAAGAAATAGAGGCTTGCTTATGTTGTCACTAATTGTCAAAAAAATTTGTTTTTGATGGATTAACTGGAAGTGTACCATGAAATTTTGATCAAATACCCTATCAAGTATCTAGTGAATATTATATGGGAAAAGACGAAGATATGAGTTTTGCAATCACTAAAATTCAGGAGCTAGAATGATCAGTGTAGAGGAAATACTGGAGACATCATGACTAATAGGGCAAAATATCAATTCAACTAGGCAATAGGATATAAATATACTATATATGCATGTTTTTGTATATATGTCTCAACAGCTGTGCCCAGGGTCGCAGGCTTATTGGCATTTACGGTCGATGAGATGCCAACTTGAACTTTCAAATGAATATCGGCTCATTCAAACTTTAGGCACAATATCCACCAGAAAGCTCTCGATGGTGTGACCCCAAATAATCATTTATGCAGTAGTATATGGGTACAACATTCCTATGGGGAGAATTTATCATCAAGAAAAGATACAATATAAAATAGAGATGGCTACATACAAGTATTTGCATATTGCCAAAGCAAAGATGATTAAAGACAGAAATACTGACCGATTTTTGATGGGAAAAGAACTTCGTCATCAAGTTGCTCTTGTACCCAGGTCATGAGGTAATCAATGTACTTTGGTGCTGAGCATTTTATAGGCTTTTTCACATTTGTACCATCTGCCCAGAGATATTCAAATCTAAGTTAGAAATAAAACTGACAGTTAGAATCTATACGAAGAAGTTATCATGAAATTAAATGAAAATATTAGACTTTTATGCTGAGTAAAATGCTTTTAAAAAGGAGATGAACCTTAACATATCAAAGCAAACAAATAAAAAAGGCCTCAAAAGAGATTTAAAGCCCTAGATATAATCATTTAACATTCCCAACCACAGAACTTGAAGGTTGCAAGGGTGTATTTACAATCAAAGTTTACAAACTTTTGTTTTTGAAAAACTTTAATGTACAAAAAGGAAAACAACATCTGAACTTGTTTCCTGGAAATTTTACATTCTGAAATGCGTACTGCTCCATTTGGGTTAAGTTAAGACTCTTTACTTACAGGCAAAAATTTAATTGCGATAGATCTTTGATTTTCAAAGAGCTTTACATTAAACATGTATGTGTGTATAAAAAACATGGAATGAAGATGGTTTAAAAGTGTTTTATCAAATACCAACTTTCGAGTGTAATAAAAAAATCAACGCGCTAGCTTTACCACAAAAAGACTGAATTGCAATGAAAAGCTTTGAAATGAAAACAAAATTATACAAAATAGTCAATGCAACTCACTTTGGTCCTGCAGACATAACAGGACAGGACTCTGAAGTGCAGTATTCAGTGATTGTTCCGTACAGCATATTGATTTGATTGAAAAAGTCAACAGCTATCATAAAGATGAAGATATTTTTATAAATACATTGCATTAAATAGGGCAAAAATATAAATTATAGAAAATTCTTGGAATGACATACAAGGCTAAGAATATAGGAAAATACATGCGATTATCTATGTCTTATTAAGCAACTTATGTTTAGGAGCCCATTGCGCTTGACAGATCATAAGGTTTGTAATTGAATTCATTTTCACTACTACCATTGAGTGGCTAAGATACAAGTTAGTTGCAGGGGGGGGGGGGCAGGGCAAATTTAAGACTCAAAACAAAGGATAGAGATTCTCTGCAAAAGGATTGGGGACATGTTCTTTACTGCAAGCAAAAACATCTTCACAAAGTGTGTCCAACAAGAAACCCTAATATGACAATTTTCTCCAGATAATTTTTCTCTTGATTTCAATACAAGGTACAATCACAAGAGAGATTCAGATAATAAAAGTGGAAATGTTATCATCTCATGGCTACAATACTTACAGTTAACTGCCACCCATTCATTCAAATCCTCTCCTTCAGGCAGCATAACAGCCAGTCGCAAATTCCCAGACCCAAGAGTTGCCTCTGCATGCTTCAGTAAATCATACTGATGTGTGCCTTCAGGTATACTTTTCCGTGGCTTGAAAGTTTTAGTTGATTTTCCACCACTAAAATCATATGACAGAAAAAATCAACATTTCTCAAACCAATAAGTTCCTCTTCAATAAATCTTCAGAATAAAATTCACCATGATTATTTTTACAACATGGTAAATGGTAGTTATATTTTAGCTTTCAAAGAATTGAGATCCAACTATTTGCTTTTGAAGGCAAAGTGTTATTTTATAAACAAAAAAATATGATACTTTGAGCACCTGGTCTTTAATTTAAAACAACATTTTGTAAATGGAACAGTGAATTGGAAAAATAACCAAACCGCAAGTAATATCTCAATCACAATCCCATCCCTTAACTTTTGCTTCCTGTAAACAGGGTAAATGTCCAGTTGCATTCATTGAACAGGAAATTTTTTTGCCCAAATGTCATTTTTGTGAAAACATCCATCATAAAGTACACTATTTGTTTGAAACACCTTCAGTAACCTGGAATGGCATCATGCTAGACGTATTCTGCTGGTCAAGTCGTATAATATGCTTTAGCAATTGTAATTGAGAAGCATCAAGAAAATCTGGAATTAATAGAGCAAAATTTATAGAGTGGTTAAAAGCAAAGGATGATTTAACCTAGTGCCCAACAACAAAAGGTGTTAATTGCAGGAAACCAGCTATGTTTCCTGAATTGTCAAATGACTGATGAGCAACAGTTGGTGATGTTATTTGTAAAAGACTGTAAGGATCTTTTTGGTGAAACAAATAACAAAGTTTTTGGACTTTAAATCTGTTATTGCTATTCGATAATTTTAAATGAAATGCTCAACATGTTGAGTCTGAACAAATTTTCCTCCCCAGAGCTTGCTTCTTTCCTTCAGTTTCTAATTACTCATATTATTCAATTTTTTTACTGAAATATGACATGCTTTATAAGAATTGAGAAAAAATGATGGGTCTCAAAACACTGTAACAATCATTATTTTAGAATTTATATTTGGAATTAAGAGTGCATCTTATACAAGGATGGGTCTTATACAGGCCAAAATATGGTATTATGAAAATGATAGGCATAAAAAGTGCAAATGGAATCGAATGGGGGATTTAAAAAGAACAACAAAAACTTTCTGTGAATCTTCAAAACTGCTACAAAAAATTTACAAAATTTAAAAAGATGAGTATTTTCTTCCAAGAAAATCATGTGCCTGAATTTAAATAAATTAAGAGGGTTGGGAGAGTAGTAGAAGGGGCCAGGAGGGGAAGGTGCTGAGATTCCTTTGCTAATGCTACAAAGTAATCTATCTTACACATATTTTCCAGACATTTCTGCAAATAAGCCTTGGATACAGGTATAATTAACAAAGTTAATGTTATCATTTAAATCATGGTGACTTCAAACTACAAATCAATAGCCCTTATGATAATATTAAGTGTTGAAGACTGAAACTAATTGTTTCCTAAATTGGGAGTAAATTATATTTGGGTGTGAAAATATATGCAAGGGTTGCCATGCAACACCTGCAGCTTTTGAAATGAAATATTTCAAGCTTTGCTTTTGTGCACCTGCAAGAACTTTTTAATTATTTTTTTTGTCAATGGACTATTGAAATACTTGATAAAGAGAGAAAGTGTTTTTGCTTAGTTCTTTTGTTCTAGCAGCAAAATTTAAACAAAATATTTAAACCAAATCTACAGTACCTTAAGTAAGGCATAAGTACCTTCTCAATTTTTAACCCCTTATTTTTATACAAGATTTGAGAAATTTAAAACTTCAACCCAAAACAAAGGAAGATTGTGATGAATTAAATAATATCCTTTAATTGGTTTCTAAATAGTCAGGTTAAACAATCTTGTTACATAAACAAACATTTTATGAGCAAGGAAGGCCAAGTTTTGAAAGTGGAAGCTGAACCTAACTTGTTCATAATTTCTAATGAATTAGATGAATGCACATCTCAAGACCAGCTAAACTAGTTTGAAGGTGACTAAAAGTAGAAACGTCTTTTTCACAGTCTGAATCAGTGATCAAGACCTGTTCTGTCACAAAAGAGAAGTACAATCACACCTAACACATGGTGTCAAATTGTTGCAATTTAATCAAGAGGGTTCATATTTTTTGCTGCCTGCATTTTAAGGGGGAAAAAGGCTAAGAAAGCAGAGCAAATAACACTAATGCAGGTTATGGACTTTGTCATGTTGGAACCAATCAAAATCATAATGGTAGCCTTCTTGAAGCTGTTTAGATTTTGCACTCATAGCCATGCTTAAGTAACATTACAAGTATATACTTAGTATTAAATTTTTACTTTGACAAATTATTCAAATAACTGTCATGTTTCTTTCTCACAAGTTGCAACACAACTTGACATACAATTGCACATTTTTGCATCAGCATTTATATAAAATGACATTCATGTAAAAAGCTAAATTTATGCATCAAAAATTGCATTGCTTTGACAATGAGCAAGCTAAGGGGTTTCATCTGAAGGAAAGGCTAAAAAAGGACTTAACAATGGGTTTCAGATTTAAAACCAATACTTTCTCTCACTTCAAGAATTATAAATTTACATAATTAAATTTAAATTATTGTTTTCAAAAAGATGAATAGTAGGGAGAGGGAATTTGGCAATAAGGAAGAAACTTGCCATGACCATTTTCTAAATGGAAAAATGCCCTTAACAAACTAGGTGTAATTTTGTGAGGCAATATAAGAGCAGTAGCTATCACGGATCGAATAACATATCTTTTGCATACTTGTATTGTAAGTGAAGCATTCCTATTTTACCAGCGACTAAAGGAAGTAACAAATTATAGTCATATGTATTATTTTGGGAAGGAAAGCAGCTTAAAATCAGAAAATAAACGTGAATAGAAGCACAAATTGTTAAGGAATGCAACAGGGAACTTCTTAAAACTGTTCATACACGAATAAAAAGCCACATCCAAACTTTCGACTTTTTCTCGGCAACAAGTTTTTGAATGAGATTTATTATTTGCAAAGTAAAAGGACTAAAGTAACAAATAACAAATATATTTGTACTCACAATAGAAAACTCATAATGACAGCTTCCAAATCCTAATCAAATTAACCTTCGCAGAAAATGAAACGAGACCAGATGGATACTTTAGGCCACAGTTTTGCTACCAGAGCTTCCGTTGCCTTTTTCAAATGCTGTCTACTTTTTTAATTCCACTCGATAATCATAAAATTGGCTGCCAAGATTTGATACCATATAATAGGAGAGTTTTCTATCCTAAAGAATCTGTTTTCGGACGCTAAAACAGACCATAGCTAGGCAACCTAACTCAGTAGGCCAAAGTATGGAGACATAATTATCCTCCCTCGGAAATGCTGAGTAATTAAAAGCCTCCGCGTCCTCCGGTTATGATCCACTAGATGTTTTGATCTTTTCCAGGCTTTTATTTGTGACCTCCTTTTCTCTTCTATTGAAAGGAAATCTTGTTAAAAGTACCCGACGTTTCTGCAGAAAATCTCTGTTGACAAGAAGGAAGGATCATACCACGGGATAATAATCCGCGGGGAACCTGGGTAAAAAACGCGGTTTTCGTAACAATAACATTCCATTAAGTTATCTCAAAATTGTATCAAACAATTATTGTTGAAAATAGTGGAAACTTCGAAATTTTATTAAACATATGAATATGTTTACTACTGTTTATATTCATATGAACATATGAATATAATACTGTTTATATTCTTATATCAAGAAATATTTGCTGAGAATATCTTAGAGTTAAAAAAATTAAAAATTGTTTCAATTTCGCCAACTTGATCGATTAATCAAGCAAAATTAGTAAAATATATCAATGATGCAAAACCATGAATAAAAGACTTTGAAATATCGTATATTTGGACTACTTCGAATTTCCTTGGACACAAAATTTTCACTTCAAGAAGAGGCTAAAATTGTGGAACAATAGGGTGAAATTGAGGTTCCTCTATCACAGCTGTGATCACAGTGCTGTTGTATGGAAAACCTATGGTATAACTCACCTGAATACCGAAATGTGGGTATTTTTTCGAAATATATAGGTAATCGTTCTCAGAGAATGTAGCTGGGTTCTAAGCCTACAGTACAATGCAGGAGCAGCGCCAGCCTCTAGGCTTTGGGGAGGGGAGGGGGACAAAATAAACATTTTGGGCCACGCCTTTTTTACTGTCAGAGAAGGGCCGTTTAGCAACAAGGAGCACCAATTTCGCCAATAAGGAGAGCCTATGGCCAACTTTTGGTTACGTTTTCAAACAGGATCAAAATCATAGGATACATCACAAAAAAATACATTGCCAAATTACTACCCTCCGTGGCGCCGCTACTGATATAATGTTTCTTCAATATTAAATTCTACAAGTACTGATGATCGACCATCTGGATTAAATACTATTGCAATTAAACGTACATGTTTCTTTTGTGGAGCCTCACGTAAAACCATCAAGTTTGCCATGCTATGAATGCAATTTATCGTAACTGTTAGAAATCAGGCCATTTTGCCAAAGTCAGCCAGTCAAAGTGCTAAAAATCGTTTTCAAAAGTAACCTGAATGTCTTCATAAAACGATAATTAATACATACGCTAACTAAAACCATGTAAATGCTTTGATTGACACTGGCAGCTCTGATAGTTTCATTTGTTAGAAGTAAATGCTTGGATATGTCGTTGTAGATTTACGAATCATTGATACAACTAATGGTAAGACAAAATTAGCTTTTGTAAACTTGTACGCTGATGTAATAATTGGACAGGACATTCTGAGTCAGCACTAAAACATCAACGCTAAGCTTTGGTGGAAGCAAGCCTCAGCTTTATTGCTAATTTATTGCTTAAATGAGTGTACTACCTTCAAAAGTTATTTTGTACCCTTGCGTTTAGGGTGACAAAATCTGACTTATATCAGCAAAAAGCGCAGTTTCTTAGCTACCAAAGGGTGTCACAGATGTTTTCAGATTCCTTTTCCCCTTGAAACTATACCCTATCAAAAATTTGCAAACAATTTTTCTTCCCTCTCATAGCTGTATTTGGCTATAAAAAACAGACCAAAGCAAAAACAAAAAATTTGAGACATACTTTATTACCCGGCATCTGTCCTGGCCGTGTGCGGAATTTGGAGCCATTCGAATAGTTCCTTGGGTACAAAAAAAGCTTTTTTGTACCTGTATGTAGCAGCCACGTAGCTGCGACATCTTGCCCCCTCTAGCTACACTTTTTCCAAATGATACTTTGAAAAGCTGGCATAATTATAATTCCGTGAGTTCGACTCCTGCCCAAGACGATTTAGATGACATTTCGTCGGAAGAGTAATACTTAGACACTTATATGCCACGAAGAGCCGAAGGACAAGAACCGGATATAAGAAGAGGAGGGCCAAGAAGATATCCACCAAGGGTAAGAGGCCCACCACAGGGCCCCTGCCATGGATTTTAAGTGGGGAGGGGGCCAAAAAAGAATAATCTTCCTAAAAATTACGCCCACCATGTTTGGGCTAGCGACGAATAAAATTTTAGTTTCCAGGCTCTCTAGAATGGCCTCTAAATCGATTTCTGAGGATAATTTTCGCTAGAAATTTCCATTTTACTAAATGTGAAATGTTGTGAAAAACGCAAATTGTCTAAGAGAATTTTGGCTATCTCTCTAATGTTATAACAAGGAAAGTGGTCCATAAGTGTTATGACACAGCCAGAAATCTGATAATGGAAACTAGTTCTATAACGGTAACACAACTCGCTCAAAGAAGATTTACTGCATGCTCGTAAGTTGACACAGTTATAAAAAGTAATGTAATAAACAATGGTTCTATAGGCATAGAAGGTAAAAACTTAAAAACCAATGTTCAAATTAAAGTGTAAAATCAAAATGAAAAAAAGAAAAATAAGGAGTAGTCACTACCACCTCGTTACAGCCTCAAACTCAGATGGGGGTGGTTGTGTGTGCCCCTGATATGTTTTGAGCAATTAGCTTGTAAGTGGGTCGCTTTTTGTCAATTTTAGTTCTTTCGATGCATTTTTAAACAAGAGAAGGACTTCAACTTGTTATTTTTCTTTCATTTTCTTTATTTTTGGCATTTCCTCTATAAACCCAAATTTTCAATTCATACATAAATGTTTTAAGATAAAGCAAAGCATAAGTAGGGTGCGTCACAATTACCCTTTTCATTTTTAATCTTTTCACTATTCATTTTTCGATGCATCATTTTTTTGCCAAGCAAAAAAGTGGAGGGGCTATTGCCCCCCAGCCCCTCTTTTTGGCGGGGACCCTGCACCAGAACGTTTTGGGGTCTGGGTGAGTGACTTCGAATTGACATTATCGCTGACTTTTGAATAATTAACTGTTCAAACTTTTTTAACCATTTGCAGCAAAGTTTTGTTCTTCGCTGACTTGCTTATTATTCAGGTATGTTTAATTCTTGTTATGGGTATTAGATTAAGCAGGGGGGAGTGTGATGACGTAGTGTATATTCTGTGCCTTTGCACAACGGCTGCAAACATTCTTGCTCTATGCTGACGTAGGTATAAATATTAAGGTGGTAGGTGGGATCGCTGATCTAAAAGTGATCCCACCTACCACCTTAGAATTTCTTTCAGATCAGTGGGTGGAATTCTCGAGCAAAGTCCAATTGTGAGGAGTTTCTCAGAGTTTTAATACGACAGTTGTCTCCTTTCTGTTCTTAAAGTTAACCTCAAAGAACCTATAGTCTTCTATTCAAAGACTTAACCAGTATGGATGACGAATCCTTGCGAGAAAGTGTGCGTCAAAACCTGAGAACATGGCTTGATAAGCTACAGTGTGGAGGGGATGTTGAGCTGAAAATGTCATACAAGAGGAAACTGATCTCAAAACTAAGAAAGTCACCTGTTGCCATAAATACTGAAGATGCTAACGAACAACATTACGAAGTACCAACGGAGTTCTTCTTGGAGTGTCTTGGCAAACGCATGAAGTATAGCAGTGCTTTGTGGCCTGACGGTGTAAAAACACTGGATGAGTCCGAAGATAGAATGCTTGCTCTTGTCTGTGAACGAGCTCAAGTTGAAGATGCGCAGAAAGTGTTAGATCTTGGCTGTGGCTGGGGTGTCACTGGACTCTGGATTCTTGAGAAATATCCCAACTGCACGGTCTTTTGTGTTTCAAACTCCAGAACACAAAAACAGTTCATTGAAAGCCAAGCAAAAAGAAAAGGTTTTGCAGATAGGCTGACCTGCATAACTGCAGATGCAAATCTGTTTGATACAAATGAAAGATTTGATCGAATTATCTCAATTGAGATGTTTGAACATATGAAAAATTATGAAGTTTTAATGAGACAGGTTGCTAAATGGTTGAAGCCTGGTGGCTTACTGTTCACACAAATCCTCTGTCACAGGGAATTTGCCTATGAGTTCAAGTCCAACAGAGGCTCTGATACAGAATGGATGGCCAAGCAGTTTTTCTCTGGTGGTACAATGCCATCATCAGATTTCTTCCTATATTTTCAGAATGATCTAATGATTTTAGATCATTGGAACATCAATGGGAAACATTATAGCAAAACATTAGAAGCGTGGCTTCGCAAGCTAGATCAGAACAAGGGCAATGCAATGAAAGTTTTAGAGAAAGCTTATGGAAAAGATGCAGCACCACAACATATGTTCAACTGGAGAATGTTTTTCATGTATTGTTCTGAAGTATTCAATTTTGATAATGGAAATGAATGGATTGTTGCCCATCATCTTTTTATGAAAAGACCAAAGGCACTTTTATAAACATTTTTCACTGAAAGAAATTTTTCCAGATCATAAAATACACTGTGCAAAATGCAAAGATATGCAGATTGATCAAAATATTTCTGACAACATTTATAGGCATTTAATTGGAATCAAACTTAGATTAAAAATGTGATACTGTTTTTGTGTATAGTACCAATGAAAAATTTTGGAAATGAATGGTAATGTGTTTGGTTCTTGTTAATAATAATATCGGATATGATTTGACAAGTTAAGAACAAAATGTAAATGTCTTATAGTCAAATATGTTCTTTGCATGCACTTTTTTACACATATTTTGCCATACGGTGCTACCACAAATCATGTTTGATACACTGCACCACTTCATTGTTTCTTTTGCCTCTTCCCCTGATAGTCCTAGCCTTTTCAAGTTTCCCATCACATCCTTATGTATGGTCCCAAGTGATCCAAAACACATAACACTGATTCTTGTTGCAATTCCATTTTCATTCATTGAGTTTATCAGTGGTTGATGCTTATTTTCTTTTTCTTGATAGGATGTATCCATATACGAATCAAAGCAGACAGTGACTTCAACAATTTCACATTCTCTCTTGTTCATTTTTATCTCTAGTATATCAGGCTTCCTTTGGTTTAGCTGTCAAAATGCATTTTTGATGTGTGGAAAAGCTGTTTCTACCATTTTGTTGACAAATAACATTGATGTTAAATTCTTTTTTTGGATTTTTTGGCATAAGAATTCTACGACCCGATGGTGCCTTTGGGAGTATAAATCTTTGTACTTTCTGCAGGAATTCATTAAATGTGCCATTGATTCGGTCCTTTCATTACACATCAAACATCGTTTATCATGATCCTTATTCCACATATAAATTAGCTGATAACAAGGAATTTGATTCATACGTGCACATAGAATAAACTTGACTAAACTATCAGAGAGTTTCCACTCGTAATGAATTTGATGCAAAATTTTTTTGTCTTTATTCTCAATTCCTACAAAACTTCCTTGCATGCGGAGCTCACAGCTTTTAATGATATCCTGTTTCTCCAATTCCCTCTCGATTTCTCTTTTCAAATCTTTCCTATTCAACACCTTGCCATTAACGGCAACCACAGCAAAACCATCCTTGAAGATAACTGATCCATTAAACTTGTTAGCATGAAAAAGTAGATCTGGCCAATCAGAGTTCCCTCCATATGTTTTTGTCTTCGCTAGTCTTCGGTTGGCATCTAATGCATAACCCAAAAAATTAGTTTCGCTATCTGTCTGTCTAACACCACGTGATTTCATGCCTAATTCCAAAGATTTTCTTGCCAGATACCGTAATGGTAATGTGTTTGGTTCTTGTTAATGGAAACATTTCATTTTCAATTCAACTTAAACTACAATTACAAATCTCACTTTCAGGGGCGGACACTTGATCAAATATTGGGGGGGGGGCAAGCCTATTGTTTTAATAAGATGACGTCACATGTCCCATTGTTCTAGAACAAAAGACCATTGTCCTCTAAAGTATTGGTGGGCGGTCGCCCCCCCCTTGCCCCCCCAAGTGTCCGCCACTGCTCACTATTACAAGGTAATTTGCAATTGGCTAGCCTGGTTTTACAAGAAAAAACTATAACAATCGTAATATAAAGGGAAAAACTGAGAAAAATAAAACAACAAAAATTAAAACGGATGTAATTCCGGATTTGTCCATGGTTTATTTTAGCAATAATAATAATAATAATAAGTAATAATAATAATAATGATAATAATAATAATGATTGAGGTATAAAGTATAATAAAATGTTAAATTAATAAAATTTGATGTACAGTTTAAGGATAAGAATTCATTAGGTTCAAATGCATTTCTTCTAGGACACCTCCAAAGACTTTGATAGTTTTAGTTTCTTTTTGAATAGCAAGATTGATATCTTGTCACGGGTTGTTTTTTCAAGTTGGTTAAAGATGCGGGCTCCTGGATATACAAACAACATTTTTTTCCAGCTTTAGTCATCATTTTCGATAAAACATAACAAGATCTATTGCCTCTTGTGTTTATTTCATGTTCACATCTTTTGAAGTAACCATTTAGGTGTTCATTTAGTAGATTAAGGATTTAAAAACAGCAATGACAAACCTTGTGCTTCGTGTTTTTTCAATGACCTTAACTTTGCTCTAGGGTTGACAATTCTGGCTGCTCTATTTTGTATATAATGTAGCTTGTTTACTGTTCCTTGGGGTAGGGAAAGCTGTAATGGGTAGCAGTACAACAGTAATGGCTGTATTATTGTTTTATGTATCATAATTAACTTCATTCTGTGACAAAACTAAAATTTTGTTTTTTTTATTAAAACATTGATCTTCTGGTGAGATTCGATCACATGAACCACCTTTTGGCCAATTAGTCTACAGAGAGCTGTCAATCATGAAAAAGATTTTCATCATTATCAATCTGAATATTGTAACATTGTTTCAAAACGTGGGAAATTGAGAAGACTGCGAGATTTAGAAAGACATAGAATGCAAGATTCTTAGAAGATTTAGATAAACATTTGTAGGATAGGTAGGCAGTATTTGCCAACCTTTTTCACCCACAGCACATTTTTTTCATTGAAAAAGATCACGAGGCACACCATCAAAAAAAAATGTTAAGCAATTTAATTCTGTAGCCTATATTCACAATATAAAGTTGCACTCATCATAGTGCCTTAAATAGGAATCAATTAAACACAAAGAAAAGTAAAATAAAATAAAATTAAAATAAAATATATAACAAAAGAAATAAAATATATTTTCATGTGAAACCTGGGCTCATTTTCAAGTCCAATTAAGTGAAATTTGAGAATTTTCGCCGCGACACAGTGGTTGCAAAGCCATTCATTAGCCTCTTGGTAAAGTCGATGAAAGAAAATAAATAGACAGTTAATTATCAATCCATTGTGATACAGTTCATTATCAATCCATTGTGATACAGTTCATTACCAATAATAATAAACAAACGGATTAAAAATTGCATACAAATTAAAATCATATTTGGTGATTTGAAATCATAATCTTCAATAAAGCTGTAATTCTATTTTCAATCACTTTTTAAATCAATATAATGAAAATCATTGTTTACCGGTAAGTCCTTAAGGGCTCGATGCCGTATGGACAGAGCTGCACAGCTCACTGATGAGCGCATTAAGCGTGAAATTAAATCCTAATTTATACCCTGGTTCAATTGAGGCTTTAAAAGCCAGATTTAACCATACAGTTCACAGACAGTTGCGTAGCGAGGAGGCAAGATGAGGCGGACGCCCCCCCCCCCTAATTGGCATAATCTCTTTGAGAAAAAGCGTATTTTGGCGTTCCAAAGGGTGTTGACCCCCATATTTCCCTTGCTCAGCTCGCCTTTGCTCCCCCCAATCTTACCACCCTGGCTACGCTACTGTTTATAGATGGTTGTCTAAAAATGGACAAACGCGATAGAGGGTGTGAATACAAAACAAATCTTGCAGCAAGATTCCGCAATTAGGTTCTGCCCACTTTAAGTTTCTATGAAATTCTATCCACTTTACATTACCTGGTGTTCGTGAATGTTAAAAAAGTTTATGGAAAATTATGAAAGAGTAGTTTAGAAAAGCTGTTAATATTAAGGCAGCTTCGCTCGAAGCGCCTTCTCCAGTAGCCTGAGTTCCAGACCCCAAAACTAAAAGTACTTGGAGTCTGAGGCTCAGGCTACTTCTCCAGGGGTGGACACTTTGTCAAATATTGAGGGAGGGGGAGGCCTATTGTTTTGATACGATGACGTCACATCTTCTCATTGTTTTAGAACAAAAAAACCATTGTTCTCCGAAATATTGGGGGGGGCGACCGCTACTGGCCTTCTCGTGATGTGTCCTTCAAAATGGGGTCAAATACTGTATTACTAGGTGTTCATGTGTCATGTGATGCATAAAAAATGTGATAAAATATCGATATTCCATGGTTTGTCTGCTCTAAAAAGCATGTGATCATGTCTCCATATAAGATAGTTGACAAATGATGGGCCACAATATCGTTGTCCATGTGATTGAAAGGCATGTGATCAGTTCTCCATACAAGACGATTGACCAAAGATTGGTCACAATATCACGTGTCAAGTGGAGACATTTGGCATAAATTAAAATCCCCACATGCAGATGTAGCATACAGACCCTAATGACATGACAAAAGTAATATTTTCAAGCATCGATTACATACAAAGATTTATTTATGTTTGCGGATTACTTGAATATCAATAAAAATTTGTGATCAAGATTTCACCTTCACAGTCTTGATGGCATTAAAAAATCAGAAAGGTAAAAAAGCAAATGGTTTGTTCTTATTTAACATCTCCTACTTTCTCATAAAAGTAACAAAGTTCATTGGGGTACGAAAATTCATGATTCTAGTAAACTTCTCTTTTAGTCACATCAGAAGACTTTGCCTATCTTCGCCTTGTGCTGGACAGCCAGCTAGATGAAACATCTCTACAACATTGAAGGAAGATTGCCATGTCCACTTTGCATTATGCTTGGTTTCCTTCTGTAAAACCGAACTGAACTAAATTGTAGCACGCAACATACAGCTCTGCCTTTGCCCATTGCAACTGCTGAGTATCAACAGTATCCTGGACTTAGGGCAGAAAACTTGCTTTGAAGGACGACGGAAGGCTTCCAGGCTCTTTGAAGGATTTGAAAACCTTTACTCTAAGCAAAAAGCAGCTGAATAACAACTTATAAAATACGCATAAAATCCAATTCAGTCCGTCCAGCATATAACAACGCAACTCAACCAAGCCAAAATGCTACTAAAATTCAAGCATCAGCTACAGAAGCATTGCTAGGCATCACATACATCATCTGGCATTATGCAAATCTTCTATCCAAGACCTTAAGGCGGTTATTTGCATCAGCTTTTTGGAGTGAAGCCCTTGCAAGAACCGATGACTAAACAAACTCTCTTCCAAGAACTGCAACCTGCTCTGTCGTATTGGGATCCCGCGAATCCATGCACTTTATAAAAAAGCCATGCTTCCAGGGTACTTTTAGAAAACAGAACTGCAACATTTATTTCTATGCATATTCCATTTGTTATGCTATCGCCATTCAGTCGTTGATAAAAAGGAATGCACGATCGAGAAGTACGTTTTGCCATGTTAACTGGCAAGCTCAAAGAAGCAATACAGACTGAGCGAACATACACGTCTATAAACCATCGTTTGGTTTTGGTTTCTGCCTTGATTCTATTAAAAACATTGCAATTTGGTGGCAAAGCTCTGACTTAATGTGCTGAGGGAATAAAAGGGTCTCATTTTTAGTAGAGCATATGGCTTTATAAACTTGCTGACCTCGTCTAGATGAAGATATTCTCCTTTTCGATTTTCTGCGGACTTTATGAATGAAGTAGTCTAACTGACCGAAGGAGACTTCTTCAAACATTAGGGATTTCTTTGAAATCTGAAATAGAAACAATAGCAATTACAAAAAGGCCTGCCTATCAAGGTGAATTCTGACTCCCTTCTCAGGGCCTACGCCACGAATTTGAAAGTGGGGGGAAGGGGGCCAAGGCTAGCAAAAGTAGAGGGCAAGGCTTTTTCCCCTTTTAATGCAGCTTTAAAACTACTTGTTTCGCAAAAAGTGGGGGGCATGGTCCCTCCGGTGACGCAGGCCTTACTTCTTAATCGAGCAAGCGTGCCAGCCCACAACTAACTTGCAAAGAAGTTTAATGGCTTGAAAAAGCTAATTCAACACCAAATAGTCTTTACAGAAACGATCAACGTTAGTTTACCAAACCATAAAGGTTTCAAAGCAAATATTAGCTTTAGTGATAACATTATTCCGGAACTAACAGCCCCTTTTCCAATGATTTATTTACTTTACTTAAAAAATATTTCGGAAAAAGCAGCTTAATAATGAAATTAATAAGCAGTACGACGACAAAGAAAAAGAAATCATGTACAGATGATGTCAGACGAACACATGATGTCTTTTTTCTTTGTCGTCGTACTGGTTATTAATTACTTAGAAAATTTACTAAAATTTACTTAAGAACACTCATGTCACACCAAATTACACCACGAGGTTTATCATATCTGCGGCAAAATGTCGGATAACCTTAAACTTTAAACATTGTTAACACACAAAGGAAGCATGTAAGCTGAAACTCTATAACAATCTACTTCGAAAATGAAAATAGTCCAATAACATTGATATCTAGTAAGCCTGAAAATAAGTTGATACATTCAAGAATTTTATAGAAAATAAGTTGATGCTTAAGAAGGAGTGCCATGAAGGGGTAAAATAGAGTTAAGGACAGTTAAAAAAATTGAAATACCTTTGAAAATTCCTCGGCACTTGTATCGATTCCTTGAAGATTGATAATGAAATGTTTTTCATCTGAGTTCTGCATGGACAAGTATTTCTCAAGCTCAATCAGGATGTTCAGCTAAAAACAGACACCAAGAAATCATAGCTTTGGGGACTAAACGATTTGTGAATCATACAAATCCTTTTTTTTCTTTGTAATCTTGTTATTAATCAATCTTGCTATATAATCCTGACCCCGCCAAGTAATCCTGCTTTATAATCCTGGTTTTTGCTAAACAATTCTGACTTTGCTTTGCAATCTTGCCATATGATTCTGATTTCGTTCTGTAATCTCGCTATTTAATCCTGATTATATTCTATAATCTTGCGCATCGACTATTTGATTGCAGAACTTGTCGATTTTTATAGGCTCTAAGCTCTACTGATTCTTGCTTAAAATTGTCTTGAAATACTGCTGTGTCTCAATTTCAAATAAATTCTACAATCCCTTCATATTATTAACTACCGTTATTGTGCCAAAAGTATAGACGAACAAATATTAAAACTCTCAATTTACAAAAACTGGCAATCTTACCAAATTCCTTTCTTGTGAATTTTCTACAAGTTCAGATATATCTATGTCTGTCATTGGGTGTCTGCTTTTGTCGACATTGTCAACATCCTGTTGGGCTGGGAAGAGATAAAATTATAATGGAATTTTTAGACGATAAAATAGGACTGAATACTGAACAAGGCTTTATGTTGTATTTAAGAGATAAATCTGCAAGTTCGGATTACACGACGTCTGTAGGTTCTTCTTTTCAGTACTTTTGACTTTTTTGAAAGCGCTCTTCGGGCCTACAGGTCTCAGCCGGCTGAGCTCTAAATGCCCAAAATTCTATGTTATTATGTGGTATCTGTTCTTAGGAGGTGTCCGTAATTGGAAGGTATCCTTCACTAGGAGGTGGCGGATACAGGGATGTGTCAGTTCATGGCAGGTGTTGTGTTTTAATGGGTAGTGTCCCTTGCATTGGAGGCAGAGGTGGAAAAATTTTTTTTCTTTCTGGGAACCTAAGAATCTGGCTCAAAACTTTCTGCAAGATTTAGGGGGTAGACAAATAAACTTTCTGTTTGTGCCTTTTTACTCTATACTTAGTTGATGTATAAAAGAGGGCAAACTTAATTCTAAGAAGTATGATACTTCTCATTTGAATGTTCAATTTGTTTTTATTTTAATGCTTAATTTGTTTTTTTTTCTCGAAGTATTTCTATAGAACGTTAAATCAAATGCAAAAAATTGTCAGGCAATCAACTTCTTAACATAATCAGTGTCATTTAACATCAGAGATCTTGACTATTGTTCCAAAACAGTCATTCTCAACATATCAGATATGCCTTTACTTAATGCATAAATGAACATAAGAAAGAAATCAACTTTAGCTAGAAATCGATTCATTCAATCAATCATGATGGAAAACCAAAATCAAAAGGAAAATCCATGCAATAATCTCCAAACATAGTTTCAGAAGAGTCAGGGGCAAAATCATTTGAATTGTATGGTGCATTTTATGACTTAGCCTAATCTTTTGACAAGTGAGAAGCAATATGTGGTTAAAATGGAGTCCTAGCATGCAACAGATTAATGTAACCAAGCATATTAACTTATGATCAATGCTGCGCACACCATAGTGCCAGAAATATTTTCTGTGAAAGTAGATTCCAGTCCCTATATTAATCTGAGTCTTAGTCATGGTTTGTCTTAAAAGCTCAGCTGCTAAAACAATTCTGATTGTGAGTGGTTGAGATTTCTGTGAGATGGTGAATGAAAAAAATGTGCACAAAGAATTTCTTTCCAATGGAAAGAGACTAATTCCCACATTCCTTTGGCAGCTCAAATTTAGCTGCTCACAGGCGAACTGAAATAATATTTTCTGCTAATTTGACTAAACCTATATCACCAGATTTTTATACTTACTTTAACACTTCAAAAATTTTCTGTGAAACTTTCTGCTAACATTTTCATCTCGAAAAATTTCTGGGAACTACGTTCCCAGGTTCCGATACTTTTTCCACCTCTGATTGGAGGTATGCAAAAGTCTACTTCACACGATGTTTGGAGGTACCTGACGTTGGGAGGTGTCTGTTGTTGTTAGATGTTCGTTACTTTGGGGTTTCCGTTACTTTGGGGTTTCCGTTACTTTGGGGTTTTCTTTACTTGGAGGTGGCTGATAATTAGAGATGTCTTTTATGCGTTTACGTATGGAGCTATAATTAGGATAAGCCAATCAGCATCAACTGTATCTTTACCGTTAAGAAAGAAAATACTTCAAAAAAACATCTAGAAATTCTTACCAAAACAGAATAAGATCACTATATCTGAAGAATTCTGCCTTGGCACAAATTCACTGTCAAGAATGTAGCCTTTGATAGAATCCCATACGACATCATTACGACCACTGGAGGTATCCACTGTCAAAAGTCGGTCTGACTTTTGAAAATATTCGATGAAATCATGTACTGTCTCTTCGTACTTTTGAAACCTCCTGTATGTTCTGCTGGTGTCGACTTCGTCACTAAGCCCAGATCCCTTGTTGTCTTCCTTTTGTGCTTTGACTGCCACGTGACTTTTGTGCGTTTTGTTTATAAGTTGGTCCTTTTTCACAGAAAGATTGATTGCAAATGACACTGGAAACTGAAAGCACAATAGGAAATTACACGCTTAAATTACACGCTGAAATTGCACGCTTATGCAAGGAGGAAATCAAGCAGGAAAGGGAGCAATGACGAATAAATCGCTTTTGCACGTTGAGCGTTGAAGCAAAAAGAATCCTAAAGTTTGGTATAACAACAACGGAGGATCAACTTGGTTGATATCATGTAGGAGATGCACCAGGAAAAGGGGGAATGAAAAGAGGGAATAAAAAGAGATGGGGATAATAAGAATCGGAAAAATAAGTATGGAAACAGACGAAAAGAGAATAGAAAGATAAACTAGAACAACTGAAGCGTGAAAAGAAAGGGGTAAGAAGGATAGGGAGAAGGAGAAGGAATGAAAGGTAAATGATAATGGACGGGGGGAGAGGTGTAAATAGTACACAGAGATACAGTTTCTACCTTCCGAATTAAAAAAACTGACGGTATTAATACACCTAAAGTCACTGAAGAAAATTCATAGCGTGAAATCACGATAAAAATGACTTCAACTGTTTTCAGACACGACATTTTAATAGTTTACTGGTCTCATATAAAGTGTTTGATGATGAATAGACGGAGTAGTGCACGTTTTGGAGTGTAGCGAAGGACGGTTCTTCTAGAACAGCGTAGCAATACATATGGTTCTTGAATGGAAGTGCTTGTTGGGATGGGTTCAGCTTCAAATGTTCAGTAAAATCAATTTAAGTAGGCTGATTCGTGTATTAGGTGTGGAAATTATAGCCAATCATTGAAGTATTCCCAAATTATAAATTCAGTTCTAAATCCTGAGTGTTTACCTCGAGTTCAAAGACACTCATCTCGGCATCACAGTCCCTTATGAAAGATCCCTTGTTGGTTAGGGATTTCAGGTTTGGTATAACATCAATCAAAACCGGACGGTCGTCGGATCGACTGATCTCCTCCTGCAGGATGGACAAAACCCACTCAAGAGTAAGTATGCTGGCATTGTCTTTGATGAGTCTCTGAATATCAGCTGTCGACGCATCTAGAAAAGGAGCTACTTGTTTATCATAAAAACAGTTGCAGTATTTGTTAAGATTTCCCGGGTAATCCCAAAATCATACCTAGCATATGGACCCTCCATGCCTGGTTTCTACAACCATCTACCCAATATGCTTTGGCAAGTAGCCTGGCCCAGTATTTCAACAATAGTTAATACGTACATCAAATAATAAGAAAATTACCTTGATTGTTCATGGCATATAACATGAATCAGCATCTGATGATTCACTAAGAATTAGAGGTCAATTCTTAGTGAATCATCAGATGCTGATTCCTCGTTCCTCGTCATTTCTACCCTAACTGTTCACACCCTTCGTGTTTGAGTTTTCAAATGTATCAAAATTTTCCGTCGAAATTCGATGACATGAGGCTCTCCATGAAGAGTTTTCAAAGCAAATCTGGCAAGTCTGTTTGTGCTTAGACAGCTTTGCTTAAAAAAGCAGGGGAAAGAAACTGTTACTTTTTATCATTACTCCGTTGTATTTCGAAGCTCGCAGGAAATCAGTTTTATTTCATTAATGAAGATATGAAGGAATTGTCTAATAAATTCGGAGATGCCGTTATAAACACGACATGACATACAGGGGCGAAACTACCGGGGGGGTGTGGGGGGGGGGTGTAACACCCCAATCCAAAAAATAGTCGATTTCGCAGGGCAATCGAAGATTTCGCAGGGCGCCAAGAAGAGCTTTATTGCCACGCAGAAATGCCACCTCTGAAGTTCGTAAAGGGCCGTTTAGGAATTTTGAAATGGAAATTTCGTATTTGTTATGAACCTCCCTTCCTGACATTGCATTTTAGAGAACGGAACAGGTATGTAAGGAAAAGCTCCGTTATTTGCAAAGCGAAAGCATGTCTTACCGAAATTCATAGCCAATGGATGCAATGATTGATGCATATGTTTATGAGGGCAAGGTTGAGTCCATGCAAATTAATTTGAGTTGTAAATTATTTTCATGACAAGCACGGCGTCACAGGAGGGGAATAAGAGGCTGAAGGCCCAGGGGAGGGGCAGAGGCAGAGGGGAATTTTATTTCCTGAACAGAAATGTGCAGTTTCTTGTCTCGAGAAGGCCGTGTTTACACATCCAAAATTATAACATTGCAATGATACAGAAAGTGATTTACTGAATTAATGCAAATAAAAGAAAAATAATAAAAATATATGTGAAAAAGTTAGCAATTAGATGAAACAAAATCGGTATCTTAACGATTTATTATGTTTTTTAGTTCATGCACTGTTAAAAAGTAATAGAAAAAATGATAAAAAAATTCTTATCTTGACCAAAGTGACAATAGTATTTTGCTAAATTTTTGTCTGAAAGATGCTTTTTAGCCCTTTTACAAGGTATAATTTCAAAAATTTTCTTCACGTCGGACCCAACCATGGTGGGTCCTCCTTCCTCACTAAACTTGATTCTTAGCCCCACTGGGCTAAATTTCGTTGCGCTGTCTACATCATGTACCCTCCCCCCAATTAGCTGTTTATTAGCTAGTATTTTGCAAACCAACATTAAATGAAGTGAATATAAAAAAAACAATTTACGCTCAAGTAGAGAAATAAATATTTCATAGACAATGAAGTTTCAAGTTTGTTTTTATTGCTTAGAAGTTTGTCCTTGGTAAAGACCAGTGTACACTGGTAAAGCTTTCACTAGTAGCCTATAGACAAACCGTTGCTACGAGGTCTGCAGGGCACCACTCAGTTTTGCAGGGCAGAAACCCTTTTCACCCCCCCCCCCAAACCTATTGGCCAAGTTACGCCCCTGACGACATATATTGGAATTCGGGATATTCAAGAAAATTATTCTTCAAGTCTAGGTCCTTCATTATAAAGCATTGTAAATCACCTCCGAAAAAACACCAGAATGACTTATAGAATTATTTTAGCACCATTCATTAAGTTTTGTCAATCGAAAAGGCGTGTCATGTGAAAGACATGGATTTTAAGAAGCAATCATTTACGGCATCATACAATGTGCAATCTTCTCTACGAAATGTGTGCATATATTTTCCTGATTTTTCTCTATATAAGCGTTGTTTGATTAATATTTCAAATGTTTTCATATCTTGAAACGAGATATCTTCAAAGTTGTGAGGTTTTCCAAGCTTGGCAGAGATAAATGCGTTCTATCTGCTGCTCTGCCATAAAACTTATTTTTTATCTGCTAGACTCAGCTGTCGGAATATAACAAGCGCTGATAAGATAAATTGCGTAATTTCACGAAGCCATTCGCATCTCGGTGATTCCAACAAAGATATAAAAGAAATTTACATAAAGAAATAAGTCAGTAACTAGACTTGTCTAGACATAGTCTTTCTGGACAATCAAGGCAAGAAAAGCTATTTGGGCAGGCAGTTCTGTTTTAAATAGTATTTTTAAGATTTGTTCATGGCTTGTTAAACTGCAAACAAGACCAAAATAAAAGGGAAAATTGCAAGCTTTGAAACATAAAAACCAGAAAATACAAAGATCTGAAGTCCCTCTTAGCATCAAACTGATCAGAAAATTTCTAAATTTTGTCAAAATTTCTATAAATATCAAATTTACAGCCCTAAATAATCTAACTCTCACTGCAACCCTGACTGCGACCCCACTCTAAAGTCCTCAATTTTCTCAGGTGTTGTAAGAAAAACGGGACTACACTTAATGCTGTTCTGTAGATAAATACCCAACTGAAAGTATCGTGTGTGTATCCAACAGGGGACATGGGTACAACATTCACAAAGCAATTGTTATTAGAAAAGGGAAAGAACTGTCTTCATGGTTGTTTTCAAATGGCAGAATGAAAAATAAAAACAAACCTTCAGCATCAAATCTCTCAGCAATACTACGAAGAATAAAAAGCTCTGCACTGATAAATTTGAAATTGAATTCGTTCACCAAGTTATGGACTATGCAGCCTTTCCCACATCCAGGGCCACCTGAAAATGTAGAACACTCTTATAAAACACATTTATAGTTCATACTAAACATCAATATGAGTCACTGACAAAATGAATTTAGAATCAAAACCTTTTTTATGTACACATTTACAAGTAAAATCTAGATAAAGTTTTGTAGAAGAAATTATTTACTTAACAGTACCTTAGATTTTCAATTTTCGCACCCTAAAAACCATATAAATTATTCTGCAACAGGAGTGATCTACTACAAAAGATGGGACAAACATTCCATTTAAAAATTTATTAACCTTCCTTTCCCTTCACAGTTGTGGGTAAATTGCCCCCTTCCATACACCAGGATTCAGCAGTATTAGAAAAAGTTGCTGACCTTTCTAAGATTGTTTAGCCCCATCATCTGAACAATCTAGTGTCAACCCTTTTTTATAACCTCTCTGCTATAATAAATAAATAAATAAATAAGTATGCTTCTCAGAAAGCCATCTTTTTACTTTCATGCTTCCCAGTCTGTACCCCTTTTAATACTTGCTATTATACTGATTTGTAAGTATGCCCTCATTGACACAATTAAACCACCCTCTCCCTCCCTATGCTGATAGGCATAACTTGACCCCTTGGAATAAAACCATTCCTTAAATTTTATCCACTAAATAGCTCCTAAACCCCTGAGCTCCATGGTCCACTAAGCTTTTGAGATTCTGTAAAGAAAATTCTGTATTTATTAATAAATGTCAAATCTTAATGTTTTCATGTTTAATTCAGTTGATAACAAATGGGGAATAAATTAAAAACTTTGAGAAGTGCCTCTGCAAACAGTTCCTATCTCGAAACCAATTTAATAATTTGTCTTTTCTCCTCATAAACAGGAAGACTTTTGCGTACCAATTAAAATAACTGTGTTTCTATGACAACATAAATCACCTAATTATTGATGTTCAATGATTTTAATTTTACAGTTTGCAGAGTAAATTAAAGGCTAAATAAAAACCAAAAAGCTCTTAGCCTTGTGGCAGCAGGTGCATTGGAAAGTCCACATCACAATAATGTGACGACTTTTAAAGTTAAAAGCAGAGAGCCTTTGGTTTTATTTAATGCAGCAGCTGAGCTAGCAAACTAGTGGGATTCTTCAAAATGGGAAGGAATCCAATCTGCTGCTTTGAAACCAGACAAATCATAAAATCTTTGGTTTAAAATGAATTAATTGAATAGGTTAAAATGTTAATGTGTCAAAGGAAGCTTATAAGATTGTCCAATAAAATTCAAGAGGGATACTAGTGTTGATGTGAAAAAGGATTCATTTAAAGCCTAATCAATAAAATATTAACAAGCATTATAATCATAATTGCAGTTAACATTGCTATCAAAAACTCATTATCATAGTCTTATGAAATTAATCGCCATTGTCACTGTGCTGGTTATTTTTTCATGATAATAACAATCATCATCATAACCATAAACATTTGTATAATCATTTTTAATTTCCTTTGTATCTTTTCCCATGTCATTTTAATATTGAATATATAATCATGATTACTTTGTCTAACCAAATACATCCTATATATATATTTAAAATCTTACTGCATAGATGCATGAATTAAAAACCAAGGTAATAGAATGAAGCAAAAATGTTTCTATTTCGTTACACTCACAACGCTGCACTTAGACAGAATGAGACAAAAGTCTAAACCAAGCTTCTCCCCATTTGATCCTTGAAGAAAGGCTTGGAGCCACCCCACCCCCTCCCCTATGACACTTGTTGGAGGGGTCTCATTCTTTTGCAAAGGCCCTTACAAATAGTTGACTTTAACTCGTATAACAAAATGACTTACCAAAGATAAAAACTATTCTCAGGCCATTATCAGAGATATTTTGTCCAATGCCCTCACCAACTACGATTGATGCTTTAGGTTTGAGAATTACGGTGTTCTTTCGTTTCACTTGCAAGTTTTCAATGTCATCCAGATTCTGACTAGCACTACATCCCATATTTATGCGAAAAAACTTCAAACAGATCTTTCACCTCGACTTTGAGATAGGAATCGATTCAAAATTTCCCCACCACACTGGAACCTACTGTCATCAATGTCCTCAAAGTCGTCCTTAACTGTCTGTACGGGCAAAGTTTGGTTGATACTTACTCTCCCAAATTTGATATAATCTAAAATCACGATTCAAGTGCTCGAAAACTTACTTTGGACATGAATATCATTACAGAAGCAAATAGACTCTTCCTTACAAAAACTTTGACCTGCTGATTTTAATCGTTGCATACGTAAACGCCCACAGTTATCAAAAGAGGGCATCTGGCAAACAGTGAGCTGGTTTATGGCCAGATTTCATAAGTGGCCTAATCGACAAAGTGAGATGTAAATAAGGTCTTTTCCGATGAAAACTTTCTAGACTTTGAGACTCTCTGTATCAATTCAATTCTTCCAGCAACTATTTACCAGGATAACAAACACGATTGTTAAATTTGAGCGACGACAATAGGCCAACGATATGCTTTGTGTCAGTCATGACATTCCACCTTCATCGAGATATTTCCCCTAAAATACCATGGAAAGCATATTGAATCGCATAGTAACTGTACACAAAAAGGCTTCCTTTCTAACATCAAGGTTTTCCCTCCAAATAAAATGCTTAGGATCCATTCCAATTCACCAACTTTTTTAGAAGTTCAAATTGTCGTTCCCAGGTCATTTTTAGCGGGAATGCTGTCGCCATGACAACGCGAAAAAGATTCGAGCCAAAATAACTCACTGTCGACGTCAAACCAAAATAGCGAATGAAAATTTCAGTTCAACAGCTCGCTAAATAAAAAGAGTCCCTAAAATTGTGTAACCGTTAGAACAGTCTTTCTAGTGATGTATCAAAAGTCTGTAAAATACTGCAAATCTTAGGCTTACTGTAATATTAATACACATGAAAGTGCGAGCCTGAAAATAACAATAAGAGGAAAATGATACTGATGCAGAGGTAAAACTGTAGAACTGCACATAGGTAATACGAAATCTTTTTTGTTTTCACAACAATCAAATCAAGATTTTCAAAATTGTAATCAATCGCATATCCATTTGTTCAAAGAAACTTTCTATGCTACTTAGTTTTTGCTATAACGTCGAAATGTTCTGTAAAATTCTCTTGTTTTGCCATCGTCAAGAGACAGTTTTGAATGGCGACTGGAAATAGTTCCTGGCTTCAATTCAACATTGTGACTTTCAGTTTTCTGCGAATTCTCTATAAGGTACAACTTCGTCTCTAATTGGTCGATTTCCAGATCGATCTCTAGGCCCTGTTCAATTGAAGACTGCTTTTCATTCTTATTAAAGATAATCTGTTCTCTGACTTCTTCCTTTCCTCTCGATGTTATAATATCTAATTCTTTCAACAATCTTTTCACTTTTGTATTTTCCGTCAAAAGCCCATCGAGCAAAATATTTTTTCTGTGGAGTTCACCTCGTAATTCTGCGATACTTTGTAACAGGCAAAGCCTCTTCTCTTCAACCAACTCCAAATCCCTTTTAAGCTTCTCTGCTTGCTTTGCATTTTTGCAGGAACTGACATCAACAAACCTAGGCATGTTGTCAAACCTAGTATACTTGATTCCCTTTCGAAAATTTAGGACATCTGTTTTGCTGATCGCAATACAGTAGTTTGTAGACACATCTCTGCCTTGGCCAATTTACACCAAATCGCTTTTCAGAGAGCAACCACGGTCGTTTCTTGTCTCCAGAGATTCGAAGAGTGTCGTGAGCTATTAAAGAAATCTCATAATAGACGAACATTCTCTGGAGTCACTCCAGCCTTTTTAAGGGTCTATTCTGCAGGTAAGAATAAACCCCCCCCCCCCGTTTATTCCTTTGGGACTTACGAAGAAATCCGCTGCTTTCTTTCAATGGCAGACACTTTCGACCAATAAGTTAAAATTCGTTATGTCTATGCATTCATTTTTACAATACTTTAACTTCATAGAATGCAAACAATACTCCCCCCCCCCAATCTCCGAATGACCCTGCCCATGCTAATCTCATCTCGTTTACTTCCAACTTCAAAATAACGATTTCTAAAATATTACTAAATGGCTCATTGTCCCACTTATCATTATAAACCTCTTTCTTAGCTCTAACATCTTGATACATCTCAGCCGTCTGCCAGGAAAACCAGGTCCTATGTTAGTCGAAATAAGAACCCGTGCTATAGAAAAGGTTTTGATTTTCTAAGAAATTATCACATTTTTTGCCTTTAAACATTAGCCTTATTTGCTATAGCATCCTTCATGTCGTTTCTTTTATTTATCCAGTACTTGTCATATGTTAATTATCTCTTTTTCCACGAATAAACAAATGAAAATCGACAATTTCTTCTTAAAAATTATTTCGTTATAGGAAAACGTAGTTTTCCCAGTAACTTCTTAATATTTACACAAATGTAGGGTACCTTCATATAAAAACTTTTGTCTTTTGTCTTTTTAAAATCTGTTTTGTTGTCAAGCACAAGGAAATTCTCCCCCTCCCCTCCTCAAAATTTTAGAAACTCTTTGAATCAGTCGAGAAATAAAAAGGAACTTGGAAAATTTCTCGCAATCTCGAATTTCGCAATTCAAATGCTCATTTTTGTCAAATAACATACCCATCAATTTTGTAGTTACACCATTTCAGATCACAACATTCCAGGGACAATGCTATGGAAGGAATAAGTGCTCATTTTCAATTTGGACTTTTGCACTCCCATTGTGGAAACACTTTTGACTTCGTATTGAATAAGTAAAAAGCAATCTTTTTATTGAATAATTTTGCAGTGAAGAAAACATTTCTTAGGTGCAGTGGGTATCTGTCGAGTTCCCTCTCGACCCCTTATGATCTTGTCTCTGGATGTCTGAACGCATCTGTGCCAATACATATTTCTAATAGTTTACTACATTATCAACCGATCAATATATTATTATAATGTAACCGTTTGTAAACTTTCAAGAAAAAGCATCAAACAGAGCAATCATTGTTCTGCTACATCTGTTAGCATCGAACTTCTTGAATTGCATCGTCGAAGTTTTCTTGCACTTGTTACGCCTCGTGTTGTCGTTTTCTCCTCCCTGCTTATTTTCTGCACAACACTCTGCGTCAACATTGCTCGTCCTTTCAGTAACTCGTTTTCCGTTTTTAAACTAAACATCATTTCTTTTAGAGTCCTGTTATCTTTCAATAATTCTGTTGCTCGCTTCTCAAGCAGCCTGTGACTTTCCTTGAGGATCTTCATTTCCTGTTGATGTTTCTCCTCCGAGTGTTCTATTTCTGCAAACATGTTTTCGATTTGCTTACGATAGTTCCTTACGACTTGATCTGCTCCTCGAACCCTCATTTTCAAGACTTCAATTTCGCTCATCGCATTAATTTTATCGTAATGCATCTTTCGTAAGGTTTTCTTTTGACGTTCAGAGGCTTCCTCCATTTCTCGAAAACTAACGAATTGTAATTTACTCTCGTAATCAATTCTTGGCAAGTGAAAATTAGATCCTTTCATGATGGCAGCTGGAAAGCAGAATGAACAAAAATGCAACTTTCTGACCCTAACTGTAGCTCTCCTTGGTCTTTCATAAAGGATACCGGTTTGATGGCTAAAAGGTACCGAACATTTTTTGAGGCCACTACAAAATGAGCCGATTGTCGTTCTATAGAAGTAGAGTTAACACGTTCATTGTCTCATTTAGCACAAGTGCTGCTTCTTCACTCTAGAGGTTACGTCGGTACCTTAAGCTAGAAATGTCCGCTTTCACCCGATACTTGGATTATTCCACAAGAATAATAGGCTAGTTTTCGCGTTACAGTCAATAAAAACATGAGAGACTATGCATTTAACAACAAAGCATTGCCGTGGAAGAATAACAGGAGAAAGACATTCTTAATTCGCGAAGCAAAATCTTTTGGATAATCATCGCACATGAAAAGTTACATTGTCATTGAAATTATGGATAAGCCAATCGTAATCGTGTATACAGTGAATCCTCTAAAGAGCACCTGGGGGCTCATCAATTTTTTTACTGTTAAGGGGGGGCACATTTTCCATAAATACTGCATAAAATGGCGGAAATCACTTCAGTTCATCAGATATTGCTTTCTCCTTTTAGCTTGCTTTATTGGCCTATCTTTGAACAATTTTTTTGCGGTACAGAATTTGAAAATGGCTTTGAAAAAAGCAAACATTTTACGACATACTAAAAGCTTTTTCGTTTGACACTCCTCAGAGCATAAAACGTCAGAATAAGGTTCTGAAAGAACACGATGGAAAATATATACCCAGTTGTTGATCGAAATAGGCCAATCAGAAAAACGCAAGCACAAGACTGGTATAGTTGACCAATCAGTGCTGCGAGCCTAAAGAAAAATTACCAATGGAGTCCAAGAAAGATAACAAACTCCTTCTGTCTACACAATGGCGGCTTTTTCGTTTTTATGTACATCGACTCCAAAACTGCTAGATGGAAAGACGACCAGGCTCTGCCAATTATCCGAAACATGTCGTCATTATAGAGTTTTGCACAATCTGGGTTGTCTAAACGATGTTGACCGATGGAGGCTGTTCTCTTTGAGGGGCAGTTTTGGCCTATCTTTCTGGTTTTTCAGTGACTGGTAAGCCTCCATTTACGATTCGATTTAAAACTACGTCCCAGGATAGCGTCAACGTACCTGCAGGGGCTATTAGAGCCTAGCTTGTACCAACAAGCGTTAATAGTCTAAGGTTGAAAGAAATCATATTCAACCTTGAAAGAAAGACCACAAAAAAGACAAGGTAATTGCTCAACAATGTTTATTAACCATAGACAATGTTTGTTATCGTGGCACTGTGATCTCGGTTAATGTGATCTAAAAGAGTGTAGCAGGGAAACATCGGTAGCTTGACAATCATAACCCAGGTTGTTCATGTGGAGACGGTTAGCGTTGCTGATAAAATGACAGGCAGGCAAGAGTGTAAAAAACAGCACAAGAAACTCAAAACCGAAATGGAATCAGGTTGGCCTAATGAAATCCATGAAGAATTTAGGCTTCAAGGCAACAAACAGCAGTTACAAAAGCGCCACTTGAGGCAACAAACGGCAGATAATATGGACAAATACAGTGTTATCTGTGAAACATTTCACAAGAAGGACCGGCAATTAGCTTGTCAAACTGGGCAATTGAAAAAATTACAGAAGGATCTAACTATGGCGAACACAAGTGTGGTGTATCTAAAACGAGAAGTCGGGTTTCTGAAAGAAAAAATAATGGATAAAAATGGCGTCATTAAAAAGTATGAAGAAGATCATGCGTATTTATCAATGGAGTTTGAGATGACGAAGAAGATGAATAAATTGTTGAAAGAGCAAATAGATACAATACAAAGAAAGCATCAAGTCTTGAAAGAACGATACAAATTGAACCTTTATGAGAACGGTCAAAAGGCCTACGCGATAAAAGAGCTTGAACTAAGGCTGAAAGGTGCAGAGAGGCCTGGTAACCAGAGAAGTAGCAACCAAACGTCATCAATCCCTATAAGGCTATCGAGCAAGTGCCCTGGTGATTTGCCAATACTTGCAGAAGCGTCTCAAATAGAGACAGGTTTAAATCATGAATCAAGAAGAAAGGAAGATCTTTCTACAAAAAGCTTAACTACTAAGGCAATGAGGAAGACCTCGTTGCCTTTCTTTTAACTTCGAAGCACAATATTAAACTGTAGAGAAGAGGGCAGAACGAAATTGTTTAGATGGTATCGGAAACTGGGCAACGAGAAGGTTTGGTTAAAATTCAATATGACGACCAAGGATAGTGACTACAATTTTATATGACTACAGATTTACAAGGATGGTGACTACAGATTTACATTTGGCCTTAAAATAACGTCCTTTTCTACAGGAAGTCTTCTTAAAAAGATGATTGTTCCAGACCATACCAAACACTTATTCGTTTTGTCGAGTCAAGAGAAAAACTTTTGCATGAATAGTCGATGATATACGTTCATTAAATAGTTGTTTATTATTTCTTTATACGCTGTTAGATCTTTGCCAATAATTATATTTCTAGATTTCAAAATTTGTGAACCTAGTAAGATCATTTATCTGATTGCTATTGTGTCTTAGATACGCAGTGTTATGCTTTCAATGTTTTACAAAACAGACGCTGATACAATATTATTATAAGGTAATGGGCTATCTTGGTCACAATACCATTTGAATAAAAAATTATCGAGAAAACGTCGAGAAAAATCCAGCTTGCCGATCGGAAAACATGAAAATAGTCAATTGAATAGTCAAACAATTGGGAATCAAAATCGTTATCGAAATTCGTACGGACATAGTGCATTTAAAGACAGTATTCAATCTATAAGTCGAAAATTAGGTGTGCATAGGGTATTCTAAAAACATCAAACAACATGTTTTTTTACGGTATGTTCTTGTGATACCTGCATTGAATTACTCGCAAGTTTTCTCTCTTTCTCAAAAGTGCGCAGCAGTGCCGTGGTTTTATTGTTTACACAATTCTTGGCACTTCCAGTACTCAAGCTTAGCTTCCTTCATGAATTTGGGCTCTCTGCAATAGTGCGAGTAGGACTGCATTTTCACACCGAAGCACGTTTAGACACAGATCTTATTGCTGCAAAATAGGAAAAAGGGTAGCTACCTTTTGCAGGGGCCCCGGATCGAATGGCCCCTTTTGACATGAACTGAAATTGACTTCCTGAACTGAACATTAGAAATGGAATGATCGAATAAAAGAATGCAAAAAGATTAAGGGGGATGGATATGACAAAGAAAAAAGAGAATGAAGAAAATTCCTAATACTTAGTTGAATTTGATTGCTATACCTTAATGAGAGATAAAAATGATTTTGATAAAAAGATTTAAGGATGCAAACTATATAGGATGCAAAAAATTCAAGGATTGATTATCATGCCATCTTGCATCGTACTAAACTTCTATCTATGATACAGTATAAAATGGTGATGATATATTTCATCGTAGCTGAATAGTTACATGCGGATATACTTCCTCTTACACTATGTTTTTACAACCCTAGATCCATTTAGAAGTTTTGAAAATTGAATAATTTTGCTAGTTATGATTTACACTAAGCTTACGTCCAAACTTTTCAGTTCTTTCAACTTCTTAGTCTTATTAATTTTTCATCATCTACGATTGAAATTCGCCACGGACAGCGTATTTATGCGAGAAAATCGTTGTCCTTTTCACGTCATTCCTATTTTTCACTTGAAATTTAAGTGTTTTACATTGTACAAGAGCTCGTACGATATTGCTGGATTTCTCTGTTGGCTGTATCCCTGTGGGCAATTAACATGAGTTTACTATGGCTATAAAACCAAAAATTGTCCTGGTGGGAATTTTCGCTTTGAATACTGATTTGGCTCCATGGACAACAAAAAATCAAATCAAATTTGAGATTCAATGCTTGTTTTGATGCAGAGTAACTGTACAGATAGTCTTGCAGCAGATTAAATCGTTTAATGATAACTGGATGCGAGGATGAGCAAAAATATTACAGTCCGTACTGAACAACTAGGCCTTTCTAACATAAACCAGACACAGAAACAAAAATTAAAGAGATGCAAAGAGATGCAAAAAGATTACTGCTCGAAACATGGCGATGGCCTATTGCCGCGCAAAGAAGGGTGCAAGCTGTCCAGTTAGAGGTTATAGCTCTCCAAAAAGAGGCCTCAGCCCTAAAAGTCTGCCTGCGTAATAAAGAATCGAGGGTGGAAGAACTGGTAGAAGAAAATCAGAAGCTACAGAAAGAGCTTGAAACTAAACACGAGAAGGCCAGAACGGCAGAAAAAGAAACGAAATTGCTCAAAATACTCAACTCGATGGAAAGAGAAAAAGTGCGGCTTGTCGAGTTTGAAAACACGCTCAAGGACAGGAAGCTCCGACACTTAGAAAGACAAGTAACAGTGGCATCGGTAAATGCTGTTTTTGCAGCCACTGCAGGCGAAGAGGCATCGACAAGAAGGAGTCCAGGCATTCTTGAGGCATCGCTAAATCCAAGATCATTGGCCAAACTACGAAAACACGCAGCAAATTATACGCATCGCCAGAGAAATGCGGATACCAGAACGCCTTTAAGTAGATGACGACTAAAAATAATCCAGGATAGACTAGTTTGATCAACAAGGGAAGGAACTTTTGAAGCACACGAAGCTCGCCAAGCTCTTAAGGCTGGAACAGACGGTTCTTTTTTACGTCCGTTATCACCTAAAGGATGAAAAAACTCAAGGAGAGCTCTAAATTTGTGGTTATATCTGGCAGTTACAATGGATTTGAGATTAAAATTTTCTAGAACTAAATGCGTGTCCTTTTTGTTGGTTAAACTCTAACAATAGGTAACTGGACCCCGCTGTCTCTTTTCTGACTGACACATGGAATTCTCATACTGACACATGGAATTCTACCAACCAGTTAACAGGTTAAATGAAAGACTGCTTGATCGTTGAGCTACCGGATACCCAAGTTGCAGGAAAAAAAACAAAACGTTCCATAGAAGAATTTAAGTATGCCTTCACTTAAGGTTCAACTGCTAACCACCTAACCGCTCAACCGCTTAACCCTTAACCGCTTGACCGCATAATAAATTATCCTGAATCGATATCTGTTTTCTTAACAGTAAAATCACACGGAAATAGTTTGTATTTCCCAGATAATAAACAGAGCTGCAAAAGAACCGTCAGCAAAAGCAGCTATGGTCCATTCAACAATAACTTGATCAAGAAGCAAATTAGCGTTTAGTTCTTGATACGATTAAAAGTGAGACAGCTACTATTTCATATACAGCATTGTCAGGTCTTCTGCTAGGTTCATTTTCTAACCAAGTTACGAAAATTTCTGTATGTGACTTAGATAAAAATTGGCGCAACTGCCGATCTATTAAACCAAAGAAAAACACTTGCACTGGCCAGAAATCTATATCCTTCCAAGGTGCAAGGATCTGAATGGATGTAAAACTAGCTTCCATCTATTAGTAGCGAATAAAACGTTCATGGAGACTAGCCCGGCTATTACTGCTCCATTGAGACAAAACTTCCCGAATGGAACCTGAAGGGTTGTTGTTTCCGTCACCCATGTCCCTACCTTAGCGTTTTTAGAAATAGGCTTAAGAGCATTTTGCCCGCCTCAGGCTGGCTCTACTTCCTTTTCTATTTTTTCATTTCAATATTGCAAACATCACTTAGCATTGAATCATTTGCTTTGAGTTAACTTTCACTGTAAAGTTCGACATGGCCACCTGTAAAGTAGTCCTCTTGGTTGGAGATACTGTGTAGAAACAATGAAAAGGGTAAAGAGAAAGTGCATAGTTTTGAGCAGTAGGTTAAAGGCTGTGCATAAAAGAGAACCACAAAAAAGAAGTAGTTAGAAATTTAAAAATTTGAAACAGATGAAAGCTGACACTGGAAGCTAATACAAATTCACTTGGTAAACAGTGATTATAGACTCATTATAAAAACAGATGACGAAAACCCTAATAAAAAAAGTCTTCTGTCTTCTTGCCTTGGAAAATTTTATTTGGGGATAGGATGTAGAACAACTTGTGGCTCTGGAGCTGAAAATGCAGCTCCTGATGTCGGGCGTCCTGATTTAATTATCTTTCGGATATCATCTTTAGTCAGGGCAGCTTTGTAATAAACAACGTCATTCATCTCGCCTTGGAAAATTGATTTCGCGGGGAAGAATCTCGCTCCGTAGCCAATGCGAACATCGTAATCATCGAAGTCATTAACAGCCGAAAAAATCAAATCAGAATCATTCACGCCATCTATGAATAATGTTGCCCTGTCGAGAAAGAAATTTCGTGTTGGAGTAGGGCGTGGATAGCTGGATACAGAAAAGCATCAAAATCCTTATATTTGGTCTTATCTAATCAAGGCTGAAACATCCCTTAGACAAATTAAAGGCTCATAACAAAATATTTGCTGTTGGGTTCTACCCGCTTCTTTGTCATACCATTTCATATAATATCAACATTTTGGTTTTTTTCAATTTCGATTTCCACCGGCAATTTTAGTTGAAGATTATCAAGAAGGCCAAAAACGTACGTCTTGGCTCAGTAAACGCATTTCCAGATATATGAATTGGTTAAGAGATTCGAAAGCATGATGCCCCAAATTGCAAATTCAAAAATGGATGCCCTGGCAATGTTCCACGGCATCCAGAATTTTAGGGGCAAAATGAAATTTCTTTTGCATGGATTTCCTGACAGTGCATAGGATTTAACCAACAAAATCGACAATTACCTGTTTGGGACTGTGAAAGCCTTGACCGAAAGCGCTGCATGATGCCATTTGTTGTCGTTCACTCTGATTTTACTTGACTGTTTATGTTTACCCAACTGCACTTTGATCACCCCATCTTCAATGTATATGATTTTCATGTATTCATCATAACCATCAAAGATTGTACCTACTTTGGCAATAATTGTGCCCTCATGCCGTGTCTTTATCCAAAATGAAATTGTGAAATCAGCAAATCCAAAATTCAGCTCCTTGTTGTTTGAAGCATCAACTGGGAGGTACTTGTCCCCAGGGAAATAAATTCTGTTAACGAGGACTGAAAGAAAAAACTTGCATTAAATGAATTTGGAATGGTATTGCAGAATTCAAGCTAGTTTTCGCTTCTTACTTAAATCCGACGATATCAAAGCAAATACACAAAAAGTAGGAAGTCGTGCACTCCCTTTCCCCTTCCATTTTATCTAGCGGTCATGATAGCACAAATGAGCATCCTTTTACGAGATACGATCCCTCGTTTTGTCTATTTATGTAACATTTTTCCCTTTATCTTTTAAATATTTGCATAGAATTCAAGTTTACTTCTTATAGGAAAAAGTGCCCAGTTTCGTCAAGAGTATAGTTTAAAATTGAAATATATGTAAAAACAGGCAGATGCTCAAGGAGAGGTTTGCGTAGTTCATGAATGAAAGTTCGAGTTCAAAACAGGGCCAGTTTTGGTCCGAAAATGGCTCAATTTTCTTCTAAAAAGAGCTCATCAAAATTGTAAATAATAATTATAAACTTCATAAGATGATATAGAAGAAAGTAAGAAATTTACGGAGTCCTCCAACGGCCTTTTTCTCTTCTTTGGTGGGCTGAATTTCCACTGAAAGTTTCGCTGGTCCTGCACCTTTGGTTTTCGAGTCTTGTTTGATCCAATCGACTTGGCGATCCCCCTTGTAGCCGACAAGAGCCCAAGAGCCACGGTACATAGGAAAAAGTGGATAAACCGCACCGATATTTAGTAGGGCATCGCCTCCGTAATATGTGCTATGCGCAGTGTTCTAAAAAGAAAAAACGCAAACTGAGTTGGGATGTTTTGGCACTGGACTGGATGTGCTTGAGAACATTATTGGAAATATGCAAATAGGCTTCAGCTTACCGGAAACTAGCATAGATTTGCATTGGTTTTAAAAGAAAAAAATTGACTAGGCAGAACGATAACACAAAAATAAGGGCAAGAGTAGCAGAAAAATGGAACCTATAATGCACAATATTGGTACAACGTTGCTACAAAATTGCCAACAAATTTGCATGAGTTGGTACAAAATAATAATTAACTTGCTACAAAGTTCAACACATAATTTAAAGCATTGGCACAAAGGCAAAACCCAAGAAACTGGATATAGTTTCAAAGCAATAGAAAGTTGCACACCTGAGTGGCAATGACAACAATGGTGTCTTTGTACAAGCCATTGATAAACTTCGCCATTTGCTTGCCGGCGTTAATGTTGGCATGGGTTGCGAAAGACTTTTTCCTGTATGGCAAACCGGTAGCTGCGTGAATAGCCACTATGTTGTGGCCATTTTTCTCTAGGGAGAATTCTTTTCCATTCACCTTTATCGAAGCTCTGGCAAGCCAACAAGAATGCCTCACTGTGGATTCAAACACGGCCTTACAGTGTCAATTGTCACTCTTAATCAAATGAAATGGCAATGAAATGAAATTTATTAATAGCCAGTGGCGGTTCGTGACAGAAATTGCTTGCCGGAAAACGGGTGAATCATCATGAACACCAGGGTAAAGGTTCTCTAAAAAGTTGCATTACCCTTTTCCTGTGAAAAACACCCTGGTGCCAGTGCCACAGTTCAGTTAAAAACAACCAAAAACCTGCAATGGCACAAAGCATCATGATCTCGCCGATGGATTGACGTGGACATAAGAAATCTCAAAATTATTTCTGTTAAGATTTCGGTTTTTTGTCACAATAATTGTCTATTTTCATCAACTCACAGTTATCCCCTTGATTTCTCATATGAAAAAGTAACTAAAAAACTTTCTTAGTTAGTTAAAACAATTGATCTAATACAATTAGGAGACATCAATCTCTCACATCTAGAAAATATCGACTTGCGTATATGGAATTTAAATTAACACATTACATATATACAAATCAAAAGCAGATCTGTTGCGTTCTTATTACGCCCTGCTAAATCCATGAGCTACCACCGACAATAATATTTATTGCATTATCAAATGCAAAAGGTGAGTATTGTCCATGATATCTTAAAGGGAAAATATCATAACAACTCACGCTCTGCCTTTTTGCCTCCTTTTGGCTTTTTGCCTTCTTTTGGCTTTTTGACTTTTTTTGACTTCTTTCCTCTGTTTGGCTTTTTGCCTCCTTTTGGCTTTTTGACTTTTTTTGGCTTCTTACCTCTGTTTGGCCTTCTACCTCCTTTTGATTTCGGTTTCTTTTCTCTATTGGGTTTGTTTCTTTTCGGCCCTGGACCCGGTCTCCCTATTCGTCTCCCCAATCGTGTGAACCAGCCGCCAAAAACTTCCCTGTAGATGAGAGGAAAATGACAGAAACTTAAAAGTGGCCTGGATACCAAATGCCATAAAAAAAGAAACTCTCCTCCTTCGTTACAATATAATGTCAAAACCTTAGCTTGCGAAAGCCACAGCACAGCAAACTACGGTGGTAAAAGTGACCCTCTCTATTTCGCACAAAACCCTTTGATTATTCGTGTGAGAAGATCCTCCTGGTGCTTCAGTTCAGTTAGAAACCCAAAAGTAACAAAAATATCAAGAACCACTTAGAATCATAATGGCGCTTTGGGTAATATTCTTGCGAAATATTTTTTGTGACATGGTTCTATGATTTTGAAAGTGCCTTACCCTAACAAAACGTCAGTTATTGGCATTCGCAGCTGGTTAAATTGTCGTTCTCTGTTAGTAAAAGGGCGTTTTCAGACAGTAAAAACAGATTGGCCTAGATTATTTAATGTTTCCATCTCCAATAAGCCTACTGGCTGGCGCTAGAAGCTCGAAGAAAATACGACTGGGCTTGAAACCAACCTTTCTTCGCCTACAAGCATTTTTGTCCTAATGGAAAGATGAACCTTTTGCTTCAAATCACCCCTACGTAACAAGCTTGGCAAGTTTTTTTCGCAGGGGAAGGCAGTTAAATATGGCTGGGGAAGCAAAATTTGTCTGGTGACGTGGGAAAACGCTTGCAGGGGGCGTGGGGAAACGAAAGATGCCCGGGTCATTCGATTTTTCGAAAGGAGGCTCCCAGTCAGGAAATTTCTCAACGAGTGATGTTTTCACCAGTCTTATTACATAAGGGCTTGTTTAAAACATGTGAAAACAGAAATCAAAACTTAAAGACTTAGGAAAACGTAAGAAAGTTTGAAGATGGAGGAAAAATAGATTATTGAATAGCTTTTGCCTTGAAGGATTGGTGGCGTCAACAGAGCCCGATTGTTCTTCTTCTTCGTTTTCCCCTTCAGACTCGTCGCCATCATCCTCATCATCCTCATCATCCTCATTACCATGATAATCATGATCGTTGAAGTCACTGAACTGCGGCATGGCATATCTTGGTTTTCTTCTTCTCTCTTCTGCCCGCTTTCGTACGACCGGATCTTCGCAGCCTTCAGACACTACTTCAATCTTGATGCCTTGAATAATGAGAGGTCTTTAATATGTAAAAGCATTGATTAAGATTACAATAACAGCAAAACTTTAGGGGATATCAGAAGATTTTTAATGGTGTCAGAAGATTTTGAATAAAATATCGGAAGCACGTCATTTGTGGGCTCAAACGATCTTTCGCCTTGTCATATTTCTAGGTGGCTAGGATTTGAGAGGGCGCCTTCCCACCTAAACCCCTTCCCTCTCATCTCTAATGATTAAACTGAAGCAGCCTTTGGTCTAATGGTTAAACTGAAGCAGAGTCAATAAAAACAAGCAAGGTGAAAGAACTTATAATATTACCTAATGGAATCATTAACATAGAATAATATGAACTTTATCAATCCGGAAAACGTTGCCAAATGAAAAGCAGAAACATGGCCGGTAGAATCACACTTAAGCCCCGGCAAAATGACTCGATTTTTCACTCGATTTTTTACTTAACAAGAAATTGTAGGGTCACTTTGTCGCTTTGTCGATTCAAATGGCGTCGAGTGCTGTCGAGTGAAGTTTGATCTTGTCCAAAAAAGCCGAGAGAAAAAGGGGGTGTCAAATGAAAATCGATTTGTTTGATGTTCTATGTTTGACTTCGCTCGATTTGAGATCAAATTGATATGGCCAAGGCTTTAGGCCAGAGGACTTATTCACAATTCAAAAAACCGTCCTCTCTTTAACTTAATGATATAAAGCGGATCTTACCTTTGCCTTCTGGTTTGGTAGTGGTTGGTACCGTCGTTGGTCTTGGGGTTGTCTTTAACTGAACTGCAGCCTCAGGGGGGTACGTGCTGCATTTATCGCTGGCCATCACAATGTCATCAATAGCCATGTCACTCTGAATTCCACGGTCAACAACCCCCTCAATCACAATCTATAAAGATAATGTAAGTTTTTCAAATGGAGGTTGAGTGGGGATATCAGCTCGTAAAATGCAACCTACGACTTAATTTTAATTGAAACCTAAGTAGAAACAGCAAAATGTAAACAACAAATGTGGAGCGAAAATGGAAAGGTGCGAGCGTCCTTTCCCTAGAGTTCATTTCCACAGTGAAGGAAACTTGTTTGTCAACTGTGTCACAATGAAACGCTTCAACTTCGTATAAACTCTGAAATCTTAAACGATTTGATATCTCTTTCTTGCATTCAGACCCATTTAGGCAAACAGTTTGAGAAATCAATTTGGTATGCTGCCTTTATCGATGCTTTATAATAGCTAAAATTCAAGAAAAGAAATCGCCATAATCATCAGCTATGAGCTCATACCCTATCTCCTTCTTTCCCCATCCGTCTCTTACCCTTTTAACCCTAAGTAACCATACTTTACCAATTAGTTTCGTATTTACGCAAAATATTTTACCACAAAGTTATACAGGTTGACGTCCTGCAAGGATACTTTAGCCTCCATCCAATTCTGGCCTTGATTTCCTTTTAGTGTCCATAACAATGTCTTTGATCTTTCTCCCGCAGCCCTGGTAAAAACATTCAATGTTCCCATCGTTCGACCATACATGTGATAATAGAATGTCAGACAGGAAATTTCGCTTGCTTTGAATGGAACGCTCTGCAGACGCGCAGTGTCGCCTCGTCTTGCTGGCCAGCTCGCCTCCAAATAGAGGTAATGCCCTACGAAAACCAAATTAAAGCTCCTTTTATCAAGAATTATATTTTACAGCAAAATAAAAATAGAGTAATACACTTAAAAACAAGAACAAAAAATTGTTCAAAAATCGAGAGCGTTTTCAGAGTTTCGGAGGTAGTGGTCTACCGATCAAAAACAATTTGCAATAAACTTATAACTCTAGTGATACTGTTGGAGAGGTGGATTTTCTTGAAGACAATTCAAATAGCAAAAGTATGCATGCAGAATGTTTGACTCTGGAGAGAGAATGGTTCTAGCATCTTATCCAAAGGCTACTGTTCTCGATAGCTCTCTTGCTAAAACTTTCTTTCTTAGAGGCATTCCAGTTTGAAGAAACATTTTTTCCGTGAAAGCATATTCAGTCACTAGGCACAACGTAAAGCAGTAATCTGGAATCCTACACTGTACTCTGTATAATTAGCTAAAACTCAAAAATAATAAATATGAAATAGCTAATGACAAACTAAAAATGAAATCACCCGTCCCAAAATACTCGAAAGGATAATATCAAACTAGGAGAACGAATTAGGGTGACTATCTGCATCAACAATGTAGCTTCTGGCTTCTCCTGCAACCATTTCAACGAGAAATCATAGTGATCATCAAGCTTTTACATCAGAGCAAGGCAGGTCATTCTTTACTTGAAGCCTAGAATATGCAATTCGAAGGTGCCCTCTTTATAAAGACTTGCCTGTATGAAATTTGCCTGATGCGTGAAACAACTAGCCATTAAGCGTGAAACTCGGAGTAGCAAGTTAGAGCCGTACAGCACTATACATTAAAAAGCGCTTACAACCCTGCCTATACGGCATCGAGCACTGACAGACCGGTAAACAGTTATTTTCATTTGACAAATTTTATCTAATTTAATACATACAAACCTTTTCCACTTTTATATGTGTGATCAAATCTGGGACCTGTTAAAATAGTAGGGGTTCCACGAGATCGTTTTCGCCATTCCAACTTCCCTTTCACATTCTTCCAAAAGATGCATTCAGATTCAAAATCACAGGAGTAATGAGCTGAAACAAACAACAAAATACACTCATACTTTTGTACACAAAGCATTTTCAGATGGGCTGCAAAAGCAACATAGAAATTTTAAATTTTTCAAATTCTAAAGGTATGTTTCGGAACACTTTGAGAGCAAAGTTCGAGTTAGGCATCTGCCTCATATTACGGCGTTGAGAGAACATGACTCTCCCACGAAGAATAAAGTGATTTTGACCAATACCATGCATGGAAAAGCAATGAAATTTGTATTTTGACAAATCCTGCATAAAATGAATCAAGTTTCAATTCTTACAGAGGGCGTTGCCACCGACTGCCCCATATTACGGCGCTGGGAGAATCATCATCAAAGCACACGAAGAACACGCATTTATTGGTTAAAATTTTGCAAGAAGCATCGTAATTTTGTGGCAGGCTAATAAATTTGTTACTGTTGCTTTTATACTTGAAAGGTTTGGCATGTTTTTACTTCTCCCTTTTACTGCACTGAAGTCATATATTCGTGCGAATGTGTAAGTTAGACGCGCTGATGAGCCTCGTACTCGTGGAGGAAATAAAAAACGGGCCTAATTGAGCTAGAATGTCGAAGATAGGTTTTTGAAAGTTTTTAGGAGTAAATCGATAAAACTCTGGGAGATATTTTATTTGACAGATTTCATCTCGAAGATAATCACTAAAACTCGCGCTTAAAGCCTTTTCTGAGGACTTTCCTATTTTACGGCAACAGTCACTTCTCCATATTACCGCTGCTCTATATTACGGCGTTCCGCACCACCCAACCTCAAAAAATTACCTTTTGGTATTGGTTGTGTTGTTGTTGTTGCCATTGTGGTCGTTGGAACAGTTGTTGGCAAAGCGGTAGTGACAACCGTTATTTTGGCACCAGATGGTACCGTGTCACAGTTCGCAATACTCAACGACATGTCATCGATAGCAATGTCACTGAAATAACTTCGGCCAATCACCCCTTCAATGATTATCTGTTAAAAGGAAACGAATCCAAGTTTTTCTTGTTTTATTTGTTCAAATCAACAAGCATAAAGCATACAAAGAATCAGCCGCAATCAGCCAATGATGAAAGCAACAGGCGAAAACTCTACTGGTCTTCGTTACCTTCTCTTTCAGCATTCAAAGAAAGTTTCTTAGGGCTCGAATGTCCGAACCGCAATTACAACTGAACTTTTCAATCTCTTCACTGGCCAGATAATGAAATTGTAAGGTACCCTATTTCAATGTGAGTGAGATCCCCATGTAGCCTACATTAAACCACTTAAGGAAAAGCTCTACATGAAAACGAGGGAACACGAAAACGAGATAACGTGATCAACAGGAGCCATGAGCAGCAACGTTACCTAAATGCTCAAAATGCATGTTGGGATCTCGAATTTAAAATGTTTCCTCGGTAGTGAGCATTTATCAAAAATTGCTTCATACCTGAAATGGGAAACTTTTTCCAGGGAGTGGAACTTTTGCTGGCTTCCATCCTTGCCCTTGGTTACCTCCTAATGACCATAGCAGCACATCATTTTCATCAACACTATTCCTTTGGTAAACATTTAGCTCACCCATCGTGTTTCCAAACATGAAATAGTAGAAAGATAAGCAAGAGTATTCACTAGCTTCGAAATTCTTGCTGATAAGTCGCACAATATCTCCTTGTGTGCCAGGCGAACTTGACTCCATATAAATGTAATGACCTGGAAGAAGCAAAGCAGCTTTAGCACTATGATTTTTCTCTTATTGCATTGAACCCCAACTCAATGTTGCTTTCATATCTTCCAGGGGTCATTGCCCCCTCAATTCTACCCTAATAGATGTAATGCAAAATATTTAAAATGTTTACGAAGCTTTTCACTATCGAATGTTCACGATTGACAAATATAAGCATAAAAGTACCCATGATTCACTGAACCAGACAGAATGACTCTCCCACTTTTTTTAAAGAAGTTCCTTTATTCAAGGTGCTTGATTGGCAAAAAACAGTATTGGGGTTCTAAATCTGCAGTTTTTTATGCGGGCCTTTACTGTATACGAAGCTTCTCTACCTAGTCACGGCCACCAGAAACGGGGGAGGCTGAAGAGAGGGGGCAACTCCATTTAGTGACAAATTTTATTTTTCTTTGGTTCAGACAGAGCATTCGGTGAAGGGCCTTAAAATTTTATTTGCCGGCAATATCTGACAGAGATTCAAACCTAGTTCATACGCATGTAGTTAGATTTTCAAGCATTGGAACGTTTTAGGCATGGTATTATAGAAGTTTTTACTGGCAAGAAGATTTTTAGAACAGAACCTTTTCTATGAAGTCTTTTTCTACGTAGTTGTATGAGTGTTTTAGCCGAAAACATGATGTTCACGGTTCTGTTCATTGGTAAGGTCTCGTAATGTTCAATCCGTAAATTTTCCCTTTTTAACCAAAAATTTTCTGCAGTCAGTAATTTTTTCAAGCTTAAAAATCGGAGCGATCTCTTGAAATTAAATGGACATAGAGTCATTATCCTTAAGAGGTCATTTAGATCTGTTCGCTTAAATAACCATTTCTAATGTAAATTGCTTAGAATTTGCTTGGCTACAGTACATTACTATTCAAATGATTGACAAAAAGCAGAGACATAAAACCCCCTTGACGCTTTGTCTCTGGCACCCGCCTCAAAAGGTTGCTCACCTCTTCGGTCTCCGATGGTATGGTCAACGTAGGGACCGGTTTGTGGAGTTGGCGTATTCCCTGAGCCCCGTCGCCATTTTATTTTGGTGTCCATTGGTTTCCAAGCTGCACATTTTGACTCAAAGTCACAGAAATGATCATCTACAAAAAATTAAGGCAACAAATCTATACCGATTTTGTGTTTGCTAGACAATTAAATGGAGTTAAAATCCTTAAATTAGCTTTGATAAATGGGGACCACGAATGAGCTGGCTGGAGGAGACTCAAGACATTTAATGATCTTTTGCTTTTAACTCTCCGGGTATCAAAAAGCCAAATTCATGATGCGCAATGCGGTCCATGGTCAAAGGTTATAGGTATCCAGTGCAACAACAGAAACAATAAAGCTTAAGACAGCGTCCTTATTTATAAGAAAATCTCGAATTAAAACTTTGTGGTTGGGAACAAGCAAGAGGTATAGATTGAAAGAAGGCTAATAACAAGCGAAAATGGATGATGCGATTGGGTAGAGCCCACAGGACGCTTGCAGACATCATCCTTTTCGCTTCTTTAAAGTACTGAGATTACTCAAAAAAATTAAGGGCATTTAAGAAGTACCATGAGGAAGGGTGGTGGGAGATCCTGTAGTCGGTGGCTCAGTACTAGTAGTTGGCTTTTTTATTGTAGTTGGTGGCGGAGGATATGTTGTTTGGGCCTCTGTAGTTGTTTGCGGTGGAGGTGCAGTTGTTGTTGTTGTTGTTGTTGTTGCTGTTGTTGGAGGTTGGGTTGTTTTAGCCGCAGTAGTTGTCTGCGGAGGAGCAGTGGTTGTTGTTGTTGGAGGTTTTGTTGTTTTGGCCGCAGTAGTTGTTTGTGGAGGAGCAGTAGTTGTTGTTGTTGGAGGTTTGGTTGTTTGCTCCTTTGTAGTTGTTTGCGGAGGAGGAGGAACTATTGTAGTTTTTGGCGGAGGAGGAGGAACTATTGTAGTTTTTGGCGGAGGTGGGGGGTTTGTAGTTACATTTTCCTTGGTAACTGGTGGAACAGTAGTGGTAATTGGTAGAGGCGGTATTTCGGATTTTGGTAGTGGTAAATTGGTTTTTCTGGTTGGAGGCATTGGCGGAGTGACGATCAACTTTTTTGTAGTGGTTGTTTTCTCTGTAGATGGTGAGGTTTTTGGCGCAGAAGACGTCGTCACAACTGGTGCATTGGTGGTTGGTGGTTTGGCTGCTACTGGTGGAAAAACCAAGCAAGCATTATCAGAGATTACGATATCATCGATGGCTGCATCACTACGAAAGTCTTTGCCGATTGTACCAGAAATAATAACCTATGAGGGAACAAAATTAAGCTATCTGAAATCAACCTGAAGTAAAAGTAAACACAATTTGAAATTAATGAAAGATGATCCAGTACAAAAGTTACATTTTCCATCTGAAAATTCGTTTCTACCATTTACAATGTGTGCAATATCCCTCCAACTGAGATATATCAAGCTATAATTGTTGAAGGTATAATTGTTAGTTTATGTAATATTTAACAGATCTAATCATTTTGATATTCAGAAAATATTATTTCAAACAAGCTTTTAATAATGTACAGTTTCAAAATAGTACGCAAAAGCGGAGCTCAACAAAGCAGCGCACAAAATACATTCTCTATCCATTGAAAAACCAAACAAAAGGTAATAAAAAGGTTTTTTTAGTATGAAGACCGGTGTGGTTTTTGGCGCAAGGGTGTTCTCCCATCCACACAAAAGAATTGCGTTCCTAGCAGTCAACAAAAGATTAGTTGAATTTTCATGCCGATCCAAAGCCGTTGCGTAAAGATCGCTACACCGGGCCTGTGAAAACCATACCGGGCTCGTTCCGGAGCGTACTCATTGACCCAGTACGATAAGAACATAATGGCTGTTCACATAATACCTATAATACAGGATTCACAGAGCGACGCTATGCTCCGCACTCGGTATTATTGTTAAGAAAGCCGCTGCGCAAAACTGGCACTCAGAATGTATCTTCAGTGCACAGCGTCTAGGATTCATGCATTCACACGAGCCTGTAAGTGATGCAGAACTCTCTTAAACCACATCCAAAGCGGAGTCATCTGATTCCACACAAAAAATATACAAAGCGCATCGTATTCAAGCGTTGTCGTGTGACTTCAAGGCCTATCTGGCAGTAATTCAATACATAATGAAAAGCATTTTCCAACCAGCATTGGGCAAGAAATGGTTCTAATGCGAGAACACCAAGCTAAAACCATCAAACCGCTGAATACTATCATAAAATTGCTACTCTCTGACTCATGTAAAAGTGACTTCCTTTTTAACAGCTGAGCCCGGGTAGGGACATGTACGAGATTGTCTTCTTACCTTATACGTTCCGCTAAAGACTGGCAATGGAAGCGTCCCAAGGAACCATGAGTTTCCCTGATCACCGAAAAGAGACCAGACAGTAGTTCTGATACCCTCAACTTCCAGTTGCACGGCGATTGATCCAATTGTATTGCCATGCATGCAGTACCAGAACGCAAAACACCGCGGCCTCTGGCTACCTTGGAGAGCTGGGGACGAGATTTTCGCGATATCGCCTTCACTTCTAGGTGAGCTGGATTCAACGAACAGATAAAACCCTAAAAAAGAGACTAGCCTCGTTTATGAGGTCACGTGAACCATCCAGATGATGGAGAATGCAAATCTATATTTTCTTAGTTACAAATATTGATTAATTTCCATTACGATTTTAGCTAGGAGAATATCAAGGCTATGAATATGCACACAGGCTAAGAGTGCACACTCAATCTAAGTATTATAAAAGTTGTTTATGCCAAGAAAAATTAATTAGATAATTGAATATGACATAAGAAGATAATGTAAGATACTTTAAGCGAAAAACAGAAATCAAAAGTTGAGGGATCATGGAGCAGAAATAAAGGTACCGTTTTCATTTCCTTTTGTGTGATCAAAGGGAGGTCCCGTGTAGGGCGATGGTGTTCTTCCTTTCGTTCTTTGCCAATCGAAATTGTCATCATTAAGGTTTGACCACGTGCAAAGGCCACTTTCGAAATCACAGCTAGCTGGATAACAAATAGCAAGGTTAAATCAAGTGAAGAATTTCCAAAATTTAATATACTAACCAGTTGATGGGGCTTTTGCATTTAGTTTTCCATCTTGGGAAGCTAAAGGGTTAAGGCTTGAGTGTGCCCGGAAAGCTTGACGGGTTTTAATCTATTCTCGTGTTGATTTATTGTGTGACTGCGAAGGAGAAACAACTGTGTGCGACTGTGTGACGTTTTATTAATAAAAATCCAAGGTGCTTAAAGGGAATGTGGCTGCGAAGGAGAAACGTTTCATACACACTCTCTTGCTTCTCCTCCCCAGTGACCATTCTTCTTCGCAGCTCGAATTCTTTTTAATACAAATGTTTTCCAATGTATTTATTAAACATAAAGGAGACGTTGGGAAAGTCTACATCTGTAATGGTCAAATACAACCGCATTTGAAGTCTACTGAAAGCAAGCCTTATTATTATGTATTATTTGTCTTTGGTATTCTTTTTTTAAGGTATGAACACAATGAAGGTATGCAATGAATAGACTTACTCCATGAGCCTCTGTTTCGCTACTGCCTCACTTGACGGACGCTACAACAGATACCTCGTTATGAAAGAAATTGAGGTGCCAACCAATCAGAAAGCCGTATTTTGAAAAGCTGCTCTGTGATTGGTAGGACAAAAAGTTGTCCTGAGCGCCAGTTTTTGAGTACTTTGGATTATGAGTCTCTGTTGTAGCGTCCGTCAAGTGAGGCAGTAGCGAAACAGAGGCTCATGGAGTAAGTCTATGCAATGAACACAAACTAAAAGTAGTCACTTTGTAGTGAGAAGGAGGCTGCCTCATTTTGTAGTGAGAGGGAGGCTGCCTTACACAAGTACCATGTAAGTACCAATACAATCATAATATTTGTACTACAAAAATAAAAAAGCGGATAAGGTTACATACCGGTACATGCAAATTTGTTGCATTCACGACTCTCCACTGCTACGCCTTCGCAGTACTTGCCACCAGATTTTGGCGCAGGGTTGTTGCAAGAACGTGACCTAATCTGTATTCCCCCACCACACGAAACGTCACAAGGAAGCCATTCAGACCAAGCACCATACTTTCCATCAATGGGATCTGGAGAGCGAGGATTTCATAATTTCTAACAACCACACTCAAAGAAGACATGAGAATGAGAATCCATTTTTTTGGGAACAGTAAAGATAGTTATAGGTATAAAAGCGATATTTGCTAGGTACACAAGGGGTTTGGAAGCTACCCGAAACGTCATTACTCAATACAAGGCTATAACAGATGAAATCATCAGAGAATGCCAACCTTATTTAGGCTCACTTATCTTTCTTATTTGCATAAAGTATGATAATTATTCGATATCATAACATTCATTACCTTCTTTGCACTTGTAGAGCAATGCGATCTGCTTGATGTCTGTATCACTAAGTCCACTTCGCTGGCCTAACTTCACTGGAAAGGTAGCATTGACAAGTTCAATCGTATCACGTCCATTCTTTGAAAAAGCTCTGGGGCCATAATGCATCACAGAATTGTAGTCATATGGAGAACCAAGAGAGTCTATTTCTCCTTTGTCATATTTTTTAAACTGACTTGAATATCCTAAAAGAAAATATTGTTAGCAGATCATAAGCATTAAATTTTTTTCGCCCGTTCTTCTAGACGCTTGCCCGTTCGAGCACCTCCCACAAAGTGCTTGAGTACAGATCCATTTGCAACGTAAACTTAGTCATCTATCTGGTTCTAGTAAAATTGAAATCCAGCAATAGCTGAATTTATTTCTTAGGAATTCTCACTTCAAAGTTGGAGTGACAAATAGAAGACGTTTGGACACCAACATGTTGATGAGAGGGACATCAACAAGTTAAAACAAAGTTCCTTAAATAACAACAACATAGAAATCAAAGTTTTAATAATGTCACCAAGGGTCCCAACTTTTTTATCCCAGGCCCCAAAAAAGCTCTCGGTGGGCTTGAAAACATCCATGTTGGGACAATGCCATTAGGGTATTGAATGCAGCATATTATCCAAACACGGCAGGCATCTGGAACAGTCTTAGGCTCGGTCTTGGTGGATGCTTGAAAAATATTATTTTCACAATTTTCTACTAAACCTTTTACTGAAATGATCATGTCAAGCTTGAAACCAAGCATAGCGACACCGGTAACCTTGAGATGCCTCCTTATGATGTGACCAGCATGCATTGCAAACTGAAGGGTCAATCGCAATACTGGATTTGATGAATGGGAATTTAAGGATGGATCTTGTCGTTAAAAGCTTTCTTCCTTGCAAAACGTTCAGGGCCTTTTATGTAACGCAAAACGTCACCTAGACAAAGAGAACTAAAGCTCTAAGAAGTTCATCACATAAAATAAACATCCTCACCATCCAAAACATTCTCGTATATGACTTTTACGTATTTATCACGATCTGGTCGACTCTGTTCATGCCAAAACCCAATTGCATGCATCAACTCATGAATGACAACACCTTTGTGTCCGCATCCGGATCCAACTGAAATTTGCTGTTTTCCACCAACACGACCAATTAATGACCAACACCTTCAATTTAAGAAGAATCATATTCTGTATAAAAAAAAATTAGATGAAGGGTTATATCAATCATCCCTCGCACCAGGTCAGCCCAGAGAACTCACATTTCTTGGATGCAGAGGGCGAAAGAGAAGAAAGTTAAGATGAGCTGGATATCTTATTCGTTAATGACGAAGGAGACCCAAAATCTGACTTTTCTAGTTATTGAAAATTTCGGTAAAAAAAATGTGGGTTTCAAAAAAATTCGGAGGAATTCATTTTCGGTTTCCCGGCTTCACCGAAAATAAATCTCACCGAAACTTTTGGCACTCAATGTAAACAATGCATGTAATTGTTCCATTTTTCGGACCGTTCACTTGTTCCATTTCGTCTCATTGTGAATGGTTCACAATCATTCCCGTGTAAATGGGGCCTAAGTATTTTTGTCCGAAACTCATTAGAGTAGAAACGTTAATTAATGACTAAAGGAAAACAGATATTAATATATAGATGCGGGTCACAATTAGCGGTCGCCGATTGGTCAAAACATGGGACCAATCGAATGAGTTATACTCCCTATTGGGTTACTCTCGATTTAACACGATGTATCTGATCAATGCTGGGCTATCAGTTAAAGAGACTCCATAAAATGGGAATGACAAAGGTTGTAATAATATTTGGTACGCACGAGTATGTAAGGGTCCATTTAAAAGAAAAAAATCTAACAAACTCACCCTCCACCTTTTAAAAAGTGTACGTAGCTAGGTTCAGTTGTTCGAGGCTTTATTTGGATGCAGGTCTTCGTATTGATATCGTTAATTGCAGCCTTGATTGCTGATAGGGTTTGCCCACCTTCTTCTTTCACTGAAATACGAGTAAAAAGTTTCAACAATCTTCTTTTTTATAAGAAACAGGGCCAGGAAATGGTGAGGGGGGCAGGACCCCACTTTTTTGGAAAACAAAAGTTTTTTTAAAAATCTTTTGTTATGATTCTCAAAGCTTCCCTTGCCCCCCCCCCCACTTTCCAACTTGCGTCGGGGCCCATGAGAAACAATAACAAAAAGTTGCTTAAAGATTTTTATTGGTATAACACATACAGCCGTAGGATACGGGACACAGGGAGTAAGTGGCCCCATTTTTCAGCAACTCAATAGCGCAAGTTTTTTTAGAGAGCTTCTGGTTAAAAAGTGCACATGAAATCAATAAATACAGGCTCGTTTTAATCAAGGAGGATGGATCGATATTTGGGCTGAAAATTTCCCTTACCAAATTTGGCGATTCTCACGTTAGTCAATTCCTTTGACTTTGCCGCAAGGCTGCTTTCATAACTGGAGCTGCTTCCGATAATTTAAGGGGGGGGGGGCTAAAAAATCATCTAGATGGGGATCGTCTATGGTAAAACCAACAAATGTTCTTAAAAGATTTAAGACGTTTATTGCTTTCCAGGAAAAAAAGGTTCTTGTCCAGAGCTTCGTATATTCCAATTTCAGCTATTGTCCCTTCTTCTGGGGTGGGACGTTAAATGTTATTTTCACATACAAAGGTTCAAAATTTTACTCGGTTTTTGTTTTTTTCGGGTTCTAGAGATATGTACTGTATGTGCCACCGTTTAAGTCATTAGGGTCCCTTCTTCTGGGGTGGGACGCTCCTTTTTATGGGGCTGATGGCGATTCATTTGATCGATTTAACTTACTGATTTCGTCCGCGACTGTGTAATATACTGTGCGGTTTGGCCACAGATCCTCAACAAATCCCGTAGCACCGAACCCGAGAGGTCTTTGGCCTCGAAACACTATATCTTTTGTTCGCCTATGCAACAGAATATCTCCCTCAAATACACCGCCATCGTCGCCAGTTGAATCCGGTTCTAGAAATAGATATTAAATGACACGTTATGTCCATAAATCCTGGTGTCCATATACAGTGAAACCAGAATATGTATGGCCGTTTTTCCAGACCAAACAAATGTGGCCGTAATAACGAGGTGGCCTTATTAACAAAGTGGTCGTAAGGCGGGGTTCCACTGTAATCGTGACGATTGTCACAGTCATAGAAAATGTGTGCGACGATCCTGACGATCATATGGAAAAGTCAATTTCCTTGAAGTCTCCATCGTCGCTGTCGTGGAGATAGAAACTGGTTCTATCTCGACGATCGAAACAAAAATTTTGACGATCTTGGGGACTGTGACGATTGTGACGATCAAATGGAAACCAGGCTTAAGCAGAGAGCAGTTTGCAGAATAACCAACCAAAAGTAAACAAAGGCTGGTCTTCTGACCCCCTGAAAATTTGTCTGTCATGTGTGGAGAAATTTGGCCTAGTTAAACCTCAAGAAACAACACATCTTTAGTCGACGAATCAAGTCTCAGACAGATCCAGAGCTGATGTAAATACGATTGCATTAGATGTAATAATTATACATTTGACCCATCGTGAACTATCAATTCATTATATAAATATGCAAGCCAATTAAAAAATAATCAAATGAAGTAAAACCTATACGAGGGCGATAATGGTAATGATGATTGGTAATGATTAATTAGGTTTTAATTAGCTTTAATATAGTAGTGTATGTTTACCAACCTAAAAGGAAGTAAAGAAAAAATGATAATAGTAACGAGGATGGTCTTTTTAATATGACCAACTTACTCATGAGAATCCCATTTTCTTTGTTGATTGTAATGATGCCATCAAGTATGGCCTCTGTATCTTTTGTCTCTGTCGCTTGTGCCTCATAGATTCGATTGCAGATGACCAAAACAAGGACAAGGGCAGCGCAGTGGGAAGTGTGTAGCTCCATATCTAACAATTAACCAACTGAATCTGCAATGCAATTGTTTTAGTAAATCATTTCGCTTCCAACTGAAATAGGAAGCCTCTATTGTGGGTTGGGCATCAATTTCCAAAGCTGTCTTCTTTCTGACGTCGGTTTTACGCTCTCTCACCCATCGGCCGCAGATCTACTACTAAACTACAGAAAAACACCCAAATTTTGGGTACGTAGATATGTTCTTTACAAAGATATCTTCAATGAGAAAGTCGATAAAGTCAGCGAAGAGCAGGGCAGTGATAACAGGAGGGGGGCTTGCAGGGACGCCGGAGCCAAAAAAGGGCAAGGGGGGAGGGCAGAAATTTAGAAAGGGCATCTTCAGCCGTAAGATTACCCTTCTATCCGGAACAGTGGAAAAAGTAATTATTCCATTCTTTTATTTCATTTGAACATTAACTTTGCAAGAGAGTAAGATCATGTGACAATCAGTGGCGTACCCAAGGGGGGAATAGGGGGGTGTAGTATACTGTATGCTTGTGTCAATAACAATTGTAAAATACTTTGCTATTTACTGTAGTTAACATAAAGCAAATAATGGCGGAAAATTTTGCAAAAAGGGCGTTTCCCCGCATTTGCGCGTGTTTGAAGGGCGTGGTCCAAAAAAATTCCGGGGACTACGTCCCAGACCCCCCCCACTACTCCGGCCCTGGGTACGCCACTGGTGACAATAGCGATAGGTTACAGTAATTAGCAGTGAGAGGCCTTCGATAATTTTACGGAAGCAACTGTCAACGCTATAATGCTTTATTTTTTGTTAATTCTAACATTTGTTCTGTATTTTTAAATCTAACTGCATCTATCATTTTTTTAGCAAAAAAGAATATTAGAAGCATAAGAGCCATTGAGAATGGTGGTTTACGTTAAATCTTTAAATAAAAAATGACTGTATTTAAAATTGTTATTTTCTCAAAAAGGGTACATTTGCCCCCTCTACCCCTCCTGGTAAAAGGCAAGGGGGCGCTGCCCCCTCATGCCCTCCTGCTCCGGCGTCCCTGGGTGCTTGGGTATCCTCGCGAACATAGGTGTTTCGGCAAATTGCTGAGAATTTGGTTCCGATGCCACACCTACAAAATACCATGCCCAACTTGTCGGTCGATTTTTTACCATACATCCCCCCTCCACATTGAAATTCAGTCATGATGGCTCTGACAGTGCCTATTTTGGGCAAAATCAATATCTTTGGGCGTCAAATATGAATTGAACAGTCAGTAAAGCAAGAAACCCTAAACAAGTTTTTCTTTGCAAAATGATTTTCAGCCTCACACGGCGTTGAAAATTATTAGTTTTCAGTTCCTTTTTAAAATAAAAATTTTTCAAGTCACGTTTGCGTAAGATAGAAATCCGGATATTGACAAGCCGCAATGACGTCAATTGTCTATCTGAGGAGGACCAAAACGGAGTCATCTTTGGCTCCACCCAAAAACCAACGTAACAGAAGCGAAAGTTGACACCTGTCAAATCAAAATCAGCAATACTATAGAAAACCCCAATACGCAGGGACAAAAACCATAGGAGGTCATTGCAAAGTCTAAAAAACTGTCGTGGTAATGTAACTGAATAGAATCAAATAATATGATAATTGATACAACAATGGGTAAGAATATACAAAGAGATTTAGATTATACATAACGGACTATCGAATAATGAAAGAAAAAAGCTTTGGTGAGGGATATGGGATAAGTTGTGGTTGAAAAGGATGAAGTTTTTGTCATTTTATGACAGCAATGGATAGGTTGGCAATGCAGAATCGAACAGCAGACCATTTGCTTCACGTCCACAACACATGTTTGAGTCAAGATGTTCGAGTTTCGTGGACAATAAAGGAAATTCAACATATTCGCAGGACATGCTTGCACTTAGTTTTAGTGACATACATCGAAATGATTTTGCACTAGGTGACAATAATAAAACAAAGAAAGAGCATTCAATGAGCCCTATGGTAAGATAATACGTCACTCGCCCCAGCCTTCCTTCAAACACCGACGCTAATCTACAACTTTAGGCGGACAAATTTTCAAGAGTTAGACTGAGCCAAATAATAAAGAAAAGCATAAAGAGTTTTCCATTTTAGAATTCATACTGCAAAAAATCAAGTTTGCAAGGAAAAGCAGAAAAGATACCCGAGAGCATACAAAAAGGAAATTTTCTCGAACATTAAAATTTATGTTGCTTTACACTTTAACCATGTCAGGGTTCAACAGATGATGACCTATCAAGAGGCCAATCAAACCAGTCATTTCTCCTCGTCTCGATCCGCATCTAAGTTTAAGTTTTCGTTCATATTTGGTCACCACCTATGGTTCTATAATGTTATAAAAGGTGTCGAACTAAAAAGCGCTTGCAACATTTAGAGATGTTTTGAATTTTAATGCTAAACTATAAAGGGTTTCCACATATTCGACACAAACTGGCAGAGAAGGATTTCAACTAAAACTCGAAGTTGGTATTCTTGAATTTTAAAAGGCATGCATGAACGAAACAGTTAAAACAGAATCAAAGCGATGGTTTGGACTTCTTGAACATTAAAACTTCTCCTTTGATAAGGTTTGAAATACTTGAAAACAAAATTGAAAAATTGAAAACACAAGATCTAACCAACAGTCTGTGTTGTATGCAATCAATTAATATTATAAACAAAGTTTGCAAAGAAAAGTTTTTCAAATATACAAGAACAGATTTTAATTACGTAAGAGCTACTCTCAGTTGAAAAAACTTTAAAAATACAAACAGATACACTTTACACGAAAACCATTGAATATCGCGTACAAAAATTAACTTGCCAACCTACGCGCACATAGCAATATTCCAGCGAGTATTTTCTAACTAGACTAAACAAAATTTCCCAAAATTAACTTGTGCTGTCCTATCGACACCTTTTTTATAAGGAAATCACGTTAAAATATCAGCTCTTAAGTGACATCTACAAGAAACTCATGATGATGTCAAAACGTAATCTCCTTTTTCTGTCTAAACAACAAAACAAACACACAACAATACCAGAAATACTCAATAAAATCGCTTTTTCTTCTCTACCAAATTTATCAAAACATCGTCACAGCCAGCACAGCGGCCTAATTTTGTTAGGATAAAAAATGTTCCTAAAAAATGATCATAAAACAGCTGAAAAAGTTTATTCTTATGTAATGAAAAATGATGGATATTCTCTTTGCAACATGAGGGAAAACAGCCGCATTCAACTGAGTATCAGGTAGCGAATAAAAACACGGATAGAAGACCATTCTGTCAAACAAAACAAGTAATTGACAAGTACGGTCAAAACAACATCAATAACAACAACGAATAAATGAATTGAAGTGATTAAAAATATCAAAGCGGTGTAAAATCGGTTTTAATGACAACTTTTCTGGCTGTATCACTAAGCTTGAATCCTCGTTTAAACCCTCTACGACCCCTTCTCGAATTTTTCTTATTTCCACTGTTATTTGAAGGCGACTGAAATGCCTGGTTTTGGCTGCTTGTATTGACTGGGTTACCACCATCTTTTTGCTTCTTAGGCCTAGATCCCTTGAACTTTTTCCGTTTAACTTCCACCACCTTTCTTGTCCCAGTGTTTAAAATATTTCTTTGATCGTCGATCTTTGGCTGCTCATTTGCCCAAATTGGACCTGCCTCGTCTTGCATCAAATTTTGCAACTGTTGAGGGCGAGCTTTTCTTTTAGGTTTTTTCTTTTTCTTTCCTTTATTGTTTTTGCTTGCTTCCTGAGAGGCAGGAGTCTGGAACGCCGAGGGCGTTGTTCGACGGGGCGTCATCGCTGCACTGTGCGAAGGAGACAAGGATACGTTTCGAAGGACATTCCAAGCGTGAGAATTCGTATCTTCGTCATTCGGGGATGATATGATTCGCTGAAATTGGAACATAAAGCGCACCTGAGAACAAGGCTGCAAACAAATTCTTGGCCCTGTTAATACTTGGAAAAAAAATAGTTAATGTCGATGTAATGATAGAGGCTTGGGACAGGTTCTTGAATATGTGAAACACATAGGCTTGGGACAGGTTCTCTCATATGTGACACACATAGGCTTGGGACAGGTTCTCGCATATGTGAAACACATAGGCTTGAAACAGGGTCTCGCATATGTGACACACATAGGCTTGGGACAGGTTCTCGCATATGTGACACACATAGGCTTGGAACAGGTTCTCGCATATGTGACACACATAGGCTTGGGACAGGTTCTCGCATATGTGACACACATAGGCTTGAAACAGGTTCTTGAATATGTGAAACACATAGGCTTGAAACAGGTTCTCGCATATGTGACACACATAGACTTGGAACAGGTTCTTGCATATCTGACACACATAGACTTGGAACAGGTTCTCGCATATGTGACACACATAGGCTTGGGACAGGTTCTCGCATATGTGACACACATAGGCTTGGGAAAGGTTCTCGCATATGTGACACACATAGGCTTGCAACAGGTTCTCGCATATGTGACACACATAGGCTTGAAACAGGGTCTCGCATATGTGACACACATAGGCTTGGGACATGTTCTCACATACGTGACAAATAGGTTACAAAGTCTTATAAGAGCAAAAGCAAGCAAGACATTTCCAGCTTTATAGTGCTGGGGCCTAAAAGCGTTTTCGAATCTGATTCTTCTCAGCTATAAGAATGCAACAATCTTCCTATTCGTGCAAATCCTAGGATAAATCCTAGGATAAAGGGGAAAGATTTCTCAAAGTCTTCTGAAAAAGGTGTTGAACCAACGGATTTTCATGACAATGCCCATTTACCTCACCATTGCGTTCAGATAACTACTGCTTGTGAGCGGTGTGAAGAACAAGAATGGATGAGGCGGGTTAGCTGCAGAGTAAAAAGCAGTCTTGTGAGTTGGAGAGTGAAGAGAGACCAAAGGCGAAGGGGAATATTCATAATAGAAACATTAAAGCAGCTCTAAAACTAACCTGATGAACCTTCCATCTGATGAACTCGTCAAAACGTCAATATGAAAACGTCATCAAACCATTGATGGAATCGAGTTTATAAAGGGCAGAGATTAGAGAATTCCGGCCAAGGAAGGAGAAGAAAGTGAGGTGATATAATCAGCTTAAACATGTGAGGACATGCTCACGAATTCTATAATGCAACCTCAACTTTTGGTTATCAGATGCGGTTTTGGAGATGCTAGAGGTTATCAACGCGAAATTAACAAAGATAAATTTTCCATAAAAGACAATTTGACCGGAATTCAATGTCATATTGGAGTTCAACTATGGCCCGTAAGCAGCCATTCACTTCGTCTCTCTCTCCTGCGGAGGCGTAAGAAACAGAGATCGCTACATAATCTTTTTTCTTTCATAGTCTTCTCCACAGCCATTTTAAAAGTTGGATGAAGGCTGTGTGACAAGAAGTGACTTCTTGGCTCCGTTACCATTGAACCTTAGTTTACATGACAATTGATGTAGGCAGGAGAGGGGGTGGGGTGATGTGGTGGCTAACTTGCCATATGTCATGGCTTCAAACGACAATGTCTCCGGTTCTATTGCTTCGTTGTAATTCGAGTGTTCGTTGAACCAGGATCAGTTTAATTTGAGGTTAAGCCTGCTGTCCCCATCGCGGGAATAACATAACAGAGGTAGCTAAGCCTTCAAAGCTACGATTTTGATTGCAGTTGTAGATTGTGTAGATTGTATGTAGGTAATTTAGGGTTTTTTATAGTTATATTCTTTAACAGTATTCTCTTGTTTGTAATTTAGATTTAATTTATTATAGTATCTTGTATTTAATTTTCGGTTGGCTTAAATTAGCATGTGAGCTAGCAATAAGCGCCAACCTCAAATAAATTATTATTATTATTATTATTATTATTATCTGGGGATCAACTACGCCCTGACTTACTTCTCAAAACTAAGGAAAACTGTCTGTACGTTTTAGAGCTAACCATAGGCTTTGAAACAAATCTCAACTGGAATGCTGTCAGAAAGTTAGAGAAATATGCCACCCTCGTATCTGACTTAAAACGTCAGTTTAAGTCAGTCTCGTTTGTCAATCTTTCCATCAGTTCACTTGGTATTTTTGGCAACTCCTGCAGCTCATTCATCGACACGCGTGACTCTTTGTCCATTGATCATCAACAGAAACGCTACCTCATCTCCAAACTTTCAAGCATCTCCATTCGCACCACATACTATATATTCTGCTGTAGAAACAAAACTTGGACTAACCCAGAGCTACTCCCCTTTTAACGTTTTTTTTCTTTTCTCTTTACTACGATCTACGATTGTAATAGTCTTATTTTGTAAAAACAGGCTAGCCAGTTACAAGTTACCTGGTAATAGTGAGATTTGTAGTTTTAACTGGAATTCAAAATGAAAAGTTTCCATTATTATTATTATTAATATTATTATTATTATTATCATCATATTTATTCCATAGCAGGAGATGTAGCTATGGCTTATAATACCAACTATCCTGACAAAGATTGTACGACAATTTTATACCTGCTGCACACGTGGACTAAATATTCCTAGACCGCTCTCGTGCGATTGCAAAGTGTCACACAAGGCAAATCAGCCAGGCGGTGGCGAAATCTATACAGATGAATGGCAGAGACACTATATTAAAACATCACATACCCGTTGTTTAATGCGAATTCGCTTTGCTTTAGGAGCACCACTTGAAAAGGAATTGTTGTTGCTGTCATCAGTATTGGGAAGCAAGGGCTTCTCGATCGCTGTGACGTCATCAAAAAATCTTTTTCTCCCACCGGGTGCTCTCGGTTGGTTTGCCCTCGGTCGTTGATTGGTTTTCGGTGGTTGGTTGGTTTTCGGTAGTTGGTTCGGTCTCGGTTGGTTTCTCGTTCCCTGTTGCAGGTTTGTTCTTGGTTGTTGGTTTGTTTTTGGGGGTTGGTTAGCTCTCGGTTGGTTTTTCGTTTTCTGTTGCTGGTTCGCTCTGGGTTGTTGATTAATTCTCTCTTGTTGGTTAGCCCTCGGCTGCTGCAGGCCATACCTCACCGAAGCATCTTCATCAAAGTGGCGCGGATCGTAGCGTGTTAAATCGATCTACAAACGAAACAAATATCAAAATGTTTTTTGGCCAGCAACTAGCTTTCGAAAAATATTAAACAAACTTAAAGCTATTCATTCATCGATTCATTTATTCATTCATCCAGTCATTCATTCATTCAGTTATTAATTAATTAATTAATTAATTAATTAATTCATTCATTCACTCGTTAATTAATTATCCATTCCCATAATTATTCGTCTACTTGTTATTTGAATTATCCACTCACTTAATCATTCATTTATTCTTCATTTATTCATTAATCATTCATAGTCTTCAACTCATTCATTCATCAACTTACTCATTCGCTTATCCATTAATCTATTTATTTATTCCTCTATTTATTCAAGAAAAATGGCAAAAAGGACATGAAACCTCCAACACTTACAGCCCAATCTCCTCTCTCTCTTTCCACCCATAACCCCTCTCTCTCTTTCTATCAACATCTCCTCTCTCATTTGATTAAGCTCTGAAATAAAACCTGCTACCAAAAAGCCTTAGATTGTTCTAAAATAAGAAAAACTATATAAATTCTAAAACACTTGTTTGTCAAGAAAACGGAGAACCTACTTGTCGAGTCATTTCAACGCCACCAACATTGCCTGCACCAATTGTTTCGTCTAATTGACTTTCCATGTCATCAAGAGTTTTTTCAGAGGTACTTACAACTTTGGCCTGTTGCGCTTGAAAAGGAATCTCGATGTGCTTTTTGGATTTCAACGAGTTGATTGTTGTCCTTAGATCTTCTTCGTCCGATGAATCAGACGAACCTGGAGAATGGGCGAAACGCTCTTTATTTGATGACTAGATGCCGTTTCGTAATACACAGCAAAGCATAAAATTGCCGCTGCTTAAAAGCATTCGACAGTAACAAAGTGGTGTGAGCCATCTGCCAATCAATATCAGCCAATCAATAGGCATGATAGTGGTATCACGCTCACTGATTGGTATCAGCCAATCAATATCAGCCAATCAATAGGCATGACAGTGGTATCACGCTCACTGATTGGTATCAGCCAATCAATATCAGCCAATCAATAGGCATGACAGTGGTATCACGCTCACTGATTGGTATCAGCCAATCAATATCAGCCAATCAATAGGCATGACAGTGGTACCACGCTCACTGATTTGTATCAGCCAATCAATATCAGCCAATCAATAGGCATGACAGTGGTACCACGCTCACTGATTGGTATCAGCCAATCAATATCAGCCAATCAATAGGCATGACAGTGGTACCACGCTCACTGATTGGTATCAGCCAATCAATATCAGCCAATCAATAGGCATGACAGTGGTACCACGCTCACTGATAGGTATCAGCCAATCAATATCAGCCAATCAATAGGCATGACAGTGGTATCACGCTCACTGATTGGTATCAGCCAATCAATATCAGCCAATCAATAGGCATGACAGTGGTATAACGCTCACTGATTGGTATCAGCCAATCAATATCAGCCAATCAATAGGCATGACAGTGGTATCACGCTCACTGATTGGTATCAGCCAATCAATATCAGCCAATCAATAGGCATGATAGTGGTATCACGCTCACTGATTGGTATCAGCCAATCAATATCAGCCAATCAATAGGCATGATAGTGGTATCACGCTCACTGATTCGTCAATTGTTAATAGACAGATGGCTTAAGCCACTTGAGATTTTGTCGATTAACTTACATTTTTTTTAAAAATACAGGCCTAAAATTAAAGATGTGCTATCCTGAATCTCTTCACTTTCCAGTTATAATCACGGTGCCATGATTTTTGCAACTGGGCGATCTTTTTGGTAACCTGTGATATTTTTTATAGAACCCTTAACTTGGCTTGAAACGTTCAAAAGGGAAAATTATCCACCCCTACTAAATTCTATAATGGAGAGGTGTTTCAATGTAAAACATATTGTAAATGGCCATACAACCTTCAGCTTAATTATAAATATGATCTGTTGCAGTGCAGGGGTGTGTACTCTTATTGCAGAAATATAAAGCTTTATCATAGCTAAAGGGCATTTTCACTACAAAAAATATTTTTAATGATCAATGGACAGGAGTTCAGAATAAAAAGTTTAATAAAAAGAATCACTGATAACATACCTTGAGCGACAAGCAGATTTGAAAACTGGAAATTTTCACCGTCACTTGAGCTGTGGTCTTCATCGATATAAACATCTGGGATTGCATTTTCAATGAACTGTCTTTTATCAAATGTGTTGTTTGGACCGGTTTGAGTTTCTGCGGAACGTCGATCTCGGATGGGACCGGACTGCACCGGTTCTTTAGGGGGGTTTCTATTCCTACCTGCTTCTTTAGACACAAATGCCTGTCTATCTTCAAATTTCCCTGCTGCTTTGTCAAAGAAAGTACTTGATGGCAATGGATTTGAACTACCCAGCTGACGGCCTAGATTGGCAGTTCGACTTTGAAACTGATCGGTATTATCACGGTCAGTTCTTCCGTCAAACTCGTGTTTCCTCTTTACACCTTTTTCCTTTCTTTCGTTTGCAGGCTTGTTAGGGGTGGGCCTGTTAGGAGTGACTCTTTCAGTTGGCCTTGCTGGTCCACCATGCCGTGTTTCAACATTGCTTCTACGCTTTTCAGCGCCACCTTTCGAGACCGAGGATCGAAACGAAGCAGGGTCCATTGAATCCCTCTTATCCCTGTGACTCTCGTTCTCTCTCCAACCCCTTGAGAAGGACTCTTCAGCTGGTTTACGACTTATTTCGCTTTCAATGTCAAATTTTTCATGTTCTCTCTCTACCGTTGACCTGTCCCTCTTTGTCTCTCTCACTGCTTTTTCTTTTGACGTGACAGAATCTTTAAAAGACTTTTGATCAGAATGATCTTCATTTCTTCTCTTATCTTTAGGGAAACATTCTCCCAGCCGTAGGTCAAGTGTTCCTTGGCGGTTTTCTTTCTCGTGAGTATCCTTTTCGATTCCCCTTACTCTTTCAACCCCTTTTCTTTGGTCACTATATCTACTACTTGTATTCTTCGTCTTTCTCTCCTCCGCATTCAGTTTTTTCTCTGGGGGTGCATTACAGCTACTATTAATATTGTCGGTTCCACTTCTTTCTAAATTCTTTTGCAACCCATTTCCCTGATACTTATTCTTATTTTCATCTTCCTTTCCTTTTAAAGACTTTTTACTTTTCAATCCATCATCTGACATATCACTAAAATCCGAATTACTTGCATACACATCAAGGTTAATAAATTCAGAAAAACTCCCAACTGAACTTCCATCATCTTCTGCCATAACTTCCGTGGGTTTAGAATTTTCAGCAACCAGTTGGCTGTCGCTAATAAGTATCCGATTGACGTCAGCCATTCCTTTCTCTGCCTCTCTTCCAGTTTCTTTAGTAATGTCATCATTACTCAATCGAGATTGCATCTCCAAATCGTTCTCAGATTGTGAGTTGTTATGATTGTCATCAGAAATCAAAATAACAGAATCTTCACCATTCTCTATATCTTTCTTGTCTATGTTTTTGACACGCCCTTTGGCGACCCCCTTTGTTGCGATTTCTTCAGTCGTGTTATCATTATATAGTCGAGATGGGGCCGGCATCCTCTTCTCAGAATGCGTTTCACTGTCGTCAGAAATCAAAATAATAGCATCTTTGTCAAGTGGTAAATCTATATTTTTTCTTCGTTTAATTTTCACCACTTCATTCTTGGGTTTGCATTCATTTCCGCTATTATCAGAACTTAAAATTATCACATTTTTGTCACGTTTTCCAATAACATGTGCTTCAGATTCTCTTTCACTGCTAAGGCCCTCTTTCGATCTCTTCAAACCCTTGATTACTTTTCCACCTATCTCAACTCTTTCTTCAGATCCTTCCTTCGACCGCTCATGACCCTTTTTCAAATTCCCGGATACCTTGCTGTCGGTTTCGACTGAATTCACACCCTTCTCTTCTCTTCTGCTCCTTTCCTTTTCTCCCGTTCGCTCGATTCCGCCTTTCCTCTCCCTCAGTCTCCCGTCTTCACCAATATCATTATTCACATAGTTTTCTCTTGAATCTTTGAAATCTTCATTCTTGCTATCGACTCCTCTTGCATTCACGGCTGGCCTGCGATCTTCGAAAAAATAAGCATGCTGGTCATGTTTCCTTTCAATGCTCTTGCTTGAAACGAGTCTCTGTGATGTTTCGTTGCGAAAATCATTTTCTTTTCCTGATTTTTCCACGTTACCCATAATTGTTTTATTTGTCTTGGACGGGCAATTATCGTAATGAACAATGAATGGCGAATGAAAGACTAATCGATGTGGCCTCTCCTTTTTACAGTCCTGAAAGATAAATTGGCGATCAGATATCAGTACAGATAACAAGTAAGAGATATGCTTTATTGTTCCTTGCACAACAGAGAGGTTTCTATCTCTTTATATGGTGCAACAGAAACAGGAAAAACAGCTGGGAATCTAACTTCCAATTAGTATTGCTACCCTGTCAAAACTTCAGTATAGACAGGGTAGCAATACAATTCCACATTTCACATACAATTCACATACAAATCCGATAGTCGATGTGCCGATAAAATGTTACTTACATGTCCAAAATGCCCTTTCTTGCCACAATTAAAGCAAAATCGCGTCCTTTTGATGGTTTTAATGACACCGTGTCTGTTTACCTCAGGTTTTTCCAAATGGTTTTCATGCGCCTAGAGTATAAACAAAAGTAAATGTAAGTTTAAGATTTATTAGTTACTCATATTCCTAAACCTATTAAAATTAGCTCGTTTCTCTACCATAAAAAACTTCTACCTTCAGCCCTCGAAGGCTCCAACGGGTATATCACTCCCTGAAAATCTCGTACGTATTCGTCAAAAATTACTTTATCCTAGAAGATTTCGTAAATATGAAATATACCATAATCTCTATATACCATAAACCATAATATACCATAAAATTATATTGTTCTAAGAAATATCATAAGCTGTTTGGAGCAGATGGTTCATCCCTCGGCTACCCCAACCCCACCATCCTCCTCATGCACGATTGATATCAATTTACTTCAACAGCAAGTTAAAAAATGATAAGAGCTGCTACCTCTCTTACCTCGCTGCAAGATCTCATACCTTCAGATTGAAGAATCTTTTTAATGTCTCGGTTTGAAAATGAATACTAACTCTTGATTGTTCAACTAAAGCGACCAACATTTTTAGGCCTTCCCATCTCTTCCTCGCCCCTGCCTTGCTAGGCCCAACCGCCTGATGAAACCCTTCCATTGATACAACCCAATGACCATTTCAACTCATTTTCAACATACATTCAAATCTATATTTGATATGATTTTTAAAAACAAAATAGGGAGTATGGGAGAAGAATAAAATATCTTACAGTTAGATGAAACTGTCTCCAAATTTCATGGCATCTCTGAAAGAGAGATTAGAATTGAAGCAACAGTGCATGCATTCTATAAAAAAGCAACCCCTAAAATACAGACAACTAAAATACCTTAGTTAAATTGACATAGATAATAAACATAAGAACACCTTCTGATAGATTAGGTGTTTTGTTTTACGTTATCTTATTCTGCATTTTGTTTCTAACAAGAGCTCTTTGCTTTCAAAACCTTTGGTAAATTACACCAAAAAGGCGTGTTCAGCCAAGTCTCTCACTAAGCGTTATCTTTCAGCGTTAACATTTTAGTTAAACTAACATTCAGTGGGCATCCTTTTGCTTTCAAGGGATATTAAATACACATGATTCTGGGGAGTAATATGTTTTATGGTGGGCAAACAATTTAAACGGCAGGCTAACTTGCCCTTTGCCATTCCACACCTGATGGATTTTTAATAGACTGGATGGTCATTCAAATTTGAAAATCGATAAAAAATCATTTTCATGACTAACAGGTTTAACAGCAAACAATATGTTCCCCTTGTATTTGCAACATTGACCAGTTCTCCTATTAAGACTTAAAGGTTTTTTGAAAGTCAAATCTGGAGCCATGACACCCTATTCACCCGATTCATTGCCAAATTTCTGATACAATATGCAAAATGACTCACCTCCTTGTTGTGGCCTCTTCCCCAACATCTTTTACAAACTGCATAATTCTTCTTTCTCGGTGCTTGACATGTCTTTCAAAGGAAGATATTATGATATAAAAATAGCTAACACTTGTTCCAATACTCTTGATATTATAATTAACAATCAGCTTTGTAGATTAACAATCAACATTCTCAATAGGCAAGCGGCACTGATTGGTCAACCTAAACAGTCATGTCCTCGCGTTTCTTATTGGCCTATTTCGATCCACAACTGGGTATATATATTTCTTAGCGTAGAGTTTTCAATCTATGTTCTGACGTTTTAAACTCTGAAGAGTGTCAGACGAAAAGCTTTAGTTTATTAAATGTTTGCTATTTTCAAAGCCATTTACAAGTTTTGTACCACCAAAAGATTGTTTAATCAGCTTTGACTCTTATACACTGTTGAGAAGGAGGTATTCAAATCATAGTCAATAGAAACAACTATATTGACTTTGTTTAAACGTACTAAAAATTTTGAGGCATTGCTACCCCTTGTATTGATTTGATGATAAAATATAATGGGCGTCCAAACATCTTAAAATGAAAACTGCGCTGAAGACGGTTCAAACTTAGTCCGTTGAGAGTTCAAACGCTCTTTACAAAACTGAGCATCAATTCAGTCGAAACAGTGTGGCACTGTCCTGACAATTAAAGTCGTTTTTTTATTTCCGTTTAAAAAGAACGTTCAAGCCTCGAGATCACCGAAGGAGGAAGAGGGGGGTTAATATAGGTATAACTATATCGCGAGTCGCAATGCATTGATCGTTAGTCAGTGAAATTTTGCGAGGTTTACGCCAGGGAGTAAAGGAACACAAAGAAATTCGGTGATCACATAAGTTCTCTTTGGATGTGTTATACCCTAGGAGTCACTCGAGGCTCCTCTCTCCAGTTTCTCAATTCTAAATAAGCTGCATAACCTATTGCTGACGTGGACAGTGCATTGGCAGAGCAATCTGCCTTGCTAGCAGTTGATTTGCTTAATAAAACAACAAGATGGAGAAAGAAGCTTCCTCGATAAAATTTATTCAACAGCCCAAACAGTATTTTCACAAGCACAAAATATTACAACATTATCAAAACAATTTTTGGTTTTTGAAAAAACCAGCCTAGCTGGCAGTCTTTCAAAAATCTTTTGGTGAAATCTCATTTCATATAATTACAGAATGTAATATGATACCTGGTCATTCTAGACAAGGATAAAAAGAAAAGGGGTTACCCTGACAATGTGACCAACTTCATAACAGTTGTAGCAAACACCATTGGGGCAGTATCTCCCAGGGTGTCCATTTAAACCACAAAGATAGCACGTTTCTTCTTTCTAGAAATTAAACAAAGCATTGCAACCTTGAATAAACAAAATACATGGTAATAGTACTAAGAAAATAATTAAAATATTCTCACAAGTAAAAATTTTTAATTGCTACACGGAGGAGGTTCTAAACTTGATTGTAAGATTTCTAAGGTTTAATTTGATTCGTTAGATTTGAAAGAGAACCCCTCAGATTTGTCAGAAACATTATGAAAGAATGTTAGCCTCCCTTCTTAACTTTAAAATGTATCAAGTGACCCTAGTGTCAGAGATGTCATGAAAATGAAAGTCCTTTCAAGCAGCATGCCGAGCTTCATTTTGATCTCAGATTGAGAATCTGAATATCAAACTACAAGCAAGCAAGTTTTCAGGATTCAAGTTTTTGTGATATTCACTTTCCAATGATACAAAATCTGAAAATTTGACAGAGATTTACATTTTAAAAAATCATTCTAGGTGAAATATTTCACCAAAACTTGCTAATCATAGTAGAATCCCTCACCACAGAAAATTTCTTGAATTAACATTTATAATGCTTTTAAAGAAGACTGAATCATTTTTGCTTTTAATATCTTTACAAGCAATTTAAACAATGTGTACCTTTGGTTCCCAGCAGTCTCTAGCTATATGCCCTTTTTTGTCACAATTATTGCAAAATATTTGATTTTCATGTCTCTCAATGAAGTATCTTTTCTTCTTTCCAAATGACTCTAGGTACTTATCTTTACCCTGAAAAAAAACATTGCTCTGAGAATGAAAATGTATAAAACTTTAACAAAAAAATTATAGCAAGACTAAAGTGGACAAAAATTAAACCTGCTTTGGATAATCTGTCACAGACCTAAGCTTACTTTTAACAGCGGATAAAAAATTTTCTCACTTTTAGAAGCTTTGATTGCAACTAAAGGATTGAGGGTAGGGCAGGGAATGGCAGAACTTGAAAGGGCAGAGTAGAAAATGGCAGGGCATAGCAAGTCATGTGATAGTTGGAATGCCTCAATACAAAAAAATCAGCAAGTACCCAATGGGCAATTTTAAAACAGTCTCTCAATGAAGTATCTTTTCTTGTTTCCAGTTTCCAAATGACTCCATCTTTATTATCAAATATAACATTACTTTGAGATAAATGAAAATGTACAAAACATTAACAAAAAATATAGTAAGGCTAGAATGGAGAAAAATTAGATTTGCTTAAGGTTACGGTAAACGTTTTGAACACGAAAATTGGTTTTTCCTTCCTAAAGGCCAAACGGCTCAAGAAATCTGGATAAACTATATATCATTCGATGCACAAGATTATGGCGTATCTAGCCAGATAACAATTATTGGCAAATAATGTTAAATGTTATTTTCCATGCGAATTTACTTGTCAAAAAGTGTACCACCTTCAAAAGCTATTATGTACCCTTGCGTTTGAGGTAACAAAATCTGACTTAGACCAGCAGGAAGTGCAGGTCCTAAGCTACCAAAGTGTGTCTCAGATTTTTTAAATTCCTCCTCTTTATGAAACTATACCCTGTCAAAAATTGGCAAATAATTTTTCCACCCTCCCGCAGCTGTATTTGGGTATAAAAGACGGACCAGAGAAAATAAAAAAATTTTGAGACACACTTTGTTTGCCCAACGTCTGCCCTGGCCGTGTGCAAATTTTCGAGCCATTCGATTGGTTCCTTGGGTACATAATAGCTTTTTCGTACCTGCATGTAGAGGAATTTCGAGTCCGGAGAAAACGAGATTTTACTGATCGCACTTGCAAGATACACTCGTAAACCACAGTGTAATCCGGGTCAAGTCACTTGAAGATTTAAGATCAATAAGCCTGTTTAAATAAACACGGCCGTACATTGGATATATGGATGTGCCATGCGATATTGTAAATGAGACATGCGACCACAACCGCAAAGCAACGATAATCGGCTTAACAGGTCGAGAGATTTTCAGGCCTCAACTAAAAGTTTTGATAAAGAAATTATGGAAACCTTCGGTTACATGGGATTTTTTCCACTTTCAAAATTTCTGTTTGTTTCAAATTTGGTATCATTGTGTGCCTTGAAAGTTCGGCTACTTGAATGTGAAAAAATCGAAAAAATGATGTTTTCATCAAGAAAACGTTTACCGTAACCTTAAAACAGAAGTTTATAATTTTGGAAAAGAACCTACTAACCATAAGATCTTTTTTGTGAATCGCCCAGGTCTCTGTGTCTCCTTTTGGTTGGTCATTGTCAATATTATTTTTTGTAGTTATCACAGCTTCATTACTCTTTTTGTGTGATTCATCGTCTAGTTCTGCAACCAGTTCTAACAAAAATGATTGAAGATCAGAAACTTTGTGCTATCTTTATTTTCCTATCTAACAAAAATATCCCTTGAACTAACTCTCTTTTGTTCCAAAAATTCGGAACAAATATAGAACATAGTTTATTAGAAAATGGTGGTTAATTATCCAGAAAAAATTTTAGTACAAGCTACCAAAAGTGCATAATAGTAGATATTTACAAACTGTGCAAATTAATTAAAACACTTCTTTGGCTATTACATGAATGCAATTCAATTAGTATATTTTGGTAACACTGTAGCATAGTAAAGCCACACTTTTGCTGTTAGTTTCAGATATGTTTAGATATGTTGTACCTGAGTTGGGACCCAATTCTAGGTCAGCTGAGTAATACACCTGGCTATAGAGGAAGCTTTCAAGATCACTGTCCACTTCTCCATCACTACAAATCAAATACAAAATTCAATTATATAAATACCAGTTTTTTAGCATCTAATAAGAAACATTGCAAAAAAACTTAGGCCTTGAATAATAATATTTGAAGCATCTATCTACTTGTTTTATTTTCTTTTCAATTTTTCAACAAAGATCTCAAAAATAGTTCAAAAACTTTTTTAAGGTTGATCAAAATTTCAAATATTTCCCCCGAAATGCTGTATAAGCACTGCCTTTCTGTGTTTTCGTAAAAGCTGTGATAAAGAAGAGAGGAACTCTGCCAAATTTCTAGCCCTAACGCTGTATATTTGTCTTAGATGTAAAATATATGAGCCAGGCCAAACCAAATTGGCCTATTGGCAAAATTAAATTCCTGCACTATCTCAGTCATTTCACAATATATAGATATAACCTATTATATCATAGAGTTGAAGAAAATAAGACTACATGGTTTATCTCTACAAGCCTGTTTCGTGAGTAACTCACTCTTCAGGAGATGTTCTATAACCTATTATATGAATTTTATGGTTATGTGGTCAAAAATTCAATAAATACATAAAAGTCACACTATATGTACTTCAGTCCCTATTCAGATCAAAAATTTTACAACAGATTACACCCTTGAAGACCACTGTTGCTTGAACTCTTAACGCTAAATGTTTAAAAACCCTTTCCATCTCAAATTGCTCACAATTGTGTTTGAATGTAGAAATACAATCTCTCCAGCTGTTTTTTAATTCTTCCTGTGATTAGTTCAATCTGTTCATCAATATGATACTTGACAAGCTACCAAGAATTATATTTTTTAACTCGGAAAAACACTACTAATTCTGACAGAAATAAAGTAATCCCCATCTGTCATTAGCTTTGCTAAAAGATTAAAAACATATTACTTATTTGACAAAAGTTAACATTAATTGATTGTTACGGATAAATCAATCATTAGTCATGATTACTAAAACAGGGTGCTCTTTTCTTGATTAGTCTATCTACTGAGAGCCCTTCTCCTGCATATTCTTGTCAATATAACACAAAAAATTCCTGTTCTGCTTAGCTGATCTTTTGGTTTATTTGGCCAGTCTGCAGAGTATGGCTTCTCTTGACGAGGTCTGGCACATGCATATTAATTTGGGCTGCATGCCTCACATGCAAATCGCTGTTTACCAGTTTTCAGGCATGCAAGCAGAGCCTTTCCAGGAACATTTATCAGCCCCAACTAACTGCCCAGGATCATTTCATGGGTTTTTTTGTACCCTGATATTGATGACCACCGAGACTGAAACACTTACTTGTGCTGTTTAATACATCAAAATTTTGCATAGCTCCTCATAAGCTATTTGGGACACTACCGTTGAACTTAATTTTTCATAAGAATGCGATAAATTTCTTCAAGCCTCAATATTTTAAAAAATTTTCTTTTTAAGCCTGATTTCCATGGCATTGGCGGTTCGGGTAGAAAGTAAATCATGTGCTTGTCCTGATACGCAGGAAGGCCAGTATACTATATTTAAGAATTGGCATAAAACACTTATGTCTATAAATATATTTAATGTCAATTTTTAGCGGGCAAAGCTAGCCATACTAAATCCATCTCAATCCAAACTAGGCAGACTGGATATTTTTGGTTAGTTTCTTTTCTGTGATTTTCTTCTTGGGTATATAAGACAGTTTAAATCTAAACTGCATGCATTGGAATTTTAAATCACGAAACTGAACTGAACTGTGTTGTCTTCAGATAGATCGTTTTAATGACTGCAATCAGGCAGGAACTGAAATATAGGGCATGCCTAATTTTGTTTCTGATGCTGCAATTGTATTCCTAAGATTAAAGATTAGCTTTAGGCCAAAACTCTACAAACACGAGTCAAAGAATCTACCTATCATATGAATTCGCTTCAACATCTTGGACATCTTTAGCGCCATCCATTTATCTGCAAAATCTTTTTCCAACACAAATTGGTGCTGTCAGCATGTGAACTTGGTGGCTGGCTACATAGTGAAACGAGGCCAGATCAAAATGCTATCCTATGTTTTGTTTGTAGAGTCCAGTCTTTTTTGTCATGGCGGTCAGTGTCTTCATTGTAAAGGAAGACATGAATTAGAAAAAAACGTTTGCAGAAAATGAGTTTTCGAAAGAAAGCACGCCCAGTGATTGCAGTCTCAGCAGTTGCTAGAGCAAGGATAAGCAAATCCAGTGTAATTGAGCAACCTGACAAAGAAAAAGATGATACTAGCTTACAGGAAGACGTAGCCATTCCTGGACCATGTGATCTTAGCAGTAACCAGCCTAATGTTGATAATAACGCCGTGGAAGCTAATATACCACAAAATGTTAACGATGAAAGTATCAGTGAAAATGATACATCATCTTCGTGGTCTTCTACACCGATTGCGTCCGGAAGGAGATTTAAAAGGGCGAAACCGATGCCTAACTTTGTCAGTACAAAAAGACCCTGTCAACCATCAAAATTAACTAAAAGTGAAAACTCGCCGTCGAAAATAGATGAACTTCAATCGACCAGCTTTTTAGAAGCAATCACACATAATGAATCCCAGGGGACCCAAGGAAGCACTTGTAAAAAAAAGGATGGCAACTATTTACATAACACAGATAGCAAAATAGAATTAGAATGCAAAGGGATTGAAGATCAAGGGTTTTGCTCGAGTACGCTTGTACCAGATACTCAGTCTGAAATAAAGATCAGGAATCTAGAAGAACCATGTCCAAATTTAAGTCAGCTGGAAGTAGGAGCAACAGATTCATCTCTAGATTGTTCAAATGTGGATGAGAATCCAATGGGGTTCTTAGTAACTGAATCCAAAATAAGTTATGGATCATCATATTTTGAAAATAAAGTTACAGAGGAAAGTAAACAAGATTCTTGTACAGTGCCATTTAAAGAAGATAAAAGTTGTGAAGATAATATAAACAATAAGATATCCAAGGGCACTGAGAGTAGAAACCTTTCCCAGTTAAGCAGATTTAAAAGGCAAAAGCCAAAACCAATAATTGGAGGTCAACGGCTTAAAGTGACAAAGGATGTTGACAAGCAGAAAAAAGACACCAATTCTGAAAGTAATAAAATTACTGAGACATTTGCAACTGCAAATGACAAAAATATTCCTGATGAGAGCTTTAAAACAGTTGAAAGCTCTTGCAGGATCAAAGAAGAAGAAGGAAAAAGTGAAAACATTGTTAATGTAGAGGAAAAATTGATTCTTGTTAATGATTGTAAAATGGAAAGTGACAGTTCTGATCAACTTGTAACTTTGAAGGAAACACCTAAAAATGAATTTTTAAATGATACTGTGAAACAATTAGAAAATATGGAATCCTCGATTTTGAATGGAAATGAGAGCCCCAAAGTAGATAGTGGAGGAAGCTCAGTGAAGGGATCAAGAGTTTGCAAAAGGGTCAAATTTAAACCTAATATAACTCCAAAAGATCTAAGAGTTAAATCAAAAAGAGAAAATAACGATAAGGAAGATATTGCTAATAACAGCACCATGGAAAATTCTTCTACAGATGATAGCAAACGAGAAAACGAACAAAGACATCCGGAGCCCACTAATCCAACAGAATCGCAGTCTGTTGAAAGAACTGGTGGAAAGCATGTTAGGTTCAATCAGGACATTGTTAATGAAAATGTTTCAAAATCATTTGATGGAACTGATGAGAAATTGTTGAATGCAGTTGAAAAGGATATTATCAATACTGCTGGTGAATTAAGTCAAGAATCAAGGTACCCAGGTCCTCATTCTGATGCAGAGGATGGATCGCAGTCTGAAGGAGAGGGTATACATCATCATGGAAAAAGAAAATTTACACCCTGCCTTGGACCAAGAGTAAGGCAGCGAAGAAGACTTTCTTCTGTGAACCTTTCAGAAGATGAAAGCCATGCAGCAGCAAAAATTAGTAGCAACTTTGCAAATGCATCAGACAAGGTATAATTTTGCATATTTGCGTGTGGTGTTATAAAGTCTGTGTGAGCATTTTGCCTTGGTTGTGAAGAAGTTTATTCCATTTCATTCACATTTCATAAGCCAATCCTTTAACAGCAATGTAAAATTTTGTTTCAATATATTCAGTAATAAAATCCAGATTATTTGTACAATTATTGGATAGCTCTTTTTAGAATTACCTTATGTCGCTAAACCAATTTATCTTTTAGTCTTCCAAGATAAAAGAAAAAGATGCTAATCCAGATAGAAATGTAAGCAGTTTCTACTTTTTGTTTTTTTTGCTTTTTTACTTACTATTTAAGATTCATGATGCCTTTCTTTCTAAAAAGGTCTTCAAGCAGTGCTTGCACAACCTGGTTGCTTGTTGAGATCCAAGCCTTGCAAATCTTTTTTTAATTTGTGTATCTTTCATTCGATATTTGGAAAACATTAAGACACATTTTACAATACAGCCCTAACACTATTATTTTAATTTTTTAGAATGAAGAAGAACAAACTGATGAATCAGAAAAGAAAAAACAAAAACGTAAAAGAATTGTTATCCGAGAACCAAAGGAGAAAATGACAATGTTTGATTATATTTATTATAATCCAAAAGCGTAAGTAATGGCATATCTGTAGTTTCTGTAGTTTCAAAGTAACTAGTTTGTTTGCTGTCATGAATTAACATATTTTGATGAAATCCCCTCTCGTTTAGCAACCAACTGCCATTGATGACTGTTCACAACTGAATTTTTTATGAACCTTAACCATGTAGTAGTGGCAGCTTGCAGCAGTACTAGTGGTACCAGTCCAGTATTGTTTTATTTCGAAAGCTCAAAATATGTTTGTATTGTATGATTTTGCTTTTTTCTATGATAATTGAATAAATGGCAAAAAAGGAAAAAGCAGCGGAATACACCACATCTTAATTATGACCCTTGTTATCTTAATTCTCACTGAAAGATTGGCATTGAATAAGCCCTTTATGTATGTACACCACAGTACTAGACCTCATTCATCCAGTATTGCAGAAGTCTGTCCCGTTGCCATTTGTGACTCAACGGGGCATAAAAAATCTTTGTCTTTCGACAATCCAACAATAAAAAAGTCCTTCGCAGTACTAGATTCCTCTTTCTAGTTAAAAAATGCTGCAAGGCCATTTAACCCCTGCAGCTGGCAATATCACGTGTCGTCAAACAAACAGAGGTATTGTATGAAAACTTCTGACCCGCCATCAAAAGAAAATTTGGCCATATTAACTATAAAATCAAATATTTTCCAGGGACCATGCCCCTGTGCCACCCTTCCTCTAACTGGTTCGCTCTGCTAAAATTTATTCTGCTTCACTTGCACCATCTTATTTTCGTGCCAGCTGCCACCATCATGTAGTTAAGTCAAGTTAAGTCCAGCTATTTGTGTCAATTGTCACTGTTCAACTATATGTACATGGCAAACTTTGTGTGCATTCTTGTGCGTAACCTTTAGAAATCTGTTTTGTTTATTCGTAAAACTGCTTGAGTCAAAAGCAATGCCATTTATGTAATTGAATTACTTTGTCTTTTTGCAGATCTGAACAAGAGCAAGCTGAGAAAGAGTCCGAAAATAAACAAAAGAAGAGGTATCAGTTTGGCATTATGTATTTCTTTTCTTATTTGGCATTGTTTCAGAAAGACTTGTTTGTGTCTTTGTTTAAGAGAACTTGATTTTTCCAGCTAAAATTGTTACCTCCCTTTTGTGATTAGTTTTTTACATTCAGGAAGCTATTATATCAGTTGTATTTAATATTTTCATAATATATTTATTGACACTTACAGAAAAGAAACATAGTGATATGCATTTAATTTTTTAAGGGAGCTAAACATTGATTAAGAAGATTCTGTGTAGTGATTTCATAAAATAATTGTGGTAAAACCAGAACTTAGTTTACTAATCTTTAATTTGCTGTTCTAGGCAGTACAAAGAAACATCAAGGCATGAAGAATCTGAGATTGTTGTGGGATCAATAAATGAAGATTCAGTTACTTCCAACAATGACAGCTTAGTTATCAATGATGATGATGACGATACTACTGGACCTGCAGATGATTCAATTATAGCCCCACAAGTGAAAATTGGGGAAGATGGCCAGATTGTTATTGATGAAGAAAGGTAAGTTTAGATAATGGATGACACGGGAATTATGGCTCATTTAATGTATGATTTTCTTGATGTGATCTGTTGATAATTCTTCGATTCATTCAAAATATGAGTAATTATGAGCAAGGAGAGAACTAAGAAAGCACACCACACCTTAGATCACCCAGCTGCTAATAACACCTCTAAACTCAGGACAATTATGGTTTGCAATTTTTATTTGTACTGGGTTGGAACACAACTGTGAAAATTGACAGACATGTTCCAAGGCATCAATGTAAACATACCCAGCATTATTTGGGGGGTTGGTGTTGTAGGGACACCACCAGGCAACATTAAAGAGTTTTGGAAAGGAGATATTTTATTCTTGCTAAAGTGACCCCTTTGAAAACCACTTGTGTAGACAAAGCAGTTTACTGCTTATCATTTCTTTGATCATGCAAGCATTAATATTTGAAGCTGGTCAAGGCTTCTGTAAGTATATGTTCAAGCACAGGATTAAAAAGTCACCATTGGATAAGTAAATTTATCTCATTGGCAATAATTGGCTATCAAGCACTGGGAATATCTATTCTATGTCTCATGTTTTTATTAAGCTGCTTTAGAGGACAAAATTTATTGTGTAGAACATTTTTGGGTTTTTCTATTATTTAAGGGAATTTTATTTGCTTCTACAGTTTGTTACTGAAGACAACGAGATCAAAACTCAGTTTAGAAAACAGGTTTGAATTTAAGATTTTATGTTGAATTGAAATTTGCTCTTTTCATCTTTTCTTTCTTTGAGTTTTTCATGACATTGGAATTCTGAAGTGGCTACTTGATTACAAAAAGAGAGTAATAATTAACTGTTAATGACTGTTCAGACTCGAATATCGATAAAGATACATATATATCAGCATGAAGCACCTGTCATCAGTGTAGAACTTATTCAAATGTCAGTTTGAATAACAATGATAAGTTACACTGTAGAATATAAAAAGATACACTTTATTTTGAGGCTCTGTTGTCACTGGCATTATAAAAGTACAGTGCATCCTTGTTTATCCTAACACCGTTTTTGGTGTGATATTTTATATTAAACATATTTTCATTGGAAAGAACACTAATTTAAGCTCATCTCCAATTAAATTCGAGCCCTAAAATGAATCCAGGAAGTTATGAAAGCACCCAGATCAGTTTATCTTTTTTATCTCTGTTAGAGAATCTACCTGTGGTATCAATGAACGTGTGTGTCTGTTGTTTTCTGGGCAGCATACACGAAATGATACAAGGATTTAGTTCATATTTTAAAGTTCCATTTGCTAAGCCACTAGTATTACTGAAGACTAAAATGGTATTTTAACTCTTTCTCTTGTCTTGTTTATGATTTTTCCCGAAAAAATCTTATCCTGGATCATCCAAACTTTCGTCTTATCTAAACGGTCCTACTCACAGTTCATTCCAGGCTGTTCGGATAAACAAGGAAGCGCTGTAGGGAAGCTCAAATTAAACAGATTAAAAAGTTCTTCTCATGAGTCCATGATTATGATTTCCTCCTATTTAAAAATCGTTTTTCCTCGTAGTGAAATTGTTTACACCGATAGTTTCAACCCTTATCAACGACGCCAGGAGCCAATAAAAAAGAAAAGATGGCCAGTCGAAGGTAATTTTGAAATCTTATATGATGTAAAGTGGTAGGTGTATGTTGTGGTTACTAAATATGCATTGTTACTCTGCTTTGCTCATTTCTCCCTATTACCGTCTTTAAAAGTGGTTCATTTTTTCAATTCTTGAATTTATATTCCATTCATGCTTACTTTGAGCTGTTATCTACCATCTTGCTTTGGCAGAAACACTGAAGTTCTACCGGATCTTGAGCAGGATTGGAACAGATTTCAGTTTTATGGTTCAGTTTTTTCCTGGCTGCACTAGAAGAAATTTAAAGGTTAGAACGTTTAAATAATTTATTTTCAACCATTTTTAACAGGAACAACTTGATCGATAGTATATCACCTTTAATATATTTTGATTAATTTCACCAGAAGCAATGTTATCAGCTATAATGCAGAAGCTGTCGGTGTTTAGAATGACTGATCAAACTCAAGCTTATTACTGCTCATATCAAATATTGCAACACAATGGAATGATGAATTTGGGAGAAGCACTGCCTTTTTTGTAACATAATGGCATTATTAAAACCATCTTAAATAAACAGAAATTAATTTGATCTTGTAGCGTTTATACTATATATGTCCAATGTTGACACTTTATCTGGTCTTTTCAATCCACAGAAAAAGTTCAAGACAGAAGAAAAATATAATGGGGATTTGATTGATCGAGCACTTAGTAAGTGACATATTTTTTTTAAAAACTTTCGTCTGAAGCGATTTCTGATGAATGCGGATCCTCAGAGCTCAAAATGGCAGAAAAGAACTTCATATGCTAGAGGTTCAAGACGTTTTAATGTTTTGTATCGAAGGTGCGAAGTTGAAACATGATTCTTAATTCAGTCCTTTTGTCTAAGTTATTTAAGAGTTTACAATATAACAACGGAGAAATAAAATCAGTTTAAAATCGAAACAGGCTTTTACCTGAAAAAGGCGTTTTGATGATGGTGACTTGGGTAATTTGGATTGGAACACAAAAGTTAAAACTATTTGTGCGTTGTAATTTAGCGTTAAATTTAATCACAACCTTTGAAAGTCTTGCTCCTGATAAAACGAAAAAATTTAATTAGCCTTCTCATAATATTTAAAGTTTTTTTGAAAAGCGTATTATAGGTTTGTGACTGGAAACTTAAAACTCAGATCTTTTTCTGCGCTGATTGCGCATAAATTAAGAAATTTTGTAAATATTTTGAGAAATTTATCTCTAAGAGGTTTCTTCCAAAACTAGACGTTTTTCATAATTGAGGATAGCACAGAAAAGCGGAAACATAACACAGGTTACTAAAAGTTATTTTCGTCCGATATTCCTCAGTAGACAATATGTTGATCTTTGGTCATTATCGGACGTTTATCTTATTTTGCTGTTTTTTTCCTCAGAAAATATGTTACCCCTGGACCAGGCACTGCTAGAAGAACTATCTCCAGCAATTGCCGATAAACAACAAACACAGACTGAACTGTCCAACTCAACTGAACAAACTAATATTAGAAAACAAAATGCGAAAAGGAAAACGAGAGAAAAGCCTGCGAAAGGAAGATCCTGTTCTGTGAACTCGCTACTGCAGGAAAATGAAATTATCGATAATGAAATTATGACAATGGAAGTAGCGGAAAATGTGACGATATGATTTAAATGCGTTTATTTATATCTAGTAATATCTACTTAAACAGATAGTATTTATATCTGTTCAAAGCAACAAACACCAAGTACAAACATCTTATTCGAAGGGGGAGAATCACTACATGTTGGGGCAAAGATGATGTTCAGAATAGGAAAAACGCTCGCGTATTCAGCAGTCCCATGTTATTCTTTAATGATATAAGTGATGACATGGTTGATCCATTGATACAAGTATAGTGCTCTAAAAATTAAATTCTTTCAACTTTTAGCCTATATATCTTCACTTCCTTTGCTATGCTCATATGAGACGTGGAAATTTTGAAGTGAAAATAGCTTTGCTATTAAATTTTATAAAGATACCCTCGAGAAGTTGATACTGATGTTAAAAACTATTCTATTCGGGGTTCGATATAGGGAGTGAATTTATTGTTCTTAGTACATGTTTAAAATAGGTTCTGTTTTGCAGGAAAACTCTCATATTACGGACAGTTGTGGGAATGGGAGTGCAAATAATGAGGGTTTATGGGGTGTCGCAGCCCCAACATGGGGTCCGCTAAAATGCATTTACGGTATAACGTGCACTCCTATATATTTATGGCAAAAGTTTATCTTCTCTAAGTAGAAACGTTTCTTGAGTTTGAAACTGAAAAATGATTTTTTAAAAAACAACTTCATTTTGGATATGTTATTCCATTCTTGTAAATTTTATCTTTAATATAACTTAGCAAACATCTGAGACGTTGGTAATAGTTTTAAGCATGACAAAAAATGATGCATTCATCTAGGCATTCTATACAAATTCATCCTTTGGTATAGTGATAGTTAATTGTCAAAGTTGATTACAATTGAAAGGAAAAAACACTTTAAATTCACAAATAGTTATCGTTGATATCGTACATGTTGGGCATAATCTAAATCTTGAACAGGAAGTTTCTCAACGGTGCTGTAGAAGCATGCGCAATGAAATCTTTAATGACTGCCTACATGAAGTAGCATTGCCACAAGTAGTCAGTGACTGATGTATCCGTGAAGAAATCAAAGCAACAAAAAAGCCTCGAGAATTCACCTTTTAAAGATATCAAAATATTCCTCTCAGGACAATATAAGGTCAAACTATAATATAAACATATATTTCTGTTCGAACGAACTTTAAACTAACGAAAAGCATCTAAAGTTCTAAGAAGCTCGTTTGCATATTTTTTCAATCGAACGGCGATGATTGAGTATATCTACCTAATACTGGGCTAAATACAATTATTCGGTAATTTACTGAATGTACAATGAATACGAAACATATATTCTTAATTTTGTGCTGTTGGCCTAACTTACAGCTAAGAATCTCGATTTTATCCACGGTGAAGCTTAATATAAACAATTATAGTGTGCAAAACATCTCTTAAAATTAACTTACCTATTGAAAACGATTGTAAAGGAGCAAATCGAAGCTAGAACCAAAAACTCTTAGGCTATTCACTGAGCAGTTGCGTTCGACTAGTTGTTTTGAAAGTAAATCATTGTTATCTTGGGAACTGGTCATTGTGGAGCTGATTGTTTAAGAAATTCTATGGGGAATTCTTATAGGGGTGCTCACGTGGGTATTTTCCCAAAGGTGCCTTAGATGGCGGTATGCATTCTAAAAGCCGTAAAATAAATGATTTGGAAACTTAATAGAAGTTTGATAGAAAAGGAATTTGTGCAAAAGGTCAGGGCAGGATCATTTAAATTTTGTATAAAACTACTTAGAGGAAATACCCTGACTTCTTGACTACTGATTACAATGAAGATAATTTAACTAAAATTAGAACCCAATTTCTATGACGAAGAAAAAAGTAACAAGCAAATTTGAATAAAATATGACAGAATAAAACTTGAAATATAAAAACCCAATAAAATAATATCCCCTTCAAAAGTACTTTGGTTTTCTCGTAAATTTATGGCGAAACCAGCTAGAAAATTTAATGACAATAATTTGGACCGATCTTCGAGATCACTTATCTTCGACATATACGATTAATCATTCTATAAAAGAAAGGATTTTCGCATAACCCCGAGACTAGAGGATATACATCGTAAGAGCTCTACTACATGGTGATTATATATTTGCAATCCTCACTCGTAGAACAGGGGGCTCGTGAAGTGCTTGGGGAGAATAACCTCTTGCAGGAATACCTCTACTGCTTTGTCAGCTTTGTTTAACCTTTGCAAAACTAAGCGAGAGCTAGCCAGAGCAGGACTTAAAAGCGGAAAACTCCGTTTTCGGAGAATTTACAAAACGGGATGATCTACTGAACATGTCTCCCGTAGCAACAACCTGGAAAAACAGCCTCGATTAGGCACAACACAACTGAGAGGAAAGACAAAACAATCATCAGCCTTTTTCGGAAAATCTGGCCCAAAGATTTGGCATCTAGTATTTATATTTCCAAATCGAAAATAAATGGTCAATATGATCAATCAATGATCAAAAACGAAACAGTAATTTTTTTGGATTTTAGAACAATGAGTCCGTAAAGGTCAAATTCTAAATAAATGAAACCAACCAAATAAATACAACACTTTTTTATACCAAAATGTGCCTGTTTCCATGGCCCCTCTCAGAGCGAAAGTTCCCCTAGGAAAGCTACCCTAATGACTTGGAAAGTTAAACAAGTGGAACATTATAACGAATAAAAGAAAAAGCAATAAAAATTTAATTGTAAAGGCTGCAAATAAAGTTTTTCAATGTCACTATGACTAAAAACGCAAAAAGTGTCATTCGTTATAAAGGAAATCCGGATAGGTTTTAAGAATAATTTAAAGGTTTAACGATGTTAGCTGATATTGATGTAGTACATCTGAATTAAAACAATTTTGCAATTCTTTAATATTAGATACATCGGAGCTGTTTTTAAAAAACGGGATATACCGGATCACAATAACCGGATGACTTTTAAAGCCGAGTGAATTACAAATGGAGCGGGTTTTTTCAATTTAGTCAAATGTTTCTTCATTTCGCATACCTTTAGAATATACCCTTACAATCTTTCTAAAAAACTGACGCCTTTAAGGCTCGGCTCGTAGACTGAAAATTCTTTCCAGGCCATCAACATCAAGTGCTAAAATGTCCTAATCATGCTGGAGTATTGAACAAATTCTTGGGTGCTCACGACTTCAGCCACATGCCTTTCTTCGAATGAAAGTAGTGATAAAATTTTGGTATTCGGAGTCTTTCTACTTCGATTTTGTTTGATAATATTCTACAAAAATTAATATCAAGAATAAAAAACGGGATTTAATTAAATGACGATAAAAAGCTTTGATTGAAAATTGTGGGGTGACAATAATGCTCGAATGAACTTTCTGGGGAGGTGCAAGGGTCATCAGGACTTCTCGGGGTGAGAGTTAAGTCAAAGTTGTTAAAACATTATCTGCTCTGATAACAAGCCATAAATATAGATAAAAGAGTTACGCACTATGTATTGTATTTGACGATTAACAAGTAAAAGGTCAATAATAACACCTTTTTCCAAGAATTCTCATTGTTTCCAAGTATTGAATGACAATGAGAACAGCATATTGACTTGAGTGTTAATGAAAATTTGGTATTGGCTTAAAGATTCTATGAGCGGCCTAGTTTACGGTAACTATGTATTTAGTGTTTCGAATCAAGACGTATTTGTTTCTATTCATTATCAAACTGCCCCCCTCCCCCCCCCAAAGCCGAACAAAACTATCTGGTTGTCAACAAAGTGTCTTGGACCTATGGCTCCATTATCCAATAAGTTTTAACAGTAACGATAAAAGAGAGGAAGGAGTCGGGGGATAAGCAAAAGCAAATAAAACTGAACAGAGAGTTGAGCAGAGTTTGATGAAGAGGGAAAGAATTTTAGAAGAACAGTTAAAATTCATCGCGAGGATGGCACGAGAATCGGACATTCTGGCAATAAAGTGACCATGTCTAAACTGAGCTGAACAAATCTAATGCTTGTGATTATTTTGATTCTTGTGACTGTTGGACAAAGATTCGCAGTTATGGAAACACATTTCTAGCGAAGGGTTTTGTAGTGCGCATGAATCACTGATAATACTTGCCTATCAAGCATCTCCCAATCTTCGCCTCCCCATTTCGTTTTGAATTCTTCGGTATTCATCCCTCCAGCTCTGTCAAAATCTGACTTGCAAATCGCAAACAAGCCATAGCCTTGCAGTTCCCAAAGGCCTACATTAAATCAAGAATGAAATATGAGCACATTTAAAAAGGCAACTTCAACTCATACAGTCTCAGCTACCACGACCATGTACCATTGTGATTTAATGCACCCTATGCTTATTAATGGACGGTTTACCCCCCCCCCCCATCACTCCTTAATTTTTGCATCACCATCCACTATATACCCTGTTAAACCCACATTTTAATAGGAAATGTGAAGAGATTAGATGTACAGCAAAAAGAGAAGAGCTTGTAAATCTTTGCTAACAAAACTCTGTTTTTATGGGCAGCTGTGTGTGTTTGAGTAAACTTCAACAAGCTATCTCATTGTCCGAATCTAGATTATTCTTCGAGTAAAATCCACAGTTTATTTCGAGCAAACGAAGATTTTACGAGGGCATCGATCAATAAATTTTGACAATGATTATTCGGTATAACATGTCAAAACAACATGAAGATGCTCATATGTCAAAATAAATATCAAAATTGAAATAGATGCTCACCATATGGATTCTCTGGGAGATAGCCGCAGTCCAATCGAACGACAATTGGAGCAAATGCCATTTTGCCTTCCACACAGTGCTAGAGGGACAACAATCAATGTTTCATTTATGATTAAACTGAGAAATGTCAGAAAATGGGGGAAAGGTGCTTACTGATTTATTAAGACTGCACTAAGAAGAATATTTAGAGTATTAATGGCCTGTTTACCTGCTTACAAAACAAAGTCAGAAATAAAAACTATCATTAATAACACACCAAAATATCAAATGGAAAAAACAAAGTGGAATACTTTTGTTCACTTTGTTCTTCTTTTAAGCCAAAGTGTTATGAGTGTACTGCCTTGCAGTAGCGGTTACAAAAAGGAGATGTGCTTATGAATTAAATGTATAAGAAATCATCTAGGAGCTAAGTTCGCCAGAATGGCAACTCACCTTTCGAATGCTGTCAATCAAAGACGAAGGTATTTCGAGGTGAAGGTCGCAGGTGAAGATGATGTCATGTGGATTCTATCAAAAAAATAAGGAACTTCAAATTTGGAGAAAAAAAAGAAACTAAATTCATTAAAAGAAATGGGCGGTTTCAAAATAGCAAATCATATTGATAGTACAAATAGTAATGAAGATATCAAAAATGGTAATCGTACATTCGAAATGCTATGGAGAAAGCTAAAGGTAGTTGAAGATATGTACAGATAGTTCTTTCTTCCATAGAGATTATCGTATGGATCTTGGATGTTTGGGTGCTATGTAGCATTGGGTTCGCATAAATACTGAAACATGGTTGGCATAAATCTTTTGAAAAATGATGAAACTCAGTGGGTAGGGGTAGGTTGTCTATTTCAAGAAATGTCTGTGGAAAAAACACTTGGCATGGAAATCTGAGACGAATAAGATAAGAAGGACGTCGTCAGATGGACCACCCCTATCACCAATTTCACTCTACCAGAGCTGGTGGCAACATTTGATTTTTGAATTGATTTTAAAGGCAAATAGAAGATACAAAATCAATAAATGAAAACTAAATATTGTTGTACGACACTGATTTCACATCGGAACAATAAGCTTTGATAGGATCAAAGACAACATCGCAGAGGGTTAACAGTTAGACGGGCCACCTGGAAAGCTACAAAGCTTAAGAAAAGCAAGTCTATCCATACTCTTGATTCAGGGGCACTAAGTTGGGATGTTGAAGATTCTGGACATGTTAATCTCAAGCTTGCCTCGAGCATCCTTTGATATGAATGAAAACTAGGCGCATTACTTTGTTATCATTAATGGGATTATCGGAAAGCCATAGCAAGAAGAACGCAAAAACCTCGTTTGATTATTCATATCAAATGGACTTAGCAATCGTCCGCCTCTTGGTGTAAATGTGGTTGCGAGATAACCAAAATCCACATTGACGAAACCGCTATCGATATTTTACTCGCAAAAAGGTTTTCAGCATCAAATCTAATACTCATTGTACCATAAGTTGCTTTGTATTCTGGTCAAGTTGTTTCCTTCTCAGGTATACCTTTGCCGGAAACCGCGATGTTTCGAAGAGACAATTGATATCAAAAGGAAGCTTTCAGTTGACGTTGCTTGTCAATGTAAATAAGGTAGAAGGATTTGATCGCCTATCAACTGATTGTAGTGATTCGTAGTGATTCGTAGTGATCATAGTGATCCTAGTGTTACAAACGCTACCCTATGCCTTGCTTAGTACTAGAAAATAGTGTTATTCTCTAGACTACAGCATCAGAGCCATAATCAAGGAACAATCTATTCTGTCCAATAGACTGGCATGCAAAAGGATGATAGGGGGCATCGATATCGCGAGGCGTAGAGGTGTAAGAGAAAACAACAGTAGATAGGATTCTATGATTCAGGAGAGGTTAGTATAGGGTTTAGAGGGTGAGTCTATTATTGATGGGGGTGAGTTTATGATTGATGGGGGTGAGTTTATGATTGATGGGGGCGAATTTATGATCGAGGAGCCAATCGTTCTAGCAGCCCGAGTAGATATGAACAAAATCCAAATCACTTGAATTAAGATAAGAATGTTGCAAAATTGAAGGCATAAACATCTACACCAATACTTATAAAACAGGAAAATGATGGAAACAAGTACCTATAAAAATTGGGGAAAAAATATATATCTTTCAGATGTATCGTGAATAATTTTCAGATATCAAGAACAGCCATAGTGACAGCTACTGGTTAAAAAAAACAATGTTGAACTGCAATGACTTGAATAAAAATCTGAAAATTGGCCATTTCCTTTATTCCACAATTAAAATGTAAATTTAGAAAATGTTATCCAAACCTTGACATAATCAGCTCCTGCTTGAATACCAAGTGCGCGCTGGAATGGTCCATCGAGTTTTATGAGTTTGTATCTGCAAAGGCAAAAATTTTGCTAGGAAATACGTAAAAAATTCTTAAAACTAACCAGAGATATATGAGTCTATTGTATACGTTCAAACATGATGAATCCATCCGTTTTTTAATCTAGAAATGTAAATCTAGGGCCTCGTTGATAGTTTTACTCTTGATGAGAGCAGTCAGGATGTTGGATCAGAACAACTGCTTGCAAATCTGCAGATTGAGGGATCCATTCAAAGTGCTCCATCTCCATCGTTTCCAGCTACGCAATCAGGCTGCAAGGGGGCGCGCTCAACTTTCATTGGGCATCATTCCAGCAACCAATCTAGGTATGAGGATATGTTGACGCATACTGAAAACAAGCAATAAGTTTGACGCTGAGAAATGCTTTGAGCTTGAGTTTAAGGCGAAACTTGAACATGGACACACCTCTTGAGCTTGCTGCTCTTCAAAGACAATTCGATATCGATGTCAGTGCTATTGAAATCAACAATAATCACGCTGAGGTGCTGATCAAGTGTTTCCAAATAAATCTAGGAAGAAATTGGTAAAAACATCCGTTATTTCTGTGTTCACAAGCGAAGGAAGGTTTAAACAGAGAAAAGAAAAAACTAAGGAAGATTTATAAATTTATTTGGAATTGAATGCTGGATACGACAAAAGTCCGTTAGCTGCTTGAAATCACGAGAGAAGAAACACCATATATACACAGGTAACTGGATATTCAGATGCGAATGAAAAGAAATGACAAAAGATTACCTTCTCCATGTTGTCAATAAAATGCTGAACCCATCTTCCCTGATTCTTAACTGAAATTGGAAAAAAACAACACAGTTACAGTAATTGCTCTCTAAGCGAAAGGTGCAGACATACAGGGACAAATGGCTCCATCTGGTTCTTTTAAGAGCTAGTCTTGCTAGTGTTACGTCATTGGGTGGATTTTGTTTTTGTCCTGATTCCTTGTGTTTCACTGACATTAATCAGGTTGATTGCAATCGAAAAATGACAAGGGCAGAGCAGAGGAAATGTTTTCTGTGGTTTCGACCAAGTTTTCCTAATTTAATTCTTGCTTATTTTAGCTGCCTGGTGGTTGATTTAGTATTCTTTGTATCTGGTCCTAATTTCCCCTTGAAGTAGAAAAGCCTATATCCCTGGTACAGGCTACAACTTACGAGATACACTAACGTGAAGAAAAGCATAATAAACTAATGCCAAGACGGTTCAAAATAATTAACTGAAATAAAACGCATTGTGTTCCCCAGTCGGGCAAATCTCAGGTTATCTCAACGGAACTTAGTGCAACATAAAAACAGTTGTGTTGGTCAATTGTGCTCTCACCTGGCACAATAACATGTACAGTTGTGTGTCGATTCCACTGAAATCCCTCCGGCTGACAAAGATTTGTATTTCCAAGCTGCTGGTACACGTATCTTGACAAACGGACTGACTTCTCCTCTGAAATGGAAAATTTTTCACTTTTAATACTATCCTGAATATGAGCGAAGATCATCAAAAGGATCTGAAATTATCGAAAGGATCTGAGAAGATCCGAGATTGTTTTAACTAAATTTTCAGGCGAGCGTTGTTCCGCTCTTTTGCCTTATGGCACACACTTTTTCCTTCTTATTTTATACCCTCAATTCTTCTCCCGTTTCCTTCAAGAAAGATCATATTTAACTACTAATGGAACAATGACATAACATTGAGACTAATATTCCCTCCTTTGCTTGGTGCACAATGTCAGCTAACAGCAAAATTTTTCACGTCGCATTGTGAACATTTTCGCTTCATTTACAATCATTTTAAAGATTCCCGTGATTGATGTAAGATGCCTCAAAATAAATAGAAGATGCAACGAGTTTTAAAAAACGATAAAAAAGCCTAACCTTGTCCTTTCACCTTCAAATCCTAGGAAAAAATCAATCTTAATCAGACCAGAGAAAAATTTTGAACAACAGTGGCACATTCTAAGCCTTGCTGTCATTGTACATAAGCCATGGACTGAGAAGCAAAATGGCTTGTTAGACAAACTGATCTGCAGTAAAGATGATGCTTAACAGCAAACGACACTCTAGCAATCAGAGTGAAAGAAGAAATCGCGGTGACTACGATCATTACCCTTGCAACCATCATATCAAAAGCTCGGGTCTTGAACCAAGGATATGAAAAGGAGGCACCAGAGTATCAGAACGAGACAGCCGCATGCTAATCAAGTCTTGGAATACCTATCAATAATTAATTTTCGTTTTATTTCTCCAGTCTTCAAATTAAGATCACTATCTTCAGAAGATTGAGAATGTGCGAGACACCTGTTTTGGTAATATTTTCAAATATTTTGACTGGAAGAAATCTGTTTACATTAACATTCGGTAACATGTAAGGATTGTCATTTTTTGCATGGCTATTTTGAAAGCAAATAAAATACTGTGATGATTGCTTGTTGTTGTGTTAACAATTTAGCTAGGTAAACCTAAGATGGTAGTGATATCTGAAGAATCAAATCAGGCTTAATTTCAGGACAATCATTCCTTGCTAAGCCATTCGAAATGATACTATAGAAGACAGCAAGCTGCGTTGCGTGACCTCTCTGCTAAATGCTGGGTTTACGTATTTCAGGCCATTCTTAATGCAAGACAAGAAGTAATGCCTTCATCATCCACAGATTTTCTAGAAAATACGTGGAAATAAACAAGCTTGAAGATAAGCCAAAGTTTTCTAGGAAACGATATTGACAAATGTCGTCTTTCATGGATCACTCACGGTGGTGAGGATATTGATGGTGTTCATATATGCATTAATGCTTATAACATAAAGCCTTGAAAAAATTGCGGATACACGGAAGGCGATCCTGATGCTTCAGGTCATTGCATGAAATTACAATCAAATCATCTTAATCTACTTATTTAAAAATGATCGGACATTATTTTGTTGTGTACGTTTTTATGACACTGTAGTTGTGCATTGAAACCTCAAAGTGTTTTCAACAAACAATCTTTTATCAGCTAGAAAGTTCGCTGTATGCAATCCAGAACTGGTATTCAGCGCCTGACAACGTGGTTTACAGATATGTTACTGAACTATAGAAAACTAAAAATAAAAGCACAGGATGAGTAGGTATCTCTATGAACGCGATAAAAAGAAAGCGACAAAATATCAAAAGACAGAAATACAAACCAGCTCAATGAGATAGCGATCTCCATTTATCACATCGTGGTTTTCCTCTACATTTATTATCTTCTTTAAGACATATTTACTGAAAGACAAAGAGATGCTATTTTAAAAATGTGTCTTGGTTGGTTGGCTGGTTTGAGCAGAATTGGTGGCATGGAAGAAAATGGCCACGTGTTTAAGACTCACCTCCTTCTGATGTATTACTTTTCAAAAAAGAGAGATTGTAGATTAGGACATGTCTAAGTACATAACAGGCCACCGTTTCAACCGAAGTTCTCAGATCCTTTCCACGCGAGAAGTTATCTGAGAATATGGTTATAAAACCTGTTCCCCGTCCATATTAAAAACTAAAAGAAATGTCATCCTTCAATAGTGCCTTCAGCCTTCTTCCAACAACTGCCTTCTTCCTTCTTCCAACAACTGCCTTCTTCCAACAACTGCCTTCCAGAAACTGCCTTCTTCCAACAACAATCCTTTAATACACAGGTCCCCTTAATAAAAGGGGGGTTCTTCAACACAGCACCTCCGTTTAGAGCATTCTCAGAAAGGCATAACATGAAATGGTGATGAAAGGTAAGAGATTAAGAAAATTCGTAGACCAACCAGACCAAGAGATTAGAAATAGGATCACGAAATTTTCGAAATGCTTAAGACAATTAGCTTAATTGAACGAGTGAGTTATTAGCAATACTGAAGTGTAAGTAGTAGAGATTATTTGTTAGTTTAAAATGCTTTCCGAGAGTACAATTTCCCAGTCAAACGAAATGTTGAATTCAGGCGGAGAGAAATCGTGACAAGAGCTGCAGGTCAACGAATTCTATGATTATAATTCTATCGAATTTACATGAATTTACGTCAGATAGAACGTTTCAAAATACCAAGCGGCGATCTCCCATCGATGACAGGATGTCTAAGTGGATGGCCAAACAGATTGGAGATGATAGAAAGAAACAACTATGATTGGCGTACGTGTTTAAGAGTTCATGAATGGAAGGTAGACAATACTTACTCTCCGTGTTTTTGCTTCAGTGCTCTCATGTATTTGTCTACAATGCTTGTGGCAACCTAGCAGGATAACAGAACGATCGGTCACAGAATATATCTCCTTTGAACAAAACTTTCACTTAGAATATGTGCAACTATCAAAACAAGGGAAATCCAAGCCGCAAAAGACGAACGTTAAATATAAACAATATAATCTTTTTATTATGAATATGCGAATCAGAAACTAAAATGAAGAAGCAAAGATGTCTTTGGAAAACAACCAACAAGGAAAAACAGTCTCTCCGGAAACAATTACATTTTCTATTACCAAAAAAACAAAATTTGATGGCCTCTGAAAATATCGGCTGCAAATTAATGGATTAATGCTTTATCAAAGTCTTGTCGGCTTGTCGCCATCAAATTGTCATCATCGGCTATTTCCTTCTTGCAGGTCACAGAACCATGATATGGAACAGATCTAGATAATCTGTTTCATGTCAATTAGACTGGAAGCTAGAAAAACTTTATTTTCAAGAGTTTGTAAATCCTCATAAAAGCTTTTATTCAAGGTTCTTTAGTGAACCCATTACTGATACACAAAAGTAAGTACAGACAGAGCCTCTCACTTTATCATCTTTCACTTTATTTTCCATAGCTTGATCTTTATCGGAATTGTATGTCATTTACGATCATTATCAAAGAAGATAATATTAAAGAAGATATTGATCTATATATATCCAAGAAGAAAAAATATAAAAATCACTTTTTCATTCAGGCGTAGGTTTCCGTCACTTTTGCATGACGTGACATCCTGATGGAACTTCCAGCTGTGCAGCCTAGGCAGGTCTTTGATCATGTCATAAAAAGCATACTTGAATACCTTAAACTTATTTATGACGTCACGATTCGATGTTATGTTGAACCTTTTGTAATAGCTCTTTATCTCAAAGGGCTCTGATTCCTCGGCATTTTCTTTCCGGCTCGAAATCGCCCTTCTTAAAAACCGGGACCGTTGCGTAGGTTTTAAAGCCGGTAAAGATTTATTCTCGTTTTCAACACCTGCAATCGGCACAAAAATTGGTTTAGACCGGTGAAAATTGTTCCATGTTGCTGGCAGGCCCTCATCATCAGTTTCTGAAGCATCTATAAGGTTTTTGTTTATTTTCACACCGAGCAGCTTCCGCCCTTTTGGCATTGCCTCATAACCGTCATTGGCACGACGCTTTCTAGATTGGTCTTTGACGAATATTTGATCCGTGTTCTCTTCTGGAGACATTTCCCTCTCTGCATTCTCTGCATCCATCGATAATTTGTTTCTCGCATCCACTTCTTCACTGTTTTCGTCAGAATCATCCTCTTTCAATGGCCTCAATCGCACAAATCCATCTTTTCCAATAAGCACTTTGTCATTTTCATTAAACTCATCGTCATTATCCTCCTCCTCATAATTATCAAAATGGCTACGTTTTTCTTTTTTGTCCTGCGACAAGTTGTCTTTGTCAGAAACTTTCTTGTCACTCTTTTCTTCCAGCTTATTTTCCGGGAGGTATCTTGGGCTTGATAATCTAGCTCCTGCCTTTTCCTCGCCTAATTTCATTTTCTTACTTTTTGGGCTACTATCATACATTGTCGACGTTTCTCTAGTCCCAAAACCTCTTCCTCTATTTATTTTCTCCTTTGTTTTCTGTTTATCCGACACAATTTCACTTTTTTTCTTCATCCTTTTTCCATTTATTCGCACCTTGGCATTCCTTGCAGACTTGGATAAAACTGAATTAACTTCTCTATTTTTAGAGCTACCAAATATTCGCAAATTACTTTTCATGTATGTATTAAAATCTTTAAAACGCTTTTTCAATTTTCCTAGCAGTGAATCAAAACTACTTCCAAGTTTTAAAGTCCCATACCGGGAGGCTTTGCTTTTTGCCTTCATCTGAAACTCTGAGTCCGAGTTTTCATTCGAGTTGGACTCGGAATGTGCCCCTGAAGCAGTCGGTCGTAATGAATTCCGGTGGGAGTCTCTATTCCGGACGTCACAATCGGTAATTGAAATCATATGAGTAAGTTCGGTTTTGTCATCCGGAAAAACTGCAGTCTCGTGTATAAGGTAAACTCCTTCGTACCGGTTAACTTCGAAGTCGACTAAATAACTTGGACTATACCGGCAAATTGGCAGAATATTGGCGACATCTGAGTCATCAATAAAAGGTGTCAGGTGAAAATGGTCTCGCTGATCTTGCGCTCCAAACTGCGATAGATTTTTAAGCAGAAGCGGGCTGGCGTTCAACGTACCGTGATGATGAGTTGGGAAACTCGCTCTGGTTTCCGGTATATATTCCGCAAGTATATTAACGTCAGAACTCAGCTCAAACTCGTCAACATATGCGGACAAATATCGTCCGGTTATCTTTTTGACTTTTGGGATGGCCGGGCCTTTCCACGAAACTAGAACATGGTCAGAGAATGCATTCTGCTTATGCAATACTTCAATGTAGTACATCTGGTCACGAGAGAGTTGTATTTTCTTCGATATCTGTGAATCGGACATGGAGAAGTAAGCTACAGGTACGTTGTCCGAATCCGTTGCGTTACCAAGCCAGGCAATTTTCCGGATTTTATCAGGAGAAGAAGAGGTGCTAAGCCATAATTCAGAATTGTCATCTGATGACAAGTAGAAAGTGTAATTTCCTGGAAATAAAACAAGGAAGTAAATATAAGAAATTACACTTGTCAGACAAAATCCCTTCTAAAATCTTCAAATTTTGTTAAAAAAAGAAGAAGGCAGGAATTTCGACAGTCTATTTGTATCAACTATCATTCTCTGCAGCTTTAGAGAGGCACCAAACAATCCTTAAATCAACAGTCTATTTGAAAACCCTCAAAAAAAAAACACGAAGGCATTGAAAAAACTCGCGAGCTTGTCATGGATTTAACTCATGAGTAAATCCATGTACTAACGAAGTTTCTGTCTGGTATATATCAAAGAAGTTTTCTCTCGACAATTTCAAAACAAATTCCTCATTTACAGTGACAAAAATATACAATGCCTTTTTTCTTTAAATAAAATTATCTTGGTCTTTCTTTACTTAGTGTTTTTGAAGATCAATGCAAAAGTATAACATTAAATCAATAAACTGAAATACGTACAATGTCTTGAAGAAACTGTCAATAAAGAATTCGGCCCCTAAGATAACAATTGGATACCTATTTCAGATTCAATTGACATAGATAAACAAAAAAGTCGTTGCGTCTGATTAGGTTTTCTGTTTTACTATGATATGGTATCTCGTGTTTTTTCAATCTAATTATATATTGTTTCTTCGTATTTTGTACTAGAATCTATAAGATATAGAAAAGAAGGATTACTTTATACCTGATTTTGGAGGATGTAGAAATCCGTAGATTCGTTGACCATAGCTACGCTCCCCATGCCGGACAAACAACTCGTCTGTTGTTGTCCGCATGTCCGGATAAAGTGGAAAATGCTTGTTTCTTTTTAGGTCCTCAACAGTGCTACCACACCAAGCTTGCCAAACATGTAGATTCAGGTAGCCTGCAAACTAGGAAGATGCAAAACAGTTTACCAATAGGTAAAACTGTTTGTTTGAACAAGATAAAAGAGAAGTCCGACCGGTGCCCAAATCGGTGACTTCATAAAAAGTGAGTTTTGGTTATCATCCCAAAATAACAGTAGGACAAGGTAAGAAACATACTCCTTAAAAGGCAAATAAACAAAAAAATAGAGAAGTAATCACTCTCAACCTTAAAGAAAATGCACGAAACAGATTCTTTTAAAAATTGGATAGAAATGATCCTTTTAGATAATAAGATCCTTTTAGGTAATTTCTCTATATTTTCTATATATTTCAGATAAACGCTCTTTTCTGACGAGATGATCGTTTTACAAGGGGATGCTTTTCTGCAATTTGATATTATAATGAGGCCGATCCATCAAGGAGGACTTAAAAAATGTCGTATACTCGGGGTAACACAGTAAGAGAAATATGCAGCAACTTGTCTTGTTTAAACATGTCATCTAGAATCACAAACAATTAGAACAAAGAAAATTCAACAGTAACAATGCAACTGACCTTGTATAGATTTACCTAAACAATACATACTTTCTTATTTGGTCGTTTCCGCTTCTTTCTTTTCCGCTTCATTTGTCTAATTACAGTAGGTCGTGTTGTTTCTGTCAATGCTGGGACACTAGTGGCAGTAGTATGTGGCTCCAAATTGACATCGGTGCGAACTGGAAAGGACAAAAAAATTCAGATGAAAGCAACAACCTTGGCAAGATAGCACGGTAGTGGACTAAGGACGTCTGGATTTATTTCAATAGAGTTGAATGTTAAAGAAGAGGGTAGATGGGGCAAGTTTCGAGAGAGGGTTCTTACAATTCAATTTTCACCGTCTCCTTTCATTTAGATGCATTCGAAAATTTCAACATCATTTCATTCGGATTTTTGCATCAAAGCTGTGAATCATGGCCATAAAAACTAAATCAAATAAAATTAAACATGAAAACTAAAGGTCCAGTAGCAACTCAAAATGGAAGCCAAAACGTATACTTTTAAAAATGCTCAAAAGATTTTGGGCCAGTTCTCTCAAACTCTACATTAAGTAGTTTAAATCAAAGCTAATTGTAGACCGGTAAATTTCAAGAAAAGAGGTCAAAGGTATCTCACAAAAGAACAGGATTAGATACCTTCAATAAGAGAATTCTCATCACTGGTTGGAGGAACATCGATGTGAGTTATGTGGTTATCCATTTCCTGAAAAAAGACATACTTTAGAATAATGACGTCAAATTCAAGCTGGTAAATGGTAAAACAGACATTCGAAAAACTGTTGGTGCATCTTACTCACTATTGAAGACGGTACTGGGAAATAAAACATAAAACGGTTTTGTTACAAAACAGTAAGATCAAAAAATGCACTTACAACGAATTCCACCAATGAAAACTGATTCAACAGCTTTGATAACAAAATCGAATTTACATTATCGTTTTTATATTAACATCCGAAACAAAACTCGTATCATCATCCAGTCAAAAATTCATCATATCAGTTTACAAAATCATAACCATAATATACAGCCTTATTAAAGTTTGATGATTTACACACTTTCTGAAAAGCTTAGACAGGAAAAATGATCGTATAACAAACTATCAGCTTTGCTGTTACAAGTGCTAAAAAAGGGCCCCTTTCCTTCTCCCTATTTCTCTCCCTTTCTCTAATTGATGTAGGGCTATTGCTGTTGAGAGGGTAGAAATAGCAGCAACACAAATCTACATCTTTAGCATCACAGACAATAACAAAATAAACTGACCATACTTAGTTTCACTTCCAACAATAATACGATTCAGACTGAAGGTTTAGAATGAGAAGAGATGAAATCTTATCAATGCTATTCATTCCTATAACTGCGGTGCAAAGAACGTTTTTGGCCAATGTTTGATTTTTTACGAGGTAAAAAGGACTTGTGAAAGATATTTTTTTAATTTTCCAAAGCCTATCATGTTACGAGATAAATTAATCAAATTTTCAAGAGACGTCCTCACACAGACATCCAATCTATTTACCCTCTTTGAACAAACATTGACTGATGACAATGCAAGGTGGTTGACAACACACAAAGCCTTAACAATTTGACGTAGTTTACCTTGAGTAGCTGATTGACTGTCTCCTCTCGTGTCAGATTTTTGTCCAATACTTTTTGCACCCATCCAGTAGAAACAGGGTATTTGACGTCATCGTCGTTATTATCATCATCTGAAGCAAATATAATTCGTTTCCAATTATCAAAAATATCACCAAAGTTTTGCATACATCTTATTATTTGCTAAACTCTTATCTATTCAGCTACAAAAGTGCCAAAATAACCTTTAGTCGAGAGACTCAGTCTAGCACTTCAGTCACAAGGTCTCACTTCTCCATTATCACATATTAATTTTCCCTTTTTTAATTTTAAAAAGGTGTTAAGTAAAGCAAACAATTTTTTACTGTAATTTTTTACTGATACAAGGACATTAAATAGCAATGCATGTTGCCTCAAAAAATTTCCTTAATCTGAGAAGAGCTATTACACACCCTACTATTCTGGCAACCAACAACAAGGCTGACCTAATTTAACATACTTGCATCACTTATTGAAAGACACTTAATTGCAAGATCAAAGCTAAAGACTGCTATTTAAAACCGGGTCAAGTGGAAGAGTATAATAAGAAGAGTCCGGGATAACACACGACCTGTTAGGTAGGTAGGTAGGTAGGTAGGTAGGTAGGTAGGTAGGTAGGTAGGAAGGTAGGTAGGTAGGTAGGTAGGTAGGTAGGTAGGTAGGTAGGTAGGTAGGTAGGTAGGTAGGTAGGTAGGTAGGTAGTTAGGTAGGTAGGTAGGTATCTGAATAAGACAAGAAAAGAAAAGAAAAGAAAAGGAAAGAAAAGCTTTTCAACCCCCTCCCTTCCTTTTTTTATCATAACCAATCTTTATAATTCCATTTTTCACTTCGATTGGACAAACACAATTGATTGTTGTTTTGATGGGAACGTATTTTGATGTTTGATGTTTTGATGATATACAGTATTTTGATGGGAACGACCCAAGCCATGTCCAAACCCTAAACTCTAAAATAGACCTTTATGACGTCAATTAGCCCATTGAAAGCTGTATTAGAAAAAATCGCACGTTTTTTGACCATTTTAAGAGTCATTCCTGACTAATATGATGAGAAGCAATTTCCTAAGCTACCACCGAAAGAAGCAAAGGTTTTGATTCATCTAATTACGAATATCTCGTTTTTATCACTCATCCTTCGTCTTATTCATTTTTCAACGAGAAAAAAGCAATTTCCTACCCTAATTGAACAAACAGATCCATGATACTAAAATGAAAACCAAAATAAAGGACAATACTAAACAAACTTAATGTTAACGCAGAGAGGCAAAGAGTAATGAGACTATTCATTAACGCAAAGAGTCACGAGACTTAAAATTCATATATCAATTATTCACAAAATTCTGGCAATTCATCTGGTAGTTGAATTGCAGACGGGTTAATATGCTCCGGTTTATCAAATGCATTGGATGTAAACTAAAAAACAGACGGCGTTTTCTCAATGAACGCATTTGCGATCGAGATATCTTTTGTGTCATTTTTAACTTATTGTTGGCTTTAAACGCAAGGCTTTTAACTTTGCAGTGAATTCGAAGTACAAAACAAAGTAAGACCAAAAAGTAAGAAACAATAGTAGGATAGGACTGTAGATTCCACGGGTGGCTGATACATGGATGTGTCAAAGAAAAAAACATGTCTAGAGGAAAATTAGTTAGCGTCAAAATTTTGTTAGTCCATTAAGTAACTCACTGTAATCAACCTTACTAGACATAAGAACAGATAATCTTGAAAACAAGTTTCCGAGCCATTGTTTACTCGCGTTTAGTTAATGACAGGTAAAATGGTTTCTTCCCAAGCCTACTTCAAAATTGTAAAATATGCATTTCAAGGTACCAGCTGCCTTCTAAAACAAGCATTCTAGATACACGTCAGGCTAGAGATATGTATACGATATTTGTGGAAAAAGTGAAAATAACGATATCAACACCGCCACCACTGAACATTACACGTCGCTCTTCTACACATTTCAACATGAAGAACCTTGAATTCTGTGATGACGAGTTGTCTAAAAGTGATGACTATTCAATCTTTTTTATCTGTTCCTATTCACCGTTTTTCAAACAATAACTACGAATCTTCAGGTGTTCATTAATGATAAGCCAACATTGAGGGTTGGCATGATAGAAAACACTCTAATTAGTTTACGATTGTTATTCGCTCAGACTGTCATAACTAATTGAACCTGTTAACTTCTTCTTATAGGGGTCTGGGTCCTAGCACTGTTTTTCAACGTCATAATATAAATCTGAAATACTTTAAGTCCGGATACAGGGGAGCTACGTCTGATTGATAAAAGTAGGCTATGACTTGAATCGTAATTAGTTTTCTACGTCCACAGCAAATCGTGGAAAGCTTTCATTCCTACAGCAGACAATTTTCTCAAACTTTAAAAAGTTTCCTTAGTAAACAAAGAATTCAGTGGGGTTTGTTAATGGCACTTAAATATACTATATTTTAACAGACTTTCCTCGGCCTGGTGACTGTGAATCATCCCATTATTTCACAGCAACAAGCATTACCAAATGCAATCGTTGCACGCATCACAAGATCAACACCTGTCAAAAAGATTTTAGAAAAAGACCTTCCAATCCAAACATCCAATGGCCATGGCGAAAAACAGAAGCAAATTGGCGCTAGAATAGGATTCAAAGTCTTACTCAATTAAATTCACTGAAAGTAGAGAACGTAGTTGATATGTATTAGGTTTAAGTGGTATTTCGATGGCAATGCAAAGAGCTCAGTGGCTTTGCATTTGTCGTAGAGGGGTTGTTTAACCGGGGTTGTCCGAGTGAATACAGTTCAGCTGGATGTCAAAGGCGCTTGTAAATCTAAAAGACTGTAAAAGTGCGGACAAAAGAAACTGCAAATATACGTTAAGCTATAAAACCCAGTGTTTGTTGTGCCAGTAATCCCTGAGATAGTCGGTTAAGAAGGCATTTATAGTCAAGGGTATAACAAATGCCGACATGTAGGTAGTAGAGCGCGGAATGTTTAGACGCATATGCGAAAATTGACTTTCCAAAGCAAACAACATCAACGAGAAATGGTGTGGGATGGGGAAGTCTCAATCCTTCCTTGTTCTGAAAGGGCAGCGCATTGCAGGACATTGCATGGCATAGCAGGGCAGGGCATTGCAGGGTAGGGCATTGCAGGGTAGGGCATTGCAGGGTATGGCAGGGCATTGCAGGGTAGGGCATTGCAGGGTAGGGCATTGCAGGGCAGGGCAGGGCATTGCAGGGCAGGGCATTGCAGGGTAGGGCATTGCAGGGTAGGGCATTGCAGGGTATGGCAGGGCATTGCAGGGTAGGGCATTGCAGGGTAGGGCATTGCAGGGTGGGCATTGCAGGGTAGGGCATTGCAGGGTAGGGCATTGCAGGGCAGGGCAGGGCATTGCAGGGCAGGGCATTGCAGGGTAGGGCATTGCAGGGTAGGGCATTGCAGGGTATGGCAGGGCATTGCAGGGTAGGGCATTGCAGGGTAGGGCATTGCAGGGTGGGCATTGCAGGGTAGGGCATTGCAGGGTAGGGCATTGCAGGGCAGGGCAGGGCATTGCAGGGCAGGGCATTGCAGGGTAGGGCATTGCAGGGTAGGGCATTGCAGGGTATGGCAGGGCATTGCAGGGTAGGGCATTGCAGGGTAGGGCATTGCAGGGTGGGCATTGCAGGGTAGGGCATTGCAGGGCAGGGCATTGCAGGGCAGGGCATTGCAGGGTATGGCAGGGCATTGTATGGTAGGGCATTGCAGGGTATGGCATTGCAGGGCAGAGCAGGAGTGTTTTGGAATATTATGTTCATCTCCTTGACCCCTCGAGTGAGCATGGCAGAGGGACTAAACAGCTGTCATGAAAATCAGCAAAAGAGCAGCATATGCTTACAATTTGTAAGTTAGTTACAAAAAAGGGATGAATAATGTATTTTACAAGTTTGAACCTTAGGCAAGGTCAATGTCCCTACATTGTAAGAAGAAAACAAAGCTTCTAGGAAAGTTGTCCAGAACACGAGTCTTAGGAACGGGTCAATATGTAATTAACTGTACACTGGACTCTTTAAATAGTTGTAGACATTTATCAGCGATATTGCCTTACACAACTGCAGGTTGACAAAGGATTCTCAGAGGTTTTTAAGAACGAATTTCGTAATAGTTTCAGCTGGCTTGACCACCTTTCTGTGGTTTAGACCGCAGATTCTGTGTCTAAAGTAGCCCAGAAAAAAGAACTGTGGTGTTCTACGATAACCGAATAAAAAAGATACTTAGCAGCCTAGTCACTTGACATTTGATACCGCAATAACATTTTCGTCCACAGTGCATTGTTTTGCCAGAGAAAAATAGAGCCTCGATCCAAATTGCCAGGCAGGCCTAAATTTCTAGTTATTTTCATTTCATTTTAATATACCTTTGGGCTATACAATCCTGGACAGACAGTGGTGAGGTTCTGCAAACCTCCCCCAGTTCAGTGTTGATACCGCTTCTACTAAAACAATGAATGGGGGAAGGGGTAGATGTTGGACGATACATGCATGCTACCGGGCACGTGTTCAACGGTTTGTCTCAACAGCTCTGTCCAAGATTGTTGGTTTTTTACGCAAGTTTTTAAAACAGGAGTATTTGGGTAAGGGGTGGAAATCAATTGAAGATTTCATGGGCGGGGTGCTAGATCTAGTGAGAAATGCCACAAATGGACTGGGAACTGTTCGAATCTAAATAAGGGAACTAGAATTGAGACATGCAATTTTCTGCTGAAACTGATCGTTCTTTTATATTTTTGAAAATGTTTCTTTCTAGAGAGTCCTGAAAAACTGGGATTTTATCGAAAAAGTAAACAAAGACAAAGACGTGGCTTATTCACGCCTTGAGAGTAGAGAGTTCTTGTACAAAGGGCTCGCGAAAAAGTACGTTTCTGCGCGCTTGCACTATCCAATTTGAACAGCTGTGTCACTCAAATTATACAAGTGACACCGGATCAAAAATAAGGACAGGAGGAATGAGCTCCTAGAAGGGGCAGAGAAAAGACCGAAGCCTTTGCCCCATCCGATTCCACATCCGGCTATTAAGATACATTAATACATTTATTGACGGGGCTGCCTGCAGCTGCAAGAAAAAAATGATCCAAATGGGCCTAAAAAGAATGGCCGTAAAAAGATTGGATTTTACAGGAGACAACGCTATTTCTATTTTTTTCAGGCCACAAAATTCTCCTCGGTCCTAGGTCCATTTGGTAGTTCTAAACAGCCAATTTCTCTAGAAAGGATGGAGATAAGAAGACATATCATGAACAATGTTGCGGCCTAGAAATTTTAACCTCAACTATTAAAAATTAATATATCGGAGAAACTCGCAAAAGAGCCGGCACATTAAATTCAACAAGTAATTATAGGTCAATTCTTGAATGCAACAGAATATTTTAATACTTCAAAGACTCAGGTACCGAAATCCAGTAAGATTTGTAGTGGGTGAATTCAGCAGCTGTAATTTGTTAATTTCCCCTCACGAGTGGCAGCTGACTTATTAATCTGATAGCGAAACGATCATCATGATAGTATAAGACAGCACCCTTATCATAACTTAAGCCAGGAATATAATTTACCAAATAATGCCACTATTTGTCTTTAAAGATACGGCAATATATCTTCAACTCTTCAACATATAAGGCATTCAGTATATTCCTTAACTACAAAATCATAAAAATAAAAAACTTGAGGTGAAAGTGATGAAAGAAAAACCTAGCTTTGTAATTCTTTCACCTAAATAAGCTTACAGTAAGAAAGTAAAAATGGACAGATGTTTCTGCCACCTGTTCAGAGAGCAAATATCAGTTTGGTTTTTCATGTCTTGTTAACTCAGCCAGTTTGCTTTTGAAAATTTTTGAAATTTCATATTGTTATTGGGTAAAGATGAATCACAATTTCAAAGTATCAAATTTCATAATAACTGTTAAAAAAGATCCTTTCTAATTACCATAGGTTTTCATGATTGAGTTCAAGGGCTGTAAGACATGAATGATGTGATTTATAGCTGATTGACAATGGATCCAAATTGTCTCCTTTTTTAAAGCTAAGTTCTGTCTTAATTTTTTCATGCCTGTAATTGCTTGTGGATAGAAAATTTGAAGGAGGTAAAATAAGCATATTAAATGTTTGAAAAGACTCTAAGATTAGATTCTTAGCTGAGGTTAAATGATTTAACATGAACCTCTGTGAGCTCCTTCTTAAGATGTATGTGGTAGATGTCACTACCATATTCATTCAGATTTTCAAAATAAAGACCAGAAAATGCCAAACGCTTTTTCATACACCTCCCGATACATTTATGTGCTTATTGCTTTAATCTAAAAACAATGCATTTCAAATACAAAACTGAAGTGAAATGTAAGTCACAAATTTTGTTTCATACCTAACTGGCAATTCAAAATGGGAATAATATGGGATGAAGAACTTTAATAATTTTACAATGGTGTTGGCAGGATCCTAGGTGGGGCTTAAGGGGGAGCTGTCTTTTGGGGTGTTGTTGGATGTTGTGGTTGAGCATAGATGTCTACTTCAATGAAAATACCACCTCTAGGAAGAGAAGCTTATCAGGTTTACCATTTTATAATAATAAAAGATTATTTCATTAGATCTTTTTTGCTATCTTGTAGCTGATAGGGCATTGTTTCCAGATTATTGATGATATGTTTGTTGTAAACTTTCCCCATAAAGATTAAGCATGCATATCATTGCAGAAGTTGTTATTTAAATTATAATTATAATAAAAACCAAAAACATAAACCTTTTTTCTTTTCTTACAGTTCCTCTCCTTGTTCATTTGATGACACTTTGATAACAAAAAGTGACATTTGAATCACAAAAAGTGACATTTGAATCACAAAAAGCGACATTTGAATCACAAAAAGTGACATTTGAATCACAAAAAGTGACATTTGAATCACAAAATATAGCATTATCAAACTTCACTGAAAATAATAAAAACAAAAATGGCCCTAAAATCTTAATTTTGATAACCAGTTGACTTAATTGATTTTTTCAATTTCTTGGCTGATAGCCCCACAACCACTAAGAACTTCTGTCACTGCTAATAACTGTTAAAATTTATAAATATATTTAACTGTTTTAAAAATATGATCGCTTATTTTGCCAAAAAGTTGCTTATCAGCAAAATTCAAGGGAATTTTTAGAATAAACAGCTCCCCTAGTGTTACAGAAATGCTTTGCTCATTCAATGATAATTGATCTCCAATTATGATCATTAAATGACTGAAATGTGTCTTACACACTGAATGCACCTTTCAATGGAAAACAGTGGTTTTTTCTTTCTAAACCCTGGAGAAAAATATTTTGTGATAACAAAACCAAGCTAGACAGATCACCTTCAGGTAGCTATTCTGAAATATGACCCCTTTGACTCCCTTTCTATAAACAGTGGTTAATTCAGTTTTAATTCAGAGCTGAACATATAATCTTTGAGGTAGTAAACTTCATATACGATATTGCACTCAGGGTCTTCTACCATTAAGAGTATTTTTCACAATGATGGTGTCAACATGGGTTTTCCTCTGGGATAATAACAATTTTGGTTCCTACAGTCAACATGCGTACACAGGTAGACCTCAATATCTCCGTAAGTGAATATTCTGTACGTATAAAGATATAACCTGGAAAAAACAATACTTTCACTTGCTTACTTTTTCTAACAATAAAAATCCCGAAGATCTCCTGGGTGAATTTCAAATTGATAGTTTTTCCTTGTTGGCAACTTGTATAGTAAGTAGCGCCGTTGAATCCCGGATAAAGACTATAAAATCTGTACTTAGAAAGATTGGCGGCTTTAATGAAAATTATGTTTAAAACCCAACTGCTTTAAATATGACATAAAATAATATGAGTGTAACAGATGTTCTGTTATTTATAACTCGCGCTGCAAATTAGTTTCGAGTAAATTCGTATTGTTTTATGAGAAATGTAGTGAGAAATCTGAATACATAACAATTGTTTGGAAAAAATCCGCTTTCAAAAACTGTTTATAACCTTATCGAGAACGGGATAACCTTGTGTTTTTAGAACGCTCAGTTTCAGTTTAGTTGATACATCAAAATCAAAATTTAGGATTAAAGCTTTCATAATAAAATTGACGCTCACCAAAACTTGCTGTTGAAAACTGTTCCCCGGAGCCAAGGACGCCACTAGTAAGTCGCTTCACCTTAGAAAATGTTGCATGCTTCGCTTGCCCGATCAGTCCAATGGTCTTTATCTTAAAACTCCATTTTGAAATCAGTAGGAACCCGCAAAGTATGAAAAAAACGGCTGATACAAAAAACCTTTTGAAAAACCGGTAATGCATATCTCCCTGCGTGCAGATGCTTGGTGAAATGTCTTCATCACCCGAAACTGCTTTCTAGGCCATGCATCTTCTTTATCCAAGACTTTAGGTCTGATCAAAAAAGAAAATGAGTAAGTTTAGGACTATCCTCGCCATGTTTGATTGATTCCTCCGCTTAATATGCGGCTAAGACCTTTTGTAGGCGTGTAAACCATTTCTGCGTGTCGATTTTCAACTTTCTCATTTTCTTGAGGTCAAACACAGGCGCCAAAGATCAAAAGAAACTTACGCTCCTCCACAGCACTTGTTAATGTCTCTGCTTGTTGATGTTTGAAGATCAAAAACATTACAGGTGATTTTTTTTGGGAGGGGAGCGGGGACTTAGAAGCGCGGGATGAGCTAGGGGTACATGCCCCCAACTTAAGAAGAATTCCCTTTTTTGGACTTTCAAAAATGACTCCCTTTGTGAGACATTACTTCCTCCTACCAATATCACGTTTAAAATTTTTGAAAGCTTATAAATTGAACATTTTGCATTGATCTTTGATCCCTCATAATAGATGGCACAACATAAATGTCTTTTGCTAACGTTTTCTTAATAGGTATTTTTAAAATCTGAATGCGTTTAGGGAAGCGATGAACGGCTTATGTCCTGCAATTCACTTATGCTTAGGTCAACGACGGCCGTGCTGTTTCCTTACCTACAAAGAGCACGGAGGCAGAGAGACTACCAATGCAAGCTAGAGTTTCTCTTGGTACAGAGACAATGAGGGGTATGAATGAGGAGAATACTTATGTTGTAAATAATTACAAAATTACAATGGACATTACAGTAGCACGTCTATCACAGGACATCTTTCATACAGGGCAGAAGGCCGTCGAATGTACGGTACTGTAAAGTAAATTGTAAATTGTATACCTAGTTGCTTTCCAAAAACAATGAATGTTCTTGAATAGGTCATGTTCTTCATTACTATTGCAAGGATTAGGGGCGTCGCCAAAAGGGGGTGCTGTACCCCTAATCTGTCTGTCTTATGCAATCCTTGAAATTGTTTTATGTTACGGTTACTTGTTACTGCTTTATGTTACTTGAAATTGAGTTGTTCGAATGCTGAATGTTTAAAATTAAACGCATTAAAGCTTTAAATAAATCTATCCGCATGGTAGATTTGAAGTGTTTTTGGAAGCATACCAAATCAGGAGCACGAATAGAAATTTGGAAGGGCAGGGCCGATGCTACAAGAGAGGGTCATTCAGAATATCTTTGGAACAGTAGATTCCTTCTTCCTCCAAGCTACTCCTCCCCCCTCCCTTTCACTCATTACTTCTCCTGTACCCAAACTCTAAATGTCACATCGCTTTATACTAAGATATGGTTCATGGATGGGCAGAAGGAATATGCTTTCTTGTTCTGGGTTTTGGGTTGAAATTTGGCCTGGGTTATCAAAAAATCTCTAATACAATGGTCCAATTGCTACAATTTTTACAACTACGGTTGGGTTGTCCAATTGCTGCAGAGAGTTTGAGGTTTTTACACGTGTTTGGTTCTTTGTCTTTTGAAATGAGGCTTACTTAATATTGTGTAAGAAGAAAGAACCGCAGGATAGGCTTTCCGCCGGATTCTGTGAATCTTACATTGGATTCTCGTCGTCGTTTTGCTTTGTTCCTGAATATCTTTCTAATTATATTGCCGTATGGAACAATGTTTGGTTTTCGAGATGGTGTATGGACGAAAAATGTCTTTCGATTGAAAAAGTTTTGAATGTAAGAGTTTTTCTCTGAACTTTTGCAGCGAAATAAAAAGAAATTTTGACCATCTAAAGGAAGAAGGATCCGGGCCCCTAAATTCTAACCACAGTTGCGTGCCTGCAAATGATTCCGTATTTAACTTATGACGTGATAGTTGCATCAAGAAATTGTATACAATTGTACTGTATAGAGCAAGAAAAGAATGCTTGAAAATTTTACCTACTAGCCTTTGAAGCTGCCAATTAACAGGAAGTGTTTCAGCTACGAGACTGTCAAATATGTCAAGGCCAAGAATACATCATAATTCATAGTTGCGGGCCTACCGTTTTTGCAACATGTAGAAATTCATTGGAATACCGTAATAACGAACTTTTTAGTTAAGTAACCAAGGTGTACTTCGTTCTATCTGAAGTTCGCTATATAGGGGGTTCATTATATCAAGTTCCCAGTGTTTTTTTTTTTTGCAAACTAGCAAATATATTACGTTTTGTTTTAACATTCAACTACTTTATGATACAAAAATATGGCTGAGATCATTGAAAATCTCTATAACTAAATATCATATTTAAAGATTCGCCTTAAATATCATATTTAAAGATTCGCCCTAAATATCATATTTAAAGATTCGCCCTAAATATCATACTTAAAGATTTGCCCTAAATATCATATTTAAAGATTCGCCCTAAATATCATATTTAAAAATTTGCCCTAAATATCATACTTAAAGATTCGCCCTAAATATCATACTTAAAGATTTGCCTTAAATATCATATTTAAAGATTCGCCCTAAATATCATATTTAAAGATTCGCCCTAAATATCATATTTAAAGATTTGCCCTAAATATCATATTTGAAGATTCGCCCCAAATATCATACTTAAAGATTCGCCCTAAATATCATATTTGAAGATTCGCCCTAAATATCATATTTAAAGTCATGCCGTCGAGAGCCAGCTCAGGCCCAAGAGTGATTCAAAAAACTAGGCCCCCTTAGAAAACTTTCTATGATCTTGTACTTCAGTTTCTAGGAGAATCGAGGAAATGCTCTTCTTAGGTACAAAAAGCTTTTTAAGGATTCTTAAAAAAACATTGCTACCATGAATCAAGGATATGTGCACATCGTTTTTCTCTGTGATGAACTTACAGACATTGATTATATATAAGTAGCTGAAAGAAAAAGTTTTCTGCGTTGTTTGAAAGAATGAGGTCTTGTAACAACAGTAACATGATAAATATTACGGACCTAATCGGAGCAAGGGCCCTGGACCTTTTGACCCTTCTAAGCCCCTCACCGCGCTCCTGCTTAGTGCATAATAAAAGACAGATTGAAGATGAGGATTGAATAAACACGAAAGGTTTCAAAACGAAGATATTTACCGAAAAAGACATCGTTGGCAAAGAAGCTCAACAGCATTTTACAGAAAGTCTTACAAAAACTGAATCCGTTTTATTGATAAGACCAAAACCATACCGAACCACGTTTTGCATGCTAGCGGGTTGTAAAGCCAAAAGAAAAATATACCACCAGCAATAAGCATTTATCATCTTGTAGAATTAATTTCTTGGCATGAATATCGAGATTCGCGGCAACCAACTTTATATTCAGTAGCTATTTCTTCTTTACAATTGAAATTTATCTGATATGTATCATTAAATAGAGACATTGTTGTTTCTTCATTGAAAACAACATTGTTGTTTGGCATTAAATGGACATATTTCGACTCTTGTTCAACACAGTCAAGAAGTTGCGAGAGATAGGTCAATAACGAACTTCGTCACACCCCTCACTTATTCATCTCTAAATTTTCCTTTAAGGTTTTGGACATGTGCAGAAAAGAACAAGAGTTCTTGAGTTCGGGAACTATACTGTCCGAGGCGGCACTGGCTGCCGCCAAAGGAAAAAAACTTTCGAATTTTGATGCTTCTAGTTTGCAGGAAAATGCACTTCTTGAAGCAATTTTCAATAACGCAAGCTTTCTCAATATCCACAGACTGAAAGCTATTTGACTTTCTGGTGTCGTTGTTAAATGTTCTAGTTTTTGCAATATGATTTTCTTTAGATTGCGACCAAATCGCTGCTTTGTCTTCCTATCATTTCTTGTCATTTCAGTGAATCAAAACTTCTTGCACCCTCCCAATAATTTTATGATATGATGCCTAATCCAAACTTCTACCGCCAAGGCAAAAATTATCGGCGGGTTCCTCAAAAACACCCCGCAACTCCTACCTTGGTGTGCCCCTTGTACCTTTGAGTTGAAAACCAATTTTGGCACACCTGATATTTTATTGGCAGGGGGGCAATTGCCCCCTTGTCCCCCCTTCCAGCACCCCACTGTTTCTGATAAGGTTAAACATCAAAGGGAGATAGAACCCAAACAACTTTACCATTAAACTTCATAGTGACCTCATCCCTTTGGGATGTTCCTATGGCTTGATACAATTTGATGAATGAATGGCCTAAACTCATATGATCGAATTACATTATAGTCAAAAGACATTATTCTTGGCAAATCAGGAAATACTTACTCAAATACAAAAGTGATAATAGTAGAGGTTTTAACCTAAGATAGCTTGTTCTTTGCAAATGCTCTTGGAAGAGTTTAGGTACATCAATCAATTATATAAATATAAATAAAATTAGTGAGAGAAGTCATGTGGCTTTCTAAACAGGTAAGGGTTCAAGCAGAACTTTACTCCCTTTTATTGTGAAGAAAAAAGAGAAAGATTGACAAAATATCATTATTCATAAGAACATGAAAATGTGGATTGGATTCCCTTAAGACCCAAATAAAGTAAGGAACCTAAGCTCATGTTTGTAAATCAGTTGAATCAATTCGAGACCTTGGAATTATAGCTGACAACAAATTCAAATTTGACAAACACATTGCAGAAATCGCAAAAAAAGCTAGCGGTGTTTTAGCGTCCATTAAAAGAACCATGAAATTCGTCAACAAAGAGACCTTCAATGCTCTTTACAAAAGCCTAGTTAGGCTAATCCTTGAATACTGTGCGCCAGTTTGGAATCCATGTACAAAAAACAAATTAAGACATTAGAATCGGTGCAAAGACGAGCAAAGAAGTTGGTGAAGGAACTAAAAAACAAATCGTACATGGAACGCTTACTTTTCCTCGATCTCCCAACATTAAGCTATAGAAGAAGATGTGGAGATATGATTACAATTTCCAAAATACTACACGGCATGGTTGATACTGATAGTAAAGTATTTTTTGAACCAAGTACTTCAGTTACGAGAGGACACAATCTCAAGCTTTTCAAGTTTGCTTCATCATCAAGCCTGAGGAAGAACTATTTCTCAAACAGAGTAATAAACAAATGGAACAATTTGCCACTCAGTCAATGCAAAGTCAGTTATAGAGTTCGAGAAATTATATGAAGATTTTTGTGGGAACGAGAAGTACAACTATGAATACACTAAAAAACGAACGCTAAAGGGTTTAATACCAAAGGGCCTACACCAAAGGGGGGCTGGGGGGTTCAGCCTTTCATTGCAAAATATAGAGCTTTTTTAAAAACCTTTTCATTATGGGTGTTAAATTCTCCTTCCCCCCCCCCCTCGAACTTTCCAACCAGTGTCAGAGCCCATGATAATACATAACATTAACAAGAGGAGATTCTTCAAAGCAAACCAAAAGATCCTTCACCATCTATCCACTATTTTTTGATGTTTACACATAAAACACATTTAACATATAGATATATATATAAGCTAGTTAAGTCATTGAAAATTGGGACTTTCCATTGGTTATACCTACATTTCTCACTTTACCATCCTCATTTACTGTTGATTGTTCATTAGAAATTGATTCACGATTTTCATGTTTATTACTACTTTTAAGCAAGCCTCCTGTTTCCTTGTTATCAATTTCCTGGAAACTAGCAGCATCTTCTTGAAACTGAGACTGATAACCTAATACTTCCAGCTTTTTAACTGCAAGTTCTCTTTCCCCAATAACACGCTTAATCATTGCCATTGACTTTTGTACTTTCTTAATTCTTTCTGGGTTCGGCATAGGAACTTGCAATCTCTTTGCCTCTGCCTTTACTGTCTGGAGCATGTTCATTTCTTTGAGCAAGACATACCAAAGTTTGTGCAGATCATTGCTACTTTTTTGCCTTAGATCAGAAGCATGCCATCTTCTTCCTACATAAATGTACAGAAAAGGCTAAATTTTGAAAACTGCATTAATTGTGGCCTGACCATCAAATAAAATGAAATCAAAACATGAAAAGTCCAATAATATGATTCATTTTTAGCAAATGGGGAGAAGAAATGGGCAGTGCTAACGTAGCAAAAATAATTTTCAAGGCTGGCTCCTCACCACCAAAATAATTGACAGTAACAGATAAGGGACCTTCGCTTTGGCATTATTTCAGTTTTCATCAGAATGCCCGCACTGGAATTTAGCTATTTTCGGCTTAAATGCTGCCCTGCCCTTTTGAGAGGCCCTGAAACCCAAATGTTTTATTAAAGCCAAACTTTAATCCTCTGATAAGGGAGGGATGTTCGGCGCTAATGCAGTAACGTACCTCTCAGGATCTATAGGTCCTATATAGGTTAACTATATACCAAACGATAGCATTCAATGTTTCCATTAATATGAGACCATCTATAGGTTCATAGGTTGATGTTTCGCAAAGTTATAACAAAATTACGTTTCACTCGTACCATCGATCAACTGTCGGCCATCATTGTTTACCCCCAAATCACTGTAAACGAGTCGAACATAGAGACAGTAGCAAAACACATTCCCGTTTGACACAAAATAAACCAAGAGTAAAACCAAGAACCAGCATCAGCACATCACTGAAAATAAATCTAAAATCCTGGCATAAATAACAGGGAGGCAAAAGAAAGACCCAATAATAAAGAATTAACCAAAAACTCAACGCAAACCAGTACAAACACTCTACGACATGCAAACCATCTCCTTACCAGTTTTGATTTCTTTAGGCCCAGGCCCACCTGACTCATACACACCAGGAGGAAAAAATTCATCCAGTCCTCTTCTTCCAGCCGTACACGAGAAGCCTTTTAAATTATTCTGTGGGCATCGGATTGCCGTAATGCTTGGAAAACGTACTTTTGTTATGGTCCTGAGAAGACCAGCGCTCCAACGAATGGCGGCCATTTTAAGTATGATCAGCCTCGACTTCCATCTGAGGATGAGATGGAAATTTTTTGAAAAAGTTGCCGTGTTCCTTTCATTTTTTTGATTCTTTTAATTTTTTATCATATTTTATAAAAGTAGCATAAAATGATCCGATTATGTGAGTGGTCTTTAGAGCTTAAGCTGAACACACAGCTTAGACCACAGATCACAAAGCTTCGTGATAATGTCACAATAAGCAGCGCTTCATCTACAGACACAAGATTCCCTACTCTTCCGTGATTGATTGTATAGGGGGGTCAAGTTGCCTATTTATAAAGACCCCCAGATTAAGAAGATAAGTTAGTAAGTATTTAATTTCCATACCCCCTCCCATTTTAATGCAAGTTTTTGAGAGTTCCCGCCGGGTTATTTTATTTTGACCCCCCATTTGCAAATTGAGTGGATAAATACCTCCCCCTCCATTTACAAATGGAAAAATACCCACTGCCTGTTTATTCCACCCCCTACAATTACCCAAAAGTGCAGTTCGCGCTAGAACACTTTTGCTTCTTTGTGATAGAACTGCCCGACTGCAGCACGAAATGTGAAAAAAATTGCTTGATGAGCAGGGACGCCTGCACAAGATTCGGGCAGGAGGGGCATTGTTGGTGCTGAGGGCAAATCATAGAATTTTCTACCGACATGAGCGAGTATTCCTGGTTAGGGGGCTGGGGGGATGGCGAGGGTGAGGTAACATAATAAGATATTATAATGGATATGTGCCACCCATACAGCTAAGTTTTTTACCATCAATGATTCTAAACATAGAGAAAATGTTGACGAAATTATCCATGCATAAAAATGGGCATAAAATGGCCCTGTCACTATTCACAATATTTTGATTTATAAAAATCATTGCTGTGATAAAGGGGCTGCTTGTAATATTTTGATTGCCCGCCAAGTTTTAATACCGATTTATCCTTCTTTGGTTTCTGGAGTACTTCTAAGGGAACAGGTCTTTTGTTTATCTATTATTATCTTTTCCATTCTCCCTCTTGTTGCCCACCTTGTCACAGACAAACTTTTCAACCTTTGCGTTTTTGTGATGGTGCTATCATTTTTCTAATATTTTCTAATAGAAATTAACATAACGAGAGTAGTCAAAGTGGTCATCAATTATCGATAAGGTTCTATCATATTTTCTTATATGTATTTCAGGGCACTTCTTGCCCCCCTCTGCCCCTCTTCGAAGAGGGCAGGAGCAGCTGCCCCTCCAGTCCCCTAGTGTAGGTGCCCCTGTTGATGAGGGGGACTGCAGCCCCCTTATGTTTCCTACGTCTATGTATTTCCATGTATATATTTGAGATATAGCTATAACAAGAAGAAAAACTGAAATCCTCTTTGCTCTAAATTTACTCTGAAGGTTCAGAAATTTCTTGAGATCGCAAGGATTTAGATTCAAGGATATATTGTATATCCTTCCCGAAGGAAATTTTCTCTTGAGAAAATCTCCATTAAAGATGATATTGTCTCTGATCAATACATAAAGCTTTTAAAAACGCCACCCTCTTTCAAATACTTCTTGCTTACAAAAATTGTTTTTAAAACATATCTTATCTTCTTTACATTTGAATCAATCTTTAATCTTCATGCATTCATAGCAAAAAACGTGGACCAGGGGGTCGAGCTATTCTTTTTTCATTGTATTTAAGATAATAATCGGATGCAGAAAAAAATCTAACATTCGCCAAGTTTCGACCACGCCATGACCACGTCCAAAAGATTTCAATAAATTTTACTATGATCTCGGAATCGAATTTTTCCTTCTACTAGTGAGATCTAATGGAGATGCTTGAGAAACCATCGCTTAAATATATTTTTATCCTCGTATTAAGTTTTAGGATTAAGAAATAGGAAACTCAACTAACAACACACTTTTCAAACAGCATATATTAATATTGAGGCTCAAAGTTTGAGAAATTTAAGAATTGATATTAAGAATAACAACCAAGCCCGGATTTCTTTGACAATTTGGCATTTTATCAAATGACTCACTGAGCAAACAAGAAAAGGGAGGTCTCTAGAAACAATTTGAGAAACACTCATCAAGCTTTTGTTGTGCTGGTATGTTTCCTATAAGTTTTTTGTGATGAAGAAAAACAGTAGCAAAGATTTGAAATATCTTCTTAATAATGATTCAATGGCACTAGGGCAGGAAACAAAACTTTCATTTCTTATATTCCACCTGACTATGACATGGAAACTTTTTTATTACCTGTCATTTCTAGTAAAATATTCACAATGCAAAAATATATCAAAAGACAAACTAAAAAGGCCTGTGGGAATCTGACATTCGCCAGTGCGAATGTTGTGAGTATCTGGATCCGCCCCTGGTCTTTTGAAATGATGCCCTATATCGATGTATTCTGTTGCGTGTAAATTTTACGGATGTTGACGATTTAATTGCCATATGGAGCAAAAAAAGAGGGTTTTGGGGGCTTTCAAAAAATGTTTTCCCATTAGAAAAGTTGCGATTTTAAGAATTTTGACTCTGCTCAACTATTCGTTAATTTGTTTCTGAGTTCGAGCTGCTTCTAATCGTCTAAGCATTGCTCGTGCTTCTTCCCTACCATCTAATGCTTATTTTATGCATTAAATTCTAACTCAAAAAAGCAATTAACGTAAATACCAAATCATGCCGACTGATTCCATGAGTTTTGTCATTTCGAAGATGTCTTTCAATCGAATTTTCTCCTTTCGATATTTCTCTAGAATTTGTGGCTTAGATATTAACACACAAATGAAATTTAAATAAAAAGTCATACTCGCACATCAAGCCACTCTCAGTTCAGAGGTGAATATGGGCTCTCGGGAACCAATAGATCCCCTTCTTTTGCCGAAATCTCGTAAAGAAATTGGCTTTTTAATGTGCAGTCGTAGAGGCCATTTGTCCCTATGGCGAGGATGACATTGCTTTGTCTTAGACTAAAGATGATTCTCCGATGTTTAGAGCAATGGTTTGACCCCAAGCTGATGGCATTTATAATGCCTGGCAACTACTTGCTCCAATATCTTATGTGAATATGATAAGAATATGACTAAAAGAAACATCAGTTAATCATTGGTGATATTTTGTTCTGATGAGCTCACTTGGAAATTTAACATCATTCAATAATAAAACAATAGAGAACCCAAAACTTTTTCATATAAATTCATGGTTATATTGGCATTAGCAAGAATTATTTTACTTAGTTATCTCACAAAAAAGATGGAACACAAAAAGGAGTCATATATTCTATTGATTAATGTAAGAAAAATCAATGTGTACAATAGCATTCCACTTTTATGTTATTGACAATTAAACAATGTGTGCAGTTTCATAAATCATTTCTTGTGTAATCACATAATATTTCATGACACAATGTTACCTTAGCATGGCAGCTCATTGAAAGTTTGCCAAAAAATATTTTTGAATCCATTTTTATGCAATGTATAGCAGTAATAATCAAAATTGGGTTTAAATTAAATAAATTAGAAGGTGAAAATTTACTGCTAGATCAGTTTGCTCATTTCATAATAACAAACAAATTTGCATGGATTCTAACAACCACTTTTATTAAAGTTATGAAACTAAACTAACAAAATCATTTTCTTATAAAGCTTATAAAGTTCTAAATCTATTGAAGCCTAGCAAAGCATTATTAGCAAAGATAAACAAAGAAACCATACTTCTGTTTTTTAAATTCATTGTGGCTATATTGTGTTTTCATCAAAACAAAAGAAACTCACTGAGATGGAAGCCCTTCTAGAATATAGGTATAGAAGATAAAATTGACAAATTCAAATACATCCCCATCTTTCCCAAAAGTGATCCCTTACTCAATTGAAAGTAGCAAATCCTGACTTTTCTTGCATATATAAAAAGCCTAACAGGGTTAAATGTGAAAGCAGAAATGAATGAGGAGCCATCATGACAAAATGTGCCCTTGAGAAAATTAAAGGAAAAAGATAACAAACATATTTCAAGCGGATATGCTGTATTTTGCTTACAAATTTGATTGAAATAAATGGCTGCATAGTTTATGAAACATTTCTCTGCACATCTCTCTTTAGTTTATCCTTGTTTTGTTGCAAATAAAATCCACCACACTTTTTGTCTTTAAGAGCTTATCTTAATATCAATCTTTTAATCTCAGTGACAAAAGACAGTCCATTTTTTGGAAAAAAGTAGACTTTTGCATGAGTTCTTCTAAAAGCAGGCCCTCTATTCTGGAACAAACAAAGTAAACCACCCTAAAACCTCTTAATTGTTTTTATATCAAAAGCAGACAGCCACAAAACATTATTTTCTGTTTCAAACCATTATCATAAGGAATGTTAATGAGCATTTTATTCTTGCCAGTGATATGTGCATGTCAAAATTCAAATCTTCTTCAGAGGACAGAAGAAAATATTACTTGGATACCCGAATATTTAACCTGAAAGTCCTGACTTTTTAGTTTTAATAACACACCATCAAAGATTATTGAATATTGCAGCTCTAGCAGCCCAGTCTGTTCCCTTCTTCTCTTTAATTTCTTTTCGTTTTGGCTTTGGTAAAGCAGCATTCTTTTTCAAAATTGGGTCAACATGTTTTTGTGGTTCTGGTACAGCAACTGGCTCTGGTTCTCTTGGTGGTTCTGGTTCCTCTGGTAATTCTGGCTCTTTGGGTACTTCTGATTCTTTGATTGGCTCTGATTCCTTGGGTGGTTCTTGCACTGCTGGTTCGGGTTTAGCCTGTTCTACAGGGGGTGCTGGAGGGGGTTGCTCAGGGGGCGTCATTTTCACATTGCTCTCAGCCTGTTTCTGTTCAGGCACTGACGTGCTGCTTGCTTCTTCTCCAGCAGTTTCCGCTACTTGATTCTCAGCACCACTTTCCGGTGTTTCAGAAACATCTTTCATTGTTTCCTGAATTAATACTTCCTCCTTAGGTGCATTGTCTTCAGAAGTAACTTCCACAATAATCTCAGCAGGTTTTCCTTCGTCCTCGCTGCTATGCATTTTCAAGTAGTCTTCGATTGACATCCCAACTTCTTCGACTTCATCATCCCCAGTCTTACTCTCATGTTGTTCTGTGGCTTTTTCAGCGTCTTCCTCGGATTTAGTAGTCTTTTCAGTTTCTTCTGGTTCATTTTTGACAACAGTTTCCAACGAGGCCATTTCAACCGTTACTCTCATATTGTGCTGCTTCAAATAATCGTCCGTTACTTTATCAACAACTAAAAGAGAAGTCTCGTTTACACTTTCCTTTATTTTTGCAACGACTTGAGAATGTGTTGCAGCTTCGACATTAACCCCATTTACTTCAACTACACGATCACCGACGCATAAACCAGCAAGTTGGGCAGGCCCCTCGTTGTCAACAGCGCTAATGTATTGGCCTACCACTCCACGCTCGCCATGCAAATTGAACCCATAGCCTTTGTCTCCTTTTTTAATTTGCACAAATCTTGGAGCCTTGATATTTTTCCCTTTTTCATCCATGCCTGTGCTTGTTTATATTTCGTTGGTTACACCCACAGCCACAAAATTCAACTTGCAAATTCCTCTCTCACTACGCACGGTGACTCATCGTCATCCCGTCTCGAGCGCAAGTTGTGTTTTGAGAGATGACACTCCAACAACCGTTTTAAAAATCATCTTCCAAACCCCCCATGAAGCAAAAAGTGAGAGAAAATTCTGGATGGTTCAGGACAAGTAATAAAAATAGATAGATAGAATTCTAGGAATAGATATGCAAAACTTAATTTTTGCCAGAGGAAAGGCCTTAGATGCAAAAAAGACATATTGGGTTGCACATAAATTAAACCTTAGTAACCAATGGTAGAAAACTGTAAAACATTTAGGTGCTACTTAACCTACTGATAGATGATTTACTGACAAACTAAGGATTTTGTAGACAAACTGAAGATTTACCGACGAATTTATCAAGTATTGGGGGTGCTACACCCCTACACCCCCCGCTAGCTACGCCCCTGGGCCAGGGACCGTGCACCAGTCTAAAAGTGGAGGGGCTGAAATGGGTGTATCCAAAATTTTTTGAGGCCACGCCCTCCAGAACGCTGGTAAACGCCCCTTTTAGAAAATACTTTTTCATTCCTACTCAATTTTTATAAACAGTCTGGTTCGGAGAAGTTACTAATAACTATAGAAATAGATAAAATTAGCTTGAGAATAACAAAATACCAAGCTAACCAAGCTAGAAAATACATCATATCATTAAACAAGACAAAACACCTAGAAAATGAACAAAAAAGGTTCCCAGACAAGAAGAACTGCTACTTCATAGGACTAAACTATGCATTGATGCGTTAGAGTGAATCTTCAAAAAATTTGTAGCCTATTATTGCAAAAAAGTGGGGGGGGGGCTATAGCCCCTGCTAGCCCAATGGCTGCGCGGTGCCTGCCCTGGGCCCATAAGAAACGACTGTTCAACAGTTTGGGTGTTCTGTTATCAGTTCCTGTATGTTTCTAGACAGCTATCACAGATTATAGACGTAGGGAGCATTCCAAAAGTGGGGAGGGGGCACATGAGTCAAAACAGGGGCACCTCTGTAAGCTACAAGCAGGTTCTTTCCAGAGACTCCCTGTGCCTCATTGCTCCTCTGCCTATGGCATTTCTCAAGGAAGTTTAAGAGGTTCCGGATTAAAAGAAGATTAAAAATAGGAAGCTGATAGAAGACACAATGATCCTATTGGAGAAAAGCCATCATCAAATTTTGTCTGATATATTTAATTTGCAAGGCAGCTGTTCAATCGTATGATAAAAGTATGTAATAATCCCCAAACCTCTAGCAATAATGTTGCATGCTTGATCTAGTTTGTAGGAATTGGGAAGTATCTTTAATTATTAAGTTGCGAGTCAAGGGTTTGATAAGAATATTTCTGTTGGGGAGCCACTACTTGATGCTTGGGATATTTCGATAATGAATAGTGAGTATACTGGTGTTTTAGCCTACATTGATAAACTCCTGTGAACAATGTTGACAGAAATTTTGCCAAAAAATATGTTTCGAAAATTCTTCAACACTGTGAACGTTGATAGATTAAAATTTCTGACGAATAGATTAATAATTCAAAGCATATCACGCGAGAAATATTTTTGATCAAATTTGATATGAAAAAACACATGTAAGTGGAATGTGTAGGCTTATCCTGTTGGAGTGATTGCTTGTTTGCGACTTGACGAGCAGAATGTTGACGTTGCTGAAGCCAACATGCTACATTATTCGCATTTTTCTTGGATTTTTACTCAAAAATATCCAGTTCTCAAATGATTTCCCAGCATATCAGTATTATACAACCCTGTACCCAAGGGCAGGCCAAATTCAACTGTTAGCAAGAATAAGAAATTAACTTTTCCTGAAGCATAAGTTTCTTTCAAACCGACTTTTTCAATCATTTGAGCGCTGTTGCACCCCCCCCCCCCACACCCCAAGGGTTCGCACCTCAGCTTGCGCAATGAATTTTGAAAACATCTTTTTGTAGTATAAAATTTCACAATGGTTTCGAAAAAAGCAAACATTTTTAAGCATACTAAAGTCTTTTGTCTTACACTTTCAGAGTACGTCAGAAAATAGATCGAAAGCTCTACGCTTGGAAATATATATATGAAGTTGTGGATCAAAACTGGCCAATCAATTTTAGAAAAGGAAACCTGACTATTTGTCTTAAGTGCTGACAGTGACAGAAAAAGAAACCTGCTCTTAAGTGCTGAAACTGAGAGGGAGTTTGTGAACAAAATAGTTGATAATAAATTAAGATTGGAAACTGGTTCTGGTGATGTCGTTTACTTGTAACATAGAAACTTAGATTAGAGAAATACCAATAGCATTTTAATTAGACAATAAAATAATAGGCCTTGGGCTGTAAGGAAATGAATGGCAAGCATACATACAATATTCATGAGTGGTATTAACCAGTTCACTAGCTAAATATACCCTAACGACAGAACTTGTTTTAAGAAAAAAAATCTACATAAATCAAATTGTAACTGCGGGTGGGTGAAAACACGATAACGAAAATGTCAATATTTAAATGTAAATAATTGAAGACTTTGTGGTTTGTCCAATCTGCTACGGAAATCCAATGTGCTACGGAAATCCAATCTTCTGTTCTCCTTCTTCTGGGGCCTTCGATCGATTCTTAATAACATAGACGATAAAAACCAAATGTGCATTCGCTTCCTCTTTGTATTCAAAAATTTCCAGGCATTCTTGATTCTTTTCTATAAGCAATCGGACACAAGACCAACTGATAGAATCCCCCTGTTAAAATACTTTTATTGGTAAATGTTTGGAAAGCTGCAAAAAAATTGTCAGTGGCTAGGAGCTTTAAATTGAACGACTGTTTACAAAGGAGGTTTCTAGAAGGGTCAAGGGACGAGGATTAAACTAAGTGCCATCTCGATGTTTCAGAATATCATTTGAACTTATGTCAGTATCGAAAACACTCTAAAACAGGCTGGATCATTTGGGGGGATCAATTTCTGGGCGCGACCAGCCCTGCGTTTGTGACGCCTTCGCAGAGCCTTTGTGACGCCTTCGTTACCATAGAAAAAGAACACAGACACAGAAAAACCTCGATTCTATGACACAAGCTTGTCAGAAAATTTTGGGCAACCTCTTTTTGGAAGTCAATTTGCGGCTTCGTTTCTCAAGTAACTACAAGCTCGTTTGTGTGACTTCTTTTCGCTCAGGTTGGCTTTTATGAATCCCTAATAAAAATTATAATTTCACGTTGTCACAAAATCAATAATTTGAGCACTAGCATCCTGAAAACGAACATATTCTAAAATTCTGTTTCTAAGTATCATAAATATCCCTGAGAAAGGGGTTCAATTTTGCCTTAAATCTAAGACATAGAAAATAGAAGAAAGGGTGTATAACATGGGAATCTTAATACGGTTTCTAATTTTTCTTTGTTTAGCCTTATTTCAACTACTTGATTTCAAGAAAAAGGGTATAAAACTTCTTTGGTTTCAAAGAAAAGGGGAATCAAATTGGAATCGAATATCAGAGATGATGGTCAGTTTCCAAGACCCTTAGAAAAGGGTGCTTACACTTGATAATGTGAGATGACCCACCGGGGATCTGAGTCAAAAGTTTGGTACAAAAAAATTATAGGTTTTGTAGAAATATTCAAAACGAGGTCGTGGATCCCTCCCCTCTTCCTGTTACTCGCTCGCAAATTATTTCAGGATATTTTTCAAAATCCATTTTTACCTTAAAGAATTCCATATGATGACACTCGTTGCCTAATGTATATATATTGCGTTTAGTAGATAGATAGATGATAGAACAGCCGAGTAAATACTCAGCAATAAATAGAGTAAAGATTTTCCTCCTAAACAATACACAGCACTTTACTTATATTCAATCGATTTTCTTTCGTTGCTGAAATTAGACGCTAAGGAACCTTTTGCAAATATGACAGTTTGTTCAAAATATTTGCAAGTCTTTGTGTTCTGATTCTCAGTTTTTGCTTCATGTCAACCGAAAGTAGATTCGAAAGATGTTATTTAGATGTCATCAGCATCTGACGGTATTCAAAGGTATCTAACAAATGAACGCATTTGCTTTTCGAATAGGTTGCCATGGATATTATTCAACAGACCTGCTGCCATGTTAGCACACCTGTTCGGAGGAAAGGGGGTTCTATTATAATATAAATTAGAATTAACAAATTGCTACATCGATGAGATCTTTCTTTTTTGAAATTCTTTTTCACTTGTTACTTAGTTACGAGGCTTTAAGAGTAATAATCACAAGAAGTATTAAGCATATAAACAGCCTAATTTTAAAATGTTCGCAGCAGTTTTACAGTCAAAACCCGCATAAAAAAGCCTATTTTTATAAGAACCTTGAGGCTCCAAGTTAATCTTTAAACCCCATAATTAAGAACCCCCAGGAGGCTGAAATTTAAGGTTCTTATAAATATATAAGAAAAAAGGGTTTTAGTTGTATTTTTACACCACATTCACACTGGCAAATTAAGCCAGCTTAGATTAAATCAGGTTATGGTATGTTGCATTTTAATTGGACAATCTAACAACACAAATTCATTTGGTTGGTTGAAATTTCACATGAAAAGCAAAGCTGGTTTACGTGTGTCTGTCAGAATTCTCGTGGTGGAAAGCATTGTTAATGTGTGCAAGGCCTGTACGTATATAAGAACTTTGTTAAGAACCTTTTAGACTGGAATTTAGAATAGCAGCCTGTTAATTAAGAATCTATCCAGGCTGCCAGAAAAAAATCTAGGTTCTTTTATGCAGGTTTCTATTGTATAACTTTTGTTGTGTTTACCCTACATACCAAAGTTGATGATATCTTATTGACAATTGTCTTTTGTAATCTCAATGAAAAATTACTGAATATATGCTTTGCGAGCATATGAATGATAATTATGGCTCTTTTCTATAAGATAGGATTTGTGACTTTTTCTCCCCGAATCCAGAGAATATACCCTTGAACCTGAAATGCCCATATTGTCATTTAAAAATAGTGCAGTCTGAAAATTAGGTTCTTTTGTTAGAGTTATATTTACTGTATTGTCTCTTAAATTTTCTTGTTCCCCGGCAAGGAAATCCTATTTTAATCGCGTTTGAATTTTCAGCATGTGTTTTTCACCCCCTCCTGCCCTGTTTGCGTATCTGCAACAGTGGTGGGTACGCATTTCTATTGGTCAAAATACTCACATTTTAAAAATGACTCACACAAAAACAAAACATAACAATGTCATCATAGCATGATGTTAAATGACATTCTGCAATTAGAGGGGCTTAGGATTATTACCATATCAATTTGGTTGCAATCCCAAATAACATACCTAATTGAGACGCTTATCGATTGTTTTGCATAGCGGGTTTCTTAATGAGCAAATCACCGGGTAAAGAAGTCAACTACTTTAATGGGACATTGGCAGAAAACTTTCGCATGAAATCAGAGAAATATTGAAAACGAAGTTTAATGCTGGAGACATCTAATAGGAATTCTTCTTTTGAATTAATGTATCATTCTGAGAGGGTCCCTCGCTGCTTTGGGTCTGAGATCACATGTCCCTTGCCCCCAATCAATGTCAAGATCTATATGGCCCCTATATGCATTTGGAACCACCTGTCAGTTGCTAGTCTATCAAAACAAGTAGAGCAACCAGTAGAGAAAGAGAATGTCACAACGACAACTCAAAGTTTGATACTTTCTGATCTGTTGCATTGAGCGTTTGTGTTGGGCGAAATCATTTAATGGAGATGGCTGCGATGGGGTGTTTTTGGCAACGGCTGAAAGCTTCTCCTTAAAAACACTGGGAAATTGCATTATCAAAGGTTATTGCTTCAAGAATTATATTCTGGCGTTTTATACTCTGGGTCGTCCCATGCAAGTTTCTAGTTTCTAAAGTTTCAAAAAAGATACATTTAGCAAACTTTGCGAAATTCCTGACAAGCATAAAGGTACCTAGACACTAGATTATCTAGTCGCGTCTTTTATCATTTCCAGCCTTGAAAATACCCCTTCAGCCTTGAATGATGTCAAATGTGATGAAAAGGCAGTTTAATTCAACCAATTGACTTCACCATTACAAAGACTGTCTTTTTAAGACTTACTCATTAACCGAAGCTTCTGAAGAAAAAAGAGTCCTCAGAAAGCACAACCACGTACAGTAAAATTGATTTCCCCCTCCCCAACCCTTAGTAAATTCTTAGAGAGAGCTTAGCAACTGCTGGAGCTTTTCATCGTAGAACATCTTTTTGAAGAACACCAAATACGCGTAGCAGTCTTGAAGGGTTAGCTAAGCCTAATTTTTCGACGGGGACGTACCATTTTGGTTGAAAAATTTGGACCTTTAATTCCTCTCATGTATGAAAAAATGTGACCCATATTTCCACAAAGTAAATAACATTTTTAAAACACAACAAAATCATCAAACAAATTGTCCATGTCATTTGCCCAAAGTTACTATATTATACATATTTCATACTTTCATTTTTAACTGGACATTAATTTTAGTAATGCCAAATCTCCATCCTTATAATTTTACAATATTTTCCCAAAATGGTACTGCATGTTTCTTTTAATGGTTCCCATAGTTCCGTACATATTTCAAAAACTGATACCGATAATTCCGCGTTTTTTCAGAAAAAAGGTACCCGTAAATAATGGCACGTGCTCGTACCTTCAAACATGTTAAGGTACCCCCCCCCCCCCGAGGTTCCAAAGAGCGAATGTTCGAAATAAAATGTAGCAAACCACTGAATTAAATACAAGATTTATAATGCCGAATTTTATTGAATTTTTGGGTTCTTCAAAGAAACTAATTTCCTGGGCATTTTGTGCCTTCCCTCTCGCTATGTTTATGCAAAAATATTCATCTATTTAATAGAAAGCTAATTTTTCAACTGAACTCCAGAGCTCTTGATACGTTGGTCTGGTGTCCCTGTAAATCACAAGAGAGGTAAACAGAATTGAGTTGAATCAATGATTTGTCGGCGGGAGACTTTGAATTTGCGCGGGCTGTCCCAGAAGAGTTTTCAAAAACGCTTTGCAGATCCCAAGACGACATTTTATATTGTTTCATTCTCTCCATTCGCTGGTCTCCGTGGAATGTGGACATATAAATACTTTGGATCTCCATCTGCTCGTTCTTTGCCTTTCAAGCTCAGTACTCGAAAGTAGATCCATAACACCTTTAGGCAAATTTAGGCCCACAAAATGGTGAGTCGCTTGTCAAAAAGAATCGACCCTTTACAAATTCAATTATGCATTAATTAATGTTATAATTTACGTAAATCAGTTTTAACGTTGTATGCTGCAAAATGCTTCAATGATGTGTATTTCCCCCTTAGTGTCTTATAGCTTGCCTTTTATAATTTTAATAATTTCTGTTTCGAAAGTAACAAAATTTCAGTGTCACAAAGCAAAGCATTTGAGCATTACTTAGTTACAAAAACAGTAAAATTTTGACATGTTCAATTCTATATCAATGCTTTTCAGGCCCGTCAGAACCGGGGGGAGGCTGGAGTTTCATTTAATATGATTCAAGAGCTTTTTCTCTAGCCACAATTCCTGCTTTTTGAATATATTACGTGTCAGATAAGCACCCCCCCCCTCCCCCCCCCTCCCCCCCCCACTCTAAACAATGTCAAATTTTTTATAAGCAACCTTAGAAATATGCCCTCTTTCTTTAGCACTATGCTTTGAATCCACCAAAAAGTTTGTATCTTTAAATAACAACTTTGTACATTTAAAAAAGTATAATTTCGATGCTCTGAGCATAACTCTTCATCAGGTGATACAACATGCTAAACTACATTGATTTAAATACACCCCCCGGACCTTTTTCCCAGAAAAATTAAAAATAGCAATCAATATCATCTGATGCAAAATATTATTTTGTTTTATCAATCAGATTTGTAATCATTATGCTTGCCACCTTTCTAATTTTCTTTTTTTCATTTTAGCAACAAACTTGTAGCTGATATCAGGTACGTTGTTTGTGTATTATTGTAGAAGGATTACCAAATAATTTAGGGATATTATTTTAAAATTTAATTTGATAATTGCAATTTTCTAGTTTCTAGTTTTTTCCTTGAAATCTTAACATTTTGTCTTTATAAGTAATTGGATATAATTGCTGTCAAAGGATGCTCAAGAGTCAAAAAAAGTTTTAGCCTATTTCAAATTCTGACAGTGTTTTGGCATCATAAGTGAATAAATATATTTCGGAAATGTTTGAAAGTTCAGTTATATGATTGGAAAAAAATTCAAAGAAAAATTTGGTTTGAATTTTTGATTAATTTTCTGGTAAGGAATAATTTTCACATCTGTAAAAAATGTACACAAGTTAATTTCTGTTACATATAAAAGCACTTGTAGAGGTCAGCCTTGATAAAACATAGAACAATGCAATGCAATCATTATTTGAATTTCTTAAACTTTCTCAAATTTCTATGTTTTGTCAAAAATTCAAGCAAATTTATCATTGACTTATCTTGAAACTGAATCCATTTTCAAGAAATTATGTCTTGGACGTAAAAGTTTCAATTGCCCCTTGGATTTACTTAAGTTGTTTTGACTTGGATTTGATGGTGTTGATTTGGATCTGTGTTGATGGTGGTTATGGTTTCGTATTTAGGGACTGGTGCTTTTGTGGTTTCATGAAGGTGGAAGTTGTGGTAGTTAAGACATCTTTGGTAATCCAAGGGGCATAATCACAAATACATTAATTTTTTCCAAGTTTAGAAAATGGATCTGTTCCATGAAAAGTCATCTTGTTAACAACATATTTGCAGCAAAAAATTTGAAATCCTTTGATATCTTTTTTGGCATTTTAAAACGAACTATTTGAAGAATCCTTTGATATCTTTTGTCAAAGTTACTCGCATCAAATGGTACCAGTGTTCAGATTAAAAGATATTTGAACTTGATAAATGCTGCTTTCAATTTGCACATTATCAAGCAAACACACTTTTCAATTTCTCAGTACTTTTGTTTGTACATGTGAGGCAGCAGAGTGCAACTTCAACATGATAAGCTGAAACTTAACTAGCTAGGTACCCAGTTTGTACCTTATTTTTCTGTCTCCAGATTTATCAAAACAAACATGAAGTTTGGGGTTATTTCCAGGCCATTTCACTTCAAAATTTCAGATATAATGGGTCTATTTAATTTACTCAAAAGATTTACCCAAGAGAAAGTAAATTTGTTGATGCATTTTCAAAGAACAGAAACTGAGTTGCTTATTCTTTGACAATGTTGCATTAGCATTTCCTCAAAGCAATGGAAAATATGCCTGATTAAATATATGCAATCATAATTTTGTTTGCACTATTATCCATAATGTATGAAATATCTTAAATCTTAGAATGAGACAACACTTTGAAATATTGGTGAACTTTTTAATTCAATTATTGCTACAAAATCATCTCAATAAATATAATCAATGTACTTAGAAACATTTTGCATTTGAGTATTCCTCATTTCTCATTTCTTTTACTCTCTTCTTTTTCAGGTTTTAGTGCTCCTTTTTGACAATTTTTGGATCAATTTTTCAACTACACATAAATTTTCTACAAAATATCTTGTACTCTAATGATTCTTTGTCCTACAGCTTTAATAAGACACAATTCATTGACAGAGTGCAAAACAGAGAATCTTTTGTTCAATTCCTTTTGGTAAGCATAAATTTGAAAGTTTTGTCACCATTGAAAACAATGTTAAATTCATTGACTGATTTATTATTACAAATATTATGAATAATGTTTAATTATAACATTTGATTTCCATGTCAAAATTACTAACTGTTGTTGTTGATAAGACCATAGTCAATAGAAGAAACTCTGGTCTGGAGGTCTTTTGTTCGAGTCCCTAGTTTGCAAAATGAACTTGCGTCCTATGCAGGGATATTTCTTATACACAGCAAAATCCATTAATTTCTTGTTTGAAGTCCTGACCTGGATAATTTGATAAGCTTACTAAGATTTTGAAAAATAATTCTTTGATGCGAAATTTTTTAACTAGTTTTGTTCAACTACTTTTACTTTTACGATCTTATTGCAGACCCTTACTATCTTAAATCAAACATTTCACATGCTGATGAAGCATATGGACATGGTTCAAAATGTTAATTGTCAAAAGGGGATCAGAAAAATTGCTGGTGAGTTTTTAACATCGATATTTGCTTTGTCAATTTATAATCTAAGGATGTCACAAGATATGTTCTGAATTCATGCAAAAATATAATAGTTAGGTTCACAGTGTGCAAAGAACAAGTTTAATGTATCTCATTTCAAACACCTTGTACAAATAGGAGTTAAATGTCGAGCCATCTCAGAAAGCTGAGGTCCATCTTGAAAAAGTTTTACTGTTGTTTAATGGTTACTAACAGTCATACCTATCTTTATGTCTTCTACATTGTCACCATGAAGTTGGGAATGTGGTTTCCAATTGTTTTGATATACTGAATGAAATACAGGGTAATGTGTACACAAGCAAATCTATATCTAACAAACATCTCCTAATATGGTGAACACTTCTTCTCATAACTTGAAAGCTGTTCTAGCACCATCTCAGATTTTCATGAAATTTTGTGACAATATCTACCTATGTAAAAAGAAACATCTTGAAAGTTGCAGCTTGATATCTTATAGCATACTAAAGATATTGTTCTTGGAGAAGGAAATAAAATTTTTGCAATCTTTGAGATCCAATTTTTCTTGATCCAATAACAATTAAGCTTCCTCAAAATTGATATTCTAGAATGTTTTTGGAAGCAGTATCAGAGAGAAATAAGAAAAAATTTAATTCTTCAAGATGTGGTCCATAATGGCAACCTAAAAACGCTTAAAAATTTACTTTCGGAAGTAACAATTCCAGTTTTAAATGGCCAGGGTTTAAATTTGAATTACCTAATTGTAGAAAAACTTATTTTTTATGTGTCTTTTGAAAAAGGGAACTATTATTTTTGAGCAAATCAAAAGAAAGAAATCATTATTTCAGAAGTTATGTGGCTCTTAAAACGGTTCTTTTCATAATGTTAAAATTCAAGATAAAAAAACTCTCAATACATGACAGCCTAGAGAAAATACACAACGAAGCAATCATTTGAATTTTTGAAGCTTTCATAAATTCCTTTGCTTTTATCAAACACCCAAAAAAATTATCTTTTACTTACCTTGAAATTTGAATCCATTTTCAAGAAATTATGTCTTGGACGTAAAAGTTTCAATTGCCCCTTTGATTTACTAAAGTTGTTTTGACTTGGATTTTGATGGTGTTGATTTGGATCTAGGTTGATGGTTGTTATGGTTTGGTATTTAGGGCCTGGCTTTTGTGGTTTCATGAAGTTGGAGGAAGTGGTGGTAGTTAAGACATTTTTGGTAATCCAAGGGGCATAATCACAAAAACATTAAATTTTTCCAGGTTTGATGAAATGGCTTTGTTCCATGAAAAATCTTTTTCAGCATCAAATTTTGCAGTGAAAAACTTGCATGCCCAGCATTTCTTTTTTGACATTGTTGAAGTGTCAAGTATCAAGTTTCATTATCCAGTGTCCAGGACTTATGTTTGTATGTGATATAACAGAGTGAAGCTTCAAAGAGATACTCTAAAAGTTAAACTGAAACTAAACTAACTGGCTATATTTTAAGTGTACCCAATTTATACCTGATTGCTCTGTCTCCAGATTTATGTAAAGTAATGTGGAATTTTGTTAATTTCTTGGCCATTTAACTTTATATCACAAGGATTTAATAAATTTACTCAAACATTTTTCCCCAAAAGGAATTTAATTGGCTTATTAATTTTTAAAGAACAGAAATTCTTAGTAATTCTTTGACAATATTTCTTTAGCATTGATTTTATTTAGTAAATTACTCAAAGCAAAGATAAATATGCCTAAATAGATACATAACATCATAATTTTGTTCGCACATTTATCCATTGTGTATGAAATATCTTCAATATTAGAATGAGACAATACTTTGAAATATAGGTGAACCTTAACTTAATTATTACCAAAACCAGCATCTCAATCAATATACTCAACGTACTTAGAAACATTTCAATGCATTCAACTACAATTTACTCACTTCTTTTCTTCTCTTCCTTTTCAGTTTTTGGTGCTTCTTTTTTCGACAGTTTTTGTAATTTTGGCTCTATTTTTAAACTCTGAAGTTTTTGGAATAACTCTGAAGTCTTCAACACCATTTCTTGTACTCTAATGATTCTTTTTTACTACAGCTTCCATAAGACAGGTCATTGACAGATGGCAAAAACAAATGATGTCCTATTTGACTCACTTTTGGTAATTATAAATGTTTTTTATCACCCTTGAAGCAATGAGAAATTCATTGACTGATTTTATTGTTACAGATGTTTCGAAGAATGGTTAATAATAGCATTTCATCTTAATATCAAAATTACTGTATTTCGTGTATAAGACCCACCTTTTTTGGAATTATTATTATCTTATCAATTTGGTAACATCATCTTTTTTACACTCTCCTTTTAAGGCAAACTGTATTTTTTTGGAGAAATTTTACAATATTGAGAGCGCCTGATCCCTTAATTTGATTTACCACGCTTTTACAGAATTTTTGGTAAAAACAATTTTCTTAGAATTTAAACATGGAATTAAGGGTGCGTTCCATACAAGTCTTGAGCTTGATTTAGATTTGATATGCAACTTTGAAAAATCATTCTTTGATGCGAAATTTTAACTCGTTTTGTTAAACTACTTTTAAAATTTTATTTCAGACCTTCACCATCTTAAATACAACGTTTCACATGCTGTTGGAGCATACGGACATGGTTCAAACTCAACTCTCGAGTTTAGATTGGCAAGAGGATAAGAAAAATTGCTGGTGAGTTTTTAACATCGATATTCATTTTTCAAATTATGCTCTAAAGATGTTACAACTTCGTCATATACTTTTGATTTTATACAGAAATTTGCTAGTTGCTTTGGAGTGCACTTTCCCATTGTGAAAAGAACAATTTCAATATGTTTTTTTCACGCACGCATTAGTTCTTTCAAATTCGATGTTACGCAAGAACATTATTTCTAAGTTGATCCCAAGCTTTGTACGAGAAGGGCTAAAAACCGAATTTTCAACCTGAAGAAAGGGCAAGGGCGAGGAGAGTTGAATTCCGTCTTGATAAAGTCCTAACAGAGATACCAATTGTTGCAATAATGGTTTCAATATACGGAATGAAAGGCTCGGTTATTTGTACTCCAGCAAAGTAAACATCTCCCATATTTTCTAATTAAAGGTTAACTTTGATAAGAACATTTCAAAATTTTTGCGATGGGCATCTGGATCTATTTAAAGATTAAAATTTTTTTCTCATGACTCGTAAGCTCTTATAGCATCACAGTTCTCATGTCTTGATAAAATATGTAACTGGCTTTAAGATAATAACAAATGATGAATTGATACAATTGAAATAACATCGTCAGTACTATGGTCATATTACGTACGTTCTAGCGTTAGCACATCTTCACCAGTAGTTCATATAATGATAACAATCTCCCAGCAATGCGATCTTAAGTATGTTTTAATCATTATAAATAGATATTATTTATTATATGATTTTCAGTTTCCTTATCCGAGGCTAGCAAACTTCAAAAAAGGGAAGGACATGATCTTTAACTAGCCTGAAGGCATAACAAGAGTTGTATTGTATTTGCAGTCATCTGTTTAGAAAAATTTTAAGAATAATATTACGGTTCCTCAGTCCAGCACATTCAAGTCTTTTCAGATCCCAATCTCAACAGTTTTACCCTGTTGTTTACCTTTTACAAACCTCAAGTTTCATGGCTTTTGAAAATATTTATGAGAATATTTTGTAAAGTCATTATTGCTTCATAAATTTAGGGCTCTTCAAGTTTGATAATTTTTGTTTGTTTAAGGTCCTTTCTCAGCCCTTCGCTCATTCCATTCTAAATATACTTTTCTATATCTTCTTTTATTCGTTTAAAACACAAAATACACATTTCTGTTGCATAATTGCAATCGTTTCAAGTCATGGCTGAAATATTTTCTGATATTTAAGAAGTTTTTTAAAACTTTCAGGCTCTACCTAGTCTCTAAGTGTTACATTTACGCTTGTATTGCCCCCCATATTCTTAAAATCAAGGCCTTAATTTGAAAATATTTAGAATTCTGTCTCTATTCGCTTTCAAGTATCGATATTCACATCGTCCACTTTGAAGGAAAAATCTCGCGAAACTCATTTTGGCCCTATTTTAGGTTAACAATTTTTTAAGAATTTTCTTGTTGCATAAAGATGTAATAGACATTTATCTGTTTTTTACCAAATATTGATTTGTCAATAAGCATAAGATATATTTAAGTATATTTTTCTAGATTCTCTACCAACATACTGTCATAAACTTAAGAGTTAAATAGAAGGCTGCTACACTTGTTTTTTAGCCAATTTCAATCATATGGAAAGTTCTTAGTTTGACGTTTTGTGTCGTAATTATTAGAAGAAACCATATCTATTCTTTACCCATAACTGGCCTTTTTACTTAGACATTTTTTATTAGTAACTTTGATTGTTCTTTGATGATGACTCAGCGATATATAAATTGACGTCATATACAATACTTGACAGTCAAATTATTTAGATCTAAACCAAGTCATCAAAGGGATACTTTGTGGATGTTATAGGGTCATGTCCCTGGCAAATGGAAACTGCAAAAATACCAAGGATTCATAGATTTAAGGCTAAATTGATTTTCTTAAAATTTAAGGCTACATTTAAATGATATGATAGGGAAGACGCCGGTCCTCATGTGGCTATATATGAGCCTTTTTTCATAGATTCAATTTTATTTTCAATTGAAGAATAATTTTTTAATGTTTTTACAAATAATATTGTCACTCATAAAATGTCCTAGGAACACATTTTATGGTGTACAAAATCTAGCATTGTACCTATGCTCTGGCTCGACATTTTATAAATTTTCATGGCCCTTATCCATATCCAAATTCAGGTTATAAATTCTACCAGAAGAGTATATTTAAAGTGGGCAGATGTCTATATGGTTTTCAACATCATGCAAATCTCTAAATAACAAGTCTAAGAAATTTTAAAGTTAAAATATCGATCCAAAGTCTTTCTTTTCCGGTTTTAAGACTTGTTGTTGCTCTTGTTTTAACCCTAGAACAATCTGTAAATTCAAGTCATGGAATTTTGTACTAAGACCGGTGCATTGCTTTTCTTACATTTCTATCATCTGTAAGGGATCGGAATGAGGCTCATTTCAACTCTTATTTGAAAACTATAGAGGGTTTCATCGGACTGAATGGATTCTCTTTTACGTCATCTCGTTTTTGTTTTGATTTCTTTATTATCTGCGTCGTAATTAAACACACATAATTTTAGGTACATAATTAAACACACATAATTTTAGGTACATAATTAAATGCACATAATTTTCACCTTTTAAAAGAGACTTTGATTATAGAATGCATTCGCATTCTTGTCCTTTACCCTTTCTAGTTTCGAAGCTTACGTCAAAGATCAAATGATAAAACATGTTCTCATCTGTTTTATCTTGAATCATTTTAAGGCAAACTAATAATACTTATATTGATAATATTAAGACTAATGGTTGGCATATTAAACTAAATTTCTGTTAAAGAAGGTGTGTCTAATTTACACTTGGCTAGGTAAGGTTTTCAGAAAAGCAAAGAAAAGGAGAGTTTAGTTAGTACATACTGACTTTTTCGATCTAGAGAAATTATAGAAGCATTTCTCGGAGCACATTTAATAACACCTTGAAAAAGAAGAAAATTAATGTTTCATCCTGACAAAACTCGAAAGTTTCAAGCTGTATTATGTCAAAGTGGGCTCTGTTCCCTACCCCTTTTCCACTATGCCCCTGCTTTATACCTTTTAGTCCCTCTACCAACTCGGAATCTTAGGTTAAATACTTAAGCAAGGAGTTTTTAATTCAACAAGATTTTTATTCATTTATAGGTACAAGAAGTAGCTTTAATTTTAGCAAGTTTATTTTGATATTGAATGTAGCATTCTTTAAAGGCTAAATTATAATTATTTACACGAGACTTATCGTTCCAACCTCAAATATCATGTAATAAATTTACATTCTCATTTCTGTACCTTTTCAGTAATTATTCTTATTTAGAAACTAAAGTTGAAAATTTAGAAATTTACAGTGCTCATAGTACACCTAAAACTTCGTTACCAACTTCGTTCATACTAAATTCAAAATCCATTTCAAAAGCTTCTCCCAGAAACCTTAAATAAATATTTTTATTTCGTTTCCAATCATGTCAATTGTTTTTGGATATGACGTCATTTCTTAGCAGAAAGAGTTTTTTTGATATATTATGATCAACTGTCAGGCTAAAACGTGTAATAAAAAACATGTTTCACGTTCGGAATTTTTTTAATGAACTTTGGCATAAGAATGTTTATATATCTTTGAAAACATTAGCATATTGAAAGATGCCTAAAATTCATTTTTATTCATGTCGTAACCATTTGCAATTTTTAGATTGACTCTTAATTGATTTTAGAGATCCACTATCCTTGTTTGTTTCTAAAAAATAATTTTCCACTTAGAGTATGTGATATAAGCTCAATTTTTTTCTCCCCTGTCAAAAACATAGCAAAATCACATGCTTGAAGAAAGACATCTTTACATATTATCTTTTAATCCTTTAAAGCTTAATTTTAATCTAGGATTGTTTCCTTTTTTTATTCTAAAGTACGTTTTCACATTTGAGTTTTCCCCTACACCGACCTCTGTATTCATATATTTTACATTTTGTGGAAAATGCATGTTCACACTTATTCTCTTTTTCATCATTTGCTTTTTAGAAACATTGATTTTCATCATTTAGCAACCATTGATTTTTATGCATAATTATAATTAAATATTAATTCATGATTGTATATTACATTCCAACACAGAAATTTTCGAGTTTAATGATTGCGGAAATTATTCATGAAATTATTTCTCACTGATATTTCGTTTACATGACATTGCTTTAAGTTTTATAGTTAATCATGGATATCGGCGTATTTGATATACTCTTTACATCTAAAATAAGATGTTTTATAAATCTATTTGTTTTTCATTTTTTCGATTTGAGAAATTTATCCTAAAAAGGTACCAGCTATTAAACGATTCAGCTAAATTTTCCCAATAGCTTTCATTCAGAGATGCACCTCAAACGTGCTTTACATAAGTTTCTCTGTTTATGATTTATTTTGGAAAGACAATTTTTGTCATTTGTTTTACAAGATGTTTATTAATTTCAATTTTTGTTTATGCAGAATATAAACAAAGCGTAAAAGAAGTGGAAGAAGATTGCTGTTGAAAGAGAGAACTGAGGACATGACAAGTTAAGTTTTATTCTATTTCAATTTTTATATATTAAATAGCCTAATGTGTTTTGGAAATATATTTTATATCTTAACTAGGACTATTTTTCAACAATTTAAGTAGGCCTACCACTTGGATTGTGTTTTTTATCAATTAAGAAGGCTATGTGCTCTAAAACTGTTGCGAATTAGCTGTGTCCTTAGAATTGGCAAAATGACAAACTGGCTCGACAAAATTAGAATGAGCCTTTTGGTATAGATAATTAGCTTAAAATTTAACAGCATTCTTACTTTTCGCGGTATCGTAAATGGGTTATTAAATAAAAGTATTTAGAGGTCTTAGCTTCAAAGAAATTCTCTGATTGTCAATATTTATGTTATTATGAACGTTTTCGAAATTATATTGACAGTTTTAAAAGTGTTTTATGAAAATTAGAGTGAAATTTTTTAATAAACTGTTACTCGACTTATTTTGACATGGCAGGGCTCTAGGCAGTATAAGTAGGTACAAAATGTGTCCAATGTAGGGTTTAAGTATCAGAGTAGGTTTCTTGGCAAATAGAGAAGCTTAACTAGGTTGAGGTAATTTTTAGAAGGTAGTATTCATTCTTATAGAAATTTGTTATATCTTGAATGGTTTCTACAAAAGAGACCTTTGTTTTGGTACTTCTAATAACAGTTATTTCAAAGTGCTTGCAGATATTTCAGTCTCCATTTGCTGGCCATTGGTTTGAGGTTCTGAGTTGTTCGATGATATGATTGTGTTGGTATGGTGGTTTGGTAGTCGTTGTAATTGATAAATTGGTTGATTTGGTGTTGAAGAGGCGACCCAGTACCGTGGAGAATGTTTTACTGCAAGCACTAAATCAAAATCAATTGCTAAAACGTGCAATTTTTGAGAAAAAACGATCATAGATGTCGAAGTACCAGCTTTAAAAATTGACCCAAAATGTATCTTTAATGTCTTTTAAAAGGAAAGGCAAGATTACACCAATCTTATGGTCTATCACATAGTTTTAGTTATTTTGTTCATGTCCTCATGTCTTTTTGGCGAAAAACGAATATTGAATTAGTGCAGATACTCAGTTCCCGAGAAAAAAGTGAAAATCTAGATCCCACTGCTTTCATAGCATAAATAGGCTAAAGAAATATGATGAAATTTCAGGCACAAAATGGAAATTATGGGAGGGGTGTTTTTTAAATCTAATCCATTTTAAAGTAAAACCGAAATAATTAAAAGAATCAAAATGTTGTTTCTCATCAAAGGTAGAACTTGACTTGCATGGAGACAGTAGGTCTCTTGAGAAAAACAGAAACGTGATTGCACGAGAAATGGCACTCTTTTTTATGCAGTGTGAATAGAATGCAAAGTGTAATGATTATAGGCTTGGATGATTCCGTCGCTGAGAAAGTAAACAAGGATATCTAAGACTAACTTTTACCACGTGCATGCATTTCGGATCTTGTAATTTTATTTATTGCTTCATGGACGATTCTTCTTCGATTTTGCTGGCTTCTTGTTTATTTTTTGCAGACCGCAGCAAGATTTGAAGGCAGCCATATTGCCGAAGCTGAATTAATTGTGAAGATGGAAGATACAAGAACACTATATCGATATATTGGACTTTTATTGAAAAGACTTTGTTGTTAGTTTGTAATTTGCAATCGGTACTTTCTCGCTAATTTCGCTCGCATCCAAAACCAAGATTTTTGCTACAAGAGGTGACCCGAAGGAGCATTGCCACATATATTATGATAATCAAGATTTCGATTCAAAGAAGCTAAGAGACAATTTATGACATATTATTTTCGCACTGTGAAGGATAGGATTCGAATCGAGTTTCCAGGTAAAGAAATTTACACCTTGCATATGTACCCGTACCCTACAGGTAATTTCAGTCATTGTAATTTTGCACATATCCACTTCCCGCACCCTCTCAACTAAGTCGATTAGAGAATATATAACCCCTCTTCGAATCCAAGATCTCTAGCTTATAGATAGACTATTAAGCATCCCCTCCATTTTCAGTAGCTCATTTTAGTAAATTAAACCATAAGATAATCGATATAGGACTGCTTACGACCCTACCCTTCTCCATAGAACCCTCTTTATCATAATCGTAGTTTAATATCGTATTGCGAGAGAGTATCGATACTTCGTTAGGTTAATAATTTCTAGTTAGTCATTTTGTAACATTTGAAGGCATATTCTTCTAATGGGTGTGAACAAGGCGCCTGTTCGCATCTGTTTTTAGAATAGGCTTTCCTCGTTTAATTAGTTTGTATTTGTATTTTAATGTATTTAATTAGTTGCTTAGGAGACTGTTTTCGGTGTTATGTTAGTGGTTATGTTAGCACGGTGTTTTAATCGAGGGGTTAACGGGAAGGAGTTCTTCTCTTTTTTGTTGACCCTTTGCTTAAAACACCATGTTAACATAACCCCTAACATAACATACGAAGGGTTTTCTTGGCAGGGTGTTTTAATCGAAGGGTTAACAAGGGGGAATTCTTTTCCTTCTTGTTAACCCTTTGCTTAAAACACCATGCTTAGACAAACCCCTTTCGAAAACAGTCTCCTCGGCACTTAGGTAGAACTTAACATTGTAAGTAGAGTAAGATCGCTTGAATGAAGAGGAGAAAATCGAGCAAAAATTCTTTCTGACCCCCGTCTTTTGACCGGTCCAAACGAGGCTATAACCCCCCGTCTTCAGTGGGCATCAAAACGAGGCAGATCGGGTTGAAATGAGCGAATCTGATTGGTTTAAAACAATTGAAAAGACAATAGAAGTATCTAAATGATGATTGGTCAGAGAACAATAGAAAATTTGAATTGAAGGGCTCTGATTGGTTAGTCAACAATAGAGTGAGACCGAAATGGCTCAATTTGATTGGTCGAAAGACAATGGTGGCCGCCAGTGGCCGCTGTTTCCTAAATTTTCGCTATATTCTAGGTGACGGCCCTCGCCCGCAGCCACCAAAAGGGCTCAAATGGAGCAATCTGATTGGTTGAAAACAATGACCTGTCAATCATTTACGGCTCCCAGCCGCATTTTTAGAGCCACCGTTTAGGGGCATGGCCGCCGTATAAGAACAATGGAAAACCTTCGATTGCCAACAGGATTTTCTAATATGAAGACGGGGGAATATCTTTTCAATTTCTTTAGAAATCTATAAAGGCTCTTATAGAAATAGCCAAAGGTTTTCTGAGTCAAGACAAAAGAAACACTGTCAAACTTCAAAGACAATTTTCAATGAAAACAAACAAATTTTTTGATTGAACAATAGTTATGTGACTTAAAAACAAAGAAGTTCGGGGGTAAATTGAATAGATTTAAATCGAAATTACAATGGAAAACGGGGGTAAATTGAATAGATTTAAATAGAAAAGACAATCGAAAATCGGGGGTAAATTGAATAGATTTAAATAGAAAAGACAATCGAAAATCGGGGGTAAATTGAATTGATTTAAATTGAAAATACAATGAAAAATCGGGGGTAAATTGAATTGATTTAAATCGAAAATACAATGGAAAACGGGGGTAAATTCAATAGATTTAAATTGAAAATACAATGAAAAATCGGGGGTAAATTGAATTGATTTAAATCGAAAATACAATGGAAAATGGGGGTAAATTCAATAGATTTAAATCGAAAATACAATGGAAAACGGGGGTAAATTCAATAGATTTAAATCGAAAATACAATGGAAAACGGGGGTAAATTCAATAGATTTAAATCGAAAATACAATGGAAAACGGGGGTAAATTCAATAGATTTAAATCGAAAATACAATGGAAAACGGGGGTAATTTCAAAAGATTTGAGACTAAAATATAATAGTAAATCGGGGCTCAATTCAATAAAAGTTACGAAGAAATAGAACAGGAATGGAACGATAATTTTCGCATTTGAAATATAAAAACTGAGAAGTTGATTCTTGAGAAAACGCAAACTGGAGTACAACATAGACGAATTTGTATCGTAAAAAGTCTTCAAATTCTAAAGGGACGAAAGAGCTTTTCAGAGGCAATAAAATCAATTCAAATATCGCAGTTTAACAGAGTTAATATGGAATGCAGGGTGACCTTGAGGGGGATTAAAGCTACCAGAAGGGAAATTCTGAAGGCTGTAAATAGGGGTTTGCCTATAAGGGGTTTTCCAACCAGAAGTAAATATGCTTCTCACGTGATTATTATCAAAGATGAGGAAAATAACTGTAGCAATTTTACCAAAAAAGTAAAAAAGATCAGAAGATGACACAGTTTTGCTTGTTTTGGGTTATATCAGACGTAACTTGAAAAAAAATTAGAAACTGCAGAACTAGGATACAACGAAAACGTAACTAAACATCAAAATATATGTCAGTACTCAAAATTGTTCCAAATTAGTAAATACAAGTCCCGGCGTTTGAAAGTTCGAAAGCTGGAAGGAGAACCATCTTCGCTTCGAGCGCACGTGGCTTAAGTATTTGAAGTCTTCCGCAAATATTTCACAAGCGCTATATAGCGAATTACCTGCAAACAAGTGAAAAATGTCTTAGTATTTTGCTCCAGCACTAATCGATATGAAAGATCTAAAACGAAATTGGTTGAAGATTTCTCACCTTGTCATGCCATGCATCTTCACGATCAAGAGTTGAAATCATACCAAAACGTGTCCATAGATGATCACAAATATCCAAATGGCATCAGGATACGAATTCGATATCTGCTAGCTTCTAAGTGGCAGATGCAAAGTAAATAAATCCGAATTCTGAACGGCAATTTTCAATACATGGCAGGTCGTAGCAGCCCCAGCGTGGCTATCAGTTGGTGTGAGGGCTTCTTGGTCTGTTCCAAAGAGAACCCGTGCTCAAGATCTAAAATATCAACCTGTTATCATTTCTTTTAATATCTTCCATCCGAACTTTTTAACTTGAGTTCTAAAAAGTAAACAAACGATTGACAACAACATTGGATTTGATTAATTTTATTTTTCGTGATCCAGACCACGTTCGTAGGTGTAAAATATCTTTGTTTTCCAATTGAAAAGAGCTGCTTGAAATTCAAAAGAGGGGCATGCTGCAATTGTGAGGGTTGAAAACCTGTGGCAATGTACTGCAAAATGCCAGTTTTCCGAGGTGAAACGTAGTCAAAATTCGCTAGAAAAACACAGTGAATGAGATAAAATAAGACTGTTTGTTTGTGGAGTGGTACTCCAGATTTCTAAAGCAACTAAAATGCACTAACATTTGATTTTGAAAGAGCGAAGGTTTGAAAAACTAATTTGAGAAATGAAGAAATTGACAATGCTTTGAGTTATGCAAGAAAAGCAATCAATAAATTTGGCATTTCAGACTGGATTTTGTGACAGCGTGCAGGGTCTTAGAGCTGAAGTCAGCCTTGGGGCCTGTACCCTTAGGTTTTGAAAGTACATAGCATCAGTGCATAATCATAATAATAACTTTATTACAGTGTCTTATATATTTAGCACTCCTGCTTATTGGGGACACTATTAACACACAATCTTTTAAAAACTTAATCTATAAAAACAAGATAAAATAATCATATTCTATCTTGATAAAAAGTAGTATAAAGAAGTCTGATTTCAAGAAAAATTACACAGACTTCATTGTTCATTGCATGGAACGAATGACTCGAATAAGCTTTTGACTTTCCATAAATTTGTAACAAGTGACCTTAGTTAAAAAAAATCGTTATGCCAACTTTTCTTTGTTCGATCATAACTATGATAATTAGTCTATCAGCGAGGGGTTAGTGGAGCAAATTACAGGAGAGGGGTAATTTGCGATGGGGGATATAAAAAGAGAATCAGAGTAGCAGAAGCACTGCTTACTCTTGGGCAACTATTTTGAGAAATGCCAAAATTAGACAGAATAAAGTTCATATTCATTAATCACTAAGACTCAAAAATACAGAAAGGGAAACAAAAAAAAGAATTCTAGAAAAGCTGATATTCAGTTTAGTCTAGCTTTTGTGGCTAAGATTTTAGCATTTTCAAAACAATCAGTTAATACTGATTGCACGGGCCGCTGTGAGTCCTGACTGCCAAATTAAAAGCCCCGAGTCCTGACGGCCTCAAGAACAGCCCCGAATCCTGACGGCCTCAAGAACAGCCCCGAATCCTGACGGCCAAAGGAACAGCCCCGAGTCCTGACGGCCAAATGGACAGCACCGATGCCCAGCACCCCCGACCCAAAGATTTGAACCTAAAAAAATCATTTGATATACCTTTAGGCTGTAGATGAATCTCCTTATAAAACTTGCATTTCTAGCCGAAAATGGCACCATTGTAGGTCTCAAAAACGACTGATTCATGTTTACGAAATAAGATTTGGAGGAACCCTATAATTTGGGCGGAGGAGAAGGCTAAAACTTTGACTCAACTAAGAGGCGAATAACTTCATCAAGTGTTGAAAACAAACTGGTCTCGATATTGAAAATATAAGTGCAGAATTGTTACAGAAATATCCGCTCCACAAAACATAGTAGCGGACAGGAAGCTTGAAAAAAGGAGACTTGCAACGAGAAAGAGTGGGTCTTTATAAAAAAAGAAAGATAAAAATTCAATGAGAAGGTAGAATGATGAAAGGAAAGGGAAAATTGAAAAAAAGAAAAAGGGAGCAAAAAAATTGAGGCTTCAACAATCTGGCAGATAATGAATGTGACGTCACATTTGTTTTTAGACCAACGCCTTCAGGCAAGATTCGTATACAATAAATCTGACGTCATAGACGCCGTTGGTTGCTATAAAAGGGGGTGCATAGAAAACTAGATTATTTCGTGAAGATTATAGCAAGCTAACCGGTGTTCTACAGCAGCCTGCAGTGTTCTGCATTAATCTTACAAGCTGACATTGCTAATGTGGATATTGGTAAGCTGCATTCAGTATTGTGATTCAATTCAGTTTCGTTTGAGGTCATTTCAGTATTAATTTCTAACAATTAAGCCTATTTATTCTTCCAAAACTCCTTTGGAAAAGATCATAACAACCCTTCAGATAGGGTGTCTGTTTAAAAAGGCAGAGAGATAGGTGGGGGGGGGGGGGGGGAATGGTCTAGTTGAAGAAAATTCCAAACGAAAGTCTAGGTGATGCAAAATGTTATTATACAAGAATCTCATTCTACAAAGCAAACTTTAAAGATTTTGTTGCGTTTTAAAAGCAGAAGATTTGAAATGGAACTTATTTTTCTTCAATGCCACCTTCGCCTTAAATAATATTAAATTCAAGCTTAGTGGTGTTTCCAATCTTTCTCCATCTACTTTCGAAAACAATTCTCATAACTTCTGAAAACATATTTTGTAAATCATACAAACGACAACATGTCTAGTCCCCGTTGCAAAGTACAGATTATTTATGGGGAAGACTTTCAAAGGTGCTGATAGATTCAAGCATGATAGGAAGAAGGGTAAAGATTTTTGTTAAACGAGATCCAATGTGATTTGATATCATGTAACTATTTCGCTGCAAGCATTGCATAAATCTTCGTGAATGCATTTATAAAAGGGCAGTTGATGCACAGCAATATGTGAACAGTTTCTGCTTACCTGTATTCATAGCTAAGCATGCCAATGCAAACCACTCTGTTGAACGTCACTCACATGGAGGCTTTATAAGACAGGGCTCTATTTTCTTTTTGGGTCAGAAGAACCTTGAGACTTGTGCTTTGACCTGATAGCAGAAATTTCACTTCATCTCATTCCTTCTTTCGTGGATGGATTTTTCCCTGTCAAGAAAGTAACCAAAAGTTTCATTTCAATTTTTACAGCCATTTAAAAATCAATAAGAAAAGCTTACCGTTTGCCATAAAACAGTTCAATTCAATTCATAAGGCAATTTTTATCATAAAACAGAAAGCAACTTGCCTGATATTGTTACAAAATCTACACATTATTTCACTTCATCTACATGCTTAAAAATCGATGTTAATCCCTTGTTGAAGCAAACACCACATTCATAATTGCACTGTCTTGTAAAATGGTGGCTAACGCTCTCTGTAACTTTGATTGTAGCAGCGGTGTCACAAATTTTGATGCCTTCAAAATAATTTCACAGGTCCGGTTTCTTGTCCTTTCGGCGACCAAAAACCCAAAAAACCTAGAGAAGAAGAACGAGCCCATTATATAGTTAATCTGCACTTCATAAGCTGGGAAAATAGGGGACGTTGGGTATCATCCTAATTAAAAAAATTACTGATTTAATTACAATTAAAGTTAACAATTTTGCTGGATCTTGTGCATGGTCTGGCAAGTGCTTTGCGATAAAGTTATTTCAGTATTTTAAAATTCTTTTATCGATTGAATTGATCACTTGTGTGAAGAACAGGGTGTTTTTAAACTACAAGGATCCATCCAGTTCCACAACTTGGAAACTTCCTGTTTTCCAATGCCGGTATAGCATCAAGAAGCATTAAACAGCGACAAAAATAATAATCTTATTCCTGTCTAGATAACGTGAAAGAAATATCATTCAAAGACTGAAATTCAAACAGAAGGCTACTGGATTAAGCTGCTGCAAGAAAGTTGGTGCATGGTTAAAGCTTTGAATTCCCAATTCATTTACATTAATTCATCAAATCAAAGATGAAGATTTGAAAAATTTATAAAAGAAACATTTTGTTGTAGATTAATGCAGATCTCTTTGGCTTGCATCTCGCAAAGAAAGACATAACTCAAATCTGTTTCTTTTGGTTTTTTCTTTGGCTCAATTACAATATATGTTAAAAGAGTAAAGGAAAAAATAAAAGTCATTTGAATTTTTTGAAGTAAAGACTACTGTTTACTGTCATTCATGAATTGTTTCACGAGCTGTGAATGGTTTGGTATGAAGAACAGCACGGTTCTAAGTTGCTACTTTCAATTTTCTTATTATGTTTTATGCTTAAAGTGATCATCAGGCAACTCCTCTATTACTCTTTCTAAAAGCTTCATGTAAGGATATTTTGCAACATGCTTATTATGAGAATTCCTCTAAACATTCTGTCTAGTGTCCAGTCTTTATGTGCTTGCTTAGTGGAATCGTTAGCAACAATACGGTTTATAATAAGATGCGCTGTTCTCTGTTTGTCTTTTTCTAATATCTGCTGGACGTACTGTTACTTTGGAAAAAGGGAGATAAGAATTGGCATAATTCACTACCTTTTAATGAGTTTTATGAAAAAGTAGACACAGAAGGACTTTAACTTACAATAAAAGAGGTCTGATATTCATTAACAAATTTAAAAAATAGGTAATAAAGAGGTGAGTGCAAGCATTGACAAAAAGTTGCATCACAGAAAGGGAAAAATAAACTTTTGGACAACAGCATCAATAGAGTTTTCAAAATTGAAGCAAATAAGAAAAAGTTTAGAGGAGCAAGCAAAAAGGCTCTTTAACGAGAGGTAAAATGTGATTCCGATTCGTAGGGGAAAGAAAAAATGGAATGAAAAAAGAGGGAACGTAGGACGGTAGCAATAAAGAGTAAAGGCAGAAAGATAAATTGAATCTGAGGGCAATGTCAGTAAGAGAGCATTGGATTCAAAGAAATTGAGAATAGGGAAGATTGACTGAAAGCAAAAGAGAAAAACAAGGCTAGAGTTAAAAGACACTAGACTGGTCTCTGCTAAGATTAAATCCTTAGGAACTTAATGTCTTCATCAATCAGGTCCTTAATGAATTTGACATCACATTCGTTTTTAAGACCAACACTTAAAGGTATGATATCACGTATACAATCAATCTGACGTCACAAACGGTTTTGATTGCTATAAAAGGGGATGCGTACAGCAAGAGATTACTTGGCGAAGAGTTTCGTTATCTAAGCGGTGTTCTTCAGCAATCTCCTACAAGTTGTGAATATAGTTTGTACAAAAGATCTACGTGTATCTACGTGAGCTGTTGTTTGTGATTTGTGCGTTACTTACATCGGAAAATGATCAACATGTCGTTGAAAAGTGAAGAGAAAACGGCCGGTGGTGACTCGACTTTGGTGAAGGAGCTAATAAGCGAACTGGAGACGTCGAGGAAAGAAGCGAGCAAGCTAAAAGAACTGAACGGAGTTTTGGTGAAGTGAGTGCAAATTGTCGATTCTTCATAAAGTTTAATACCTTTTTGCTTTTAACGAAATAATTTTGAAAGTATTGAACGAGGATCAAGATACATTTTATCCTAAGTTTCTTTGCCTTAATGTGAAACCTCAACTGCAAGTAAATGTTTTCTGTCGAGCATCGACAACAAAAAATTATATGAGTTCTTTTTTTATTCCAGAAAATCCAAGGACCGAGAGAGAGCATTTAAGTTAGAGAAGGATCAGTGCAAAATGGAGGTAAGCATGGTTTACAAATACAGTTTCTTATAAGAAAATGATACCAAAAACTTTCATTAATACTTCATGTTCCTATAGAGCTTAATGTTTTACTTTTGCTGTATCGATAAACGATTTCCAAGGAATCTTTTAGACGACAAATAATTTTGGATATATTTTCTGATCCTAGATAAATGATCTTAAAATGCAAATGAGTGGCTTGACGGAAGTACTAAACTATCAACAAGACATGGCGGATGAGTTGGTACAACGCGAGCCAGAGAAAGTCAAGAAATTGAAACGTCAGAAAAAGGAGTTGACTGACAAGTGTCAAGAGAAGGAGAAGCAGTTAGAAGGAATGAAGAAAAGTTTACAAGAAATGAAAGTTGCCTTTGGAAGCAAGAAAACCGAAAACAAAGAAATCAAAGAGGCAATGCTGGAATTGAAAGGCGAAAACATCAAACTTCTCAGTGAAAATTCTCTACTTGAAGGTCGTCTTGAAGAGAAAGAAAATAACCTTTTCAAAAAAGAAGACAAAATTTCGGATCTCAAACATCAGATGGAAGAGCTTAAAAACAAAATGCAAAATGACCAGACATGCATTGCTCGACAAGCATCGATCATTTCTAACCAGGAGGCAACGATCGAGCAGATGGAGATTGATGCAGTCAAAAAGGATTTGAGAATATGGGAGTTCAAGCATGAAATGAAGGAAGCCAACACCAAAGTGATAAAAGAAGTGGCTGAAATTACTGTAAAGAACGTCATCAGAAAAGAAGGGGACGAAGCTCGAAGTTTGAATCTGGAAAACACAAATGTCAAACTCAGGTCAGAAATTGAATCTTTGATGCAGAAGACAAAAAGGCTGGAGAAATTAGTTACCGAGCTGCAGGACAATGTACAAAACATGGCAGCCACAGCTGAATCAAACATTAGAGAAATGGCCGACGAAATTCAAGAAGCCACTAAGAGGGCGGAAACTTCAGAAAGGAGGGCAAACGAGCTTGAATCATGTCTCAACGAGACTACTGAATCATTGGCAAATGCTACGGAGCAAATCGAAATCACAATACAAGAAAAAGATGCCCTTCTTGTCAGCCTGAAGGAGAAGGACCAGGCTTTGAAGTGGCAGCTCCGTGAAAACAAGCAAATGAGGTATGAGATTGACATTCAAGACATGAGGATCGAAAACATGGCAGCGAGGCTTAAAAACATTGCACAGATTTGCTTTGATACCCCAGAGCTTAATGGGGACAGTGACGAGAGGTTGGATCAAATGATCGAAAGAATACAAGGGATGCAGGAAACATTGGCAAAAGTGGAAGTGAAAAAGAAGCCTTTTGTGAAAAGACTTTTTAAAAGATTTCGTTGTGCAAACAGACTTTAACAAATATAAGACAACGTTAACATCCATATAGTATTTAAACTTTTTTCTAAGTATTGTAATTGATTAAAATTTTGTTTGGAAAAAAAGATTTTCTTTGAAAAAGTTTTGTATATTTTTGTCTCTCTCTTTCTGGCTCAGTGTGGATATTGCTAAGCTGCATTCACTATTGTGATTCAATTCAGTCTCGTTTGAGGTCGTTTCAGTATTATTTTCTAACAATCAAGCCTATTTATTCTTCCAAAACTCCTTTGGAAAAGATCATAACAACGCTTCAAACACGGTGTCTGTTTAAAAAGGCAGAGAGATATGTGGGGGGGGGGGAATGGTCTAGTTGAAGAAAATTCCAAACGAAAGTCTAGGAGATGCAAAATGTTATTATACAAGAATCTGATTCTACAAAGCAAACTTCAAATATTTTGTTGCGTTTTAAAAGCAGAAGACTTGAAATGGAACTTATTTTTTCTTCAATGCCACCTTCGCTTTGAATAACATTAAATTCAAGCTTAGTGGTGTTTCCAATTTTTTCCCTGCTTCCTTCTGATACCGAAAACAATTTTAATAACTTCTGAAAACATATTTTGGAGATCATACAAACAACAACAAATTTCTAGTTCCTGTTGCATAGTACAGATTATTTATGGGGAGGATTTTCAAAGGTGCTGATAGATTCAAGCATGATAGGAAGAAGGGTAAAGATTTTTGAACAATTTTTTTGCGGTACAGAATTTGAAAATGGCTTTGAAAAAAGCAAACATTTTACAACATACTTAAAGCTTTTTCGTCTGACACTCCTCAGAGCATAAAACGTCAGAATAAGGTTCCGAAACAAACACGTTTGAAAAATATATACCCAGTTGTGGATCGAAATAGGCCAATCAGAAAAACGCAAGCACAAGACCGGTATAGTTGACCAATCAGTGCCGCAAGCCTAAAGAAAAATTACCAATGGAGTCCAAGAGAGAAAACGAACTCCTTTTGTCTACACAATGGCGGCTTTTCGTTTTTATGTAGATTGACTCCAAAACTGCTAGATGGAAGGACGACCGGGCTCTGCCAATTATCCGAAACATGTCGTCATTATAGAGTTTTGCACAATCTGGGTTGTCTAAAAGATGTTGACCAATGGCAGAATCACTTGTTTTAACAGTGTTTCTAGACCTACAAGATCGAGCCGCCATTGTGTAGACAAAAGGAGTTCGTTTTCTCTCTTGGACTCCATTGGTAATTTTTCTTTAGGCTCGCGGCACTGATTGGTCAACTATACCGGTCTTGTGCTTGCAATTTTCTGATTGGCCTATTTCGATCCACAACTGGGTATATATTTTTCAAACGTGTTTTTTCGGAACCTTATTCTGACGTTTTATGCTCTGAGGAGTGTCAGACGAAAAAGCTTTAAGTATGTTGTAAAATGTTTGCTTTTTTCAAAGCCATTTTGTAAAGATTTTTGTTAAACGGGATTAGATGTGATTTGATATCATGTACTCATTTCGCTGCAAGCATTTCATAAATCTTCATGAATGCATTTATGAAAGAGCAGTTGATGCACAGCAATATGTAAACATTGTCTTCTTACCTATATACATAGCTAGGCATGCCAATATTACCCACTGTACTGAACGCTACTCAAACGGAGGCCACATCAAATAGGGCTTTATTTCCTTTCGGGTCAGACGATGCTGAAGACTTGTGCTTTGACCTGATAGCAAAAGTTTAACTTCATCTCTATCCTTCTTTCGTGGGTGGATTTTTCCCTGTCAATAGAGCAACCAAAAGATTCATTGCAATTTTTACAGCCATTTTAAAATCAATAAGAAAAGCTTACCGTTTGCCATAACACAGTTCAATTCAATTCAAAAGGCAATTTTTATCACAAAACCGAAATCAACTTGCCTGATATTGTTACAAAATCTACACATCATTTCACTTCATCTACATGCTTGACAATCGATGTTAATCCCTTGTTGAAGCAAACACCACATTCATAATTGCACTGTCTTGTAAAATGGTGGCTAACGCTCTCTGTAACTTTGATTGTAGCAGCGGTGTCACAAATTTTGGTGCCTTCAAAATCATTTCACAGGTCAGGTTTCCTGTCCTTTCGGCGACCAAAAACCCAAAAAACCTAGAGAAGAAGAACGAGCCCATTATATAGTTAATCTGCACTTCATGAGCTGAGAAAAATAGTGGACGTTGGATAATTCCTGTCTAGATAACGTGAAAGAAATATCATTCAAAGACTGAAATTCAAACAGAAGGCTACTGGATTAAGCTGCTGCAAGAAAGTTGGTGCATGGTTAAAGCTTTGAATTCCCAATTCATTTACATTAATTCATCAAATCAAAGATGAAGATTTGAAAAATTTATAAAAGAAACATTTTGTTGTAGATTAATGCAGATCTCTTTGGCTTGCATCTCGCAAAGAAAGACATAACTCAAATCTGTTTCTTTTGAATTTTTCTTTGGCTCAATTACAATATATGTTAAAAGAGTAAAGGAAAAAATAAAAGTCATTTGAATTCTTTGAAGTAAAGACTACTGTTTACTGTCATTCATGAATTGCTTCACGAGCTGTGAATGGTTTGGTATGAAGAATAGAACGGTTCTAAGTTGCTACTTTCAATTTTCTTATTATGTTTTATGCTTAAAGTGATCATCAGGCAACTCCTATATTACTCTTTCTAAAAGCTTCATGTAAGGATATTTTGCAACATGCTTTTTATGAAAATTCCTCTAAACATTCTGTCTAGTGTCCAGTCTTTATGTGCTTGCTTAGTGGAATCGTTAGCAACAATACGGTTTATATTAAGATGCGCTGTTGTCTATTTGTCTTTTTCTGATATCTGCTGGACGTACTGTTACTTTGGAAAAAGAGAGATAAGGATTAGCATAATTCACTACCTTTTAATGAGTTTTATGAAAAGTAGACACAGAAGGACTTTAACTTACAATAAAAGAGGTCTGATATTCATTAACAAATTTAAAAAATAGGTAATAAAGAGGTGAGTGCAAGCATTGACAAAAAGTTGCATCACAGAAAGGGAAAAATAAACTTTTGGACAACAGCATCAATAGAGTTTTCAAAATTGAAGCAAATAAGAAAAAGTTTAGAGGAGCAAGCAAAAAGGCTCTTTAACGAGAGGTAAAATGTGATTCCGATTCGTAGGGGAAAGAAAAAATGGAATGAAAAAAGAGGGAACGTAGGACGGTAGCAATAAAGAGTAAAGGCAGAAAGATAAATTGAATCTGAGGGCAATGTCAGTAAGAGAGCATTGGATTCAAAGAAATTGAGAACAGGGAAGATTGACTGAAAGCAAAAGAGAAAAACAAGGCTAGAGTTAAAAGACACTAGACTGGTCTCTGCTAAGATTAAATCCTTAGGAACTTAATGTCTTCATCAATCAGGTCCTTAATGAATTTGACATCACATTCGTTTTTAAGAACAACAACTAAAGGTAAGATATCACGTATACAATCAATCTGACGTCACAAACGGTTTTGATTGCTATAAAAGGGGATGCGTACAGCAAGAGATTACTTTGTAAAGAGTATCGTTATCTAAGCGGTGTTCTTCAGCAATCTTCTACAAGTTGTGAATACAGTTTGTACAAAAGATCTACGTGTATCTACGTGAGCTGTTGTTGGTGATTTGTGCGTTACTTACATCGGATTATGATCAACATGTCGTTGAAAAGTGAAGAGAAAACGGCCGGTGGTGACTCGACTTTGGTGAAGGAGCTAATAAGCGAACTGGAGACGTCGAGGAAAGAAGCGAGCAAGCTAAAAGAACTGAACGGAGTTTTGGTGAAGTGAGTGCAAATTGTCGATTCTTCATAAAGTTTAATACCTTTTTGCTTTTAACGAAATAATTTTGAAAGTATTGAACGAGGATCAAGATACATTTTATCCTAAGTTTCTTTGCCTTAATGTGAAACCTCAACTGCAAGTAAATGTTTTCTGTCGAGCATCGACAACAAAAAATTATATGAGTTTCTTTTTTTATTCCAGAAAATCCAAGGACCGAGAGAGAGCATTCAAGTTAGAGAAGGATCAGTGCAAAATGGAGGTCAGCATGGGTTACCAATACAGTTTCTTATAAGAAAGTGATACCAGAAACTTTCATTAATACTCCATGTTCCTATAGAGCTTAATGTTTTACTTTTGCTGTATCGATAAACGATTTCCAAGGAATCTTTTAGACAAAAAATAATTTTGGATATATTTTCTGATCCTAGATAAATGATCTTAAAATGCAAATGAGTGGCTTGACGGAAGTACTAAACTATCAACAAGACATGGCGGATGAGTTGGTACAACGCGAGCCAGAGAAAGTCAAGAAATTGAAACGTCAGAAGAAGGAGTTGACTGACAATTGTCAAGAGAAGGAGAAGCAGTTAGAAGGAATGAAGAAAAGTTTACAAGAAATGAAAGTTGCCTTTGAAAGCAAGAAAACCGAAAACAAAGAAATCAAAGAGGCAATGCTGGAATTGAAAGGCGAAAACATCAAACTCCTCAGTGGGAATTCTTTACTTGAAGGTCGTCTTGAAGAGATAGAAAATAACCTTTTCAAAAAAGAAGACGAAATTTCGGATCTCAAACATCAGATAGAAGAGCTTAAAAACAAAATGCAAAAAGACCAGACATGCATTGCTCGACAAGCATCAATCATTAATAACCAGGAGGCAACGATCGAGCAGATGGAGGTTGATGCAGTCAAAAAGGGTCTGAGAAAATGGGAGCTAAAGCAAGAAATGAAGGAAGCCAACACCAAAGTGGTAAAAGAAGTGGCTGAAATTACTGTAAAGAACGTCGTCAGGGAAGCAGGAGACAAGGCTCGAATTTTGAATCTGGAAAACAAAAATATCTCACTCAGGTCAGAAATTGAATCTTTGATGCAGAAAACAGAAAGGCTGGAGAAATTAATTACCGAGCTGCAGAACAATGCACAAAACATGGCAGCCACAGCTGAATCAAAGATTAGAGAAATGGCTGACAAAATTCAAGAAGCCACTAAGAGTGCGGAAACTTCAGAAAAGAGAGCAAACGAGCTTGAATCATGTCTCAACGAGACTACTGAATCATTTACAAATGCTACGGAGCAAATCGAAATCACAATACAAGAAAAAGATGCCCTTCTTGTCAGCCTGAAGGAGAAGGACCGGGCTTTGAAGTGGCAGCTCCGTGAAAACAAGCAAATGAGGTATGAGATTGACATTCAAGACATGTGGATCGAAAACATGGCAGCGAGGCTTAAAAACATTGCACAGATTTGCTTTGATACACCAGAGCTTAATGGGGACAGTGAGGAGAGGTTGGATCAAATGATCGAAAGAATACAAGGGATGCAGGAAACATTGGCAAAAGTGGAAGTGAAAAAGAAGCCTTTTGTGAAAAGACTTTTTAAAAGATTTCGTAGTGCAAACAGACTTTAACAAATATAAGACAACGTTAACATCCATATAGTATTTAAACTTTTTTCTAAGTATTGTAATTGGTTAAAATTTTGTTTGGAAAAAAAGATTTTCTTTGAAAAAGTTTTGTATATTTTTGTCTCTCTCTTTCTGGCTCAGTGTGGATATTGCTAAGCTGCATTCACTATTGTGATTCAATTCAGTTTCGTTTGAGTCGTTTCAGTATTATTTTCTAACAATCAAGCCTATTTATTCTTCCAAAACTCCTTTGGAAAAGATTATAACAACACTTCAAACACGGTATCTGTTTAAAAAGGCAGAGAGATATGTGGGGGGCGGGGGCTAGTTGAAAAAAATTCCAAACGAAAGTCTAGGTGATGCAAAATGTTATTATACAAGAATCTCATTCTACAAAGCAAACTTCAAAGATTTTGTTGCGTTTTAAAAGCAGAAGACTCGAAATGGAACTTATTTTTTTTTAATGCCACCTTCGCCTTAAATAACATTAAATTCAAGCTTAGTGGTGTTTCCAATCTTTCTCCTTCTACTTTCGAAAACAATTCTCATAACTTCTGAAAACATATTTTGTAAATCATACAAACGACAACAAATGTCTAGTCCCTGTTGCAAAGTGTAGATTATTTATGGGAAAGATTTTCAAAGGTGCTGAGAGATTAAAGCATGATAGGATGAAGGGTAAAGAGTTTTGTCAAACAAGATCCAATGTGATTTGATATCATGTAACTATTTCGCTGCAAGCATTGCATAAATTTTCGTGAATACATTTATGAAAGAGCAGTTGATGCACAGCAATATGTAAACGATGTCTGCTTACCTATAAACATAGCTAGCCATTTCAATATTACCCACTCTGTTGAACGCTATTCAAACGGAGGCCACATCGAATAGGGTTCCATTTCCTCTCGGGTCAGAAGGTGCTGAAGACTTGTGCTTTGACCTGATAGCAGAAATTTCACTTCATCTCATTCCTTCTTTTGTGGATAGATTTTTCCCTGTCAAGAAAGCAACCAAAAGTTTCATTTCAATTTTTACAGCCATTTAAAAATCAATATGAAAAGCTTACCGTTTGCCATAACATAGTTCAATTCAATTTATAAGGCAATTTTTATCAAAAAACAGAAAGCAACTCGCCTGATATTGTTACAAAATCTATACATTATTGAATAAATAAAAATAATAAGCTAACTTAAGTTTTATTCTTGATTTTGAATAGCAAAAAGCAACGGGGATGCATATTACCAAACTTCTAGTAAAAGGCAATATATGTTCTTTTAGATTTAAGTTGTTTGTTTTATTGAAAAACATCTTACCAATGACAACATAATGACTGGATGAATTAAAATTACGAAGCATGGTCAAGGGTCAACATTTTCTTAAACAGCTTCATAATCTCCCGATTTGTTTAATGTTTTCTAGGCCTAAACCTTCGACTACTACAAAATATTCAAATTATGTTTAAAATCAAATGACATAAAGCATTGTTCCATCTTGCAACTAAAGACTGATGCAAAAATGTTTCTATCTGAAAAAGCATCCTCTCCTAAACAGTACCCTGGGGCGGTTTTGATTCCAATTCAACTTCATCTACATGCTTGACAATCAATGTTTGTCTCTTTTAAAATCAAAATTATTGATTTGATTACAATTAAAGTTAATCGTCTTTCTAAATTTGGTGCATTGCTTTGAATTTTCAATTCATTACATTAACTCACTATAGAAAAGGTGAAATTCAAAGATGGAAAAACTAATAAAACCAAACGATTTATTTCGATGCAAACGATTTATTTAGATCTCTATGACTTACATCTCACAAAAACACACCTTATTTCGAATCTGATTTTCTTGTTTCTGGTTAAAGAAGACAACTCGAAAACCAGGTTGTGTTGAGCAGAGATGAACTTGTATTCTTGTATTTATCTCGCTAGTTTTCAAGGTAAGGATAATCTGCAACATGCTTTGCATGGAAAATCACCTACATCCTCTATCTAGTGTCCAGTCTTTGTATGTTTTAATTGTTATCGTTAGCAACAATATGGTTTATACTAAGGTGCCGGGCTGCTTGTTCCATTTTTCTGACCTCTGCTGGCCGTACTGTTAACTTACAGTTATATAATTTCACCACAGAAGTACATATATTTTCGAAAAAATTTTGGATTCCAGAATCATTTAGCCACTGTCTTGGAGGATAATTGAGTACTGTAGAGCAAGGAATACAGGTAAATCGGTCTTCACAAGATAGCGTTAAAATAAAAAAGGTTAATGTGAGCAGGTCATATGATTTAGCACCAGATGCAAAGGAAAGGTCGTATTAGGTCTCTTTCATTCTTTATTCTTCATTTCTCCCAATGTATATCCTTCCAAGAGGTGATAGCTCTAACATATTTTCCCTTGCAGGCGGCGACATAGAATTGTGAGGAAAAAACCTTTGCCAAATGAAAAAGAAAAAGAACTGGGCTATCAAGCATTTTTGAAAACTTCTTAACGACATAAATTACCTGAACGAAAGTACTTTCCATGTTATCGAGGTGCAATTCACCTTTGAGTAAGGATTTCCCGATTTTTACTATAGAGTGATTTGTATCCTGGGTACCAGAGCCTCATGAAAACCGGGGGTACAGTATTGTGAAAGGCTAATCCTTACTCAATAAGTTCTTCTGTGATTTGCTTCTAAAAATATTTCTGAGACTAAAGAATGGAGACTCTGGCACCCAGGGTGAGTGATTTGCTGCTCGGATTTTGTCAGTTAAAATCCGAATCTTCAATAACCAAATTTGGTTACGGAATTTGGTCAATATTGGTCATAAATTATATCTTTATATGATATTGAAGACCGGATCAGTGAGTGCTAATTTTTTGCCTCAAGTTTGAAAATTTTGTCCCAAACATTTGAAACATTTGAAAACGAGAACAGGGAAGTCGATCAATACCATTGCTTTCGACCAGTAGATGCTCACTTTAAAATAGGAATTTATTATTAGAATTCGCTGAAAAGAATACAATTCCCTGTGAACTTGAAGCATTAAGATTATAAAAAATTTTCCTTCCTGCGGCAACTCTAATAATAAAGGAAGGAACTTTCTCAGGAAGGAACTTTGTTTTGCACTTGCTCTAATCTACCGATCTATAGGGCTGCGAAGTGCCAGGGACGATCACAGTATGTATGAGAGAATAGAGACAATATAAAAGTGCATTAAGCAAGAAGCATTAAGATTATAAAAAATTTTCCTTTCTGCGGAAACTCTAATAATAAAGGAAGGAACTTTCTCAGGAAGGAACTTTGTTTTGCACTTGCTCTAATCTACCGATCTATAGGGCTGCGAGGTGCCAGGGACGATCACAGTATGTATGAGAGAATAGAGACAATATAAAAGTGCATTATAAACATCTTTCCAGCTAAGGCAAAAGTTCTGAGCTTTTTCTGCCCCTCTCCCTTACATTTACATGAAATACTGCTATTTTATTAAAATAAATCAAAGAAATTTTGTCATTCTCCCCCCTCTAGAGTTCATTCGCCACGGCACCTCTGAACAGCATCAAGAGGGGTTTCGAAAATTAAGCGAATAAGAGAACATTGGAAGGAGTGTACTCAGATGCATTCTCGAATTGAAGAAAACTGAACTAAACTATAAAGACTTTAATAGCTCAAAAAGCTCTTCAATGAAAGCAAAAATTGGATTCCGATTCAAAGGTGTAAGGGAACAAGGGAAAGGAAAAAAGGAATGAACCTAGGGTTATAGAAATGAAAACAAAAGAAAGGGAAAAATTGAATGGAACTAAAAGAGCACTGGATAAAAACAAAATGAGAAGATGGAGTCTTTGATAATGTTAAGCCTTAGGTACTTGACGTCCTCAGCATGAATTTGACAAGGTTAGTAATGAATTTGACATCACATTCGTTTTTAAGACCAACAACCAAAGGTAAAATATCACGTATACAATCAATCTGACGTCACAAACGCACTTGATTGCTATAAAAGGGGATGTGTACAGAAAGAGATTACTTTGCGAAGTATATCGTTATCTAAGCGGTGTTCTTCAGCAATCTGCTACAAGTTGTGAATATAGTTTGTAGAAGAGATTTACGTGTATCTACGTGAGCTGTTGTTGGTGATTTGTGCGTTACTTACATCGGATTATGATCAACATGTCGTTGAAAAGTGAAGAGAAAATGGCCGGTGGTGACTCGACTTTGGTGGAGAAACTGATGAGCGAACTGGAGACGTCGAAGAAAGAAGCGAGCAAGCTAAAAGAACTGAACGGAGTTTTGGTGAAGTGAGTGATAATACATCTTTCTAATTAAAATACAGTGATTAAACTAAACTAATTGAAATAAAGTGAAGTTTTGTAGGACTCGCAGATTAACAGTTAGACTGAGTAATAAAAATTAAGAGAAAGTAAAACTGATTCTAATTTGAAAGCAGTTTCTGATTCTCAAGTTAATATGATATAAAAAAACACAAGTTAAAATTCGTCTTTCAATTTTGACTATTTCTTAAAGAGCTAATAGAGAAATGACAACATAATAAAACATATCTTTTTCAGGAAATCCAAAGATCGAGAGATGGCTTTAAAGATGGAGAAGAACCAGTGCCAAGTGGAGGTGAAAATTCTACACGAATTAAAGCATTTGTCAGTAGCACTAGGCCCTCTTTTATTAATGTTTTTAATCACATCTTTCAATTCGTTAAATTTGCCGGACTTGTTCAAACTCATAAGCATTTTTTAGAATTGGTCTTTCTACATCATATTCCATCTGCACTTGGAGGAAACTCAACGAATATTGTTTATTATCGCAGATCAATGATCTCAAAATTCAAATGGAGGGCTTGACGGAAGTACTAAACTATCAACAAGACATGGCGGATGAGTTGGTACAACGTGAGCCAGAGAAAGTCAAGAAATTGAAACGTCAGAAGAAGGAGTTGACTGACAAGTGTCAAGAGAAGGAGAAACAGTTAGAAAAAATGAAGAAAAGTTTGCAAGAAATTAAATTTGCCTTTGAAAGCAAGGAAACAGAAAACAAGGAAATCAAAGAGGCAATACTGGAATTGAAAGGCGAAAACATCAAACTCCTCAGTGAAAATTCTCTACTTGAAGGTCGTTTTGAAGAGAAAGAAAATAACCTTTTCAAAAAAGAAGAAAAAATTGCTGATCTGGAACTTGAGATAGTAGAGCTTAAAAACAAAATGCAAAAAGACCAGACATGCATTGCTCGACAAGCATCGATCATTTCTAACCTTGAAGCAACGATCGAGCAGAAGGAGATTGATGCAGTCAAAAAGGATCTGAGAATATGGGAGCTAAAGCAAGAAATGAAAGAAGCCAACACCAAAGTGATAAAAGAAGTGGCTGAAATTACTGTAAAGAACGTCATCAGGGAAGCAGGAGACAAGGCTCAAATTTTGAATCTGGAAAACAAAAATATCTCACTCAGGTCAGAAATTGAATCTTTGATGCAGAAAACAGAAAGGCTGGAGAAATTAGTTGCAGGACAATGCACAAAACATGGCAGCCACAGCTGAATCAAAAATCAGAGAAATGGTTGACCAAATGCAGAGAACAAACGAGAGGGCACAGCTTTCAGAGGAAAAGGCAAATGAGATAGAAAAAGGCCTTGTTTACATAAATTTAGCATTTGCAGGCGCTCAGGAGCATATCGTGGTGATGAATCAAGAAAAAGAGGCGGTTTTGGAGAAGCTACGAGAAAGAGATCAGGCTTTGAACAGGCAATTGAATGTAAATAATCAACTGAGACAAGACATTGATACTCGTAATGACCTAATACAAAAACTCGGAGAACGAGTGAGTGGTTTCGTCAAAATTTTAATTGGTGAACCAGGGGCCACTGAGGGTATCATCCATAAGGTGGATCAAATGAAGGGAAAGATAGACAGTATTCAAGAGAATGTTTTGAAAATAGAAGCAAAAAAGAAGAGCTTTGGAAAAAGAATGTTGGTAAGATTTCGAAAGGTGAAGTAAACTGGAGAGTTGAAGGAACCCAAATATTAGATTCGACAAGACTATAAACAATTTTGATATCTTTGTTAAGTTTTTTTATTAGAGAAAGTTTTTTATGATGTTTGTTTGAGAGAAAAATTCGATGCCTTTAATTTGAATTATATCTCTATCACGTGCCAAAGGTTTTGACTTGAATTTCACAAAATACCAACTAAAAATATACAAATGTTGAAAGGTAGGGATGTTGTTGGTTTTTTGCAGAAGTTATCGATAAGCAGAACTAGTCCATGGTACCGTTCCAAGTGAATTACAATAATGCCTAAATGTTTACATACCAAGAATTGTGTTCTGTTTATAATTTCTGGGTTTGTTAAAAGCATGGAGACAGGAAGGTAAAGGGTAAATGGAAATATGGTGTCTCAAGTTTTTTGAAACGTTATATTACTGGTGGACCATGGATCAAGCAGACGAAAGTGTTTGGTCCTGACTTTTAAATGGTTTTGTTAGAGTTGTATCAACGACCGATTGCTTGTTAGTGGTATAGCCGAGATCATTTCAAGCTATTGTATAGTAGTCACGTCCAAATCACGAGAGGACGCCTGATCACTATGACTCAATGCCTTTAGATTCTTCATGTTATGATCTTCTTCCTTGAACAAGTTAGCGCCAGAGGCAAATAAAATGACCTCTGAGTTGTATAAAGTAGGTGGCAACGATGAGGGTGAAGAGAGAGAAAAATGAAAGATTGAGAAAAAAGCATTGAAAAGAAAACAGAAGGAGCGCTAAAAGAGCAGAGTAGAAAGAGCAAATTGAGGTAAAGAGAAGAGTAGAATTCAATGACTAGCTGAAAGACATAAAGAAAGAGAAAATAAAATATAGTAATGCTGAAGGATGAAAATTTGCACTAAAAAATAATTACCTAGACCCCTCCGTGGTATTCAAAAAGTATGTAGATCCTAATTTTCTAATTCACCTTTGCTTCTCAACACAACCCTGCCTTATTCATTGTATGTTTCTCTTTAATTTACATATGGGTCACTGGCTCGGGTTTCAAACTTATTGGAGGTGGCATCGGTCGAAAAAAGTGATGAAAGGAGAGCAAAGTACAGAATGGTATTGCAAAAAAATATTATCATATTAGCAAACCAACTACAAAAAATTCCAATACTCTCGAATACCAAATAATTGTCATCCTACATATCAATTTTTGAAAAAATTCCAATCCCCCCTTCCCAATTTTTGAAAAATTGGCATGATTGTGAACAGTACATATAAAAACGTCAGTAAAGTTTATTTCACAGAGAGCTCTGTTAGAGAGTCCATGCCAGAATGGATGAAAGTGTTAAAACAGGGAGAAAGTGTGTCTCTGAAAGCTAATACTTAAACTTAAATCAGATTCAAACTAAAATGAATAAATATAAAATTTACATTTACAGTTACAGTTCCGAACGACATTCAGTTTGGTTAAGTATTTGATGACATAGGATTTCAAAGTGTTTATTCTTCCTCTGGCCAAAAAACAAAATTTTGTAAACCTTCCACAAAAGAACAATGGAAACAAAACATGTTCTGAGAGTGATTGCTGAAATTAATTTTCAAACAGTTTTCATTGACCAATTCAGTGGGATTCTGCATTTTGATGAACAGCTCTCCCATGTTATTCAGATCAAAGGAAAATTGGTTCCCCAACTTTACAATAAGCCTTTCTCAATGAAAAATGATTGCATATCATAACATAACATAAAATAATTTGAATAGAGTTGATTTGAGTAGAATCGCAGAAACATTTGAGACATATGGCAGCTACTTGAAGAAATTTGAAGCAAGCAATAGGGTAGACAATGACTCCAGGACTTCAATCTACCATTATTTGATTTTGAGGCTATACATACATTGACATATTAACCATTGTTTAACACTCATTAGTATATGTATATCATTAGTGTGTGACTCCAAAAACAATGAATCTAAAGAATTAAAGTAGTTCTACTCCAGCCTCTTGTTTGGCTGATCAAGTAATAAAAATGTTTAATAAACAAGTAAGACAAATTGGCCATAGGCATCCTATGAGGGAGGGCCTGGAGAAGAAATAGACAAAACCAGGCTGGTATAACCTGAATAGAGTCAAGCAAAAATTTAAAAGGCAAATAACAAGCAAAAGTGTGAACTGCAAATTTTTGATATGGGGTCCTTAAAATTACCAAGGAAACATGAACATGTCATTGAAAGATAGACAGCATCTTTCATATCTACGCAGTAAAATACAATTGCATGCATCACTGCCATGCCTTTAAAAATACATGAATTAAATTTCACCTTGCTTCTCTAAGAATCTTTTGTCTAATAAATGTTAATTTTTGTAACCATCTTTCTGTACGCAAGTTCTGGTCTATCAATAGACTGGGTCCAAAGAGGTCATCATCATCTTTTGTGGCTTTTGAACCATTAGTCGGTACAATTCTACTGGAAGGTGCAGGTGTAAAAGTTGATGTGGATGATCCAAATATGGCATTTTCATGACTGTCACTTTTAGTTGACATCTGATAGTTTTGGCTATTATCGTTTTGTGTGACAGGTTCCTTTTTGTTCATATTTGAGACGAAAGTTTGTTGATGGAAACCTTGGGCTTCAATCTCTGCTATTTTCTCCTTATCAACATCAAATGTTGCTGAATTTGCAGAACATAATTCCGACAAATTGCGGCTACTAGTCTCAATAAGATTTGCAACGCGCTCTTTCAAAGATATTTTCCCATCCTTTTCAGCAGTGACATCCTTGCGTATGTCTGCACTTGTCTCTTTCTTATTATGTCCGTCTTTGTTTCTCTCTTCCTTCTCTCTACGCCTTCTTTCTTCCGGCGAGCGACTTTTAGATCGATCTCTTCGTCTTTTGTCACTAGGTGAACGACTCCTTGATCGATTACGCCGACTATACTGTGACTTTTCTGCACGTTTTTCAGCTCGTGAACTCGATCGGCTGTGACTACTTCCATGGCCTGACGACCTATAATGGGTGCTACCGCTCTTGTGCTTACGGCGATCTGAATTTGCGCTCCGTGATCTTGACCTAGACCTTCTGCGTTTCTTTTTATTATCACGTTTCCGCCGGTCATAATCAGATTCATCGCTAGAAGAGTGTTTTCTTCTACTTTTTTCACGGCTGCGGCTTCGGCTGCGCGCCATTTTCTTCGCTCATTCAAAATAACCTCCATTTTACAATTGCCTCGCTTTAAATTTGACTTAATTTGGGTCGAGGTTGTTCCAAAATGATGTTGATTTTTCATCGATCACTCTTGATCAAAAGGATAGAAAAAGCAGCAGTTAGCTTTCTTGTGAAAAAGGTACCATCAGTTTTTTTATAAATGCATCTGTTCTATGTAATTTAGTATCAAATTTTCGTTAAAAAGGTCCTCTACAGACTTAATGCTCTTTTAAAGTCACACCCTCCCTGGTTTTTAATTCCCCTTGAACTGAATTTTTTAAATTGTAAATTAGGTCCATGTTCCTAATCCTTCATCGATTATGCCACTCAACATGACATTCCTCTACATCATTTACATCACTGCATACAATACTAGGACATTCCTTCTTATATTATTTACTTCATACATCTACAGGGGCGGATCTAGAAATTATTCTGAGGGGTTCTAAAACGTAAGGCTTGGTAACCCAGGGTGTTGCTATGCACAAACTCCGTACCCCTGCTAATAAGCCATAATGAAATGAAAGTCTTCCATAAACTAAAAAGCCTGGATGCCTTGATTTATATAGTAATTTTTGGTTTCAGCTTTTATGCCAATTGAACGCAATTTGCAGCTTGCCCCTCTTATATTCACTTAGGGTACAAAAGTATAGAAACTGTAGTCAAATATGATATGATGGCCCGCAGTGGCAAAAGGCCCGAGCCCACAAATTTTCAAAGCAAAATTTAATTTTTGACTCTTTGCAGCCATTTATTAGAACTTGATCAGCTTGACCAAAAAAAAAAACGTGGCTGGTGGAATGAAGCCCTTGAAGTGCAGTGCAAAAGTTGAACACAGGGATTCAAACACAGCATGCATCAACATATGACGCCAAACCAAACAAAAAAGGCCCTGAACGTTTCGCTATGAGCCTGGCGTTTTGAGTATTTTTATGTATTTGAAATTCTTAGAGAAAAAAGTATTCGCAGGAATATAAGTAGGTATAAAAAGGAAACCCCTTTTGGTCAATAATAGTAAGGGCAAGTTTTTGAGATGTTTTTCATGTAGTTCTTGAATGATTAAAAAAAGAATAACAAGGGCTCGGGCAAGCTTTATCCTCTGAATATAAATCATACCTCATGGTCTATGAATAAGACGTGAAACACGGAGTTGAAACTTGAAACCGTTCTGTTATATAAACCAAAGCGTTTACAAGTTCTGCCGTTACAGCATCGAGCATCAGGTAAAGATCGTCAAAAGATCCACGAAAACATATTGCAAATTTGCGCCTAAGCATTCGTCGCGTGCTGTATCATAATTCAACTCCCCCTGGTCAACCTCAACTCCCCCTGTTCAAGCTCAACTCCCCCTGGTCATAAAACCACTTATACATTTGACTGTAGATTGAAGCGAAGAAACTCCCCCTGGTTTGTCGGTATTCTTTGATGTTTTGGATTTTTGAAATCCATGGGTTCTCGCGCCAAAGTTTAGAACCCCTCGATCTGGCACCGTGATTGGCTAGATTCACTTCCACGGGTGCAGAAACTCGTATAATTTACAGGCCACGGGTTCCTTAAGTGGCTGGATATAAGAGGAGACAATGCTTTCCAAGTCTGTAGAATGCTATACAGGTCAACCAGGGGGAGTTTCATAACACTTCAATGCATGGACTGAAATAACAATGTTGAACAGTTGTGAGACGGGGCATTGAAGTGGAAATAACAATTTCAGGAGATGTGCATACTTCCCGGTATTATTTAAATGGTTTAAATAATAATAAACAAAATTGCGGTAGAATAAGCTTTAATCCCCAAAAAGTTTTTTCTCAAATCTGAGGGGTGCTCGAGCCCCCTTCGCACCCCACTGGATCCGCCCCTGCATCTAAGCCACATTAACACTTCCTCTCCCCAGTCCAACAAGTCTAGATCTCTCTTTCACCTTTTCATCGTCATTACATTATCCTAACACATCCTTTTTCAGAACATTTATTTTTAGCCCGTCAATTTGTATAGGCTATTAGGATTTTGATTTTTAAGTAGTTTTCATAGCTCCCAACTTTTTAGAAGTCATAATAGGGTCAGGTATAATATACATAGATAAAATTCAGAAACAAAGCAAAACGGCGATGAGAATCCAATTTTGTCAGTAAAATTTTCCAAAATAAATTAAATTAAATGAATACTAATATTTCGCCCCGGCATACAAGGCTTCATCCGAGTAAAAATGATTATTTGTTTGATTGGAAATTTATCTCACAACATTGGATTCTTGTCGCTGTTTTGCCTTGTTTCTGAATTTTATCCTCATATTTATAGTATTCTCATTGCAAGATTTAGAGAATCCGGCGGACAGCCTATCCTGCATTATCCTTTCACACATAATATACATATGAACCTATACATTCTGAAGAAGCTCATCACGAAACACAGGAGCAGCACCATGGGGTGGAATGGGGTGGACTGAGGTGGACATGTTATCCCACTTTTTTTAAGATTGACCTTCTAATTTTTCTAAAGCTGGATTAAAAACATAGGGGGAGGGGGGAGGATGTTAGTTTTCTTCTCTGAGATCAGAACTATTTTCATTTTGATGGTCAGTTAATCTTTTCAGATATTAGCTGACATAGAGTATGATGTATTGGAACATCAGTTTTGTAAATAGTGAGAAACTAAGATGAAGATGATCTATAAAACACAGCTTTATCACGCTAAACAGTTGGTTCTCAGGGTGTGGTGTTTGCCTTCCTTCCTTGTTCAAGGTTTTTGGCAATAATTAATTTTAAAACTTGTACCCAAACTTTTTTAGGCTGTAAGGATAGTATAGTTGCAGCCCCACCTGTTACCGCTGCATCACCTTTGATCCTCAATATCAGGCAAAAGGTTGGAATACCTTGTTCAAATTAGCATCTATCAAGATGTGGGAGATAAAATAGACAAAGGAGTCTCGTTAATAAGTTTAAAACCATTGCTAGCTAAAAAATGCCACTGTAATTAGCTTTTATATTATTAGTTTTTATATATGTATTGAGAATTTCAAATATGTCAAACTTGGTTACCATTAAGGACCACAATTTCACGAATGGCGTTGCACCAGTTTCTTACCCAGACCACTTATCAGCTCCACCCCTTCATTGTCCACCCTACTATTTTGGAGCCTGGCCAAAATGTTAGTCAAGTTGTTTTTTACTGATCTGATCTATACATTATATATGTACCTTTGTGCGTATGGCAGGTCAGCTTTTTAGCTAACATAGATATATGTAAATGCTATGATTTATAATTTTAATTGCATTGTGGCTCAGCGGTGTTTATAAGAGTTTATAAGAGTCTGACTTGCAAATCACGGGTAACTTGGGAGCTATATGAGTTCTAGCTCAAATGACATTTTGGCTCCATTTTCCCACATGTTAAAAAGTACTCTTTGAACAATTTTTTCAATGGATTTGGATGGATAATTTGGTGACAGCAAGGGCAAATAATGCTTTAGCCAATCAGCATCACTTTTTCAACCAACTTTCGTCAATATTATTTGCACTTCACATGCAAAGTTTTGACACCAAAACACAGGAGAACATGTTGAAAATTTAAGCCTGCTTTCTAAAAGCATGTTGAAAATTAATCCCACCACTCCAGCCTCTTATAATATCCCCCATTAAATTAGGAGGTTTGATAAAAGAACTTGCAGCAGGAATACAAGATAGGATAATTAACAACACATTACCAGCATATATATGTAATATAAATATGCTGAAAGACAAGGTTCCTGTAGGAGAGAAAATCTCAATAAAGATTTTATCCTGTACCCAGTTTTTCAGCAACTTGGTAAGTCAAGTTTCATAACCAGCCTAAGAGTCAGCAAGAGTCAAGCTATATGAACATGTGATAGCATCATACAAAGCAATAATTTGTGATCCTATGCCTGTGAATTCTGTTAATGGATCAAGTTATTTTGTAACATTAATTGAGGATTCTTCAAAGTACACCCAGATATCATCAAGCAGAAGAATGATGTCTTTGAAAAAGTCAAATAACTGGTTACTCTAATAGAGAACATCACTGCAAAACAATGCAAAGATCCTGTGAAACATTTGTGGCGGTGAATACCCCTCAGAGGTGTAAGATGGCTATTTGAAGAAAAAGGAAATGTTTACAAAAAATAGTTGCTAATGATGTAGCAAATAAGTAACACTGCAACACGTCGAGAACAAACAACAATGAACACATATAAATTAAATGTGGTAAGATTTTGCCCTGGCATACGGGGTTCATCAGAGCAAAAGTAGACGGACTAAAAATGTACAAATTTATATGAGACGATGGTGGTGTTGGATTGATTGATGTGGAATGTGGAGAGGCAACGAGAGTAGAAAAGGAAAGGATGGCAAACACTCTCCCATTTGTCGTTAAGTTAAAGTAATGGTGTTATAGTAAGGTAGTTTATGGAGTTTTCTGGGCTGCTGAAATGGTCTGCAACATCAGCTTTGTCTACTTTTTCGTTGATAATGTCTCGTCTGTGTTTGTTAAATCTGTCTTTCAGTCGCTTGCTTGTTTGTCCAATGTATTGACAGTTCTTATGACCATTAGTTAAACAGCGTTTGTATTGAAATGTGTCAAGGGCCTTTCTGTAGTTGCAGTCCAGTCTTTGTTTTATGTCGTAGTTTTTGTCAGTGTTAGTAAATTTAAATGTTGTAGTACCGTCTGTGCTTTATTGGCATGTTATGCAGTTATGTTGCGAGTGGCATTTGTAAATGCCTCTGGAATCAATTGGTGTGTCACTTTTTATTCTGGCAGGAACCAGTAAATCCTGGAGGTTTTTGGGTCTGCGGCAGCTAAATATAGGTATGTCAGAGAAGACTGCTTTGCATGTTTTTGAGTTCTGTAATATGTTGTTGTTTTGTTTGAGGGTAGTAGATAGCTGCTATGCTAATAACCCTGTTCAAAATGGGACAGCCAAAAGAAAGAATAGGACCATTATAGAGACAGTACGAGCAATGATGTGCCATGCCAATATATCACAAAAGTTCTGGGCTTAGCTGGTAAATACCACTGTTAATCATTGAAATTGTGATATGACAGTTTCTTTCAAGCAAGTTTTGTTATAAAGAAAACTGAACTAGTGAATAATGTGAGGTGTCTTGCTGAGAGTATTTGGCTGTGTGGCATTTGTCTTTGTGGCAAATGAGAAGCAAAATAAGTTAGAAGAAAAGTCTCGAAAACCAAACTTTGTTGGATTATTAAGCTGAAACCAAGGGATATAAACTTTTTGATATTTCAACTGATGGATTTGTGCAAAGCAGAGTCATCGTATTTACTGAAGAAGATTTCCATGATTTGACATGTTTTGTACATCCATGGACATGAACATCATGTGACTAGCATTCAACCTTTTTTCAAAGTTTTCAAGGGGGATTTCCCACATTCTTGGAAATAATTATACGAGGTTTTCCAACATTCTTCATAAACTCTTCAATTTCGACCTCAGAAGACCTCATTGATCACCTGGTGAACATCCATAGATATTCGGTTACAGACCATTTTGGTAATGTTACGGTCAGGGCTTTGTGCAGGCCAAGGAAACACACTGAGATTACAGATACGTAGGTAAAGTTTTGTAAAAATTGCTTTGTGAGAGGGTCTTGTTGAAAAATGAAAGACTTCCTTTGTTTTCCAATCATTAATCTGACTCCTCCAAAACGATTGTCTTGCAATGTATCGACATATTCTTTAACATGGCTTTAAATCAGATTTATATTTCAAATTTTGAATGTGGCTAGATTTTGCTAATTTTTTTCACATTGATTCTCTTACATTAGAAGTGGAATATTATTTTTGGTATTATAATTAAATGTAACTAATTTTTGTTTAATGAAATATTCGAATTTGAATTTGTCGCAAATAGCAGGTTTCATTTAGGCCCAATTGAACCCCAAAACATAACTCAATTTGAAATGGAGTATTTTGCCGCAGAAGTTCTAAGATTTTCGTCTTCTTTTAATTTCATTTTAAGAAACAGTGCGTCCTCGTTTATCCGAACATGGGTTCTGCAAACTTCGTTTATCCGAAGACCGCTATGTTGTATATAGGTGTTTATCCAAAGACCGTTAGGTGTGATGTTTTGTATCCAAACATAGAGCATTGATAGAGCACTGGTTTAAGCGCACCTCCAGTTATTTTCAAGTCTGACAAATCGATCTGTTCTATCTAATGCCATTTTTTATGCCATGGTGTAACTGAAATCTAAAATGATATTTTTGACAAAACTTGTCCTGTATCTGAATTTCCCAGGGAAATTCCTGAATCATCCGAACTTTCGACTTATCCATTAACAGGTCTTGTCATGTTTCATACCAAGCAGTTCCACTGTATTTATATAGGGATAAGTTTCAATTACTAAAATATTTTGCTTCACAAACTGCCCTGTCTAAGATTACATTTTCAATAAACTACATAAAGAAAAGAATAGTAATCGAAATACGATGCTTGTAGTTGTAGTGAGAGGCAGCCTGTTTCTGGAAAGCCACATCCCCAGAGACTCAATACCGTTGTTCATTCCTCAGTGATTGTTAAAATATTGTTCGAAGAAACAGGTATACTTGTGTCATTAGCATACATTGTGACCCGTGAACGATCGAGAGAGAACGAAGATCTTTTGTAAAGAGTATAAACATGAGAGGTCCTAGACATCAGCCTTGGGGTAGTTCATAGAAAGTGAATCAAATTGTGAGATGTTACCGTGAACTTTACAAAATTGTTTGCGTTTGAATAAGTATGTTCGAAATCAACTAAGTTCTTTGTTATCGATTTCGTATGGTTATGCCTTTCCTTATAGTATTTCAGTAATCATACCGTATCAAGAGCCTTCTTCAAATCATTACAATTTTTGCATTATTTCTTTCTTATGTCTACAATTGCATTATTTCTTACGTTGCCATGGTTGTTCTAGAAATTTCAAAATCCTTACTGAATTTCAAAGAATCAGACTCTTTATTTATTATATTCTTATGTTCGTATTAAGAGAGTTTTATAAGTTTGCAACTTTGCCGACGTTTCGGACGCCATCAGGCGTGCAACAAGGGTTCCAGTCTTGTTTCAGTCACTAGTAGTATTGCCTCGCCTTCGCCTATGTTTATACTTTAAGATGGCAGAATCGTAATGTTTCATTTTATTTTTAGCATTTCTAGCTTTATATCAAGAAGTGTTACAATGGCACAGCAAGTTTCAAACAAATTTGAGAAGTACAAACAAAAGTTCATGGATGCTTTTCAGCCATTGATAAACCAGGCTCTTGAGGAGGAGCAACAGGTTCAGGAATTGGCTTCTCCGTGTCAATGGATAAGGAGTGTATGTTGTCATTTTTGTAAAATTAATGTTTACCCTGTTTACGCCCAAGGGTGTGTTTTAGCAAAGGTATTTTGGTTGGCCATACACTTTCATTGTAACCTCGTTTTATCAATCAAGCCTGTTTTTATCAATTGCCAGGTAGCCAAAAATGATTTGGAAATCAAAAAGAGAAAGCGAGGGAGCTGTTTGACGAAAGGTTTTTTGCATGAGTTGGAACACCAACTTATAACTATAAAGTTGAAAAAATACTATCCCGTTCTTTTTTGGGCCATATTAGTTGTAGTCTTGAGAAATGTCATTTTTCTATCCAAAGAGATTTTGCCTTCTAGTAGCTCTCATAACTTAGAGAAGCAAATATGAACTTTTCTTTTTCATCCTTTCATTTTCAGGGCTGTCGGATTATACATATGCTTTGTTTTTTGGTTATAATGTATCTACATTTGTAAACGTTTTTTAATAGCATGTATTATTTATTATACGATATATAATGACCTGGATCTGAAAATTGAAGTAAATCAAAACTGCATGTTTGTATTCACTTGTAACATATTCTGTCTTTTTTGTAGAGTTTTGAATATAATGCATTGGGAGGTATGTACCTAAATGGAAAAGTACTTCTGCTGAAGTTGAATGCTTCATATCACTTTTTATGTTTAGATAATTTTTTTAGAATTTCAAAAGAAGCCTCTTTTTAAAGTATGGTCAGATCACTGATTCTGTTTTAGATTTATCAGTTACTAATCTACGCTTTTCTTGACTAGATTGGGGTTAATGATTCTCAAAAGAGATACTGATCAATTATTGCATTATTGACTTGCTTGCTTTTGTTTAGGGTCGTTTAACTAGAATTTTTTGTGTGAGGTTCAATTGACGCAATATGAATAGACAGTGTATGACTATTCTATAGAGAGTGTATGATTATGTATAGAGCTTCATTTAAGTATTGGGTGAAACTTTTCACTCTTTTTGTCTTGGGCTTTGCCAGACTCTTGTGACTGTTTGATAAGCATTAGTCTAAACACATCCAGTTTACATGTAAAATAAGACGAGCTTCAGTTTTTAGCCTTAAATTTTTTTTTATTTCTCTATTCAATACAATGAAACTTAAAGCAGTAGAACTGGGTTCCAAGGAGATTAACGTTCCAACAAATTTGAGCTTTAGTACAAGAAATAAAAAAGTGTCAGTGCCAGCCAGCGCGTCAGAAAAATTCCGTCAAGAAAAGAAAAACGCTGCCCCTTAGCTTAGTACCCCTGCCCTTTGAGCATAAGAAAAGGAAAGTTATTACTCTGACGCTGCTGATAATTTACTTGAATGTTCATTTGGTTGCGTATGATTTCAGGAAAGTGCAACCGGGGCCTCATGGTGCCAGTGTGCTTAGACTACTTGAGAGGGGGAAATTTAACTCAAGACGAAGAGTCAAAAGCCATCAAATTGGGTTGGTGTGTGGAAATTGTGAGTATGAAATTCGTTGCTTGTAAGAAGTATTTGATGAGATTTTCAGCAATTGTGCTGTCCGGTTAAAGGGTAGAAAAGAGTGCTACTTTGACCAGGGATGGAAAAGATATGTAGTCACCAGGGCGCAGTTGGCTGTTGAGGGGCTAAAGCTCAAATTTCCTATGAGTCCCAAGTATTAGCAAAGTTCCCTAAATTTTATAAGGAGCTTTTGACACTGCGAAATTTGTCTCATTCTTGAAAGTTCGTTTCTACTTTGAAGGCAGGACCGTCGCTACGGTGGGGTATGGTGGTGTTAATGACAGCCCCTTGGAAAACACTTTAAAAGTAGAAGTGAGGAATTTTTTTGGAATGCATGATTGCTTCGTCTGCAAGTTTTCAGATTTGTCAGCAAATATTGGATGGCTCACCAACTTTGTCGGCAAATGAGATCTGAGCAGCCCCCCCCCCCCCTTACTTGAGCCCAATAGCTAGTGACGGCCCTGTTTGCAGGTATCAATCTATCCAATTATTAGCTTTCATATTGCTTTTGATCCCCGAAGGTTTTAACCATGAACAAAGGTTGTTGCTGTAGTTGATCTTTGCTTTGTAACAACATATTTAAATTGTTTTAGTTGCAAGCATTTCTCCTCGTGGCTGATGACATCGTCGACCGATCTGAGTTGCGACGAGGCAAGCCTTGTTGGTACAAAAATGTAAGCAATGCAGTTGACATCCATAACCATGATGTAATGTAGTCACATCCATAATCATAACCAAAGAGCTTAGAGTTTTCTCAGTTCGAAATTATGGCCTAGGCTCAATTCTTTGTGTTATTATATTGCTGGTAGATTATTTTAAAAAGGCTTTGAAAAAAACGAACGTGTAAGAACATGCTTAAAAAGAGAAGCTTTTAAAATTCTGTACCACAAAAAAAGTTCATGTTACATGCTGTATATCAAAATATTTTCAGGTCTGAAAGATATTTTTCAGCTGAGAAGTAAAAAGTTATAAAAGCCATTTTTTCTGTGGCTGCAATGTATTTTTTTGTCTGTAGTATAGGGCTTCGACATTGATTCTGAGATGCCATATTCATGATTTTGATTCATTAATACACACCCTTATATTCGGTATAACCTTATGCCATTGTGTAATTTGAACCTCATTCTCATTGCATTATAGCCTCATGTTGGACTAGTTGCTGTCAATGATGCGTTCATATTAGAGTCTATGGTGTATCGGCTTGTTAATCAAATTTTCAGAAGCGAAAAATATTATATTAGAATTGTAGATCTTTTTCACCAGGTAAATATGAACATATCTAAAATAATTGTATTTGGTTACAAGTATGCCATAGTAATCATTACCAAACACCAACTTTCACAATCAATGCGCCGATGGCAATCATCGTCTAAATCGATCAAGCTTGTTTTTGTTGGGTTTTTTTTAATTCCTGTTTGGATTTTAAACTTAAAGTTAGCTTCACGTGAGTTTGTTTTGCATTGAAGCGATTAAAAGTCTTTGATAGTGATGCAGCTTTGCATGAATGTGGTAGCAGAGCATTAAAAAATCTTCACGACTTGTTAAGTGGGCCTCTTTTTGATGTAAACATTGTAATATCTAATTTTGTTGGCGTAATCACAAGTAAATTAGTTACTGAATAATGCTTCCTCCCTACTGGTCTGCTTTAGGGGATGGATTTTTCTGTCATGCTTTCATTTGATAAATTTGTTTTTGCAGAAATAAAGGGCAGTTTATTTTCTAGGTTAATCATAAAACAGTTTTCGGACAACAACTTGACTTGCTAACGTCACAAAGCGGGAAAAAGATTGATTTCGATATTTTTACGATAGAAAGGTAATATTTCAGTTTGCTACCAAGATTGTCATATCTGAAAACAAACAAACCAAGGCTAGGCTTCTCAGTGTATTTGAAAATTGTAGTCGATACACAGATATCTTTACAGGTACAATAATAGTTTCTGGTTTCAAAGCTTCACTATCTGGTGTTATTATTCCTGTAGTTTCAAATACAACACTTTCTTTTACATTCCCCGTTCGCCTTCTGAGGTCTTACCAAAAGGTATTCAAATATTGTCCAAGAATTCGTTTCCCCAAAACCCCGTCCCGTATGCTCTGACTTTCAAGAACTTATTTATAATTGCCTTTGGTTAGGGTTCCTGTTCCAAAGGGACATTTTACTTTTAAATCCACAAACCGTATTTGAATCTACAAACAAGGTTTCCCACAAATTTTTCGAGTTCATGAAAGCAGATCTCTTGGCTTCTCAGTTCCCATAGGTCCCCGACATCACTCTTTTACCCTTTATGAAGCAAACTAAGTAATCCGGATTAAAACAATGAATCAAAATAAACATTTGTCTGGATAAGTTTAGTTTCTTCTATGCCAACGATATCTTCTATATAAATGTAGATTTCGTTTGTTTTGTATTCTATTTAATCTATATTCATTTTGGGCTGCAATTTTCTTCTTTTGTAGGTACAAAGCAATAATAAAATTCAAAACTGCCTACTACTCGTTTTACCTTCCCGTGGTTCTGGCAATGACCATGGTACGTTTTTTATTTGTAACAATACAAGCTGAAAATGGTTGGTTTTTAAAGAAAGCTCGTGGAAATCTTATTGATATGATAAGTTAAACGCAGTTCTGTTTACATAGTTTTTTGTTGTCCAGTAAAAGTATTGTTTGCGACATATACTATTCGTGGAGGTGAGTTAATGATAAAATGAAGCGTAGATGGGGTATTATATATCTCAACATCTATTTAGAATCAATTTTTATTATTGAAATTGAATTAGAAACTTACCTTTGTGATTCGAAGTAGACCTGTTCCATTTCTTGTTTCTTATCCATTTAGCACGTACATTGAATGACAAGTAACAATTCTTTTCCTTTCAGGCTGGAATAGAAGATGAATCGATGTTCAACGAAGCACAACAAATATTATTAGAAATGGGAGAATATTTTCAAGTTCAGGTATGTATATATCTTATGGAAGGATCGAAATGAAGAATGATTTAGAAGCCAATTTTATCAACTTAGATGTCATCTGCGATTATTTTTTATTTGTTCTTTTTTGAAAATTATTGTTAACGTATTTGTTCTGGAATGATTGTTTTGTCTGGTTTGATTTTGCTGGATTTCAGTATGGGTTGGTTTGTTGGATTTCTTGGATTTCTATCTGGATTGATATTGCTGGATTTTATGAACGGATCGTTGAATTTGGATTTGCATTCCATTTCAGGATGATTATCTAGATTGCTACGGCGATCCATCAGTGACGGGGAAAGTTGGAACAGACATTCAAGAGGGGAAATGCAGCTGGCTAATAGTGCAGGTTTTGCAAAGAACGACCAAGGAGCAACGAATGTCAATTAAACTAGAGGTATGTTACTTGTCTTGCAGTGGGCTGTGATTAGGGCTAGATTACAAGATTAGGGCTAGATTGCATGATCTTGGCTCAATTACGTCACTCAGCCCTTATAAGTCAAGGCTTTTGATGTTGCTTGTGGAATTTTCCTTTTCTCGAATCATTTTTGCCATTTTATTAACGATCGATGTAACAATTTCATCTTTTTGTAGGAGAACTATGGAATAGACGATTCTGCCTCGGTAGACCACATAAAAAAGATATTTGACGATTTCAAAATTCCTCAGTTATTTGAAGAGTATGAAAATGACAGCTACTGCCGGATACAGAACTTGATCGAAACAAATTGTAATTCTGTGCCTAAAGAAATGTTTTATGCCTTAGTGAAAAAGATTTATAAAAGACAGAAATAGCTAATTTGAATTCACTTTCTTACTGTATCCATTTTTTTATGCCGGACTAAATTTTAACTTTGTTCCCTTAAAACGTGGAGAATAATTATGAATACATCATCTGTAAAGAAATTGTTTTATTAATTGATGGACATTCAAAGTAATCAGACATTATTACCTTAAAAAACTTGGCTAAGGTTGGTTCTATTTGTTTTTCGTTTATCTAGATTAAGATGTCTCACTCTTGAATCCTCACAATTTTTATCCAAGATGTATAAAGGGGTTTTCCGCTCAATTTTTGTAGCCCTGGGGGTACCTTGTGGCCTGGATATAAGAACAAATTGAAAACAACCTCAGTCTGTTACAATGAGAAGAGAAAAAAGTTCTTGATAAAAGTTAGAAGATTGGTCCTTTTGCGCTTGATACAGGAATACTAATGACATTGTTGTTCGGGAGATCTTGCAGTAATCAGCTTCACTCGTATATCTATTCTAGAAGATTTTGGGGTTTATAAATGTCTATATAATTTCAGCTGTGAATCAAGGTACTAATGAGGTTGCTGTAAGAACAGAATAAGATTACATGCGTATATATGGGGAAGAATATAAGAACATTAAGCTTCTGCTAAATTTATCTGGTTAAAGCCTACTTTTGACCCAGGGCAAGTGTTGCTTGAGAACGTCCGAGTCACGTTGTCCACATACATAGTCGGCCCACTGCCTCTTTTTCCTTGGCGACCAGGGCAGGTTAGGTGTAGGGCATAGGCAAAATACTTTTGGGGAATCTGAAGAGTTCACAAATTTTGTTACAAATTCTTAGAAACTAGATTTAAACTCGCATAATAGCGGTAAGGTATTATCGCACATTAACTTGTTGTGGAAAACAGTGTTTGATCACTGTTCCTTATCGGTTGAAATCGTTAGTCTAAAAGAAGTGCAATTACAAAGAGTCAGCCACAAAAAGCGTCGGCCAGAAAAAAGTTGGTTTATACAATAATTTTTGTCGCAGAGCTCAGGTTTATAAACTTTTACCGACAAGAATTATTTCAATTTTTGCAGACAATTATTTTGAACTATAAAACAGATAAAAAATATTAATGACTTAGTTGTTTGTAGGGTGCTTTTGTAACACTCGGTTGTCAGAATATTATTAAACTTTTCAAACAAATCCAGAAGACAAGCGATCTTCAATGCTTCATTGAAGTTCTAAATATTTGACGTCTCTTTCGAAATAGCCGTAATTCGACTTACAAACATGCATAGAAAAAGATGGAGCAACATTTCAAACCCTAAATTTTAATTCAACTTCAGCATTTAAGTTTGATTATTTATATTTCAATGGATTTTTGGTGTGTTTTGTGAACATTTACAAGTTACACAAAAATAAGCATTGCTAGCTAAAAAAATTTCGAAACAAACTAATTAGGATAGAAATGGATATTCTAAAAACATCACAGGACATGATTTGCTTCATATTCCCTTTGCTGTTCCGGTGATTGGAAAATGAGTAGTAGTTTGCGAGGGCCGGTGGTCTTGTATTTATGACGTCTCAGAATGTCAATTTGACGTCACATAATAAACAAATTAGTAAATATGTAAAATATAGTTAGTTATTGACATCTTAATTGGTTAATTGAGCTGCTAAAATGGATATCGAGATGCAGTCAATGGTGAGCCTCTATATCATTTCATTTTAATGTTGCCTGTTTCATATAAAACAGAAAGTGTAGAAATAAAATTGAAACATCTTTAACTTTCAAATTTGGCTACTCCTTTGCTGACATTTCTACAAGCTCATCTTGAAATATGTTGTTAAGTTTTTCGATGCATTTCATTGCATCAAAGCAAAAGTTAATTTTCCTGTTGTCTTTTCGGTTTTTCTTGTCACAAATTTCGAGTCCTTAGTGAAGTGGGATTTACCTTGCTAAATCTGAATCTGTCTTTTCAAGTTCGAATGGTCATCTAGTACAAGCCGTCTATTTTTCCCGTGTAACCTGATTCTCGTCATCGTTTCAGTCTTAATATTGCAATTATTCTCCACAATGCGAGAGTTAATAATTTTCTCATATGAGTTAAATATTTACGTAAAATAAGCGACTAGGCAAGATGGGACCCCATGACTACTGACGTCGAGGGAAGTCCCTACTGTATAAACACAATGATAAGACAAGTTCCTACTTTTTGAAGCTCTTAAGCCGAAACATTTGCATAAGGATTTGCATAAGCAACCTGGTCGACACATGAATGTGGGGGGTTGCCCCTTCCCGAAAATCTGTTGAAGAAAGAAATGGATTTGCATGTTCCTATATATCTCCTAGGCTCCTTAATTAATTTGAGCTGTTCATAGCCTGGCGAGAACACGCTTAGTTAACCCGTTTCGTATCCATTGCTGACGCTGCAAATTACGTCTTTAGGAGTCTGTACCTTCAGTAGATGCAAGCTGTGGGGGTACAGAGCAGCCAGAAACGACGCTTGAAGGAGTTGGCAATGTCAAATGTGATCAAAAAACGAGGAGAAGCCATATCATACTTCTTATTGCAGCTGGGCTGTCAAATTTGCTGTGTTGGCCAATAGGAATAATAGCACTCTGGAAAATTCTACAGGTATCTAACCTCTGCGGGTATTAAAACTGGGAGCTTGGGAAATGTCAACTGGCAGTGCTCTCTTTGGTCAAAAGCGACGTCACATATTGCCTGACAGCGGTATTAATTCACGGGCCCCCACGAGTGCATTTATGATAGTCATTTATTGTCACTGTACTTAGGCGCCCGTTGCTCTTGTCCCCTTTTGGAAATAAGAGCAGATTTGAGCAATTTTTTGGCCCTTTTATGAGAATCCAATTGGGATAAACCTATTGCTGCCGGGGCATAATATGTACCTTAGTCCTTGAGGGCTTATTCGAGGGTCGGGGATTATTCCTCAAAAATAACTTTAGGATGGGGGTGCTTGGGTGCTTATTTGAGAACTTCGGTCCCTAAAATACCTCCATTTTAATCTATAGAAGAAAAAGCGCAAGATGGTCAGTGATGCACTGGTATTTGCCACCAGGCGGAATCGATTCATGAAATCAAAGTTAATGTTGAAAGTAACTTCTGTCTCCTGTGAAACTGTAATGTGAAAAGAGGTCCAAGCTAAACCTTTAAGTACCATCCAGACAGAAAGGCAAACAAATGTTGAAGGTGGACCTTTATTAAAAATTCACAAACGTACCGAGAACTAGCCATTTCCTTAATCTCTTTCCAGGGATCTTAATCGTCTCGTATTGCCTTCTTCGCTCAAGATTCTTGCTGCGTCCATATCGAGCATGCTGCTCACATTATTATAAGATGTTTATAATCAAACAACTTTTATGTTTCTCTATAAACTAGGCCAAATAGCACTCTGTGCGGGGTTCGTGCAGAAGGAATTGTTTTGAAAAGCGTTACTCATTTGGTAAATAGCCTTGAGAATTGTTCAGCACGAGCTACCTCTCAAAACTGACGTCACATGGGAGTATAACAAAGCATACTGTTTCCATGAATTTTTGTTCCCTTCAGAGTACTTTGTAAGAGTCAAGTTTTCAAAAACTTTCCAGGGGGTTAATGAAGCAGTTTCAACTATCGTCAGTCATCGGCAACTCTTTTGTCTAAATCTAAAGATTTCCTCGAATTTTTTTAATTAGGGGCCTTATTTTAAAATAGGATCGTTGAATTGAATTTGGAGTCTTTTGAGATTTTGCAATTCGTTGAAGTGCTTTACTTACATGAAAAGGCATGTTAAATTCTTGATAACCACAAAAATTTCAGGTTACCCCTTAAGATCAACTGCAAGATTTTTGACGATTTTGACAACTTGAAATTTCAAATAACTGGAATTTCAAGCACCTTCTTTATTCCTCTGCAAAGTGACAGACACATCTTCTGCCTTTCTTTCTTTAGATCAGAAATTTGAAGGATGATGAAGAAAAAGCACGTACTAGAGTTGCTTTTCGAGACGTTAAAATGTTGCTGTATCATGCCATAGGATGGGGCCTATTGTTTTATCTTGTATTGGCTATTGTCACAATTATTCAATATTCTGGCGACTAATAATTCCTAATAATGCATTAAATATAAGCATAATTTGCATTCGATTGTGGTGGCAATTTATTGCATATTTATTGACATGTTTTCCTCTTTGCTTTTTACAATGAAATTAGAACCTTGACCCTACCTCTCCAAGTATTTCTGTTGCAATGCAAGGTGAAGTTTCGACGCCACGGAGTTCCAGTACAAATATTAATGATGTAAGGCTATAACCACCTTCTGCAGCCATCAGAGCTTTATCCCACCCCTAACACCGGTGTTAACCAGTCCAAATTTCATTAGTTACAAAAGAACACAAAATCTTGCAAAATAATAGACAAGAAAGAAATTTAAATTGGCTGCCATTTTTCTCATGGTTTTTACAATTATTTAAGATCCAAAGTACTTTGGATTCAATTGTAATAACGGAGCATTAGAAAAGGTAAATCTGTGAAGCACTTCTGTTTTGATATTGATTTGATATCAAATAGAATAAAAGTATTACAAAGATAGAAATATTACAAAATTACGATATTAAAGAGCAAGGTGGTATGCAGAAATTGATAAATACAATACACATTACAAAACTGAGGTTAAATACAGTGATAAAATAGATAGGGAAAGAGGGACACAAGAAGCAATTGGCTCAGTGGGAGATACAGATGGGAGTTTCTGGAAAGGCTTTCAATTTACTCAAGGCCGGATGGGGTTGTTCTCCAAGAGATTTTAGATCAGAATTCTTGGTTTCATGAAAATACAATTCTGAATTTTCCCTGCTAAAATCCTAAATTTCCTAACTGATAAAAAACCTACACGGCTGTTAACAAAGTTGTCAAAATACAGTGAAAATGTTTATTGTGACTGTGTACGCTACCATCTTCCCTCTTCCGGTCTTTTGTAAGGTGGAGGCCCAGATGGCAGCGAGTCTGTGTCTGAAGCTGAAATGAAGAAACAAATATGGTAACACAAGTCGCAAAAGAGCGTCGTAGCCGGGCAGTTATATCCAAACTTGTTGCTGTTTTTAAAATTGCTTCCGGGCAGTTATATCCAAACTTGTTGCTGTTTTTAAAATTGCTTTGCTATGGCTGTTGTCTTTTATGTTCCTGTTGATGGCAATGTTTTGCTAAGCTTACTTTCCTGGTGCTTTACAAAAAGCAGTGCAAAACATCTCACATAAGGATATTGTCCTGACTTTTCCTACAGTGAGCTGCCATTATGGATATTGCATACACAAAAACAGGGGATACTCCTGCCATTAATTTATTCATTTTTGCCAACAAAATATATCAGCGGAATACGTTGAAAATTGCTATGGAAATTACATCCAGAGAATGGTGCAAAAACCTATGGAACAACAATACGATACCCCCTTCTTTAATACTGATTACAGGGAGTAGGAACAAAGGCCTCTAAATTTTGCCAACTTTGTTTGCAAATACTCATAGTCTTGCATTTTTATAACGACATACATTTTGATTGACAAATGAAACAAAATTTAACACACCTTGGTCTGAAGGCAAAGACGGTGGCATCCGATATGGTGGTGGGACGGTGGAGCGTTGGTTCGTGCCGGGGGTACTAAAAATAATGAAGTAAAGATTAACCCTAGCGTTGCTTGGCAGCACAGAGGGAATAATTTTATTCCGTATTTTTACACGTCAACTAAAGATAATTTTATTCTTCAACACTTAATTCAGAAAAAAGAGTATGAATCACGAGACATAACCAAATAGGTCTTTTAATTACATAGATTCACATTTGCCTAAAAGTTATATATTAGGCAAAAATATTAAATGAATTTCAGTATATAGAAAAGGCCACACACAATTAAAAACTTAAGCCTTGCATTTCACTACATTTTGCATATTTTCAATATAAATTTTACTATATTGGTTTTTGGGGAGAGGAGCTACTATATAGATTGCTACAACCTGACAGTGTTAATTCTCTAAAGACAACTCAACCTAGAAGGCGCTCTAGTGTCTTCAGGCAGGGGTTTACAAGCTGAAAATAAGCAATTTAAAGCACATAACTATAGTTATTTGCAGTCGAATTACCTTGGCAAAGACTGGTTAGGATTTCTGTCAGCACCACGCGGTTTCAAAGTGCTTCGGTCGTTATCTTCTTCAAGTCGACCGTATGTGTAGCTGCCATTGCCGGGTGCTTCATCACTCGGTGCATTGCTACTGTTCATATTCCGCATCCGGTATGTTGCACGACGAAGAGAACGGTGATGCTCTAGCTGCTCTCTGTAGAAATAGAAATTTTCGTTCAAAGCAATTGCAATTGACCAAACAAAAACATCGAACTGCCAAAGCCACAGTCGTTTTAGTAAGAAGGTTTTCTGCAAAACACATCTAGTTACCTTTCCAATCAGATTTTTACGGGTAACATTTCATTTATTATGGCTGTTAATAATTTGTGTGATAAAGCCAACCAGTTGGCGATTGCAAAAACTTTTTTTTAAGTATGAGGTTGTGAAAACTTTAAGAACCCTCACTGCCTCTCAGAAATATTTAGAGATAAACACTTCTGTCCAATTACGAACGTTAATTTCAGATTTAAAACTGCTGAAAATTAAGCAAGAGAGTTTTGCAAAAAGCGATAAAAAAAGTGACTTTGCCAATCATGGTATTGAAGAAACCAACAAGATTACGACTTTGATCAAATACCTTGGTGTCATGGCGTCTCTCTTAGCACTGAAAGGAAAAACAAAAATTCTTAAAGTAAATAAAAAGATATTAAAGTCCTGGTGCTTTCCAGGGTGCTTAGTGTGCAAGCCACGCCGAGCATGGAGCAATCGACGTCACGTTCTGTGAAATTCAAACGCAAAAGTCTGCAGTTTGAAAATATTAAAATATTTGGTTTTATGGGATATTTTTATGGGGCAGGTCTGACAAAAAGATGTGCATAGAAACGACATGCGTTTTAGTCGCCGAAATCTTTTTACTGTTTACCCAGATATCAAAATGCTCAATGTATTTCATGTTGAAAATCTAAGAAATCTAAGTATATCATATGTTGAAAAGATCTTTATACCACTGTAAATCAAATAGTTAACATTATGGGTAGCAAAGATCCTTTGTGTCCGTTACAACACTTTCAAATGACCAAAGCATGCGCATAATCATCCAGAGTTCCTTTTCGATCAGGCTCAAATCACACGATATCTACCTTGTCCTGTTACAAGTGTCAAATTTGTAAACGAAACAGATCAACTTCCATGACTCGGAGGCTGATTCACACACCAATCAAAGTGTAATCAGCTTTGAAGCACAATCTGACTGACAATCGTAAAAATTGAAACAATTTATCATTATCCACTTATGTTATCAATTCCATCTCAGAGAAACTGATCGTTCGTTATACAACAAATAATTGTGTAATCAGTCGTGAAGCAACGGTTACGTGATGGCTTATCAGATCCTTGATGATTGAAATCATTCAGGAATCACTAATCAGAAGTAATCACTTACGATCCTTGTCTATTGCAGCACATCACATAGGTCAATACAACGATGAATATAAATCCGATGAGCACAGGGATGCAAACATAAATCCAGTCTGTGGATAAATCATTCCTCCCAGCATCATACTTCACGGTTTTGTATTCAGTCTTTGTGAAATCATCCTCGGGTTTCTTTGGCTGTGGTACCTGCTTGCCAGCTGATGTCAACGAGAGTTCTAGCTAAAAAACACAAACAAATTTAACATTATAAAAGACTGCTCTGTACAGAGAAAGAGAAGTAAATACAGCAAGACAGTCCATGATATTTTGCCCAACAGTCATGTGCTCGCGTTTCTGATCGGCCTATTTCGATCTACAACTTGGTATATACATTTTCTATCGTAGAGTTTTCGATCTATGTTCTGGCGTTTTATAATCTCAAGAGTGTCTGAAGAAAAGCTTTAGTATAACTCAAAATAATTTTTGCTATTTTAGAGCCATTTACATGATATTTGCATTCGCCTAATCTCTATTCATTATACCAACCTTCTTCAAAAATGCTTTTCTCTACACTACATTTAACGCATCGTCAAATATTCCATAAAGAAGTTTATACTAAATTTCCCTCGCTGACTTACCGATGATAAGTGACACCAAGAGACGGTGAATTCACCTTTAGAAAATTTATTATAGACGGACTGGCTTGCTGGCTTAGGGCTCTGCGGGGCACAATACCGAGCATTTTTCAAAGCGTCCGGTGGAGGTTTTCCCGCGCCAATCGTGATAAACACACTAAAAATAATGATGAAGGGCATTATAGAATAAGACCTAAAATAAGAAACTGTATTTTTGTAAAGTTAGATATACATAGAGGGAAGAATGTTAAGCAAAAGCGGGCAGTTAGCTAATGTCATATACAGAAAAAAGATTTGGTCACAACATTTTCAACTGTATGTTATTGGACCATCACGAGGCGATGGAGAGAAGAGTTCTGGAAGCCCGAATACCCAGCAAATGAAGAGGAGGAAGGCCCAAACACAAATGGAAGCATACAACCATGGATATGTTTGGATCCAAGAAGGGGACTAAACATGCTGAGAGAGGAAATGAACGCACTGCTGTTCAAGAAGCCTTGCTCTGACTAGAGTATGCCTGTTGATTATGATGATGATGATGATGATGATGATGATGATGATGATGATGATGATGATGATGATGATGATGATGATGATGATGATGTTATTGGGGTATGAAGATATATGATGATCAGTTAAAGGACGAATTTATTCTCTTTGGTTACGTTTCTTTGAACAATACAACGTCACTGATGTCAGAATGGATGCCCTGCTTACACGTAAAATTTATGTTATTTCATTATTCTCGTTAAATTTAAAAAAGATTCATAATTACAAAAAATTGTCTTTAAACATTGGTGTATTCACGATCGGCCAGTTTACAGCACATTTTTCTGCAGTAACAACGCAACTCAAGGTAACAGAGAATTTACAATTCACCCTGCTTCATCAGTACTCCTTTTGAACAAGCTGCCAAAACAAAACGTCCGGAAGCAAAATTCTCATTAAATTTTTCATACGCAATTCTTCATCAAAATAACGAGGTAAACACCTCGAGAACTAACCCTTCCTTAACTCCAGTAGGGGTGTATCGACCCCCTGGTCTGTTGACAGTTTTGTCAATTTTTGTAACAATGTACGCATTTGTCCAGATATCTTGAACCTCTTGGGCAAAAGATCGGTATTTGTCTCTCAGTAAGAAATCGGCCAAGTCAAAATTGGAGATCTTAAAATCAACTTGGTATTTCACTTGAGCTACAAAAGAAATAACATAAACAGTTTTTGGCGGTACAGAACTTGAAAATGGTTTTGAAAAAATCAAGCATTTTATAACATATCGGTTAAACTTATTTTCGTCCGACGCCGCCATTGTGTAGTCAGAAGGAGTTCGTTTTCTCTCTTTGACTCCAGTGGTAATTTTTCTTTAGGCACACGGCACTGATTGGACAACTAAACCGGTCTTGTGCTTGCGTTTTTCTCATTTTGATCCACGATTGGGTATATATTTTTCATCATGTTCTTGCGGACCCTTATTCTGATGTTTGATGCTCTGAGGAGTATCAGACGAAAAAGCTTTTAGCCAATATGTTCTAAATGTTTGCTTTTTTCAAAGCCATTTTCAAATAACATGAAATAAAACAGCCTCTCATTCAAACGGTTTGTTAACAGTATGCATAACAGTAGGCATGGCATGCTAAAATATACACACATAGCAATATATCACAGCATGCTACAAAATTAAACTAAATTTGAAATTAATTACAATAATGAAATAATTTTTATATAAATTTGAACAAAAAGGAAAAAAAATGAAAAAATTCTTCATGGACAGATGACCATTTAAGGGTTTTTCAAATTTGGTGCAGAAAGTCTAGAAGAGCTTTTATGGAAAGAATATGTTCCGTTTGTTCATTGTCATCTCGTTTCTAATGTAAAAAAATGTTACACACTCTTTTTTGAATATTGGACCAACATAAAGATTTCAAATTTTGAACCTTATTCCAAATATCGTCTGAGCTCAAATGATTTTCAACTTATATTATTTTCAAGTTATAAATATATAAATACAAATCAAAATAAGAAAAGATTGAAAGTAGCATGCAGCCAAAATTACCCTGAAATTTTAATGGATAACAAATTCAACATGAATGGCCTTACATGCTTGTTTTGCTTCAATTGTAATTCGCATTATTTTCTTTGCTGTGCTATAATCATCTTTGTTCCAACCAATGATCTTCAAGTGAAAATAAGGAGATTTTTAGAATAAAGCAGCATATCATGTCAGTAGAGGACAAAAAAGCATTCAAAATCTTCAATTTGTACAATTGTGGTTCTAATTTTTGCTTATGAGTGGCAAGAAACTTACAAAAAAATTATTGATGCAATGCTACAACCTAAAATTTTAAATCTATAGGCAAAGTTATTCATTCAACAAGTACCTCTAAAAAAACTTCCCCAACATCTTGCTCTTTGGGTGTGCCATATATAAAGGCAGGTGCAGTTGGGGTTTTCTGCTCCAAACGAAGCCACTTGGGAAGATCTGGCATGCCATCTACAGAGGCCCTAAATTGTACATTTGGCTTGGCAGCTAAAAAGGAAAATTAGCAAGCTTGAGTACATTGGTTTTGAAAAAAATTGAATAAGCTTTATATTGGCAAAACAGGGTTGGTGAAACCTATTTGAAAGTGGAGGGGCAAAAATATTAAGGTCATGAAAGGAAAGGTCGCCATAAGGGTTGGCATCAACAAAAATTTTAGAATTATGGTGTCTTAGGGATGATCAGAAACTGTATCTTAAATGGATTTTAACTGGAGGAAAAATCTGAGGCAATATAAATATGTTGATATTTGTCTGGAATAAAGTGCTTTTACCAAAAAACAATCTGGATTTGAAAAACTTTCAAACTGTGTTGGTCATAACGAGTTTTAATAGAATTTACAATTACATCCAGATTTTCTCTTGCTTTGAAGGAATGAATTATTGATATAATCAAAAATTGAAACTTTCTTGATAATACTTTTTAAAGTAAAATCTGCCCATTCTATATTTCTCATATCCTCAAAAACTTTCTTTCCAGCAGTTTCTTTTCCTTTAAAAGCTGATTTTGCTTTTATTGCAATGTTTCTGAGAAAGTTTTGGTTAATCAAAAGATCTTGTTTGCCAAGTTAAGGTCAAAGAGAAAACAAAATCTGCCAATTTATGCTGGTACCAAGTTATTCTGGATCAGGTTTCTGGATCTATTTTCTAAGCCAAGCTGTTACTTGTTGTACAACTTGGAAGATGACAGATTTGTTCGATTAAATTCCCATATTCAATTTTCTTGTCTTTTATGGTTAAGACATAGGAACAAAGCTAAAGCTAAGGGCATAATTGAAGGATTACTAAGCACAGTTACTTAGAGAATGTTGTAGTACACATTTCTTTCCACATTTTGCCTCAAAATTTTATTTTGCTCTGCAAAAACGAGGGCATGCTGCACATCATTCTATAATAATTTCAGTAAAAATTCCTATAAGTATGAATCATCAGACAGCAAACAGAATATACATCCAAATGCCAATCAAAAACAATTTTAAACAAAAAAGCACATAAGAGTGGTTCCTCGCTTTTGACCATTAACCCCTTGCGTAGTTGAAAAAGTCCTAAACCTTTTGTCTACAAAAATCTAGAGTTTGGACATCTTTAAGTAGACTGAAAAAGCATTTTCAAGTATACTTAAGAATATTGCATTCTTCCTCTTATGTTACTTCAATTAAAAGTTATGCATAATTTTTTATCAGTAGTTTTATGCCATCTATAAAACATGGACCACTGACATAAAGATGAAAAATCCAACATCCAAATTTACCATCTTAAATCAAGAAAGAAACCAGGAAACAGGTACTGTTTATTTGGACTAGAACGAGGATTTTTTCAGAGACAGGGGACTAAACAATGGGACCTGAAAATGGTTAACATCATTTTTCTAATTTTCCAAGCTTATCCAAAAATGAGTTTTACAAATTGGCATGTAAGGGGAGGGGGCTTCTTTTATTGTAGGGGGCATATTAGAACTTTTACTTTCAGAATTGAGTCTTATTTGAGGGACTCTTATATTAGGAGGGGGGAACTTTAGGATTAATAAAAAAGCAATGATAAATCAATTAAAAATAGCACATACCTTTTGTGAATAGGTTAGTTTCAATTTGATATTGAAAATGTACAAGGCATTGGGTTGCTCTTGTTATGTCACTTCTACAATCACCAAATGGGACCAAAAGAGCTGCCACAAGGAAAACTGGAAGGAAAATTATGTTTCAAAATGGATAAACTGAGAGTGGTTTTATAACTGGTAGGATAAGGAAATTTAAACCCAAAAATCAGCTTTAAATACTTTTACTTGTTGTATATATGATAGGATTTTAACAAAGCTTAAACAGACTTTATGTACAGGCTGTTTGTTTGCTGCAGTTTATTAGAACACATTCTCAGTCACATCAACCTTCCTGCCAATGTCCATATAGTAGTAAGGCTATAGCATTGTAACATTTTTACATAGTTATCCAGCATTTCTAATATTTGTATTATTGAAGAATATACTTATTTTTGCATCTTAATATTGTTGATAATATTGCAATAGAATAATGTAATTTTCAAAACTTGTTTAAAAAAAGACATTTCAACATTTATTTTCTTGGTAAACAAACAATATTTTATTGCAGGCATCCTTTTTCTTTGCAGGGTATGGCTTAGAAGCCCTTGACCTGCATTTAATGAGTAAATCCTTTACCCATAATCACCTGATTTCACTATTCATGCTCCTTTCAAGAAATGCATAACTAATGGAGTTAACTTTAGAACCATGCATGTTCAGGCTCAATTTTTGAAACAAATACTTTGTTTTATCTTATATATTTGATCGCATGCAGGGCCAAACTGACCTCATGCATGCATTGGGACACTGTATATTATTTTGGTCTATCTATTATATTATACCAACACAAACTTCAATGGATACTTTTTGATGAAAGTGCTTATTTCTAGCAACAATGAAAGTTTTTCCTTGCTTTTTGCTAGCATTCCGATCAACTTTGAAACCTTGCTAGATCCGCAAATTGGCACATCGCAAATTTGAAAGAAAACACACATTAGGGACAATAACATCTTCAAACCACATTAGGCCCCTGAAAACTAGGTGTGCCGTGTCTGTCATGTGGAGCCTAATCAACATTAAATGCTCAATCTAAAGCATTCTTAGCTTCATGCACAGTTGTAACAAAAAGCATATCTGCCTTACCAACATTTAAACTTTGTTTTACCATCGTTTCTTCGTGCAATTCTTATAAAAGTTTTGAGAATCGCACCCAATTCGGCCAACCTCAGGCCAAAATTCGTAAACACACACCTGATAGAGACAGATTCCTTCAAAGCGGTCTTTCTCATCAACGAAATCCTACCGCCAAGTGACCCAGCCTTGCCACCCTCCATGAAAAGGAAAATAAGGGTGCTTCTAGTTATCACGACGAGGCAGGGCATTTTTAACAAATTAACTTGGGGGCAATTGCCCATGTTACCTCAGTGATTTTCCTTTGTTTATAATAATAGGCTATTGCCCTCCTCTTTATACAAGCAAATGCTTGTCCCACAGCTAATTTCTCTTCCAAATGTAATTTGACAGTACTTTAGATGTTTAATGTAAGTTGCAATATGATTATGAAAAGCTATTGACTTTATACAGCTAGAAATTCTACATCTGAGTTTTGCAGCACAGCAGCAGAAATTTTGCTTTTTATTGAATGAGTAGGCCGTCACAGTGAATCTTCACTATTTCTTATCTGAGAAGGCCTTTCTATTGATGTATTCCTATTTATTTTGAAAAATCTTCTTTTCCAAGTCCTGCACATTTTCTGAATTATGTCACATGTAGGGGAGTGGTCAAATTGGGTATTCACTGATCGCAGATAGAATTTGGTTAGAATTTTTAATGCAAATAGAGATTGGCCATAATTTGATTATATGGTAAAATACATATTGTAAAGAAAATATATAAGACATTCTGAAAATCAGGGCATTCTGAATTCTTCCTTGAATATCTTAGTTTGACTTAACATCTTGCTCAAGACAGAACGTTTACAAATGGAGCTTCAAGAACTGTTTTCAGCTTGCCTTTGACAGACCATAGGTATTCAATTGTAATGATAATACATTTGAATCTAAAGCCAGAAGAAAACAAAAAGAGACTGAGTCAGGTTTAACTGAAATTTTCCATGAGGATTTATTCATTCTCTTCACTGCGAAGTCTAGCATTTGCATTAGTTACTTTAACAGAGAGCTGTTGAGCTCGGTCAACTATGTCCTTTCTCTTTCTGCTAGAGACATTGTGTGCAATTTCTGCGGCATAGCTTCCCTTCAGCATCAACAGCAGTTCCAGTTCCTACAGAAGAACAAGAGGGTTTTTTTTGAGAAATTTCCCATAATAAATTGCAATGGCATAATTACTATTATCATCAGGTTTAAAATATTTACCATTAATCTGTACAAATTTATAGGCAACTATTTGCTCCAAATTGAGAATCAGTGTCACTGGCTCCAAATGACCTCTTTGATCGTACCTATGGAACATTCTGCTCTATCTGACAACATGTAGCCTGCAGCATACTATGATTGCAGAAGCTGTTTAAGAAGTCAGAAAAACAATTGTATTGAAAACTGCATTTATTGCTTGCTCACAGCAGATTCTTTACTTCTAAATTTTGTCACTCTTACAGTGACATAATCTTCACAAATATAACATACTTTTTTCCAGTTTGTCAGTCCTTATATAGACACATTGTAGTGACAGTCGATAGCTTCAATTTAAGCCGAAATAATTCAAAGAAGACTATCTCCGAGACTACACATTTAGGGATATATCTTCAGGAACTTTTAGCTTGATAATTTATACCTAACCCCTAACAAACATGATATACAAAATATGTATATATATACAGATAATAGGCACCTCACCTTGACATTGTGAACAACAAACTTCTTGAAACCATCAGGCATCAGATGTCTGGTGTTTTTGTTACTTCCATAGCCAATGCTTGGCATCAAATATTGTCCCTTGAATTTCCTTCGCACTCTGTTATCAATACCCTTTGGTTTCCTCCAGTTGGTCTAAAGGAGCACAAAGACTATTTACCTCAACAAATAAACAAAGAAAGAAATAAAGATTGAACAGCTCATTTTAGCATAGAACAGGCTGGAAAACTTGCAATGCTAAGGATCCATACTTAAATCTCAAATGTACATTTCCACCTCAGGAGATGTCTGGGGAGCATATGCAAAAACTAAAATGTTCTGCTTTCATCCAAATTTGATTCCACTTGCTTCCACTTTGAAGCTAAAATGATTCACATCTTCACATACTCAACAAGAACATATACACATATTTTCTGACCTGGAGCATTTGATAATCAACTTTTCAACTGTTTTATGAAATGGGCAAAATTGGCTTGCGAATATCATAGAGGACCATTGTGTGACAAAAAGAAAAACTTATTGTTTCAACCTTTGTTCTTATTATTTTGGCATCCTTATCTTATTAACAAGAGTCTTTATAAACTGAACATATCATCTTTATTGAACAGTGCAAATTAATTTCCCTCTAAGTTGTTGCTCACTTAAGTCTGCACCTAGCTTGCCAGTACAAATATAAAAGTTTTCAGACAGGCAAAGTTTTTCAATCTTCAATACATAACTGTTGAAGGCTTTTCAATTGTATTGCAGCATCTAACACTTTTTAACAAAATCAAACAATTCACAGAATTGGCACCATCGTGAGATTACAAAAATCAATTTTCGCAGGGCGTCTATGCATAGGTCAGATCCAATTATTACTTTTCTGCAATAACGTGAAATTGTAGTGTTAGGATTTCTTGATGAGGTTTTATACAGAAAATTCAAAACGCAAAACAAATAATGGCATACCTTCAGCTTATCATATCTATCAGATTGATGGCGGATAAACTTTTTTGTCCTCTTTTTAACGATCTTTCTTTTAACTGTAGGGACCACCATTTTGCTGTAGAATAAAAAGCAAATAATTCATCAGCCACCAACATAGGGTATGAGAGTAAGTGACTAGCAATAACAAGGTACTGTAGTAGGCATAAATATTACCCTTGCGTGCAATCACACGCGTTATTAGAATAGTACAGTTGAAGAAAATATATTTGAGTTTGACTTTAAACAAAAATATATCAGAAAACGTCCGGGATTGCACTAAAAAGAAAAGATTGAAGATTATAACTTACTCTAGCTTCGTCGCGACTCAGGTTTGAGGGAGAAAGGACTGCATCAGTGGGTCTGTCGTGGAAGGGAGGCTGCCTCAGTGCCAATTTCACATGCTTGAAAATTCCATAATTGCGACTAACAACAACATTGTCAAAGAACGCTCGAGGTTATTAAACCGATTTCAAATTTACCAAAGAAAATTTCTAAAAAAGAAGCATTTTATTTATATCTCACCAAGGTTGACTTCACTGATGCACAAACATGGCGACTTTGGAGGCAATTAAATACGAAAATGGCAAGTTGCATATCCTTGACCAACTTTTGCTTCCACTCCAAAGTGTATTTGAAGAAATAAAATCTGTCGAAGATGGTTGGCGAGCAATCAAAGAGATGAAGGTATTTTTCAACGTGTATCAATTATCTTGCAGCAAAGGAAATTCATTTGACAAATATAAGTTTACTTGTATCATTAAATTTTAGTATGTTTTCAGTGTGCATTTTGTCTTGATTGGAACCTACCTTACTTTATTTTATCTTCCTAGCATCAGATCTGAAAGATCATTTGCAAAATATAATGATTAGAGATTAGGTAAATGAAAATATTCAACTCATATATAATTATGAAATTTCACTACTTACAATTCCTTTACCAATCAACTAATCTCACTGAAAGTCAGTACTAATTCATATTAAGATAACAGTGTAAAGAACACACAACTTGTATCCGTACATAACACGAAGAAGCAATTGAGAACAATACAAATTCTAAAAGTAGATTTATCGCAGTGCAAGCACGAGGGTCACAAGACTGGAACTAGGCAATAGGCATAATATAACAGAACAATAGTAAACAGCGAGACTAGCAAAAAGTATATAGCGGTGATCATGATAGATAATAATGAGTTCTTAACAATTCAGACTACATAACACTACCAACAAACTAATTTTCCAAGTTTATTTATAATTTGATATAATTTGCAAGTAAATTTATTTGTATAATATCATTAGAGGGAATTATTTTATACTAGAATGTTTGGTGACAAAGAGTGGTTCATTATGATGTGTCAGTGGCTAAAAAGCTTATTCGATATCGATATCCTTAGCTTGAAAGTGTGGACGTTTTAAAACAAAATGATACAAAACTAAATACGGATGCAAATAAGAATCCGAGGTTTTTTATTGAGGGAATAGACTTTCTTTCTCGGAAAAAATCATGAAAATTAGAATCAAAGTTGCAAGAAGAGGATCAAATGCCATGCTGAAATTAACCGTGCGCAAATTAACCGAATTTTACTAACCTCATTAGCAACTTTTAGCAATATTTATGGACCAATAACACACAGGGCTGTAATGGTACAGCTGGTCATCAAGAAAAACCTGCTTTACCATCTGCAAAAAGTATACAATTCTTGAATGGCACGGTAGTTTCATTGTAAGTTAGCAGAGATTTTGCAAAAAAGGCTTACCTTTGGGTATGATAATTTTGCTGTTTTTATTCAAGGGCAGCTATTGTTAAAACTTCCTTCCATTGTTTTTCAAGCCACACAGGTACATTGTCCCTTTTAAAACATGAATTATAAAAATCTATTGCTATTCAAGAAAATACAGTATCTTAAATGTTAATGGATATTTTCATGATTTTTAGATTCGAGGTGCTCCAGCTATTGCTGTATTGGGTTGTTTGAGTCTTGCAGTGGACCTCCTCAAACAAGACTTTCAATCAAAGGACACCCTTGTTAACTATGTTGCAGAGAAGTTGGATTATCTCGTTTCTGCTAGGCCAACTGCAGTGAATATTGCCAGGGCTGCTGTTGACCTCAAGAGATTTGTGCAGCAACATTTAGATAAGGCTGGAGATGCACAATCATTGAAAGGTCTTCTTATTAAAGAGATCGAAGGAATGTTGCAGAAAGACATTGAGGATAACATGAAGATTGGCCAGTTTGGAAGCGAACACATCCTTAAGACAGCTGGTGAGGCAAAAGTGAAAGTTTTGACCCATTGCAATACAGGATCTCTAGCGACCGTCAAGTATGGCACTGCTCTTGGTGTTGTCCGGTCTTTGCATCAAAAAGGTGATTTTGAATGTTTTATCAGAACTTTTAAAACTGTATTTGCACCTAAATGGATACATGTATAAAGAAGGAGTTAAAAGGAACAATCATATAGGGCACACAATTACAGGCATATATACATTGTTTATTTGTTTAAGCAGGTTTAAAATTTGAGCAGTAAATAATGCTGATGTGGACATGCTATTTAAAACAGAAAATATTTACAAAATTTAAGTAAGCCTATTACAATCTTAGCTAATCAAATCTTATAAATCAATACCACCTAAATATAAATTGTTAAAATTGCCTAAAAGTGAATCTAATAATATACAAAAATAACATCCTTATAACTTATGGTACTGCTTTTTCTTTCATAAGAAATAGTTTCTAAAAGTCTGGCTACTGATTTTAGTTCTTTTCTAAATACTGATGCGTTTCTAATGTATAACCGAGGGCCAAGAAAAGAGCCTTGCTCCAGAGAGTTTTCTGTTGACTTTTGAATAATTACTTCTGCTTGTTAGATAGTCTTCTAATCAGTGTAAGAGGAGTCTTCTAACCACTCATCTATATGTGCAAAATTAGGTAATTGTGTTTATTTTTATGACATAACATTTTGGGACTCTTTAGTGTGCCCTGACCCTAGATGATTGTCGGCTTGATAATTCAGCCAGCATAATAGCTTATCCAAGGGTCATTATTTTCAGCATAGAAAGCCCACTTTCCAGAAAGTTTTGAATGAACATAGTTGTGTAATTTATTTTGTAGTTCACATAGCATCTAAATTGTTTCACATGTGATGAAAAAGATTTTCAAGAAAGCCATTTAAAATATTTCAGATTTATGGTCTTTGAGAAGAGCTAAACAAAGAGTGAAATTTTTGGTCTAAAAACCTTACCCTTAAACATATTTGTATTTTATTGACAGAGAAGCTAGAGCATGCATTTTGCACAGAGACAAGGCCTTACAATCAAGGGGCAAGGCTGACTGCATATGAACTTGTCTTTGAAAAAATCCCATCTACCCTAATTGTGGACTCAGCTGCATCTCTGCTTATGACAAAACATAAGCTTGGAGCAGTAGTTGTTGGAGCTGACCGAATTGTTGCCAATGGAGATACTGCAAATAAGATTGGTACATACCAACTAGCAATTACTGGTGAGTTCATTTGATAGAAATCTTCATTAGTAATTTCCTTGAGCTTGTAATTATCTCATTCAAATTATATATCTCCCAAATCATTCTTCTTCTGAGTTTCACAGACACTGAAGCCCTTGAATGTTTCTATGCTTTGCAAATTCTTCTTGGTCCTTTATTTTTGCACTTGTTATATTCCTATTGCTTTCTCTAACTGTCAACAATGCCTGCCAAAAGTACTTGAAACACCCATCAATTTGTGTTGCATTAGATATCTTTCATTCCTTTCCCGAAAAAATGTTACTTTTTCCGCCCCCTTCCCCCTAAAACAATGTTGATCATTTAGAGAAATATCATAAAAAAGCGCAAAAGAATGTGCTTCCTAAAATCCTAACCCATTTGATAGTAAACCAACATTGTTCTGTAGGGGAGAGAGGGACGATTGATTTTGATCTTAGAAATTGATGTCAGTGTTCCAAGACTTTTGGCAGGCATTGAAGGTCTTTTCATGCCTTGTGAGTCTTTTTGTGTAATTTTTTTTACTCCTCCTGATTTTTGCATTTGCTGTTCTTCACCTTCCCTTTGCATTTCATTATATTTCCTTTCCTAACAAACTTGACAGGTTGTTTGGCAGTAAAAACCTTTATCATAGGAAGTGTTTCTTACATCTTTCAACTCATTCAAGAAATACCAATATTTCCCTTAGGAATGGAATAGAACACTGTACAGGTCTCTAGGGCTGCTGGCTGAAACCCTGAATGTGGTCTTAGGCTTGAAAGCAGTTACTAACATATTGCTAGAATAATCACCATAAAAAAGCAAATACTGGATGTGTTCCTATCCTGGACCCTGCTTCCTGGGTCTTAAGTATTATTTTGTTATTTGTCATATGTTTTGTTTTTTTCTTTTCCCAGCAAAACATCACAATGTGCCATTCTATGTAGCTGCTCCAACAACAACAATAGATTTTAACTTAAAATCTGGAAATGAAATTGTCATAGAGGAGCGGAATACAGAAGAAATCACTCATGTCAGTGGTGTGAGGCGAGCTGCTGAAGGGATAAACTGTTACAATCCGGCATTTGATGTAACCCCAGGGGCACTTATAACAGGGGGGATAATAACTGAATTTGGAGTTTTTGCAGCCGAGGAATTGGATTCAAAGCTCAAAGCAATGATAAAGTGATACAGCAACTTTATGTACTCATTTAAACAAAGTCTTGATTTGAATTTTTCATGTTTTATAAGGGTATTTAAGCTGTGAAAACTCATCTTTATAGTATATAGAATGCATCCTGTACGGCAAAAATTGTCTTTGGAATGAAAGTAACAAGGTGTTTTTTTAGGATTGAAAACAAAAAAAAATTCATCTTTTTCTTAAAATAGAATAACAAAAGAACTCTTTTTCAAACCAGAGTTAAAGACTCTGGCCTTTTTATGCAACTTATTATTTCATTGTAATAAATTTTTCCCTTTCAGTTTTAGTCACATTTTGCTTTATATTTGGCTATTCAGTTAAAAACTCAACAAGTCTTGATCTGAAGCCACTGCAATAAAATTTATTAGCAAATTTCAACAGGTCAAAGCTTCCATAATAAGAAAAATAGCTACTTGAATAAAAATTTGTATGGATATTTAAAAATTAACATAACAAATAGAGCTGCAGACATACTTTTAAACAAATATCTCTGCACATCTCAATGAGAGAATTTAAAAACTCTACCAAAAATCAAATCAGAATTAAAAAAATTAAACAAAAAGTTGTTGTATGTTTGTGCTAAACTGATATATGAAAATAATTACTTAAAATCATGAAAAAAATTTAATAAAAAACTTTATACTGGCGAGTGTAAACAACAGGTGTGAATAAATGGGAGGGTAATAGCCTAAATAAAATTTCTTATGTTGTGGCAATGCCTGTTTTACCCATACCACACAGTTATTTCACGAATGTAGTTCTGCATATATTCAAACGTGTATAGAGTGATTTTGATCTATGATTCTTTGTTTTTCTTTTTAAATTGAAATCAAACTAGATAAGTTACACACAATAGCTTCTGTAAATCTTTCAATTGAAATAAAAATATATGAATGAAGATTAGACAAAGACAGAAGGGAGCGGCAAGAAAGAGGGATGGTTGTGTGAAGACCAAATAGACTCCTTGACTAACTATTTCTATATAAATGTATTTATAAGGCTATCATTATTTTGTAGTAACTCAATAAATATCATTGAGCATAACTGAATCAATCACAAACTTATCCTTTTTATTCTGGGTCAATTAAAGTATGTACAGCAAATAAGCTGAGATACAAACTCCCTGAAGCTGGTAAGGAATAAGAGCAAAGAGTTCTTCAGCTAGAATAAATTAAAACAAAGTTCATGACTAACTTCACATGGCCTTCCAAAAGTTAGGATCCATTGCTAATTTTCTCTCAAAGTTTGTGTACCAAGTTTGAAGGACGCTAAGTGGGACATAGTTCTCTGTTGGGTTTGGTGTCATCATTTGTTGTGTGGTGGCATATGAAGCAACAAAGTTAAAAAGACTGTGAAGCATTTTTTGTGTGAACTCCACAAAAGAAACAACTCCTGATGGAATCGAATTTGTTTCTGGTGTCTGATTTGCTATTTCTGACAATGGTTCCAAGGAAATCCCAATTTGTGCCATGGTATGATCATCAGGGTTTGACATTTCTGAAAATGGATTATGCCCACCCTCAAGGAGTTTAACCTAAAAAGCAATAGAGTTTAATGAGTTTCTCAATGAAATTGAAACATCAAAAGAGACAAAACAGGAGTAATGACATTTTGCAGATGTTCATAGGCAGAACTTTAAAAACAGTCAAGCTTACATGACATATCAAAATGTTGGTATTCACAGAGTTCACAGAACATGTTATTATTTCATGAATCACCAATCCAATTGCTAAACCATTATTGAAGAACCAGTTGCTCATCACTAAGGTTAGTTGCTTGGAGAACTACCAGGACATTTTTACAAGGATGTTTTAGCAGTACTTCAATTTTTTGGTATTTGAAGAGAAAAGTTACTAACAAGTGCCACAACAAAAATAGAGACAATGCTTGAAACAATTGAAAGCTTCTTGTTACATCATGACAGCCTGATAAGTAGACAAATCTGGTATTAGACAATTCCTTGTTGTACCATTCCCATAGACAAATTCAATTTTATTAAATTAAATTAAAAACGTTTTGACTCTAGCTAGAGTCATTTTCAGTATCTAATTACAGGCAAAAAAAAGTACAGGGAAAGGTTAAACAAAGAGTAATCATAAATTGTGTGATAAAGCAGTACGCCAGAGGAGTAATCAGGACGCAAGAGAGGACACAAGGAACACTACACAACCTCTTTAAGGATAAAGAAATTAGAGAAAGGTGATCTAAACACAAATTTCAGCTGAATATTAGGGTAGCATTTCTTCAAAAGCTTAGTAATATTTTTCTTAATGCGGAGGCTATAGTTTCCTAAAAAGGGTAAAAAGAACGAGGGAAGCTGTTTATTACTGTCAAGGTTAGAAGTTTTAGTTGTAGGTTTAAACTGTTTGTCAAGAAATACCCGGATTAACTTATCAACCAAGGATGGTTTGAATCTTACAGAGTTCAATATGCATATTTTCATAAGAAGAGCAACTATGAAAAGCGTGGTAAATAAGTATGTTAAAAAGATTGAATTTTTAATAAATAGGAGACAAACTAGCAAAATCTGTGTAAAGCCCAGTGTGAAGAGAAAAGGGGATAAATTATTAATGTGAAAGATTGAAAGACTATTTTTGTTTAGTGGATCAGAGTGCTTGGCACAAGAACCAAGAAAAGAAACTCATGCTCTAAAGAAGTTCTAAAGAGGTTACAAATACCATTGGACAGACAATCACCGTTCATCCACACAGGTGGTTTCTCATCCTTGTGAAAATTTGTTAATGAAAAGGCCTGCTTTAATCCTTATGTACACATTTGAAAGGTCAGATAGGGAAAGTTGATGGGTGCTTTTTTTGCCACCTTACTGGAGCTAATTTATCAATTCAACAAGATTGAGGGTTTCTTTTGGTATTTTAAAATGAATGCTTCCTGCTACTCAAAGGTAGCCAACATGCAGACTCAACTGGTTTTCCCAGAGATGATTTTTTTTAATGGAAATAAATTAAGTTTTCCATTCAAACAAAATCATCTCTGGGAAAACCAGCTGAGTCTGCGCGCAGGCTAGTAAAAGGAATTTTATGACAGTTAAGGGGTTGGTCTAAAAATCTTTATCTTGTTTCCCCTCTTTTACATCTTGCTGTCAAGCTACTGTCTTTTGGATACTTGTTGCATTGCTTTCAACTTGATCTTGCCAAAAATAGCTTAATGTGCCCTTTTAAAGCAAGAAGCTTATTCTAAGATGGATTTGATTTTAGCAACAAAAAGCAAGATCACAGAACTGAAGGCCTTTATAGTTAAAATAAAGTTAAGAATAACATTTTTCATAGCAAACATTTGAGTAAACAAACCCTTATCAGTATCTGTATTCCAAGTTATTCAAATAACAAAGCTTCCTGTTACAATATCATTTAGTTTGCTCTTATGACTTGTAATAAACCTTTTTTCTTCTGCAATATCTTCATCAAATTCTTGAAAATTAAATTACTAACCTTAGAAATCTTGAATATTGCACTAGGCTTCTCATTTGAAATAAAACCAAGCAAATGCCAGCTTGTCTGCATTTTTGGCCAGCAGAAATACACGGATCCACCAAAACCATCAGGAAAAGGTTGGACACCCGTTAAGAATATAACAACATGATTGATGCTTTCACAGTCAGGCAAATTAAACACCACTTGCTTCTCGTTGATTTGGGTGAAATCAGTTGTGACCTGTTGTAAATGGACACAATTATTTTCTTGTACAATAAACATAAAACAATACAGGTACAGATTTTAGCAGGTGCATGGCTGATCATGCACCTTTAAGCAAAATGTTCCATTGAGGCATGCAATTTATGATTAAAACTTCCACTTCCAGATCAAAACACAAGTAAAAGTGGTAATATTAATGTTGTTGCAGCTTTTCCATGCGATTTTTTAAGCTTTGTTGTACCAAAGAATTATATATTTGATCTAAACATGAATTTAAGGGATCTAAACATGAATTGAATACATTATATCCGAAGTATCATACAATGGCTAAGGTGGTCGAGGTGGCACTTTTTCTATGACAGATGGCACCTTGACAAAATAAATAATATGTGATGCAGAGCAATGGGGTTTTAACAAAGAAGGAACTCAAAGTACATTGTATCCAATGGAATTTGTTTAAAAGTATCGAAGAAGAATACAAATTATCTTATTATACAGGTAACTTTTAAAAAAAGCAAATGACTAAGACGCACAATATCTAGGCCTCTCCCAGAGACATGGGCTATAACCCACGCAAAAAAGTTTTGCTAGAGCTTTTTTCAGTCCACGCAGTTGTTTATAAAAGCGCTCTAATTAAATCTGCTTTGTCTCACTCCTCAATGCTTTAACTACTTACCACTATATATCAGGGTTTTCATAAATTATATTGTGCCAAAGAGATATATGGTTTTTACAAATATCTCTATAGGAAGGTAATTTCCTTTTCTTTTGACGTGAAATGTTAATAAACTATAGTATTATCTGTTAAAACTAGCAATGGAATAGGAAATGATTGTGCAGGAAAGGAACAACAGACAGTGTATGAGCAAGAATGAGAATTGTTACATGACACTGCCAAGTACAAAATTTGTGTTACGAATACACTATTTTTACAAAAAACACGTTTTAAGAAATGATAACTGGGCAATCGGAAAAAATTAAAACATTTTCAGAAATAATTTGCTTTTGGTCTTTGACTCTTCAACTAGGTGAGAGATAAGCTGTTGTGATTTGTCAAAAACATAGAACCAATAATTCACCCTTTCTGAACTCTCTTGCCATTTTCAATCCCCATTTTTGCTTCCCTTTATGCTTTGAGGTCTATGTATATGTTATTCGCCAATCTTGATCATACTGCTGTTTCACTCTATCCTGCTGTTGCATGCCCGCAATATATTGCCTGCGCACTCAAATTTTCCATCTGCATACTTTTGCATATTGACCACGCAAAGCCCCAATTTAATAACATTTTACATCATTAACAATACAAATTTCTTAAAAGTGTGTGATTTCTGAATGAACTTGTTTGTGCAAGAAACAAAGCTTCCAGTCTGGAAACTGAGAGGCCCGACAACATAAAGGCTTTGTTTATATTCTTCAACCCAAACTGATTTCTTATGTCAGTAAGCATAAATATTGGTCATGTTTAAGGGCTTTAGCGGATTGATGTTTGCTTACTTGTAGAGGTTAAATGATGTGGGTACGTGTACAGTATTATTAGTAGATAAATGAACTAAATATTATGACAGCAGAGCATTGAAGTTCATGACGAGACCTTGTATTTCCAGTCTTTCAAACCACATTTTCTACATGTAAATTTCCTTTCTCTGCATGTGAAAACTTTTACATAATAGAGAAGAGTTTAAACTGCAGCATGCAGCATCACTGCATTTCACCTGCTACATTTGTGTAGACTAGAAATGGCCCTGTTTCAATTCACGTTATGAATCATCTATCAGTCAAGTTTTCAGTGATTTCATTCCCTAGCTTTGGAAAGCAGGCTCGCAGCCTTAAAAACATATGTTTATGCTGTACTATTAGTTGAATTTTGAGCTTTGAACAGTTACATTTTATATCAATATACATATATTAAACATTAAATCATGAATTTTATGCTACAATATCATCATGTGAAGGTAATATTTTCTTTACTACATACAATCGATATTAAATTGCTCAGATAGCGCATATAATTGAGTCATAACAAACAACGACTGTATTTGATTTTGGACATTGGTCAGATAAGCATAGTGGGGATGAATAAGCTTGCTTCAGCACTTAATTCACTTTGAAAATTGAAAAGTCCTTCTACATTTCTGCAAAATAAAATTATCCTCACCAGTCGCCCTGAGACGAGGCATCCAAACATTCCTGCCATTTCTAAACCGCTTTCTTATGCCTAGTTGTTTCCACATTGACCTCATTGGATTTACAACTTCTCGTGCATCTTGAACTTGCCTCTTTTTTTTTACAAATAGCCTCGCTCTCAATTTCACCTCGGCATTTATAATTATCAAAAATATGGCGACCCTCGAAGATAAAGAAATCTGGAAAGATGCCGAGGTAAATACAATAGTTTGTTGATTACAAGTGAAAATTATTCTTCGGGGCAATTTTCTTATATTAATGTACCTTTAAAGAAAACAAAAGACACATTTTTTGGTCTTGCCTTTGATAAAACCGTCAAATGCCACTGAGGACTGTGTCAGAGGTCTTTAACAAGAATTTCGTTGTGCTACAAATAATTGTACGCATAGTCGTGCATATGGCTGCCAAAGAGCCTTTTGTCGACTCTTAAGTGCTGTTTGATATAATATTGATTGAATAAGACGCTATTGTTCTCCGGGTAGTGTAAATGTGTTAATATTTATTGTATTTTAGGAGGAACTTGGTGCAGATGTTCTCAAAATGTCCACAGAAGAGATGGTCAGTAGAATAAGACTTTTGGACAATGAAGTAAAGGTAACCTTTATTTTTAAACATTTGCTATGTTTATTTAAAGTTGTTGTTTAAAGTTATTGTGTTGGTTCTATTCAATTTATTGTGTCTTTTTGAGAATTTCAAAACAATTGTATGTTCTGCCTGACATTTTTGGATCCAACAGAAGATAAGACTACAGCTCTGAACCACTCAACTCTGTGCCAGTTGCTACAGTTGTGGAGTTGTTTAAATTTAAAGTATATTTTGGCAAAATCAGGTTTAGACAGTTGTTTCTCTATGTTTTTATTCATTTCCCATTAGTTTTAGGAAAATCGTGTCATTAAAATCTGGATAAACCACTTTTTGAGCTTCTGGATAGGTTTGTCTCTAGGGTTAGACATATTTTTAGACTCTTTTACGCCATATCCATTTTTTAACGCCAAATTTTTGCAGATGTCACAATTTCCTCTTTTTTAAAGATAATGAAAAGTGAAATAATGAGAGTCAGCCATGAACAGCAAGCTATGAAAGACAAAATAAAGGTACACAGTGAATAAATACTATGTAGATAGATAATTTGTTGATATTTTTTAAATATATGTATGTGTGATGTGCATAAAGGTAATCTAAGTAAGAATCTTTTCTATGAACAAATAGATGGACTATGAACAAAATCTCCACTGTAAGTGATCAATGATTGATGTTTTTTGCTCCTAGCAAATTTATTATCTTATCAGGGCTAATATTGGACAGTTCATTAATTAAGAAAATACAATCATCAAACATACTTAGATCGTCAAACAATTAACAAAACTTCTAGAACTGTGTCATTTTGTTTGTCTTCTTTATATTAAATTGATTGCCATTGATAAAATTTAGTTGTGCTTTAATCTGATCACCTCAGGGTCTGATTCACTGAAGCACATCCTGCCCTTTTATTCTTTTAGAACTTCATTGAACTGTCCTTTCTTGGGCAATTTCAGTGTATTTATTATTTGCAATAGAAATTTCAAAGCACATTTTATGTTTAATGAAGCCAATTTTGATTTTGTTTCAAAAAAACAAGCTTACTTTTCTTGTTTACTCATGGTTCTCATTGAATTTTTGCAGGAAAATACAGAAAAGATAAAAGTTAATAAGACCCTACCTTATTTGGTCTCCAATGTTATTGAGGTTAGTCATCTTTCAAAGTTTGGTTTTTTTAGTAAAGGCTTGACTTTTATTGTCTCAAATGCGTCAAAGTTTTGAAACACATTTTTCATGATCTTGAAGTCCAGGAAAAGTTTGATTTTTGATCAACTGTTGTCAGAATTATGGACTGTAAGCTGGAAAGATCACTGTGGTCCATGGTATTATCTCAATTCTTTATCAACTTTTACTGAATTGCCCAATTATTAATATAATTTTGTTCTAAAAAATGATAGTCTGAAAATTTTATATTTCAGCTCCTTGATATAGATCCTGAAGATCAGGTATATTTTTAGAATTATATTTATCGACAATATTTTGTTAGATGATAAAAAGAATAGCCACTAATAGTGGCAAATTGAATAAAGATTGATTATAAATCTTTATCATTTTAACTGAAACTAAAGAGAGTTTCACTTGTGTGGTCTTTTCATCTCATGTTGTAAATATTGTTTTATCTACTCATTTTAGCCTGAGGAGGATGGGGCCAATGTTGATCTTGATTCTCAAAGAAAAGGAAAATGTGCTGTTATCAAAACTTCTACAAGACAGGTAGTTATAAGCAATGTGAAATTACCTTGTAAGAAATAAGATGCAAGTTATCCTGTAACTTTAACAAATCACAAAAATTCAAACCCTTTTGATCAGATAAAAAAGTTTTACACCATTTGCCTTATAAGCTTTTCATAATATTTTTCTACATGCTCAAATTGAACTTTTGTCATTTCCTTATCAAATATACTTGTATGTTTTATACATTGTTTTAATGCCCTATTGACATCACTCCAGGTCTGATTCACGCATTCAAAATTATATTTCTCTTAATCAGGTTTCATTGTTCTTCCCTTAGACTTATTTCTTGCCAGTGATCGGTCTTGTTGAACCCGAAGAGCTAAAACCTGGTGATCTAGTTGTAAGTAGAATACAAATTTTAATGGAAATATGAATGAGTTTTGAATATTTTGAAAAAGGTGGTCATTTTTGATAAACAATTATTATGAGTAATTTTTTAAAGGAGAAATCTGAAGATTTTGTGAAGGTCTACTTATTATTATCTTATTATTATAAAAGGAATGCTCTTTAAGAAACTTTCCTTAGAATACCCAAATTTATGGCCAAATTTAGCCCATAGGAAATACATAGCCCATATAAATTAGTGAGTACAATTTTTCATGTATTGCATAATCTCTTTTTTCCTGTTTCAACAGTGTAGAACATAGAAGTAGTAAATAAAATGCTGTAAATATTTGCTTGTTGACTCTTGTTTTCAATATTTCTGCAGGGCGTAAACAAAGACTCATACCTCATACTGGAAACATTACCAGCAGAGTGAGTTTCAGCTGTCTACATTAAGAGGATAATTAATCAGAACTTAAAGGTTTACCCAGACTTATTGCGTTTTTAAGACTTCTGATCACAATACTGCAAAAAGGATGTTTACAGAACCACCAGGATTGGGGGTAAGGTTGTTTGGTCCCCCAGTAGGTTCCAGCAGTTCTCTACTGTTCCCATAGCCATGTCTTAAACGACACATAAAAAGTTTACTGGAAGGATCTGCCTACTTTAGGTTCCAAAGTTTATGAGTTTCTTTCTTTCTTGATCAGGCCTATTCTTCTATTTTTTGGGTAACAAATCAGTTTGTTTGTTGGTTCAGAAGTTATTATGTAATTTAATGAACATTGTTGGAGGGACCTATCTGTTAACTATACTTTTGTTTTTTTGTGATACGCTGGCCATAAGTTTGAAACATAAACCTTTCTCAGTTATCCCATGGGATGCACTAACCAAAGTCTGAGCTGATCTGTTAGAATAATCAGTCAGTGTGTGCATTAAACGAAGCAAGCGTTGATGCTTTCTACCTTTTAGGTATGATGCCCGTGTTAAGGCAATGGAAGTAGACGAGAGACCAACGGAAAAATATTCTGATATTGGGGGTTTGGATCAGCAGATTCAAGAGGTATGATTAACTTCAAAGAGACAGGACCTCTAAATTTCAGTTGCCATTAATACTCTTTATCATTAGAAGAAGAATTGTGTTGCCGTGTTTTTGCGACATTTAATCGATGTTTGTCCTATTTAAGTTCAGGGCTTTGTTGGTTTGACCTGATTTTGACCTTACAAGATTTTAACCTTACCAAGGCAATCCATTTCTATTGAGACTGTAAACTTGGTAGCTGAGAAAATAATTTTGAACTCTCTGGCACTTGTCATTTGTTTATTAATTGAGTCAAATGATTTTGTAACATTTGAATCAACTAAGAATTCATGTTTCTTCCACAGTAGTGTTGACATCATACTTTTTGCTCCTTTAGCTCATTGAAGCGATTGTTTTGCCGATGACTCACAAGGAGAGATTCGAAAGATTGGGAATCCAACCCCCAAAAGGTAATCTTTCTTACCCCAAGAAGCTCAGTGCTTTCAGATATTAGGGGAACAAGGTATTGTAATATAAGCGCAGAAAGACAGTTGGTCTCCATGGGCTCTTCGTAAAATATTGTATGAATGTATGTGTCAAGAAGTTTGTAAGTTCTTTAAAATTTTAGTGAGGTGAATTTAGTGAGAAAATATTCACTAGAAAGAAACTATTAATAAGCATTAAATATCTAGGGAGGCCTGTGTTTTAGAGCTGAAGTTCTTTCTTTGCTCTTTGCACCTTGGAGGCCATTGCAGCTGACAGTGGTGACTTGTGGTACTTGTTTGTTCTCAAATTCAATCCCTAAGATTAAGAGATAAAGCAAAAAGCCCTTTTTACACTAGAGGAATCGTAAGTCAGCTACTGTGTCTTTTTATCTACCAAATTGTCGAATTTTAAGATGAGATTCGTAATGAATGCTTTTTGAATTGATCAAAGAATTCTATATAATTCTATATAATTCTAATAAGTATAGTTATTCCTAAATGCTTTTCCTCATTTTGGTTATGAGTTTTTTAATTTTTAAGGTGTGCTGCTGTATGGACCCCCAGGCACTGGCAAAACTTTGCTCGCCAGAGCATGTGCTGCAGAAACTAAGGTACCAAACATTTTGCTGAAATTATGGTTTTGATTTAATTGCTTTGCGTGTCTATTTTTCCATAGTGCGGGGAAGAAATGCTCAACTTTTCTTTTAAACTTATGTTTGACAGAAACCCTCTTTGCTGCTGTCAAAAATTCTGCTTATAGTACATTCACTCCTCTTGTTGGCAATTCGCTCCTCTCCGTTCGTATTATTTCTGATTATTTCAATCCCATTTAAGCCACTGTTTTTGTGTAAAAACCTTTCTTTAGCTCTTCTCTTTAAAGAGCACTTCCTTTCTGCATTCAGGCTACATATCTCAAGCTAGCTGGACCACAACTCGTTCAGGTATGTAGATTTTAGTCATTACCTGTGTAGAATCAATGGCGAGTGCCTTTTAACTGGTGTTGGGAAACACTATTAACGTAATCACTCGAAATAGATACAAATGATTTCAAGAACGATAATTTTTACGAAGTTTTCTAAAATTAAGCGTTGGATACAGTTTTTGCGTGGGTTCAGGAGCTTAGAATTTTATACGGAAGTTCAGAAGTTTTTTAACCAGAGGTCGTTGCACGATACACTTGGTCTCTTCTTGCAAATATGAAAGGCTATGAAGGGTGATGATGTCATGCTTTAAGGTTTTATCCTTGATGTTGCATAGGGGATCAAAAGATTCATATCGCCTTTTTTTCGATTAGAAGTACTTGACAATAAAAGCTGTCGAATTTTAGGTTTAATTGGTTTTGTTGGTGCTTCATAGTTCTCGACTGTATACATAGCATTGCTGTGCATTGGATTAAGCAACCATATCTCTGTCATATGAAAAAAGGTTTATTTGCTGTTTCTAATAATGCATTTGGTGTTGCAGATGTTTATAGGTGATGGTGCAAAGCTGGTACGAGATGCATTCAATCTTGCGAAGGAGAAAGCACCTGCTATCATATTCATTGATGAGTTGGACGCCATTGGAACAAAGGTACGTCAAATTCATAGAAGTGGTCGGGTTGACCCTAACCCCAATCCGAACAATTTTCTTATCAAGTCAGTCTATAAAGTGTCCATGATTTTTTGAGGAGCTCGTTTACACTTGAGTTGGTTTTATTAAAATTTCAAATCGTGTTTCTAGTATAAGATATTAAATAGTTTTTTAGCAAACGATTGCAGATCATAGGATGATTTCCACTTTGAAATAATGCAAAGTCGAGCAAATAGTGAAAGATAAGCCTCCATTTCTGGTGCACCTCTTTTGACACATGCTAGCCAGTTTTACCAATATTGTGTTTCTCTCGCAACGATTTGAGGCTTCAATGACAACACCAACCAGCTTTTTCTAGCAAATGTTTCCTTGTTAAAGATAGTTGGAAGAACCACTGATAGTTGCCAAGTTTAACTCTTACTTTGTTGCTAGAAAGACTGGAACAGCCTTCCCACTAATTATTTAATCTAACCTCTCCATAAAGAATTAAGTGAGTCTGGAGAGAGCAGTTTTTTTGCGAAAGATGCTGAAATATAGGGCTGATTTGTCTATTTACTTTTTATACTAGCGTTTTGATAGTGAAAAGGCTGGTGACAGAGAGGTGCAGCGGACCATGTTGGAACTGCTAAACCAACTTGATGGATTTAGTTCTTCGACCAACATAAAAGTCATTGCAGCGACAAACAGAGTCGATATTTTGGATCCAGCATTGCTAAGATCAGGTAAAACCTCGTTCGGGGGATGTATGGGCCTCTTTGTGGCATGAACTGTTTGTTTAGTTCTGTTGTTTGAAAGTGAGAGTAGATGAGTTTGTTGAACAAGGATTCTAAGCAGATTCTTACCTATAAATATATGGATTTTCAGTCAAACTAAATAACTGCCGAGTTCTTAATGTTCAAATGTATGTGTAACATTTGCTGGCACTGAATTCACTTCAACTGAGTCGAGTTCTACTGCCACTGGCTCTAATTTGTTTTTATCGTAACAAGTCGATTAATTTAATAGATAGCTCCACGACATACCTGAATAGATAATATTATTTTAATGATGTGGAAATGAATGGTTTGCATACATTTCTATACACGAGTTGTAAACATGTATAAATATTGTAAACATTTTTTGGAATTTTTTACCAATTTTTGACTTTGCAGGTCGTCTGGACAGGAAAATCGAGTTCCCTAATCCGACAGAAGAAGCCCGAGCAAGAATTCTTCAAATTCATTCGAGGAAAATGAATGTCAGGTATTTGAGTTGCGTTTCACTGCCGTCGTGAAAGGTGGAGGGGGTCGTAGGTGCTTTAAATAAGATCTGTCCTGCAACAAACGCTCTTGATCCCAATAACATTTGCCTTTTGTGTCAACAGTAGAAAATTCACTAGCTACTTTAACAGTTGCCTATAGGCACTGCAAGCGTGCTCGTGTCAACTACACAAAATCTGGTTGTTACTGCTATTTATTAAAATTCTGCCTAGCCATTTGATTGGCTGTCATAGGTTTATCTGACCAATCTATCTCTCTTCTGCTGTCTATCTTCTGATATCTATATTTCTATTTCTATTTATGTTTATATATATAAGTGATGATGATTATTTATTGATAAGCGTGCATATCTTGCCAGCTCAAAGGTAAATTATGAAGAACTTGCTCGCTGTACGGATGATTTCAACGGTGCCATGTTAAAAGCTGTCTGTGTTGAAGCGGTAAGTAGCATTAATGCTTCTTAGACTTGCTGACTAAATTACTCTATAATGGCTAAAAAAGTCGAGAAATTTAGTTCCTTAACCTTTCTTCGATCGATATTTGATATTTATTCATTGGTTTTATTTTCAATCAGGGGATGATTGCCTTAAGGCGGGAAGCAAAAGAGCTAGAACACGAAGATTACATGGAAGGTTCGTACTTGATACTCTTTTGATCCCATTAGGTGTTTTTAGAATGATTAGAAATGACTGTATATCATAGTGTACCAATACATTATGCTTGATCGCTCTAATAGCGTTGCTATACATACAATCACACCGTATAGGGTAGTGGGTATAACTTAGACTTAATCCATGAGCCTCTGTTTCGTTACTGCCTCACTCGACGGACGCTACAACAGAGGGTGAGGCAAACGTTGTTGGCAAAAGTTGTATAACTTCCAGTGACAATCCTATCTCTCCACTCTTTTTGTCAACCTTTCCCAGCCTCTGACCGTCAAACTGAACTACTTATGTTTCTGGAAGATGACGGTTTTGCGTAAAATGACAGATATTGAAGTCTAGCTGTTATTTTTATCATTGAAATAATACCTTGTTGTTTAGTTGGCCTTGTTGATTAGCAGGGTTTTTTACCAACCAGCTTCACCACCAGTTGGTCTTGAAAACAATTGTTTGTTTTTTAGGTATTTTGGAAGTACAGGCCAAGAAGAAGACCAATCTTATGTACTACGCGTAAAATCGCACCTCATCAACTTTATGGTCGATTCAAACGATGTTAACTTTGACCAAAACGCTCTTTGTGTATTTTTATTGACAATTTGATTAAATCTGTTACATCATTGTCAGATAAATTAGGTTATAAATGGTTGAGAATGTCGAAAAAGTTGTCTTTTTAACGTTCTTCCTTTTAACTTAGTAGCATCAAAATTGTTGATATACTCTTTGTTTTGGCCTATTTCCAAAGTAATGGCTGTTCTCTTTGTCTTTGCTACTGACCCTAACATTGGCTTGCTGTGACTAGAGTGGTTGTACTGGTGTGATAAGATACGGGTGACCTTCTGCACTTGGAGAAATGTCCTCCTAACAGACCAAGATACTCGTGTAGCATTCCAAAAGACGCCTTTTTGTCAATCCTCATAAGAACAAGATGCTTTCCTAATTTTCGAAACAACGATAAAATGCCCCTCATATTCCAGGGTACCAAGCCGTTTTGCTTACATAAATATGATAACCTACGTTGTTTGCAAAGACGTAAAATATTAGAAAATATTAGAACATTTTTGAAGCTACTTTCGAAAAGCCTTACCAGCAAAAACATCCCTATACCAAATTCCAAATTCCAAATTCCAGATATACCAAATTCCAGATATACCAAATTCTTTAGGGTTTTGGCTATTCTGCGTTTCTTGTTAAACGTGTCAGAATTTCCTTACCTTAAATTTGCTATGCAGTTGCACTTCATCACTGTTAAGTCACGGCTGTTGTTTTTATCTCGCCGATTATCAATAAAACAGGACATAAGCGAGGTTAAAATCTTTTGGGTGTTTCTTGAATGGATACAGTTGACAACAAAATTATAACATGACTATTTATACAAAGAATACATTTATTTCAATAAATAAATAAATTAATAAAGAATTATGCTACTGCTGAATTTCCCAGATACCCTCAATCTACAAATTTTGCATGGCCAATTTTCACCTTTCTACTCTTTGATTGATCTCTTGAAGCTAAGACTGGTTGCCAGGCTTTTTATCGAGTCAGACAAAGTGCTCAATCGGATGGCAACCCTGAAGGATAATGAATCAATCCCATATGACAATGTGTTGGTGCTCCGAAACTGTTTAAATTTCTTACTGCCTAGGTTCTAGGCTACATTTTTGTCCGGCAGATATTTTAGACAAAGAGAGTTAAGGTATTTATATATCGCCACCATTGGTTGTTTTCAAATTCCAAGAAGCCGAGAAGCCGAGAAACCGAGAAGCCGAGAAACCGAGAAGCCAAGAAGCCGAGAAGCCGAAAAGCCGAGAAGCTACCTAATTAGCCAGATTCTGATGTTCAAATTTCTGATTTAAAATAAACAAAAATCTTAATGATTAGTTAACCTATTGTTACCTAATGTTACATTATCTTTATTGATATAATATGAAACGTATAAAGACAATGAAGAAAAGAAAATAAATTGAAGCAAAGTGTTTGATGCTGCCTGACAATTAATTCACTGCTATTGGCTTTTGTATCTTACTTTGAATTTGTAAATATCAGTAAAAAGCAGCTTGAGAAATTCTTGATTTTCTTTCGTTGTTGAAAAGATACGTTCACCTAAAGAAGTGATTTGCCTCCAACAAAGAAGCATCGGCAAGGTTTTGATGTATGTCAAAATGTCACATGTCATTTGTACAAAGCCATATGTATGGCCTTGAAAAAATAAAGCAAAAACTTTCAGACATTTATAAAGTATGGTTATTAATATAATATTAGAGCCTTGTATGTTTTATAAACAAAATAAAATGTTATAGCTCACGTATACGCAACGAATATATCAATTAGTTTATTAAAGGGTGGGTTGACCAGAGGAATTGGAAAAGAGATTTTCTAGAGAAAAAGTTATTAGAGGAAGGGTTTATTGAAGGAAGAATTTGCCAAAGTAGAGGAGGGATATCTAGATAAAGGATGTATTAGAGAAATTGTCCATTAAAAGGTAGAAGGGAAAATTGGAGAAATCACTGAAGGTAACTATTAAACTAAACGATAAACTGGTTCAACATGAAAGGGTAATTGTTTAATCGTTTTCACAGTCAAAATGTTTAGACTGCTGCTTTTTTGGTCCAGAATACATTTGATTACATTTTATTAGATGCTTGGCTTAGAACAAGTGGCTAGTTAATTGCTTTTGTAGGAATGCAATATTGCAAAGGTTTTCTTTGCTATTGAAAGCTATAGCAAATCACCAAGAGGATATAGGGCTTATTGCTTTTGCCTTATTTGCTATTCTCACACCAAAGAAGTCGATTGGAGGTGACTCTATTAGAAGACGAAAATAGAAAAAAGCCACGATATTTTGGCGTGAAGTATAGAATACAGACATGAGGAGTATCAGAAATATCTCTGTTTAATTCCTAATCGCTGCATGAGAACGAAGAATGAACCTAGCAGTTTTATTTTCCTTTTTCCGTTGCTTGTGACATTTTAAACTTCGTACCAGTCTTTTGAAAATGGCGTTAATTAAAGGGAGGCATTTATTTTCATGTTTTTTTGGCAAATAATTGCGTTAATCAGAAAAAGGCTTTTCAAGCTAGCCATTTATCAAAATTATCGAAATCCTATTCTCCGAAAACCTAATCTCACAAGTATGTATTTTTAATTGAGGTTTGAAATGAGATTTTTCAAACCCTTTTTCTCACCCACTCCTTCCCACTGCTTTGGTCTATGATGCTTCACCATTGGGTGGATAATCATCGGCAAAAAAGATGTTAAGGGCTTTTGTGAGCCAGCTCCGACCCCAGAGTGATTCAAGAAATCAGACATAAGGAGGCCTGGTGTTGTGCCCGCACTGTATACTCAACAGAAGCGGGTTTAAATGGATAGAAAGTTATTTATAAAAACACTGTTCTGCGTAAGGTGTAGACTAGCTGGTTCTGTTAACCTGGATTGGTAACTATTGAAAATGTTCATTAACACTTCGGGTTTAAACTAGACACCGAATTTCGTTCTGTCCGGTCTCATTGGCAAACCTTCGCTCGACATTAAGATGGACATATCAAAAACGTAAACGAACCTTTGACACTCAATTTACTCTTGTAAAAACCGTAGAATACAAGCTACTTACATTTTGCCATCGTCAGCCTAGCTTCTTCTTCGGCCATTCTTCACCACGTGTAACAACAATCTATTCAATGAATATATTGAGTGAACATTTCCAAAGAAAGGAGCCGGAATACCCACCGCAGCACGTCCCTGGAGAACCCGATAGCATTGTGTTCGCTCCGTCCCATGCGGCACATGAAATACCCACCGCAGCACGTCCCTGGAGAACCCGATAGCATAGTGTTCGCTCCGTCCCTTGCGGCACATGAAATACCCACCGCAGCACGTCCCTGGAGAACCCGATAGCATTGTGTTCGCTCCGTCCCTTGCGGCACATGATGCTCCTAGATGGCCTTTTGGAAGTCTCGAAGGATGCCAGGGATACTGAACGTATGAACGTAGAACTCGACGAAAAAAGTTTTGACTGTAACAACATGTCTTTAGAAATTGGAAATAGTGCAAAAGAACCTTCCTCAAACTAGTCTCCACCGTCTTTAAGAAACGGTACATAATGGTTATGTCGAATTTCTGCTTTCAACTTGTTGCTCATTGAAGAAGTGGGTTGATAATGGGGCGGTCTTTATACAGCTTCTACGCTATTTCATAGGCTTGTCCATAAGTGTGGCACAATTCACAATAATGTGGCGTCTTGTATTCCAAAACTAAACTTCCTGCTTCGAAATTTGCGGTTTAAACTATGGGTTGAAATAGGACTAATTCTCTGACAAATGTCGTATTCAAAATTTTTTTTTATTTCAATTTCAAATGTTTGACCTTGGCAAATAGCAAAAAGCTGGGGGCAGAGAACGAATTGAGCGTTTTCCATCACTACCAATAATTTTTTCGACTTTAGACAAATCACAACACAGTATCAACCTCCTGGATGGCACAATAGACGTGGAATGTCAAAAAAACTTCAAGTCATTTTGTAAAATCTAATACACGAAATTCATATGTACTATATATTATCGTTTTGTAATGATATCTCATCACATATTGGTAATTATCAATTGATTTCTATAAATCTAAACCACAAGTAGATGTTTATCCAAACTAAACTGTCATTATAACGCAATAATCATTAGTAATATTGAACCAGACGTCTATATAAGACTCAATAAAAACAATATCCTCACGTTAAAACTTTACGGCTACCGAAAAATGCCAAACTTAAATATACATATCTGGCAACCATAAAAAATAAAATAATAAAAACAGTTTTCATGAAAACTGGTATGTTAATTTTAAGGAAAGAATTTCGGCTTTTCGAAATGGGACTAGCCTCGTTGGAAATTTTTTTTTTAAAATTCAGATATACCATGATTATATCTTACAAGATGCTTAAAAATTAAATGAACAACTGAAGTTATATAAGAAATTGGGTGACTTGAATGGGGGATTTCTATTACCCCACCCCAAAAATTCCTGATGAAGTAACACACAATACATATTGGTGACAAATTTGCTTCGAAGGATCTGCAATGCTATCTTCTCAATGAAATTGGAAATCGAAAAAAGAACAATAAGCTTAAAATTTTGTAAGCAAGGCAAAAGTTTCTTTCTAGTGATCACGTCGAGCGTTCAAAGACAAATCTTTAGAAAATGTGAAGGATCTTGTCAAAGGTGTTCGCCCTGTCGAGTATCATTTACTGGTGATAGGAAAAACTCTTGGATTTTAACTGACGGGGGTATGTTGATGAAGACGCTCGTCCGACTCCAAATGTACATTTTCAAGGTGCAAAAAATGTTCTCGCACAGTGGCGGACACTTTGAAGAGCGACCGCACCCCCCCAATACTTTAGAGGACAATGGTCTTTTGTTCTAAAACAATGAAATGTGACGTCAGTAAAACAATACGCTTGCCCCCAATATTTGACCAAATGTCCGCCCCTGTTCTCGCATTTTGCTAACCCAACATTAACAATACAATATAGGACAAGGAAAACGTCTCCTGTACTTCAAAATAGACAAATATTACATAAATAAAAAAATGAAAGTTTTATGGCTAAAACATACGCTATTTTGCTGATACTAGCAAAAGTTCTTGCTATACGACATGTTTTAGCAACTAAGCTAAACTAAAAATTTCTGATAAGAATTCATTTTTCTCTAAGTTAAGATAAAAACCACTTATACATACAGTAAAATTTGGATGTTATCATAGAATGTACCCTTATATCTTTAAGTAAAAAGTAGCCTAAGTGAAATTCAATAAAATGTAAAAATAAGAATGATTTGAAAATGGCTTTGAAAAAAGCAAACTTTTTTACAACATACTAAAAGCTTTTTCATCTGACACTCCTCAGAGCATAAAACGTCAGAATCAGGAGTGTCAAGTTTTATGCTCTGAGGAGTGTCAGACGAAAAAGCTTTTAGTATGTTGTAAAATGTTTGCTTTCATCAAAGCCATTTTCAAATTCTGTACCGCAAAAAAATTGTTAAGAATGATTTATAAGAATGATACCTCATAATTAAAGAAACTAACAATCTTCTGCTAAATGAAAAAAACTAATTAAAAATTCTCTATTTCTGTTGTGAGTTAACAATTCGATTTGTATACTACCCTTATGATCTGATCATAGACGAAATGTTTAAATTTCAAAAAAGATTGTGTCTATAAGAATTAACTACAAATTCTTAGCTTGGTTTTGCTGGATAAAAATGTCAAAACTTGTCCGCATACTTATTTCGCTTTCTTTGACTGATAAAATTCTGAGAGAACACCCCATGCTTTGTGAGCCATAAAACCATTAGGCGGTTCCTTGCCTTCTCGCGCCAATTTCCGCATGCGAGTTCCAGAAATGAAGTCAAAGTCTTCCTTGTGCTCAGGATTGAAAAATTCCATCTTATTGGATTTCGTATTGTAAGCTGCCACTCTGAATGGGATGACTTCTAAATGAGTAAGGCCAGGAGCCATTGTTAGCACCTAGGATGCAAAGGATTCAGATATTTAAGAAGTCGTAGATTCGGGAGATGTATAAATGGCTAGGCTGAAAAGAAAATCTCTTAGAAAAACAAATGGAAATTAAGGAGTATAAATTAAAGTTGTTTTTTGCGTGGAAAGGATATCAATAAACAAATCTTTATGAACTAAAATTGAGCCATTGCATAACTATGCAACAGTAAACGGAAGTTAGGGGCCTATGTTGTATTTAGCGTATTAACTAAATTTGTATTAACTAATATTTTATTCAATTAAATTTAAATGTAAACGACAGTTTTTAAAGCAAACTGCTGCTTCACTTTTAATATTTTGGCAATTGTGCGCCATAATGCCCTTTGCAGCGCATATCGACAGCCAGACCGAAGGCAATGGGGTTTGGGGGAGACGCCGTGAACATTAAAGCTTAAAAATAGAGGTTTTTTGAAGTGGATCAGATGGAATGCCGTGTTTTGGAGCAGTTTGTGCTGCTAATGTTATCTGCCCTGTACATCAATATTACTGTCCTAATAGGCAAGGGTTTCCTTAAAAATTCATCAAGAAATAGAATGTTGTCTTATCTTCAAATTGATTTGCATTCCATTAGGGTGCTAATGTCTCTTTCGGTCGAGTGGCGAGTTTATAGGGTGTAGATCTATTTTGCTTTGTACTAATCACTTTGGTTTTGGTCTGCCTACTATTAATGCCTTAATAACTTGGGTCGATTTATCTAATCTCAGTTAAGTGTCTTGGCCAGTTGAGTCTTCTATTTCAAATTACTTTGCTCTATTCATCTCCTTATTGCAGCCATAAATCACAGGGGAAATAGTCAAGAAAAATATATACCTTGCTACCATGTGTAGGTTCATACAAATCAGTGTTTGGTATGTCGGGGTGTGGGAGCCCAGCCGGGTCTCTGCCAACTATGTAAAATGTTGCACCTGCAGCAATCCGTGCCTTGCAATGCCACTGGACCTGCGAGAAAAGTTACAAGGGATCACAGCCATAAGCCACAAGCCCTATATGGCCAAAAAAGAAAATGAAAAGATACACAGAACATACGATTCACTTCAGTCCTAAAAAAATTCACAACTGGATATACTAAACCCTTTCATCAAGCAGTGTCTTGTAATGATCCTGCGAAACTGCATCATTTGAAAGCAACGAATATTGATATAATAAAAATACGAAGTCCAACCTCAGTGGGTCCTGCGTACATCATTGGCGAGGGGAAGATTGCCAATACAGTGTTTTCAGGATCTAGAACTCCCTCTTCTAACACAGCGAGATGTTGCTTGATTCTGACCGACAAAGGAACATCGTCATCTTTGGTCCAGCCGCCTAGTGGGTGCAACAACAACACTGGTTTCACGTGACCCCTTTCGAGGAGCTTTCGGTGGGTGTCCTGTGATAGAAATATGCATTGATTAATGCAAGAGGTATTCGTCGGTCTGGTGGAACTCCAGAAATACAAGTAGCGATATGGTTTAACACGGAGGTTTTACTAATAGCAAAATTGTTGGGCTTTCTTGGAAGTCTTCATAAAACAGAAAAATCATTTGCTCTGGTCATATTCAAGAGAATAAAATAGTTAATTCTATCTTGTTCTAAAATATAACAATGCAATATATAAATAGATGATATAATAAATATAATATATAAAATATAATTCATTATATATATCATGCAGGATTACAATTGGTAAATACCTATAAGCTAATCTTTATCAGTGAAACTAAAAAACAAAATTACGAGAAAACAAAGAAAACAATAGTTATGTGCTGATATGAAGAAATATCACCCGAGTCTTACATTTGAATACAACATGATATTTCATGTAAAACTACCTTTTTCTAAAGGAATACAATTTACAATACAAACCTGCATGAGCAGGGCATGGCCATTGTGGATCGGGTTTCTCAACTGAAACGCAAACACGGCATCCGCTTGCCTTCGCATAAACTCCGCACGAAGCTCGTTTGGTTTCAACCGGTATGCATCCAAACCGTCATTCCATTTAATCTCCTCCAAAACATCAAGTTTTCCACCCACCAGCCAATCTCCAGATTCGTAGATCATCTACAAAATTAATTACAAAACTGTAACCAGACGGAAGATAATGATTTCATTTGTGTGCCACAACTTTCAGGTTTCTAGAAATTGACAGAAACACCGATTCTTAAAATTTTACAATTACATTTTTAACTATAAGATATAATTGATGATATAATAAATGAAGTAAATATTGGCGTCATTCAATCAACACTGACTACCAAAAGCTTCTCACCGAATCAAAGCAAAAGTGACCGAATGACAGAAAGTATCGGGAGAAAGGATGTCCCACCAATATTTGGCCCTGGTGTTTATACCCGCTGGTAATTTTGTCCCTGGTACAGTTATGAGCCCCATTATGTTTTTGCCACCCCAAATTTACAAACCTTTCCAACCCCCTGGTGCTGTTACAATATTACAATCATACCTTCATGTAAGGATGATTTTTGCTGTTGGCACCAAATTGTCTGCAACATCGCTCCTCTTTCCTGTGAGCAAAAAATTCAGGGTGCCTCAATATCGCAACTGGTTTTCCATCAAAAACGAGGCTGAATGACTGACAGGCACCGAGTCTCTCTTTGTCTTCAGTTGTAATTGCAAGAACGATAGGTATCGACTGGTTTATATCATCAGCTGAAAATTAACAAACAAATTTAAATGATTGAAACCTCGGCAAATTAGAGATGCCTATGGGGAGAAACCTAAACAATAATCTTAGATGCCACAAGAAAGTTGACTTACAGCGGTTTTCCAAAGCATTTGAGATAGCGCGGAAAAACGAAAGCATAGCATACTTAAGTACTTTTCGTCTGACACTCCTCTGAGCATCAACGTCAGGTAATGATTTAAGTAAGCAAAAATTCGGCTCCAGCAACTTGCCGGTCAACGGCTTTCACGTCTCAACATACTGTATATCCGTTGGTTCGAGTTTCGCTGTAAAATCATTTCGCCATATATTGTACTTAAGAATGTTTTACCACCTAGCAGTTTATTATTTTCAGCAAGATGTCTCCCAGCAAGCAATCTAATATGAAGAAGGTTCACGGTCAAGAGTTTAAAAAACGGTATCGCTAATCTTTAGGGCTGCTTTAGAGACCCACCCACTTGGAGACCAATAACATCTAAGCCTCAAACTTGCTTGCAAAGTTTCCTGGCATGCAATTTACGCAGTCTGGCGGCAAACTGGGTTAAACTGGGTTAAACTGGTGCAAACTGGGTTAGAGACACACGCTTCTATATGTTTGGACATTAACGAGCTACTGCCATTTAGGAGTCAGAATTTGTCTGGAGGGCGAACCCACCTATGGTCCAAGAGGGAAGGGCATTCACTTGGTCCCTCCTGCAGTCTCCTCGATATTTCTCGGTTTCCCCACAGCAGTGAACTTAATTTCATGTAGGCTAGGGCGTTGTCTTTTTAACAATGCAATGAACTCACCATCCTGAAGACAGTTGAAATGAAGTGTTTGCAAATACTCGCGCTCCTTCATGAAGCCATCTAGCGGGGAGGCCCAGCCCTCAGCTAGAACTTGAACCCACTGCATGTCAACCTGCGAAAAAAGTTTATAACAAAAGTCAGTTGAAAGTGCATTCGGTTTTTCATCATACAAATTAACAACAGCTATGAAAAGGGGTTTAGAACACTTTGAATAGCAACAAGAAAAATGGGCTACAGTAGGCCTAGTGATTCTCTATGTAATTGAAGGTTGGAAAATAATTAACATTAAAAAACATTCAGGCATTTAACAACTGCCTTTCCAGTTTTTTTAAGGCTTCACATCTAAAGACGCTGAGAAGTGGTTCCAGATTTGCGACTAATTTTTATTTATCACCATTCCCCAAAACTTAGCACCAAGGGATCAAATGCTATAAGCCTTACTGAGATGAATTTTCTACAAATGAACTTGCGGATTGGCAGAAGAAAACTAATAATGAAAGAAAAAGCTGGCTAGTAATCGGATGACAAAGCTGTTTTCGTATGCGAATAAACACAATAATTTTACTTTGACAATTAGCTTTAAAACAGCTGAAACTAGTAAAGCTGCATTATGTAAAAGTAGTTCTAATTCCATTGCAGAGTAGGATTAAAGTTTGGTACAACAAATAACGATGAAAAATTAATTTCAGATTACTTCGAAAGGTAATTTAGAAGAAAGGTCTCAAAATGTTTACTGAAAATGATGGTTTGTTTTTAGCAATTTAAAGAAATTACGAATTGATCTGCAAAACAGAATTACCTTGTTTATGCTTAAAGCCTCCAGAGATTTCGCTTCTGCCATGTACTTCTCCAATTCATCTCTTGGGACGAAAAGCTCCTTAACTTCGTTTGCAGAGGTAATTGGAATTACTTCCTAAAAATGAAAAACTTTGTCTTAAGAAGATACAATCTATTTATTGTCAGAAATACCCTAAAATCCATCAAAATTCTGCCTCTGTCATTTGAAAAATATCAAATGAAAAGATCCTAAAATGAATTTAACCTCTTTTAGGCTCCTAACAAACTGCGCACGTGTGTGTGTGTTTGTCTGTTTGTGGGTGAAGGTGTTCTCTAACCCATACGAGAAATATACCACTAAAACAACCATTTTCCCCACCCCGATGAACCAAACCACACAACCCCATGTCATGTTACTCAGTTCCCTGATGACCACCATGAGAAATTCTAAAAGATGAAAGATGAAACTCTGTGACTTAGTCAAAAAAATCAAAATTACATACCTTGCTGATAAGAAGTTTTACAAGCTTCTGCACACACTGGTCAATGCTATGCTTGCCAGCTTCGATAGTGAGGTCAGCGTGAGAAGGAGACTCGTACACTGCATCGATACCGGTAAAGCCTGAAAGAGCAGAAATTGAGATTTACCCGAGTGAAGAGCAAAACTACTGACCTTATGGTTGATATGCGTGTCTTCCTAGTTTTGCGAAAAGAAAATCTTTTTTCACCCTTAGATAATCATTGATAATGATCGCTACGACGATAAATGTTGATTACGATGATGATTTGTGATGTAGAATGATTTGCAATGAATTGTGATGATTACGTAGCTGATCACAACCACAATAGCAATGCTAACACCAGTGACTAGAAGGATCTTTGAGGATTCAGGCATACCTTTGATAATACCGGCTCTTGCTTTCTTGTATAACCCTTTAACATCTCTCTGCTCACATACCTCTAGTGGAGTATTAATATAGCATTCGATGAATGACAACCCAGCACTTTCGTGAATTTCTCTCGCCCGCTGCCTGTCCTGAAACGAATAAGAATACATACACTTGTTATATCTGGTTATAAGGCATGCATGAAAATTTTGAAAATACAAACAAAACGTTAATTAGAAAAGGTTCGTGGTTTAAGCACTAAATACTTCAAACGATATATCCAATATTTTCCACGCAAAAATAACTGCTCCATTTGTAAAATAGTGCCCCTGAGTGACTTTTTAAGAACATTCAATTTTAGAACACCTATCAGATTAATGGTTTCCCATTGAAAAATTTGAAAATTGCACAAAGTAGTAAGATCAATGATATTAGGGCCGAGTAAAGAAAGTTTTAAAACGAAAAATCGAGTGCAATCGAAATATTCATGAATGACAAACTGGGTTTTTTGAAACACAGAAACCTTGCATAGACATCCCGTATAGGAACATTTATACTCTAATCTTCACAAAACGGATTGCACTACAGCTGAGTAAAAAGCAATTAGGCATGCAGAACCCAGAAAGCCTTGCTAAGACAAGGTCAACGACCACAAAGAAAACCAATGAAAACATGAAGCCCATCCAAACCAAGCCTTGTTTTGTGTCAAAGATGTAAGAGCTAAAATGTATTATCCGGAGGAAGGACTTAAAAACGCGCTTCTTGAATTCGAGGAGTTGGCTACTTATAAAGCGGATAGCAACAGCTGTGTCCGCAGGGCAATCATGGTGTTTCTTCATTATTCAAAAACAAGAACAAGTCGTTCTTCTCAACTTTTGGAAGTACTGAAGTCCCTTATTCTTAGCAGTATTATAATGATTTGCTTTACCTTAGCATATGGACTGATAAAACTGGTGACACACACAATCCCTGCATCTGCAAACAGCTTTGCAACTTCACCGACTCTTCTGATGTTTTCTTCTCTTTCTTCGGGCGTGAAACCGAGATTTTTGTTCAACCCCGTTCTTAAGTTGTCGCCATCCAGACTGTATGAAGGGATCCCTCTAAAGCAAAGATATTCCTCCAGGGCATGAGCAAGAGTCGTTTTTCCGGCTCCGGAAAGACCTGTTTCGGTAAAGACAATAAAAATTATCGAGAAAAGAAAATTGCTTCAAGCCACGATCCGGACCTACACTACAACAATTTGATGATGCCAATTTTCAAGGCATTAAATACAGTTGAATCCTATTAAGTTGGGACTTCAAAAGGGAAAGGATATTGCCTGACTCAGTCAATGTCCGGACGGGTTACGACTGTTGACTTGAATAAGGTATGAAAATCAGTCCGACTCAGAGAAAGTCCGAGTATACCTGGACATAACTGAACGGGTTTCAACTCAAATTGCAGCGGCATTCTCTCTAGAGTACCGACTTCGGACGAATGCCGATGACTGTCATTGAAAAACTGAAACTTTTCATAGTTGCAAAGAGAATTGACAATTAAGAGAGAAAACTGGCCCAAAAAACCGTTGGTAATTTACCCCTTTCCTTTAGAACCAAGGAACTCTTTACAAATTTTATGAACTTCGATTACTAACTATAGATAATCTGAGAGGATGAAACTGTCTGATTCTGTACTGCACTATCTGTACTTCTGATTGAAAACATCCAAAGATAATATATAGCTTGTCTCCCAGCGATTTATAAACAGCTCTTAAATTATTCAGAAGCATAAATTAATGTTTTGCAAATCAAACTGATGCGGCGTATTCCCAATCTCAATTGCATTCTTCAGGAACTATCTAAATAATATTGCAGAGGCATTTAGTTAAATCATATTGTAGAAGTTTGAAAGTAAAAACAAAAGCATTTATTTTGTTTTCGCTCGAGACGATATCCCTTAGCTTTCCACCAAACCTCAATTGTGGATAACATAAAGATTCGTGGCCTTCCTTCGACTTTTCACGAGTTTACAAGAATTAAAATTCATTTTGTTCAAAGTTAATCCTGGTTGCAGTAAACATTATGCTACGTATGGCCTGCAACCTTGGACAGAGCTGTTGAGACAAACCCCTAATTACATGCCCGGTAGAATGTATGTATAGTCCTACAACAACACCCCTCCTCCCATTCAAAGTTTGAGTGGGGTAGAAAGCGGGATATGTGTTTTTGTGGAAGCTGTATCAACAATTAACTTGGGCGGGCAGGGTAGAAAATCTAAACACAATCTGTCCAAGATTGTAGCATGGGAGTTGCAGCGGAAGTAAACGGGTACCCAAATGAATTTTGTCAAGTGGCTGCTGGGATAATGTGGTGAACCTGAGCAGCCATGAACACCTAGATGAATGAACAGAAGGATGAGCAGTGACGCGACAACCACTACCAGACAATTAAACAATACATAGGTACACATTACAAAACGTATAAGCATCTTTGCATTATTGGAGATGGCAACTATTGTGTAATAGAAATCATATAGATTTAATGGAAAAGGAATGTTAAAAATCATGGTCATACTACAGGAGACAGATGACATTCAGCAGATCTGATCCAAAAAGTAAAGGGGTAGTGTCCCTGGCTTCCCTAACAGCTAAGCTTCTCACCTAAGGATGGTTTTAGGTAGGCCTAATCCTCCCGTCAATATAGAAACAGAATAGGCTTTAAAAAATTCCCAATGAACAAAATTTCTAGGGAATGCGAGAAAGTGCGAGTGAGAGGTAGGGCGGAAGAGGGAGAGGGGAAAAGGAAGGGAGGAAAGAAGGAGGGAGAAAGAAGGAGGGAGAAAGAAGGAGGGAGAAAGAAGGAGGGAGAAAGAAGGAGGGAGAAAGAAGGAGGGAGAAAGAAGGAGGGAGAAAGAAGGAGGGAGAAAGAAGGAGGGAGAAAGAAGGAGGGAGAAAGAAGGAGGGAGAAAGAAGGAGGGAGAAAGAAGGAGGGAGAAAGAAGGAGGTAGAAAGAAGGAGGGAGAAAGAAGGAGGGAGAAAGAAGGAGGGAGAAAGAAGGAGGGAGAAAGAAGGAGGGAGAAAGAAGGAGGGAGAAAGAAGGAGGGAGAAAGAAGGAGGGAGAAAGAAGGAGGGAGAAAGAAGGAGGGAAAAAGAAGGAGGGAGAAAGAAGGAGGGAGAAAGAAGGAGGGAGAAAGAAGGAGGGAGACAGAAGGAGGGAGACAGAAGGAGGGATAAAATAGGTAGTAAGAGGGAAGGAGAAAGAAGGAGGGAGAACAAGGGAGGGAGGTAAAGGGAAGTGACTGAGAAAAGGGGGGAAGAAGCAAAGGAATTGAAAGCGAGAAAGAATTAAGGAAAGCGATGGAAAACGATGAGGAAGGAGGGAAAGAACCTTTATTGAAAAAAACATCGAATTGAATATTTGAATCTGTTAAGAAAAATGAAGATAGAAAATGCACCTGTAAGCCATATAGTACAGCCTCGAAAGCCATGGCTCTGACCAATCACTTGTCCTCTTTTGTCACGTGTCACCAAACTTTGTATATACTGAACATTAGTCGCTCTTGTCAGGGTCTATAACAAGAATGCAAATTACTTTAGGACAATATTGATAGGCAATACTTAGTAACGACAATCCTGCACCAAAATAGCTGGGACTTTAATCAAGGAATGTTGATGTTTTCTCAACTTCCCTCTCCCGATTCAATATTGAATAAATGTCGTGAAGCACAAACTATAGGACAACTAATCCAACATTGTTTCGTGGGGAAAAGTGGGGATTTGCATTTACAGAGGCAACGTAAAGGTAAAGTGCGAAAACTGCATTTTGTCTCAACATTTTTGTCCAGGATTGTAGATGCTGCTTGGAAGGAAGCTTGGTATGTATGAAACGTAGATAAATTTGGACAGAAGTGCCATTTTAAGCTAAGTCTCGCAAACGTTCATGACCAGAGGTAAAATGAAAGCTGAAAATCAGAAGAAGAAAAGTCAATTAGTTTACCTTAATTTTGTCTGCATTTAAAAGGTAAAGTTTTTATATTTAAGACAAAAGTTTTTGAAATTATTATACACTATGCAATGGTTATTCTTAAAATTTGAATTTAAATATCTGAATGGTACCAAATGCATATAAGAAATTGCCAACAAATATGTGCGTTGCATGCTCTTTGTGGGTGTTGCCCTAGAACGCATTTCCCAGTGAAGTGGAGATTTGGAAGATTTGCTGATGGCAAAAGCGATTTTCCGACAGAAGACTTTTCAGGAAAAAGTGTGACGCCCCAGTGTGACGCCCCAACATCCCCTCTCCTCCTTTAAGGCCGCCCTTTCCAGAAGGTTTAAGGATAGTAGAGCGCCAAGGGTCCAAACAGTATGGCAGTGGTATAATACCGAAAAGATTTAATACTTATTGATTTTCTTCTTTTGTTGATAACTACCGTATACAAAGACGACATTTCCATTAACAAAAAAAGCATAAAAAGAGAGTATCTTTTTGGCAAAATATATCTAATATAATTCTCGGAAACACAAATGAAACATTTGTTTCATTTAAAGTTTAACCAACCCTTGCTGAAGTTGAGCTGTTTCCATTCTGTTTGTCCCGAGAAAAATCTGCACCGTGCATTTTCTTTCAGGTTTCAAAACACCAAATAAGCATTTAAGGCCTCCAAAAGTCCTTTCGATTGGTTGTCAGAAAAGAGCTTTCTCAACACATTGAAGATATCCGGACAACAACAAAATACGAGCCACAAGATGTAGAACCGATTTGCTAAAACTTATATTTGATTTGGGCTTAGCTGCTTCAATGTCGGTTGCTAATATTTCATATCAAGATCCGACCGCAAAAGTGCAACCCCGTGCTTCTGTAGTTGCTATGATGAAACCTCTTTATCAACAATATTCTTCGTTATCAACGATTGCCAATTTGTGTCTTCTCCGTCATGAAATTTGCCGCAAATGAACCCACTTTATGCATATGCATGAACAATTAATTGAACAAACACGAATTTTCAAGAAGAGCCCCAATCGATAATCCTTGACCTTTGAATCAAAATCTTAAAAGACGTAGACTTTTTAAAGAATCAGTGACTTGACAGCAATAAGTCCAAGTTGATGTTTCTTGAAACTGAAAACGCCCACTTCTCAAGCAGCTAATTCGTTTTGCACAAGTTAATTGTAAGCAATAAAACGAACTTGAATTCTCTTGGTATAACAGCTGCAAATAGATAGCGCGACAGATGTTCCCAAAAGGTGATCTCAAGCTTAAATTATTAAAATCAATTTTTAGCTTATTTTTCATAAAGGAAATCCCGCATATTGAATCCAGCAGCAGGATGGTTAGTCACACCAAAAACAATGCTAATTATGGCTTGATTGTTATAGAATTTTGCTCATTTGAAGGCCTTAATGAATGGATGACTGCAAACAAATTTGTAAAACCACTCGCAAGACATTTCGTAATTGCCATATCCATACAACTTTTCCAAGAAGAGCTAGTGAGACCGATTAAACGACGTGAGGAGATCCTAAGTTATCAATCGTTTTTGAGTATTTCCTTGTAGGCAAAATTGTAGAATGAAACAGCTCTTTGTTTGATGTATCAGAGATTATCAAAAGAGTTGTCGACCAAGTAACGAGCAAGGCAATATTCGAGGCACCTGCCATGCACACACAGTGGTGACTGCCCTGACTTTAGCCATGTTTGACAAATTATAATGCATAGTAATTTCCAGAAAAATTTCAGCAGACTTAAATAGGTGTAAACCAAGGTACACATCTGAGCCCATTACTGTTTATAGAATCCCTAAATTCAAATAACCCTTTATTTGAACTATCCCTGGGAAATGTTGTGTTCAAATGATTTATATTAAAAAGCTGATTGCCCGGAGAACAGTGGAGGTTACCAAATTCATTATAACACTGAGTTGAAGAATTGCGTAGCGTAGAATGGGAGATAATTGAGTGTGTGGTAAAGGATTTGGGATGAACTCTGTAATTTACACAAATAATTATATAACATAGAAGAACCAAATTAAAAAAGTTATGGTAAAAAAGGTCAAACCTAAAGGATTTGTTTTGCTGTGAAATGCCTTATAGTTTCAAAAGAAATATTAGAGATTTACTCAATGTTTTTACTTACATCTCAAAATACGGTAGAGAAGCAAGAATATTGCAAATTCACTCCAAAACATTCTTATACTAACAGTACTCAGTGATCACCAACAGTGACAGTGTTTACCAGATGTTGTTGACAAACAAGAGTCAATGGAAAATATAGGGAAATACTTAAAATTCATCCAAATTACTGTTGGGAACATATACTTGACAGCCCCCACTTAAAGCTTATGGTGTAGGTAAGTTAATGACTTCAGCAGTTAATAGTGTAGTTGATAATGTAAAATGAGGGTAGATTGCTTGCGGTTCTATCGTTAGCTAATTACAGGATTGTGTAGAAGCTTTTAGAAACTTCAAACATTTTCTGAAATCGGACTGGTTATTGCGCCTCACATAGAATTGTTAGTTTGCTTTGCAGTTATCAGTTGCAAGCTTCTCAAATAATAACAATTCCATGCAATGCCATACTCAGTGTAAATTAAGTTATGGGATGATGTGATAAGTGGTCTATGGTAAGGTATCTAGAAATGTGCTCTAGAAATTTCCTTTTGGTAGAGCTTGGACAGAAAACTAGCCTAGAAACTTCATAAATCAGATTTTTCTTGTGGGGTCCTACAGGGTTCAGTCCTTGGTACTTTCCTTTTCAGTGGCGGAAATTCAAGCTTTCATTTGGGGGGGCCCAGGCCTACGATATTCCGACAAGATAACATCACGGACCATGTATAATTTCAAAGAAACTGCACATTTTGATAAAAATAGTTGATTTTTTGACGGGACTCTTTAGAAATCTTTGCTGACCACGCCATAATTAAGTAGCAAGAAGAACAATCCATTTTTGATTTTTGATATCAAGATTGATATCTCATCTAAGACGATTGATGATACAAGAGGTAGACCGATAACACTTTTGACAAGTCGTACCTTCATTTTATGCATTTTATCTTGTTTTCGTCAGTGAGAAATACGTTTGAAAATAACTTTTGTTCAGAAGTGTTGTGTAAGTTTGCTGTTACTGGGTATCTTTATGTAACTGCGCATATCTGTTTTATAACTAACTAGAGGATAATTTACCATAATGCGTTCACAGTTCTTTTATATTATGCCGTGGGAAATTTAGTGTGTATTATATTTACTTAATTATTTCTTTTTGATTCTAGTGATATAGATCGATGAAATGTTATGTTATTTGAAATGAAGTTATCTCCTTGAAAGTTGGAATTTGTACCGCAGAACCAGTAAATATTGTACAAGAAGAATCCGATAGAAATTTTGGCTGATCCTTACGAAATTGAAATTAAATACACAATTCACAAGCAGTTTTGATTTTGGTCATATATTGTTTGGTTGATTATTTAGTACTGGCCAATATTTTATCAGCTATGCTATGTTCAATATTTGCAAAAAGGGCACAGAGAGGTTATAAAGGCCCCTGGGGCAAAAATTGAAACGTGGATCACCTGCGAGCGAAGCGAGCAGAAAATTTGTCAATTACGCCCCTTAGATTACGCCCCTTAAAATTCCTTTTCAGAACGATTTCTTGGAGTAATTTCGACACGTTAAACGGTTGTCAATTATCCGAAGAAAGCGCGAATTTTCCGACGACGTCGCTGATTGAGGGGCCCGAGCCCCCATAATTTCCGCCACTGTTAGTTTTTCTAATTTACTTATGTCTTGTAATTTTCTTAGATGAAAATCTGTCATAGTATTTGATTCACCCTTATGAAAAACTGGTGAGAGTTTGTGGTATATTCTTCAAAGCAAGACACTTCTTATCCATTGATATTTTGATATGTCTTCACTTACAGAGAAACTGGTTAAAAGGGCAATACAATTTGAGGACTTTACCTCAGATTCAGCCCCTATTTTCTTTTATTAAAATTTTTTAAAGCTTTATGAAACTTTTCAGCAAACTTTAAGTTTTGTGTATTGATCCTTTTGCAAAATATCCCCCTTTTTATCTCCTCCTTAAAATTCATCTTGAGCTCTCTCAGTAACTAAAGATAATCAAGAAGAGAGACTGTTCATATGGGGAAAGTTTCCCAAGCCTTTGTGCGGTGAAGCAGGAATCTTTCATATGCAGACATTTTCCCACCTTGCTGTGACATTCTTAAAGCCATTCTGAATGATAGGATCGAATTGCGTCAAATATAGTGTTTATGTAAATGAAATCAATTTCCCTCCCTTACCCAGAAAATTGGTTCATATGAGATAATATTTCCTTGCATATGCAGGATCCTGGCATTGCTCAAGTGAGATCTCAGCTAGCCGGGAAAATGTTTTCTCAGGTGAATGCTCATGATATCATGTGTAGAAAGGCTATATGTGGCAGGTTAACGGGATTCTCACTTCACTGGGAAAATGCAGGGGAAACTTTCTCCATATGAACAGGCCCTTATAGGAATCTAGTTTGTTTAATGTTACTGATAAAATTACAAGGTAGGTAGATTGATGACAAATATAAATTCTCTTGTCATCTATGGTTACATTTTTATTTTGTTTACCATAAAAACCCACGTATAAGCCACCCCCGCACATAAGCTGCCCACCAAATAGGAGTCCTCAAAATTCAGAAAAAAATGTTTTATGTAGCCCTATAAAAACTGACAGCCTTGTGTTATGAGCCACGTGTTATGTTTCAAGTAGTGTAGAACATCAAAAAGAGAATCCAATGAAGTCTCATTTTAAGAGAATCTAACACATGGACAGACATGTGCCCAGATTGTTTGCATTTTATAATTGTTTATGTTGAAAACAAAAGGAATTTTTTGTTACCTACAACAATAGCAAGCCTTGTTTTCAGATATGAGGAACAAAGTTGATCACTCCACAGATAGGCTGCACCTAAAATTTTGGGGGGCAAAATGAGGACAAAGTGTCTGGCTTATACAGGGTTTTTACGGTATGTTCTAGCATGCATACATCTTAATTTATGGTCTATTTTCTATTTAAATTGTTGTAAGTTTAATGTTTTGAATATTTATATAAAATGGACATAAAACAAAATAATTGAAACTGAACCAAAACAAAAGTGGAGTTATTCTAAGATAATTACCTGTAAGAAGGTTTAGAAGAAATTTGTGAAAAATGGGGAAGGGGCCAATAGAGAAGGGTCAAATGCTCTACTATATCCCACGTGGAATTGCTACATCCTTTGTTAATTTTAGCAGTCAACAGTTTTAGGATTCAAATTCCATACTTTTGAGATTCATTGGATCCTCCTGTAAGAAAATGTTGAGAAATTAGCAGTGGTGGTTTAAGCTGCTCAGAAGGGAATCTTGCCAGTGGTGTAGCATGGCCTTTCTTGCTAGGAGGGTAGGAAAGATGCAAAACCATTTTTTATGGACAAAGTTTTTTTTGTTACCTTTGGCATGAAATTATTTTGTTAAAAATGTAAATCTACCAACAGGTTCCCTGAAAGTTGGGGGTGTGACACCCCCCCTTCCCCCAGACGCTATCCCCCTGAATCTTACAAGGAGATCAGGAAAAAAGACATTTAAAGTGAAGTGACTACTTATTACATCATGATTGCTATTTCTATTTGATCTGCTGAAGGTATTTCGAAATGGGGAGAACTTAGGCTTTTGAAAAGTTTCTGAGGTTTTAGAAACATCTTCACAGTAAATACTGTAAGGAAGCTGGAATTCTTGAAAGGGCTTGATCATTTGAAAACAGTAGGTTCACAAGCGGTAGTTAATTGAAAACAAAGTTTCTATGATTTGGAGCGGCATGGGCCAACTAAGAACAATATTTGCTATCACCATGTTTCATCAAAACAAAAAGAAAATAAATTGAAGAAGGAACTATAGTCTTAATTCCCTATAAATCTCCTTGACCATTACAGCAGACTAACATTAAGTTACTGGCAATGAAAAAGGGTTGCTTCTCATATGAAAGGGCTAGAGAAGTATTTGCCAAACACGCCTCTAAATCTGGTGTCCCTGCCCATACTTAAGCAGTCAGATTAATCAAATAAAATAAAATTTGAAATCAAGTGTCAGTCAAAATTATACTCGGTAATAATAATAATAATAAATATTTTGACAGGAATATCCTATCAGTGTGATAAGCATACTATTATCATTAGGGTCTGGTGCAAAATAAAAATACAAATTAAAGGTGATCAAACTTGGGCAGATTAGAATAAGAGCTAGATAAAAATTAGGTAAAATTTATTTATATGTGCAGATTAAAAAGAAGAAGTAGATAAAATTTTCTTCCAAAAAAGTTTTTATGTGACTGCTGCAAATATCTAATAACGATGCCATTTCTGCAATAAAATTGAACTCCATCTGGCTGGGGTGACAAGAGGCAGAACTTGGGGGGGGGGTGACAAGAGGCAGAACTGGGGGTGGTACAGAATGAATTTAAAAAACGTTTCAGTCTAACCAATGAAAAATAATTTTCCGTAGCAGTGAATTATTTTTATGCAATATCGTTTTACGATTTTTGTATATTTAGCATCACTTTCGAATTGTGTAGAATTTAAACGAACCTGATTGAAAATACTCAGGTCTCAGGTTACCAAGCTCATTTCACAGGTTCCCCTGCGGACTAAAATCAGCACTTAAATAACTGAAAGTCAAAAAAGAAAATTACTAAAGACGCAAACAACATAATTCATCATCAGAACGAAAACCTGAACCACTTAACTAAAATGAGACAATGCTTCCAAATACTCCTAAGGCCCTAAGTCGTAGGCAAGTGCTTTATAGTTTTGTTAACTGAATATTTTGTAGCTGTAGTGATATCACCGACAGCTAGGCCAATTTGATCTACTGACGTAGAGTAAAAGAAAAGTAATTTGTTTCAGTAATGTTTATTTAGGAATATCAATATTTTGCAGTATCAAAGAGACCTTATTGTGCAATATCAACAGGCACATAGCATATAACAAGATATAGCGACAGCTAATGTGAATTTACAATGTAATGAGCTCACCGGGTCATTGTAACGATTGGGGCTGATCGATGCCATGATTTAGAAATCGGCTGCTTTGTAGTACTTTGTCTAAACTGTAATTTTACTGGAATCAGTGACTTTCCTTCTCGTTCTCACTTTAATTGAATCCAGTGCCACCACACCACAACACAGCAGGAAGACTAGCCTGGTAGGATCCACGTCATGCACCCTTGCTTCCGGTGTTAGTTTAAAAAAAGGCTGCTCCAGCCAAGTGAAAAATTGTAAAATCAGAAAATGCAGTCTTGTCACATCCACATAGCCGAAAAAAGAACTTATGGCTTATTAAAAGATAAAAAACCCCAAATCAGTAACTAAACGCCACAAAAATTTTAAAAAGTGAATACGAACCACAGGGGGACCAGAAAGAGCAAAACACCTACTACGTCATCAGAATCAGGTTCTGCTGAATTTTCGTTGAAAATCAACCCTGTGCTTCAACAACTTACATATATCCGAACATACACCCCGGATAGACATCCCATTATATAGACTTTTAACAAAATTTAGCAGTTCAAGTAAAAGGGGTAACGGGGGAATTTCCCCTACTCCCTACCTATTTTACAGCACAAATGTTGTCCTAAGATTTAATACGTGAAAGTTTTTCTCTCCAGTTTCATTTAGAATGCGCAATTAATTAAATATTGTTTCATTGTCCGAAGAATTTTAACAGGAGAACCTTTTCATGACACTTTCGTTCATCACATATATGACACGTTCGTAATAAATCAAAATAAACATTTAATGGCATGTTTATAATTTTATTGCGATATGGTTTCAAGTCTGTATGATTTCGTTTGTTTTGCATCCTGTAACCTTAGTAATTTTATCACCGTTCGCACTTTCGATTGTTTATAATTCCTTTTGTTTTCTAATTGCACCTTTAGATTCATTAACTATTTCTTTTGGGATTTTAAGTATCATTATTCAGTTTATGTAATTAATATTGGGAGTAATATATTTTGTATTCACTATTATTATGTAAATTTACGTAGCTATGTAGCATTACAATAAGTTCTTGTTTAGTTATATTTTGGGCGTGTTACATTTTGAGTTAGTTGGAGTTGGAGTTGAAGTTGGAAATGGAATTCGGTTAAGAGCGATTAGGTTAAGTTTTGATATTTTGTATATTTAGGTTCTCGACGTTTCACTTATGTGGCAAGATGCTTGTAAAAGATCTTGTTGACACGAACTATGCTTTTTATGGAATACGTATTGATATTTACAGGGCCTCTGACGAAGGGGGGCCGGGGTGGCCTTGGCCCCCCCCCACATTTTTGCAAAACAATAGAGTTTTTTCAAATTCTTTTGTTATGGGTGTTAAATTTTCCCTTGGCCCCCTCACTTTTCAACCTTGAGAAAGACTGTGCCTGACATTAAGAGAACGAGTCGACGTTACGGGACATCCGTAGAGAAACATTATATTTATAGAGCCTTACTCGCGGAAAGATCGTTTGATCTGAAAATAGACGTTTGAACATTATCATTGCGTCTATTTGTTTCTTTTCTCGTGGATGGAAGAACCATTTAATCTCGAAGATAATGATAGGGTGGATACATTCATTTGGCAAAATAACCCTATTACATTTCTTTGGTGTTGACTCGTGGAACAACATTCCAGTTGACATAAGAAAATCATCATCTGCCTTTAGTTTTCGTTAAAAGCTCAAAGCCTTTATAATTTAAAAGAACTAGAATGTTAAATATTATTTTCTAGTCATTTCATAAACGATTAAATAAGATGCAAAACCATATTTAAAATGGGGGTGCTTCATCCTCGATTGAGGGCTCCTCCTTAAGAAATTCCCCTGCATACAACATCTTACGTAAGCGTGTTTTACATGTATTGTAAATCATCATACGTAGAAAAATTTTAAAATTATATGAACTGAGCTGAACCTTAGTTCATAATTCAAGCCTATGCCAAGCTCTGTTCTTATCACTCAAATTCTCGTTAACAAAATCTTCTTCGAACAAAGCAAACTCTTAGTCAATCTTTGACTGACTATACGATAAAAAATCTATCTTCCTAGGTGCAAAGATGGAAAATGCAGACGAAAAATCATTTCTTAACTTGCTCTACTCAAATACGTGGGAACAGTTAACATAGAAACTAACGGGACCTTAAAATTTTCCCAAAAACTGACCCATGATTCCGCACTAGTATGTGCCTTTCGTTTGAAAACTGTTTTAAGGATTTATCTGAGAAATCTCCATTTGCTGATCGTTTGTGCTATCTTCTGCACGATTCCAAGAAAATTCTTTTTGCATTAAATCCCCACCAGAAGAAATTACTTGAAAGATAACCTGCAATGGAAGGAATGCTATCTTTATGAAAAAGTGACGACTCTAAACATGGAGATAAATTTGTTTGTTACAGAACCATTTGAAATTTCAATTTTGAATTGGTGACCTTCTATGAATCATTCTTCAAATCTATTATCGCTAATTTTTCACTGATATTTCTAGATATAGTGGGTTGCAAAGACTTCTGGTTGTGACTGATTACAAATAAGTCAAAAATAGAAAGGGACAAGAAACAATCCTTGTGGTACTCCTGCTTGAGATTTTAAAAGAGGAACCCCCTTGATTAATCAAGCCTGTTACTGTACATTTCCACTACGCTATTCCTGCTGAACCAGTTCAGGCAGCACCAATGATGCAAGATAAGTGCAAAGAAAAGATGACAAATCTTTGTTTGAGGAAGGAAGATAGTTAGTTGAAATCAATCAGCTTTGTGAAATTATTTGAAAACAATTATATGCAAGACGAAAGCTTGCCTTTCCAAATGTTTTTTCTTGCTTCGATGTATTTTTTTAGGAAAAGAATAAAAATGTTTGCTCAGTAAAGACGGGGATGACGTCTGTTCTTCCATTTCTTCGCACTGCCGATAGCCTATGGTTTTCCTTTGGAAAGTGTCCGCCTGAATCAGCTTATCTGATCAGTGGCTGGTTGCACGGGCTTTAAAACAACCAGTTGATCAGAATGTCATGGCCTAACGGGTGGCTGTATGGTTGATCAAACGTGTAAGAGAAATCACCGTAAAACCGATTGAAATAGTAAAAAGACAACATAAACAATATGGCACGAGAGGGCCGGGTCGATGGCCTGCTTGGCCTTTTGAGTTTATGTGGTATTTTGGCGTACGGCCTAGCCACGCCTTTTGAGTACAGCGAATGTTATGGAGGGGAAGGAGACTTCTTCCAGTTTAGCACTGGTTCTTTAGATGGGGAGACAATTTCCTTCAACCAGTTCAAAGGGAAGGTTATGGTCGCTTTAAACGTAGCATCTTTCTGAGGTTATACACCTCAGTACAGAGCTTTGAATGCATTGAAAAGCGAGCTTGGAGCCTTGGACGCAACAGCAGAGAATTCTAGCAAGTGTTACCTCGATGTTGTTGCTTTCCCGTGCAACCAATTTGGATACCAAGAACCATCTGAGAACTTCGAGTTGTTGAACACACTGAAGCACGTCCGGCCCGGGTATGGATTCGTTCCGAATTTCCCATTGACCGGGAAGCTTTTAGTCAACGGCCAGAGTGAAAGCCCTATATTCACTTTTTTGAAGGTATGAACATATTTTTTAGAACAAGATCAGTTTTTAAGCAGTTCTCCTTTGAACCTTGTGACCTGCTGTCTGTTACATAATTATCTGTTACATAATTAAGAAAATGTTTTATATAACTTGTGGAATGGGCTAATGAATTTGTTAGGGTTATCGATAATAAAGAAAGAAAAAACAAAAATGAAAAAAGATTAAAACACTGGTGTTATAAAGAAATGCAAATATCACACATAATGTGACTTTTCTCTAATAAATTGACCATGGTTTCGGCTATAGCTTTATACCTTTAGCATGCAGTGGCAATAAACTGATAAACTGTGAGGATGCCTCAGTGGTTAGGGTCGCTGACTAAGGACCAGAGGGTCCGTGGTATGAGTCCCTGACGTGACCAAACTTTCCCTCAGAGTGAGGAGAGTCACCAGCTTTCTGTAATTCTAGGCGTATGAATCTCGAGGTGTGGTCATATCGAGAGGAAAGACCAGGACACTGCTCGATAAGCATAGCTTTTCAGTGTCCTAAAACTACCTTCAGAAGCTAGGTAGTGAACAATACAGTACAGTAAACTGGGGAGGGAATACCCCATCCTTAACGGCTTTAATATGAAACTGATTCGCGTTTCACCATAATCATGACAGCAGTGTTCGTTCATATGGTAAAATGGGATGTGAAAAAAGTTGTGTGTAAATCAAGGTTGGGATGACAGGTTCTAGATGTAAACATGCGGGTACTGCCCTTGGTGGTTTTATTCAATGTTACCAATTAAAGTTACCAATTTTACGAACTTGAAATAGTCAGAGATGGCAAAAGACATCAATATTTTCCTGGCGATGCATTCTTGATAACGAGCAAAACATTCATTTTAGGCCCGATGTCCATCTCCCTTCGGTTTGATAGCAAACCGTAGCGATATCACATGGACACCGATAAGAAACAACGATGTATCATGGAACTTCTCAAAGTGGCTTATCGACCATAATGGCCAGCCTTTTAGACGATACACGCCACGAACAGAGCCAAGACTGATACAGGAAGATATCAAGGAGCTGTTAAGAGCTTGCGAGGAAGAGAAACAAGGAGTTGTCAAACAGCAGCAACAACAGCAGCAACAAAACGCAACTGCACCTGCAAACGCCACCGAGACACGCAACCTGCAAGGGAAGCCACGGGCAAGGAGGACACTCATTCACAACTAGTTGAAAGTTACCCAACTTTGTCTTTATGCTGAATTTGACTCTTTGCTAAAATAACCCTATTTTCCAAGCAACAGGCCCAGGGGCGGACTGGCAACAAAAACTGTTGAAATTTCAAGTAAATAATGTTTAGTTTGCGTGTATAGCTCATAAAACACGTCACAGTCCGTCCCTGGATTAATAAATGGTATATCGATTAAAGGCAGTTACTATACATATTATGCGTTTAAGGCATTAAGTACAGTAAGCTTTATAAGTTATGCACTAGAACCTAGGAATCCACAACAGTGTCTGGCAATCTCATTGCCTATCGCACAATACACTTTGTGGCTAATAACAATGCAGTAAGATAAATAAAAACCCACTAATTGAGAACTTATATGGCACAAAATTATAACTTGACTTCCCTTTAACCAGTCATACATCAGATTGCATATCTACGTAAACGTTGCTATGCAAATCAAATATAAACACCAATTCCTATTAAGGTAAAATCCTAAAGGCCAGCTTCAAAAACTGATTTGCTCACTGTTTTAGTTGTAAACGATTTTCCTTTATCAAGAGGTTATGATAGAGTAATCTAAAACCGTTGCTACGTAGGTTGGTTGCTCTTGAAATGTTGCAAGCTTCGATTAGATCTTTAATGCATTCAATCAGATTGAAGCATTGCAGCACTGCTCTTGGCATTGATTAATCATATACAACAAAATGGTGGCACAAAAGCAGTGAAGTTGGAAACATACATTGTGTCGATTTCTTGTTCTCTCTCTGCTTTATATCTAGCAAATGTCATTGGGCATTTTTCAGCACCTGAAGGGAAACTGTTGCAATACAGGTAAACACAAAATGTAATTAAACCAACATTTTGGAATTTGGAAATATCACTTCACAAAATTTCATGAAGAATATTTCCCCTTTACGTCAGACATGTGAAGAATGGGTAAAACGGTTTATTTACAATCTCTTCATATCAAAACCACTTTGACAATAGAGAAAGCAGTCTGATGGGGAATAGCATCCACCCAAGTAGCCTCTTTATCCTCTTCCCACTATTTCATTCTTCTACAATAAGAAACCGTCTATGAGAAACCAAGCCGTAAATAACCAAAGTACTGGTCACTCAAATTCTTGATGAATCTTTAACCGGTCAAGGTTCTAACAAAGATAAAGGAAAGCAACAAGAGAACTCCTTGCGCCTGATTACGGTCTGTGTTCTTTATTATCTATGTTATGTTTATGTTTTTCAAAGAAGTAAATCTTCAGTATTCAGTATGGATTTATAGAGCTTAAAAGATAATTAAAGGAGCAACGTGAAGTGGCTACCAAAACAAATGATGGTGATTAGCACAACATGAAGGCAGAACCATCACAGGGACAGTCCCATAGAGGTGGCTTGGCAATGAAAGGCTTGACTACGTCAGAAGGCCTGGAGCTACGCACTTTATACATGGAAGATCTCAGGACTCCCCTGTTACAAACTTTTTACATTGGATCCAGAGGAAATGCATAGTCTTCTAAGTTGACCATTGGGTGAGACACATTATCTTTTTCCTCATCCTACTTGGCTAGGCCAATGAAAAATAATCAAGAATGAAATCATAGAGAAAGGAGGCAATTCAAATCAAAAGGCCTATGATGCATCGGTGTGAAAGAGTAAAGAGTGTGTCGAGGAGAAAATGCAAGGTAGAGTATTTAAGCGTGCAGAAGGTCTTCGACGGTTTTTAAGAGAATCCCACTGGTTTTCACTATCCCTTCTTTGCAGTTAGATAAGAAACAGGGCAATGAGAACTCTACCTAGATACACACAGTATACGCCTGCAACAACAGGGAAATGACGTCACTGAGTCCAGTCTTTGATCATTATACTTCTTATAAATGACAAAATGCTATGATTTTCCAAGCAGATCAAAATACTATGAATAAATATCTGATTGGAGCAAAATATAGTAACGCTTATGGCTTAACTAGGGTTAAAATAATAAGCAATTACTGTAAAACTATTTTGATAAATTATTAGGTCTTGCATGAACAACAATGTTATCTATACCTCGGACAGTTGCAAAGCAAAGGGGTATAAATTAAAAATATTCTAATAACAGTTATTCCTTATTACCTAGATTTAATCCTCATCTGAACTATCTTCAGTTAAATTTTGAACAAACAATACCGCTGAAGAACTTAAACCAACTTCTGCAAGTGTTTGATTCGTGTTCGAGTCTGTCTGGAAAGTTTTTCTTGGGAAATTCGAGTTTAAAGCAAACTCCTTAGGAGTGTCTTCATGTCCGAAAACGAAGTCAACCAGGAGCTGTGAAGAAAGAAATGGAAAATCAATTAATAACAAGCTCTTTGGGTGCCTTTAATAATGCAAAGATACTTTTTCAAGTCAACATAAAAAACAATCAATGTAAATCAAATGATTATGAGCCGCAGCTTTTTAGGGAAAGATAAGGTCACTGGACAAATGTGTACGGAGTGTTATGTGATAATTCTGATTCAACTCTGCAATCAAAATGCGCTCTTAGAAGGCAAAGGATGTGTGAAAGTTTGACAGCGCAGAAAAGACCAATAGAAAAGATACAAGGCTTTTTCCTCATATCTTTAAAAATTTAGGTGTTAGATAGAGCAGTCATATTTTTTATGAAGCAACACTAACAAGAAAAAATACTAATGTTGATATTTTACTTGGGAAAACCAAACATTAACACACCAAAGTTATCTTATCCTGATGGTCTAAGTAGCATTAAAGAAGCAATAAACACGCTTAAAAGATACTCGTGACTTTCTGCAACTGGATGGAATCGATCCTACATTTTTACCCAAAGTTAGGTATGTTGGAGGTGCTTAATAGGCAATTCAGCCTGCGGATTCAAGGAATTTTTCTACACTTTTTATTAGGAACGAATTCTCTCATAACATGGAAAAATCGGATAATAAAAACCTATTCAGAAAAAGTTGGGCAAATAAAATTGTGATAAAAAACGTTTGGATCAGTACCTCAAATTGATCCGATGTCAGGAATCTGCGACATAATACAACGCCATTTGGTAACTTAATCCGGATCTGTATAGCATCGGAAACTGTATTGTCCGGTTCCGGAATTTCTTCAAGCCTCTGGCGACAATCCGCTTTTCTTTTGACGGTGACCTGAGGAGTACAAGAACAACAGCCTCCTTAAAAAGGGATAAAATGCACCTTTTACGTCGTTGGGGGTAAAAGTAGTAAAGCATAAAGAAATGACAGGGAACATTACTCAATCGCGTACGAGGTCAGAAACGATAATTCCATGATAGCGAAGAGACGACAACATAATTACGTAACAAGAGCAATGTTAACTATATAGAAATATTCCATACAATGACAAGCATCAAATTCCAGGTATAATATTCAAAATCCTGTGGCAATATACGGAGCTTTTTCACAGCTTAATATTAGCTAGTGTAAAATGTGACAAAATGATTGCTTGAAAAATTATTCAAATATTCTTGTTTCCAAATTTAGGGATAGGTTATTCTCAAAACTCTCTTGAGGATATGGTTAAGCGTATAATTTAAAAAATATGACAACCATAGAAAATATTTGATGCCATTTGATTTCATTTCACCTACATGATTCGAGATACAAAATATCCAAAAATCGGGAACGTCTCCGCTCAAACAGCGCCAATTATCAACAACCACGAAAAGGGAAAACCAACTTTTATGACAAGCTATTTAGAGGGACACGACAAATAAGCTTTAAAAACAAAACGAATTAAACAAGAATCGGGGAGAGCACTGGAAAAATTAGAAGTGGCACCATCGAATGTTAACGGTCTATTTTAATTTTGATGTCATAATGACGGCCAAAAGGATCACACTTCGATAGTTTTGAACTGGTGATTTATATTTTTCTGTTTGGTGAACGAATGTACCCAGCCGTCGGCGCAGTAGGGCCATATTAATGGGCCCCCTGCTTCATATGACTGGGAGTCATCTTGGCTGAATACGGCGACTTTGTCAGGGATCGGGGACCCTGATGGTCGTGGCAGATCAGCCAATGAAAAGGCATAATTGATCATGAACTGAATACAACAAACCAGCTCGCTACGCATGTGGGATGGACTATTATCTAATCTAACAGAATTTGGTTTGGACCATTGTCTTAAGCCACGTGGAGGATTTCTCGAAGTCAATTTGCAATTAGAAGACAATTTTTTAGAAAATTTAGAAAAATGTCGTGAAAATTTTTGCGCATGCGCAGAAGATAAATTGCCTTATGCTTAACAACGTGGCAGATCTTATTCCAAAAAAATCTTGAAAACTTGATGCGTTACCTCTACTTGCCGCTGTTTTTCCATTTCTTTATCCCGACGTTCGTTTTCTTCTTGGCGTTTTGCATCTTCTAAGGCCTTCTTCTTCCTTGCCTGATAGATGATTGGCATAACATCAACAAGCATTCATACTTAGAACTTGCAAGACGATCATCACTGACATAGTGACGACCAGAAAGACTGTTAAAATCAAACAAGCTTGGAAGAGATGACAAAGTTCACGTGTCTATTGGCTACACATCCAAAAGGACTTTAAATATACTCGACGATTTGAAATACCTTTTCACGATCTTGTTCCAAGGCAACTTTATATGCCCTATCCTGTTCTTCTCGGATAGTTTGCGAAAGACTTCGCTCCTCTCTGAAAAACATATAAAGGCCTCTGTGAGCATTGAATTAACGGCTTCTTGTACACAAGGGAGGTAGGACTCTCCCGTCAAATAATAGACAACAGCAACAGAGACACATTTTACGTTAGATTGGTGCTTAAGCAAACAGATTGCTCCTCTCTTCTACAAACCTAAGTCCTAGGCACTTAGAATAGAGAGAGCTGCAGATACATGAAACAATTATGACCCTGGGTTCTCCCTGACATTAAAGCCTTTTCAGAAGGTTAGTGACGCTCTTAGAAAAGCGGGGACAGATTTAGCCGTCTTGTTCATATTTCATCTATTTCAAATTTAAAGGAACTGTTAGCCATTCACCACGTTTATTATTGTTTGGGAAATTTTCCACCCAACCCTTTTACTCCAGACCCCCAAACCGTCTTTTCCGGACTGGATAGTAAATTAGGAAAATATAGTGCCTATAGTACCAAGTCCGAAAGGTAGCTCGACCCCTAAGCCATCAGTACTCCACGTAATTAACGCTTAAGAACACATTATTGCTACCAAATTAAGGCATTTTAAGTGCTTATTTTGCATCTCAAGCTGCGGTAGTCCTTATTCATAGGTTGCATCAAACATAATTAAGGTTGTAGTGTTTTAATCAATGAAGGTTTTTAACTTTCGTTTATACTGTAGCTCGGTAGCAATACTGTAAGCTCTTGAATAATCCCCCTGGGGCTTGTTTATCCAAAAATATTTTGGAGTGAAGGCTTGGTTGGAGGACTGGGCTTATTCGAAGGTGGTGGTGGGCAGCAGCCAAAAATATCACCACGGTAAATTTTCTTCCTTATTTGAAGCTGGTCAGCATGCTTAAAAATGCAAAAAAATTGGGATAAATCTATTGTTGTCAGGGCGGTAACTCAGCCTATGGTAGCTCATTCAAGAGAGGGTGGTTTATTTCACAAAAAGTTGTTTAGGGTTGGAGCGTATTAGAGGGGGGGGGGGGTTATCCTATTCTTCGTGCACAATTTACCTTTCTGCTCTGGCAGCTATCAACGAAGGTTCATTTTCAGCGATGATTCTTGATAATAATGCGATCAGTTGATCCACGGGCATGAAACCTAAAATATAAGATCATGAATGATTATGTCTCAAAACAAAGGTTGTTACATGGCTTAGGCAACCGTGAGAAAGAAGAGGAAGTGCATCAGCTGACAGACCCCCAAATGAAGTACGGCATTCAAGGGAACGACGAAAATTGTTCAGGTTAAACGAAAACTCGATTTATCAGCAGTTGGAAAGTATCGGAGAAGGTTTAAGGGGATTGCAAAAACAGTTCGTGTATCACGCTAAAAGGATAATACGCCATGTATAACGCTAGCACACCCTGACCGAAAAGTGCAGTTGCTAACAGGTTCCTATGACGTAACGGAATATTGAGAGACGAGCATTTGACTATGTCTGTGACTTTGACTGTTGTTATCAGCTTCATGGGTTTTAGTTTCAAAATAATTCCTTGTCTCTCCGAATATACTTCGTTTTGGTTGATACTTATTAAAATGAAATGGGAGTTTCAGCACTAATGCGAAGGGGAAGATAAAGACTGCTAAACAACCACTGAAATTGATAGCTATGCTACGAAAAATAAAGCAGTTAACTCCCGTCTCACCTTCTATTCTCCATACAATTGTCATTCTGTTGTCCCTTAAACAAATAACTGCCAAAAATGGATACGTTGTTTCTCTAACAGCCTTTGAAACTGCAAAAATGAGATTTACATCTATTTAATTTCAGACAAGCAACATTTGTAGAACTTAAATGAAAAATTAATACTGTGGAATAAGCCTCTTTTAATAAAGAAAATACCACTAAATGTGTTCGAGAAGACAGTCACAAGTTTCTGCCTACATAGCAATAGCTTTTTCCTTTATAAGCTGCATCCGCTAAGAAGTTTAGATGGAACACGGATCACCTTCACATTCAAGGTTGCTGGTGTTCCTGCAATTTGTTGCCAAAATTAGAAGGCCTAATCAAATCGGACGAAACTATACACTTATTTCGCCTTACCTGGATTAGAAAAGGATAGGCCAACTTTAAAAGAAAGCATATTAATTTTCTTCAAATAATAGCCTATTAATGAGCTTGTAAATAAACAGAGCAATTGAGACAGAAGCATTAATGTACATGCAGGACTGCCTACCTCTGTGCCCCTCGCATGTGTTGACATCACAACCCCAAAAAAGCATATTTCCATTGATGTATTCTTTAAAGCCAGGGTTACATAGAACATCCCTGTAAAGGAAGAGTATACAATTCAGGTAGCCGTTGGGCAACATAAAATTTATCTCAGGGATAAGAGAAAAAGAATTTATAACACTGAAAGATTAATACGGTGTTGCTGGCTAGAGTGGGTAGGTTTCAAGTGCCACTGTCTGTGACAAAATTACTGGAGGCTTGGTAGTAACTGCTAAGAATATCGCGGGACAGGACGGACATGATTGTAAACTAAACCGGGTTCAGGAACATCAGGAGTTGGATTCTCAAACGGGAGAAGGTTGCTACAAATATTGAAAGGAAATATGGCAATTGTTTTTCCATTTTCTGAATGCTCTTGCCAGAACAGTTTTTTCGCTTTATTAATACAAACAAAACAGTGGAAAGCTAGGAACATAGAGCAATTAGTCAGTGCGAACCATATGACACAAATCAGTCAGGACGGCTAAAAACTTTACTTCATCAAACACTATTTCTCGACATAAGCGAATTCAACCTACGCAATTTTGACTTGAAAGTGGCGTGATTATCTGTATATAATGACGTAGGTACGCATTGAACTACTTGTCATTAAAGGAAAAACTACTGCAACATTAGAAGGATTCTCACTTGCAGAATGTCGGGGTGTCCTGATGTGACCCTGAATGTAAATAAACCAGTAAAAACCGCAATTCCTTTTTTGCGTCGCTCAAGGCCTGAAAGTAGAGATTAGTATTTCTACAGAGTTGAAAAAATTTAAGTAAAAAATCAACTGTCGAAATCAAAGGTGAATGTGTAGGTACAAAGTTGAAGGTGCAAGGTTCAAATGTCAAAGTGAAAACTCAGTATTTGTGTACAAGTAAATATTTATGGCTGACAGCTATAGATTTTGTTGATATTATAAAAACCGGGGCTAATGATTCACCTTTGATCGGAAGATCCCTAAAATGCTAATGCTAATAGGAATTCACGCATTAGCTTCATTTGCCCCCGAAAAATGGGAGCAAACTTTTTCAGTTGCCAAACGAACGAGTAATAAATCGGTTTTGGATGTTGAGCTTTTTGAACACCTTTAATTGCAAAGGCAAATGTTTGTTAATATTTGGATTGTCGAAGTCAAAAAGATGGAAGGCAATACACACCTGACTGTAGGTTCCTTGGTAAAGAGTTGGGTGCTCCAATCCATAGTTATCTTCAAACTGTCTTTTGAATTGTAAAACATCTTCAATTGGGTCTCCACTTCCTACACAGCCAAATTTATTTGAAATAGTGACCGTTACGGACTATCAATTACTGTTGTCACTAAACGTCTTTCGTAGGGTTTGATTGAATGTTTAAGTCTAATGGGAAGGTCTTGTTCTTTGCAACAAATGAAGTGGGCAAGATATTAAAAATAAATGAAGCCTCTAATGAATACACTTAAGAGTAGCTCTGCCATTACCAATAAAGCTAAGTCATAACGTAGTATAAATTCATTTCTACAACTATGTTAACACAAAATTAAAAAAACACTGTATTAACTCGTACGTGCACATGATACAAGACAATCTTTGATATTCTCATTTCAGATTGAAAGATATTAAAGATGTAAAATCATATAAACCTAAAGTTGAAAGTTTCCTATCACATACCTCTTCCAAAAGACGGCCAAACGATTCGAACTACGATGAAGAAGAATAATTTTACAGAATTTATGGTTTTTTCTATATGACAAAAGGGATAAAGTCATGGTTCAATATTTCAAAATCAAATGTGTCTTCTCTCTTATTTGTAAACATATATCTAGCTTAATAATGCAAATTACTGTTTTACTGATTTGTCATAGAGCGCTTGATGCTGTATAGGCAGTGTTGTACTTGCCTTGGTTACATGATTGAATTTTTCTCCAAATCTATGTAAGAGACTGAAACAAAACTTTACAAGGGTCTTCCATAACTCATAGCCTTAGCCCAACTAAACCATGAAAATGGTTACCGCTGAATCCTTTCATATTTCACATATTCTCTGACCCTGGAACAGAGTTCCATTAAATATTTCAAATGAACTAGCATGGGCGAGGTGAAGAAACTTTTACAAAAACCGTCAACAGCGTCGCATAAAGCAAATGGCTTTAACTTACTAATATAAGTGATAAAATCTCTAATAGTATTGTATGTAAATCGATATGGGACCAGAACCAAACCAACAAGCCACTCTGTCCAACTCTGAAATGAAAATATGGCTGATCAGTGTTCAGCATAGAAAAAACAAAGCATGTTCTAGTGATTATTCCTTTTAACTAGGTATGTTCCTTATTAAACAGTGTCATTACTTGGCAAAATGTCCAATATGGGGTCCTAGGTCATTCTCTAAAGCTCTGTATCTGTGTAGTGACTCTGTGTAGGCCTGTTTACATCGATTTTTCCTTCCACAGCACAGCACAGGCATCCTCTACGTCACTCGCATATCCCACATTCGTTATTCTTTGTTGTTTACTTTATTTTTGCCATGCTATTTAATTTATTCATCACCTTTACTCCCCCTTCCTATCTTTTGTTTTCTCACATGATTCGTTATAATTTTAGATATTCATTTTTGTATATAAGTATGTTAATTTAAAAGCAATCTTAGTTCAGTTAGAATCAAGACAAGCAATAGGCACATCGTCTCTTCTCTGGCTCAGTGTTCTCTGCAGGTAAAATAAGACTCGCTGGGTTAATCGATGGATGGCTGGGACACGTTAATCGATCGATGGTTGTATTAATGAATGAACGGCATCAAATAAAAATTTCTTTATGGGTAGACTATTCAATGAGAAAAGCCATATGGGTAAAATATTCAATGAGATAATGTCATAATTTACAGAATCAAAGATAGGTTAATACTGAACAGGCTGGCCACCAAAAGGTTCAAAATGTGTAGTTTATTCATGTCAAAGAAAATTAAGTTACTGATAAAATATGTGAGAATTCAAAGGGGTGATGTGAAAAGAAATTCTTCTGTCTTCATTCTCAAAGAGAACAAAAATCATAGAGTTATTTCCCAAAATTAAACAGAAAATAGATTCAAAATTCAAGAGTTAATTTCATTGGGAGGTACATACCATTCTTCTGTTATTTGCTAAGGACGATATTCCTGTTCTCACAACTGGTCTAAAATGTAGAAAAATAGATTCATAAAAAAACAAGTGGATATCTTGAAATGCTGTCAAGACAAGGTAATATCATAAAAATTATTATCAAATCTGCTGTTTCTATGAAGTCAAATTTTAAAACAAGACATAGGGGGGAGTACAGTCTAACAAACAAGCCTCCAATCCATTGCATAAAAACTTCAATAAAACGAACTCTGGTTGTTAGCTACTGTCTGATACTGTACTTGAGACAGCACAACACACTTATGGGCAGAAGCTGTCTATCTGCATATTAGAACTTCTAAAGTATTACTCGGGCTATCTACTAATTCAAAGACAGTTTCAGAGCAATTTGCAATAATAATAACTTTATACGTTTTCACATGATATTTCTACTAGCTAACAAATAAAAAATATATTATTATGCAATACCTACCCATCTAAAGGCTCGTTAAATGAGGGGATTACATTAACAGTGTCTTCTTCATTTTCTATTTCATCATATTGTGGAGGAGGTGGGATTCCCTCTGATTCGTTGAAAGAAGCATGGACAGCAAGCTAAAAAGATCCAAGCTAACTGAGAATATTGAACAAAAGATAAATATTATTGTTTAAACATCAAATAGTACATTGAATTAGGAAAGACAACTTTGAATCTTCCTGTTCCATTTTTCAAAGCATCTTAAAAAGGCTACAGACAAAAAAGCATGATTTCTACTTCTAGAAACAAATAAAGAGTATTATTTTAGAAATAAGATGGTTTTTAACAACAAAACTCTTGTTAACTATTAAACAAAAGCATTGAACCCTTAGCAACAAAGCCCAGGCCTTAATGTTCAAAGTAGGAGGCAAAAGGGCAGAAAAGCTTGACAAGGAACAAATTATATATCTTGTAAAACTTTGGGGGTTATGACCCCCTGTTGGTATAACTGTTTCAATAACACTTTTGAACACATAAACTTTCGCTTTTATGGCTCACAGAGCCCATTTACACTGGTAAGGATTCAAACTGTTAGATAACTATTTTGGACTAATCATAATGGAAATACCACCAACAATCAGTACAGATCAAAATCACTCCATGTTTACACTTGCACTGTGCTGGAACAGTTCCATTCACCACCTTTGAGAGCTTGAATTACAGTTACTTAACAGTTATTACGGAGCTGGGGGTTTGTTAAATCTATGCATCACTTGAGGAAGCTTTTTTCATTGTTTTAAAAAGACTTTTTATTTCCATAGTTAAAGAGTGAGTGTAAAAAAATTATTTTAATGATGTCTGAGAGTGTTATCCATCTTTGTATATAGGTTGTAAATGTTCACAATAGCAATTTTTGGCCAGATCATGTAACCAAGTGTAAATCGGTTTTATATTTTCTCTGCAATCTTACCTCAAGGTTCCAGTTGTATTGAATAAGCTTCTGTTTGCTTTCTTCTAAGCAATCTGTTCCAGTTACTTCCTATTGGTTGCAATTGAGTAAAAAAAGCAGTTAAAAGCTGTGGGATTTCATTTTTGAATAGCACTTTTAGGGCTCAAGATTAGGCTATGCGCAGAATTCACACGAAAGTCCATGTTCCAACTGCTCGGATTAATCTAAATTTGCAAAAATGCGCGGATGGGATTTGAGCAATAAATTATTGCGCGGGGAACCCAAACTTTGCAGTCTGGAACCCAGAACGGTGAATACCTGAATGGAAATTATAGTAAAAACACACCTTAGTTTTAATCAAAACAATAAACACACTTTAAAAATTGGGGAGAGGGGGGATTTTAAAAAAGATGCAAACATACACTTTTCCCCTCTATTGAACACTATCACTGTATTAAAAAAATAAACCCCTATTTACCTATGTTGAAAATGCAAACATAGATCTGTAAATGAAGTAAACATAGAACAGCGCGATAACCAAATACTTATTGACTTTTATTTAGGACTTGCTGTTTTGTAAACACAACATCTGGGAACATCCTGATTCAAGCGAACACGGTAATGGTAGTATGTTTTCTTATATAAAGAACTTAGGCCGTAGCAATAATAACTCGCAACTTAAGAAATATTGACAAAAATTTTAAATGATTGCTCTTGAAAAATAAGCTATGCTACACATACTTGAAATTGCACTAATTTAGAATGTTGTTCTTCAGTTAAATCATCAGTTTCATCCTGCTCCGAGTTTTCTTCGGTTGGTGGTGCCATCTTGTTGTTGAAGATAAGGAGGGATTGGAGGACAGCTTCGTTTCCATTCCAGTTTCGATCCCAGTCTAAAAATGATTATGACGTCATCAGGGTCCAGAAAAGTTGTTAACCTTCCTCCAGACAAAAAATTCACAGAAGGCAAACCTTCCTCAAAATACAATAGAAAGTGGATGTGGCTTGGGTGTGTTATAGGAGCTTCTACTGTTTTTCGTGGACCATCCTCCGGTCAGTGGTCGTGTGACCGTAATGTCTTCCTGACTCTGGACGTCATTCTGTGCAAATTTTTGCATTTATTCAACGGGAAGATCTTGTAAAAGTGAAGCAAAATAGAGTCAAGGCGAGCAAAAATCTGTGAAAACTAAGGAACTGGGGTCATAATTATGTGGATAAAAGATAACCACTTTGTTTATATTTAATGTGAAAAACTCGAACTTTTCTTTTCAAAGTTACTTAGAGAGTAGTCAAGTTTATGGAAAAATTAACAATCGACTAATGGTTACAGCTGATTATCTGCTATAAAATTTGAATTCTCTCGCCTATTTGAGTCTTGGCTGGAGGCCGTTTGCCCCCTAACCTGCTCTATAATCAAGGGCGTAGCGTGCGGGGGTGTGGGGGGTATACACGCCCCCAACTTTGAGATAACTCGTCGGTAGAATTAAATTTATAACAAAACATTAATGTAACAAAATAATTTCTGTCGGTAAAATATGGTTTTGTATCTCATACCCCCCCCCAGCGAGATACAAAAAGCAATTGATATATTGCGAGATACAAAAAGCAGTCGAAAGTCTCCCCCTCTCCCAAAAAAGTTGCATTGTCAATTTACGTCCCTTTTTTCTAAAACAATAGGTCAGCACAGACATTTTTCTGTTTTTGAACTGTAAGGTTGAAGTTTGTTTTATGGCATTACAGTATAATCCGGTTATAACGTGCTTTAAGGGACCAACGTATTAAGTACGTTATATCCGAAATACGTTGTAACGAGGGTAAGTAAAAATTGATTAAAACCAAGCACACCTTTTGCCGGGACCTTGCACACCAGTACGTTATATCCGAAAGTACGTAATAACCGAGTACGTTATAACGGGATTCTACTGTACTTCCCCTATCCTTACTAGTAATTGATCGTTTTGCTTTGCACTTGCAACACTCTAGCCTGTGCTCAAGACCTTTACTTTCAAGTAAGGGGTCTGGTACACAGGCTAGCAGCACTCCTGCTCTTCTCTGAATAGTCTTGTAACTGAAAAGTTCCTCCTTTTGAAAATTATGCTCCCTCTTTTCCTTCTATATTTGTTCTATTAGTGTATGAATATTCTATAAAATTTCATATCACATTCTTGCTATTAGGAAATTTATTTGTAAAGTTATTAACGATTATTGAAATTTGAAGAGCTTGAAATCTGCAGATTGAGCAGATCAAAATTGTTCCTCTATAAAGCAAGAAGATAACATGACGTCATCAGATAGATTATGTTGTCTCGTTGGAAGTTAGATGACTATGGTGCAGTCATCGCAGGGCATGGGGCCTTTGGGTCCCACTCATTCAGTCTTGCCCCCTTTTTAGACCACCCACTTTGCTCAACGCTCTGCGGTGCCTAGGGATGCGCCACATGAGAAGTTGCTACAAACAAGCAAGGTGGCTGAGACGGCATTAAATTACTACGCCGAGAAATCAGTTTTTGAGATTGAATTTTTAATAATGATTTGACTGGACAGCAATGTCAATTTTCATTTTAGCAACTATGGATAGTTTTTTTTGAAATTTTACATGACTCTTTTTGGCTTTTTCATGAGCTCATTCCAACCACGGTGAGTTGCTAAAATTATGTAGAACTGTTCCCTGACAAAAATATGAAGTTTTTTACAACCATAGTATCAATATCTTGAGAAATAACGTAGCTAAGCTCTTAATTTGGGTTGAACAGTAGAGTTTCACTAAAAATAGCTGCTATTGATAAAAAACACAAAATAGAAAACTTAATGGATCTAAGAAATTTAAACTGGGGCGCTGTGGGGCGATGTGGGGGCAATGGGGCTGCAAAGGAGTGATGGTTACTTAAATGCCCGAGCATCGTTGTACATGGGCTAGCTAGCTGCTAGTCCCATCGTCTGATTTTCGGCTTCCACCTTTGTGACCTCTCTATTTGTGTCTCATGAAGAAAGTGAAAAGTGGAACAAGAAAGCGGACAGGAGGAATAGGCTTGGAGCAAGTCTGTCTCCAACAGTGCTCGACCTCGAGAAAAATATCCAGCTGTTTCCAGTCCACAATCGGAAATGTGCTATCATATTTCTGACAAACTTCCGTTTTATCAACCAAATTCTGATGTGCAAACACGAGGAGCTCAACCTTGTGTCAAAGACAACAGGCCGTATCCCAGGCCTTGAATTTTTCTATTCGGCGGCTTTTGTTTTGGAGGCAAAATAGAGCAAACATTGATGAACATCAATGGGTTGTACAATTAATGAAATATTTTGACTGTGAGAAGACCAAATAGCGATTGGCATATCAAATACAGTGTTATTGAGCATTATCAACTACCAAGGTGTCTAATGGTTTTCACTGGTTTTACGATGGAACAATCTGTTATGGACAACAAATTGAGTAGCTGCCTGTTCTAAACGTATAGCAACATATCGGTAGAAAAAGGCTTGATACAGCGGGGATACAAAAGGAGTTGCAAGGAGGCTTTTAATGTTCACCAACTGAAGTAAGTTCAAGAACACCCTTATGACAACTTGATGACTGTTTGCCGATCTATAGTTATCTGGAATGGATTGTTACCAGTTTGGTTACGTTAAATGCTTATTTTTGTTGATGCCTGCTGCACGAGGATAGGACCACACAGAGTCTTTATTGTGTGCACTGGGAGTATATTGAGTTTCATGTGGAACTTTGCCACAACCCGTACTTTAACAGCGTGTGTCTGGAAGCAGACGGGTTTTCACAACAGCAATGCCTGCTTCTAACAACTCTAGCCTCACATCGCTAACTCCTCCATCTGAGATACCAGACGAAAAGATCCTCGTTGTTTTCTCGGTGCTTCTAGCATTTTTGTCACTAGTCAGCATCATCGTTAACTTTGTCTCAATAGCGTTGTTCATGAAAAACAAAGAATTGCTTGCAAATCCAGCCAACAAATTAGTATTTAATTTTACAGTATCGAGTTTTGCTGTGTCGATTTTTACTATGCCAACTTCATTTATCAGCTTCGCATTGAAAGAATGGCCTTTCAAGGAATTCATTTGCCATGTATCCGGAATTCTGTCCATCTGCCTTCCTATCGTGGAATTGCTAACACTTGGCGCCATGGCCTATGACCGACATCATTTCATTGTCAACCCTTTAACATATCCGATCAATATGACTTCGTTTAAGGTGAACGTTATTATATTTTTTATTTGGTTTGTCTCTATCGTTGCTGGCCTAATGCCTGTATTTGGATGGGGCTCGTATGGGTATAACAGAAGCGTAATGACATGCACCGTTTTATGGCCTCAGTCCTCTAGTTTTGGGATTTATTTCTTTGTCGTTGGGTTCGTTATGCCACTAGTAATTCAAGTTTACTGCTATGCTGGTATCGCAAGAGCCGCCAAAAAGCAGGCTAAGTTTGGCAGGCGTATGAGCAGGGTTGCTATTGTCCCTTTGCAAGTTGCAAAAATTATCAGAGAAACTTCAGCAGCCAAAACCATTAGAAAAATATGCATTGTCATGGGAATATTTTTCTTGACGTGGCTACCTTTTATGGTTATTATTATGGTTAGTGGTTTTAAAAAAGGAGAGCGCCTTGTTACACCATTTTTTATCGCGAACAACTTGGCCTACTGTTCAACTTTTGCCTATCCGTTGCTGTTTGTTTTCCGTGCAAGAAATTTAAAGAAAGAACTCAGAACATTGCTAAGTAGTTCTCGATTGTTTAATTGCATAAACTCGATCACGCCTGAAGATGACGTTGAAAGTTCAGAACGCAAAGAGCGAAGAAGATCGTCGCTTTCCACAGACGGTTATGACCTCGGCTCCAGGAGGAGGTCAAGCCGAATAAGCCGGGTATCATGGGCGATGCCTGTTGTCATTGAGGACGGGGTTGAGCCATCCAAAGAGCCAAGGCCATCTGTCACAGCGTCTACCATAACCACAGATATAAGCAGTAACCATATTGGATGTTTGTTACCCGGTGAGATGGACTACAGTGGCAAACAAACTGAAATTTCCCTTAAGAAGACAAACAGAATCGTGTAGTAGATGTACTTTGTGTGAAAGAACGTAGAAAACATTATTGAATTAGTATTAGAAATCGAATTGCAATAGTTGGTAGTTTTTGCTTACTGTAAAATGTAGTAGTATTTTATTATATGTCATGTTTGTATGATATACAATATATCATAGTGATTTATCTTATCTCGGTTAGCTTGCCTAATTTCTGAAAATTTCAGGAAGAATAAATTCTATACCATCGAGAGGGAATTCTATTCTGGCAATAGAGTCCTAGTGACCTAAAACTGTAATAAATAAAGGGATGAAATTTTTGTTTTTAAGAGACAGTGGAAAATGAATGTCTTGGCCAATTTGATGAATTCTGATAATATTACCATACATGATAAGGCTTGATAAATGACATCAATTTCTATTTTGTTAGTGCCAGTTTCATTACAAATACTGAATATGTAGTAGAACTCTACAAAGATTCATTTATTAAGACCTGTACTCTTGGTAAAAATCTTCCGCACGTGAGTTACGCGACGGTCACTTTTTCTGGACACTGAATAAAAGAGGATGGATGACTTAAAGCATAAGGCTAGATTTTGCATGCAGCTATCAGCTCGACACCAATTAACATCAAATCTTCCTTTAGGTCACAGAACAATCCAGCCATTTAATGAAAAGATTTACCCTGGCACCGCTTGAGGGCAACAGCTTACGGTGACGCTGATATCTTTAGTCTGAAATACATATTTGGATTAAGAGTAATTTCTTAAAGAGCAACAGGATCAATTCCTATTTTGTGCCAATCTTTCATAGCTTTCTGGTTTCTAATAGATTTCCATAGTCATGCCCATGAGATCGTTTTCTATTGCAGTAGCTTAATATATATGATCGCTTCTTACCCAAGTGCTCTAGCGAACTGAACCGTATCTACTTGCAGTATAGCCATAATGTGAAGGGACAGAAGATATTGGGCAATAGAAAAGTCCTTTGGTATATTGCTGAGTGAAGAGCCGTAAGAAGTTTGGGACGAATTAAGCTACAAAGTACCATGTCTGTAGCAATGAGCTTCTATGCTGTTGACTATAATCGAAAGGCCTTTCAATTCAACGGACAAGATAAACCCACAAACGTTTTGGTTCAGGCTCAATCTCGTTCGATATTCAGTATATACTCCAACATTCATAATGCGCATCGAATAAACACGAATAATAAACTACAGAGAGTAGCCCCCTAAAAATGCTGCACAAATTACGGTTTTTACGTAATTTAACCGAATTTGGGGGTAGCAATTTGCTCTAACTTATGCCCAGACCCAGATCTGTCTCGTTGAAGTATGAATGGGATCTTATAAAGATTAGAGGGTAATATAATGAGACACTGGGAGGATTTCCGAAAAGTCGATGCCAGCAAATTTTCATTGTAAGTTGCCTAAGGCTGATCTCAATTTACCTGTTTCGTTCGCACATTCAATAAGTCAATCTTTCTTTGGGCACAGAGAGAAAATTGCCTTTACCCAGTCTCTGCTCCTTGTTGAGCGAAGTTGTAAAATTAGATGGGGGCTAGCAATGGACAGAAGTTTGCACGATAGAGGAGAGGTCGAAGCGAGACTTTTCATTGCTACTGCAAAGCGGCCCCTTCTTTTCCAGAAAAATGTCTTACTTTTGTACCATAAGCTACTCCAACTTTATCCAAATTAGCAGACACATTATTGATCAAATCCTTTCATTAATGTCTCAAGATTTGATAATCTTCGTCAAATTTATTCTGTAGTTAATAGCAAGTCCCTAATGCCCGTACGAAATAAAAGGCGTGCAAAGAATGAGTCTTGTGGAACAGCACCCAACTGTTACTGAGGATAGACAATATCATTTTCGTTCTTGCTAATTCAAACGAATCTATGCGCGTTCGAAGCAACCTATGCTATTATGCCATACATGATAAGCTTCTTCAATTTGCAAGCATGCTTCTTGATCAATAGAGGCTCATTCATTACATGCGCAAGGACACTGACAGACAGTATTCTGAATTGTGGTAGAGGCCATTTTAATCAAACAAGCTGTAGAAAAAGTAAAATGAAATTATTCGTAATGCTGGAAAAATCATTATTAAAGGACAATGAATGTCTCAGATCTTTTGTAAGAAAACAACACTTTAGCAAATCGATCTGTTTATGTTACATGCATTTTATGTTCTCTACGACCACTGTTGAGATATGCAATCAAGGTTGCTTTCACATGCAGATAGGCCATATCATACAGGAATCAGATCAATAACAAGTTCCAGTTAAGCTGCCATCAACACAGTTCAGCTCAACCAAAAAGAAATCACACTTGTAGAAATTCTGTGCGTCTGCCATTGTTTTCGTGTTCACAGTCAGCTGATCTCAACTGGACCTGCCATGGCGTAAACGATGATTAGATTGCCACCATTGTTGTTACTTTACTCAATAACTAGATTTATCTATCTTAAAATGTCGTAATTATTAAGCGTGTAACTATTCATAAAGACTTGCCCGAAATGATTATGACTGGCTTGTCTATCCGCAAATTATGACGACCAAGCGAGATGTGTGTGCAACCTTGCGTAGCCTTTGGGTTAATAGAGAGCTCAAGCGTGTGCCTAGCTTACGGTTCGGCAAGGTGGCGCTATTATTAACCACGCGCAAGCAAGTTAATACATCCGAACTAAAGAATGTGAGCTTAATCCGAGTAGCGAAGCTAATTCCGTCGCATTTCAAGTTTCGAGTATACCATTTGTTTGCAGATTTACGTATTGCGAAATATTGTGAAAGTTCGAATTTACGACGCCGTGATTCCAACAATCTATCGCAACGCTCTTTGCTTTTGAAAGCATAATGTAAGTATGTTAAGATTTTTGAATGTTGCAGAGTCTTGATAGCCGTTGCAAGGGGGGTGCTATGAAGCAGGGTTAAAGAAACCAAGGCAGACTTCTACTGAGACAGTATTTGAAACGAATACACTAGTTTTTGTTTCCCAAAGCAACTGACACAAAATTCGCAAATGTCGAAGATATATAAAGCTTTGGCAATTTGGAATCGCAACACCCGTGCTCTATAAATAGCAACATAAAGAATGTTATTTTACAATACTACGTTCGGTTGAAGGCAACGATTGAAAATTAGAAAAAGATATATAACCTTTGCTTAAAACATTTGATTGGTTAAGCTGAGCGATTCATTTATTTATAATACCATTCTTTATTCTTCAATTACTTCATTCTACATTTAGTTGAAAAAAGCGTCTTTTAAGACTTTTGTTTGTAGATATTATGGTAATATAGAACCATAATCAGCCGCAGTTGTTTCCAAAAAGCAAGCGCTAAGAAATGGAGTAAAGCATTTCTCAGTTTTTATGCTTTATGGCAAATTGTATCATTCTGAAATTTTAGGTTATCTTTTATGAAATTTTTTTAAAAAGCATTTTAAATTCTAAGTAACAGTAAATAACTGAATGATACTTTTTGATAAAATTTTTCAATGCATGCAGAATGGTGCGTTTGCTATTTTCCTAATGAATAAAGCGCTTTTACCGAATAATATTGGCTACATTGCTTTGGGTATTTCGGAAATCATTACTCTACCTAGGAATTCTGAAAACTAGGAAAAATTTCATCAAAAAATTTTTGAGGCCGCTTCAGTTCTCAGCCCCCACGAGTTGTTTGTCTCTCTTTTCTTTCTCGGCACCAACCAAAGAATATTGCATTTTAAATAAGCATTTCACAAAATATTTGCAAAAGCAATTTATACTGCAAAGTATTCTTGCATTTTCTTTCCTTTAAATAGTCCCCTGTTCGCTACAGTTTTCTTCATTTTACAAATGTTATAATTTTTGTGAAAAATAATTTATAATGTGAAAGAGATATACTATTTTGTCTTCTCCTAGCAGGTCCTATACCCTTACGCGTAATAACTCAATTTTCTATTCTAATATTTAATCATTTTGTTCCAGATATCAATGATGCAGACAATATCATAGTATGAAGAGAAATGAGAGGAAGTTTCTTTGTATCACTAGGCTTCGTGCTTTTTTCATTGGAGAGCATTCTTGCTGTGCAGGATGGTCCATCAGAAGAAGATGGTGAGCAATAGGCCTGGCATTACAAGACATCCAATTTTTTCAAAAATATAACAAAACCTTGATATTTTATAGGATTTTGAAGCTTCTATAGAAAGGCGCATTGATCAAGTCTGTAACGTTTTCGTGACAGAAACAAAGTTCTTTTGAAATTTTGTGTATGTAAAGTGCATGTTAGTGACAAATCCTAAATAAGGCTTTTGACCATGATATTGTAAAAAGGATCCAGAAGAATGATAAATAAGACGTGCATTAGACTCGAGAAAAAACAAATCAGTTTGGCATTAAGAAAAATTGGCATAGAGGTGACGCATAGAAAAAAGCATTTATAACACCCTTCATGTGTTATAAATGCTCTTTTGTTTTGTAGAAAATACTGCAACGAGTCGATTTGCTTACGTTCTAGCTCCTCTATGATAGCATAATTAAAACCACGTGGGTTTATTTGCGTTGTAGATGACAGTGGACTCACAGCAAAGGAGCTGCTCAAAACAATTGCCCCAACGTACCACCTTGCAAAAGTACCCCCTGGTTTCCCACCCCTCGATAGAATGAACACCGATAACTTCAATTATGGAACCAGGGGAAGATACATTAAAGTCGTAGCGGCTCTCAATGAGACTGTTAAAATGGTTAAAAACTATATAGAGATCTCAAAGGTACAGATGAATTTCACATATGACAAGCAGCAACCGGAGAACGGAACATGGAGATTTAACGGAACAGGTTAGTCTTCAAGATTTTTTATTTCAAACATGAATCGATTCTCTTGTTATCCAGAGAACCAGTGTTTGGCGAGGCAAGGGATTATGCCTAGCCTTATCGCATCAAATTTTTGAGAAATTTCGGAATGATCTCGGAATGTGTACTTGATTGGTCAAGTTCAATTAAAAAGAAAATGAAATACACACAAGATGTGTCCAACTACTTGCGCTTTCTTGCAAAATTTTTACTTGCTTATCCTGGTGTATGATTAACCCCCCCCCCGACCCCCCCGTCCTTATGGTACATAGCATAAGCATGTTCTCTGTATTTACATACGTACACGAACTATTTTTTTATTATTATCAAAGATTATATCCAGATGCAAATCAAAACAAGCCAAAAGATTGCAAAATAGCGCTAAATTTATTCTATATTGAACCACACTCATCTCAACTCATTGTCCATTTCAACTCAGCACTACAAAGATTTGTTCGACCCTTGTTCGGTTTCTAGCTTTTTATTACACTGTGTAGATACTTATTGCCTATTTCCATTGCTTAATTGTGGCCTTCGATACAGTCTTGCAAGCAACTAAGCAAATTTTTCGTCCATTAGGGAAGGCAAATGTAAAAATATTTGGATAATCTTTTAAAAAAAATTGAAACCAACTTAGCAACGTATTGTCCGAAAATTAGATATTAAGCCTTTTTTGATCCAAGAATTTCGAAAACTTCCACCTAAAGCCAGATATTCTAACGTTTCATACGAATGTAATTCGCTCATATTCAAAATCTTCTGTCATTGATTTTCACCCCGATGTCGTATGCTAGCACCTCGAAGGTTTTCCTTTATGTTCTTGTCAGCAAATTGCAGAATTATAGGTTTTTCGCGTTAAAACTGAGCCAAAGAATAACAAACAACTAATTTTATTGGATGGTGCAAATTAAAAGGTAAAATAGAAGTATTAACTCACTTGTTTACCTCATCTTCGCATCAACTCAGTTCTTTCACTTGGGTTCCACGCGCAGTGGAAGAAATGTCGTCAGCAAAATATATTCGCGCCCTGTTTTGTAAGTAATCGGTCCCAGTCTTTTTGCGGCACTTCGCAGTATGAAATCATTTCCAAACCCTCATGTTTTTTCATAATGGTGGGTCTCACTCAATACTCACTTGGTTAGCTCCATTTCGATTCAACAATGTTATGAAGTTGAATAGGCTCAGAAGGGAAACGATGGGCTCAGAGAACTAGCTATGAAGAATGTTGATAACATGGGTGTGGGCGTGGTTCTTTCAAAGTAAAGATACCTGGGGGTGTGTCCCAAGCAAGGTAATTTTTTTGTATTTCTAGTCAAGTTTATAGCAAGATGTACTCTTTTGCAATTTTGGTCCAGCCAAGTTATAACCGAGGGTATCATATTTTACAATATTGGTATTTTGACAATGTTTGATTCTCAACAAAAGCTTTAAAAGTAAGAATTTAACCCTGACAACCAGGTTTTGTAGATAATGAACTAGTAAACGAAACAAGGGTACTATTTTGTTAATAAATAGTCTTGGCAAACTTTACCACTTTGAATTTGCTCGCGGCAAACCCCTACCGAAGGTTAACCAAGAGCTAAAGCCTCTCCCTCCCCCTGGTTCATAATGAATTAATTTATGGGGAAATGAAAATAACAACAAACCGTCTTTGTAGGTGTCCTCAATATTGGTAAGCAACGAGTGCACGTTTCCATAGCCGAAGATGGAGTTATAGAGGGCGATCTCGATGAAATATCTTTTGAAGATATTCTTGCTGAATACAACCACAGGGAACTTACCACCAGCTTGCAATTCGACAGCAAAGCAATCCAAATCAAGAAAGTCAAGGTTAGGGGTCGCGTTTTCACGAAAGATGGCTACTTCTATCTCACTTTTCAAGGGTATGCAGATCTTGAGGATGTTTCGCCATCATATGCCACAATTACCGTTTCAAAGGCACCCGATGATCAGTTGAACGTTTACGCAATCCTTGAATTCAAAAATTTAAAGCCATCAACAGTGTTGGACCAGATAGTTGATGACGAGACAATGGATATACAATTCTTTTCGAAGATGTTGGAAGAGAGTGACTTGATAGCAAGTAACAAAACACACTTTGGTATAACTGTATCACTTACTGATGTTTACAATATAACATACGACACCACGACAGGGCGAATCATCAGGGATGTTCTTCAATCACATATCCCAAGTGGCATCACTCTGTTATGCCCCATTGATTCTCTCGGCAGCAAAAAAGTTCCTCCAGTGAAATTAGCTTTTGTCATGAAGCGCCCAAATTTTGACTTTCTTGTAGACAAGCATGACAAAATTTCGCTGAAGCGGATCCTAAAAGCATTAAGCTCTGAATTTGCACCGCCGTCGCTGCCTGTTTTTTTACGACGAACAAAGAAAGCTTTTACATCACACATCAGTTTTAATTCTGAAACAAACCTCTTTGCGATATTTGTTCGCATGAAGGACGAGGTTGGCCTCGCTCCCGGTGTTATCAATTCTAAAGTACGATCGATAGTATTAGTGCGAAACGTATCAGGAACAAGTGGCGATGATGATTGGAGGCTGTCCGTACGAGGCAGCCTTCTGATTGGTCAAACAAAAATGAGAATGAGATATGCACAGATGGGCTATAAGCCAGAGAAAGTTTATGGAATGACAGCTGTTGCAAAGAAATTGACTATTCAAGATGTTATTGAAGAATTCAAGCCTAAAATCTTTGCAACCAAAGAAATAAAGGCTATGATTGAAAACACTGAAATTTCGGATATTGAAATGGAAAACGTGAATTTGTTCTCGCGGATAACAAGGACGAACACACCTCATTTGCTTCTGACGGGAAGAGCAAATCTTCCAGAATGGGAAGATAACACTCGAGTCAGCATGCTTCTTCTTTTGGACAAAAAGCAATGGTATATGAAGATAGCTCTCACACTTGTGCACAGTCCTCTTAGCAATATCCTCCAGGCGTTCACTGGTTTTGAGCTCACACGCACAAGTCTCCTTCACAATAACAATATTATCACTAGCATCGTTTCATCCCCACTTCCCTCTTATAGTTTGCTGCCCCCTAAAATAATAACGACGCCTTTATTACGCGTTCCAGTCGCAACCGGACTTACGGTACTCGCACTGTTCAAGTTCCCTGACAACTGTGGCGATGATCAGCTTTGCGAGGCAGCTAAACAAGTGCTTGATACAAAAACGGCGTATACGTTTCGAGGTGTTCTTTCGTTGGAGGGTTTTGTGCTTGAAGCACCAGTTGCTGATGTAATCGAATTCGGCAACGGTGTTGCAGCTGTAAACAGCACTCTCGTCTTCAATGTTGGCAAAGAAACGACATTAGACTTGAGAACATCCCTTAAGATCCGGGATACTGACTACATCTTCGATGGAAGGCTTTCATTTCTAAAAAGTGGAAAAATACGGCTAAATATGTCCTGTCGTAAAAAAACCTGGGCTGCACCTTTTGGTATCACAATAGCCCAGTTCAAGAATTTAACTATGAATATGACAATGAATCCAAAGGACACACTCAATTACATCAAACTTAAAGGCATCATCAGAATCGGTGCTATAGGCAACAGAGGTGAAATGGAAACTGACGTAAACCTCAATTTCAATCCTTCTCTACCTGATGCTGGGCAGTTTTACGCCAATTTTACGAATGTGACTATAGCTGATCTGATGCGTTCATTTACGATTGATTACGAGTTACCTTATGTCTTACGAGCGGCAAAATTCCCAAATGGTCTGATGCTATCATACTCTTCACTCGACGAAACTAACGGGCATTTAACGCTGCATGGTGACATCAAAATTCTTGGAAGGGTCCTTCCATGTGAAGTCCAAATCATTCAGCCCGGATCGATTAAAATAATTACGTCAAATAGTCCGGCTCCGGTCATTCTTGGAAATGGGCAGATTATTATCGAAGAAGAATCTGGTAACGAGTTGAGAGGTCCCAGCATTCTTGCTAGCATAAATCATAAAGAGGCTAACGTGACAATGAATGGCTTTGCAAAAGTTCTCGGCCTAGAATCAAAGTTGAATGTTTCTGTTCAAGAGGACGGACTGTCTTTCAAAATTTCTGGAAAACTCATGAATTTTAAAGACACCGAGCTAAAGGCAGAGTCACAAGGCAGTCTCGACGATTTCAAGGTAAACAATCCAAATTTATGTTCCACTAACAATTGTTATAGAAATCTTTAATCTACAGAACATCACGATATGTTATAGTGTTGTGAAATTTTGAAGGATTCTATAAATTCTAGAATAATTCTAACAAGAGGAAAGAGACACTAAAGCTTTTTTCGTGTAATATTTGAATGTCAAGAAACTAAAAGCTTTAATACGTTAATATTTTTGTAGGTATCCGGTTGCTTTAATGATATTCCTGAGCAAGTACAGTTGCTGCTTACAGAGATAATATCTAAAGCTGGTAATCAAAGTACTTTGAACATAGAAAGAGCAGAAAAGAACCTCGTTCTCGCTGACCAATACTACGAGGCAGCCAATCAGCACGAGTTACAAGCCATGCAAGAGCTAGAAGACTTAAGAAAAATTTACGAAATGGAGTTGATGGATTATGGAAGGTTTGAAGTGAGGGTGAATGACACATGCAAGCCCATTCAATGTGACGTCAGTAAGTCGATATAGTTTGTTAATGAGCCTGAAAATTAACGACATATCAAAAACGCAAGGTGCAGTCCGTTAGATTGCAAGATTTCAAGATACTTCTCAAATTCTTCTGATGGAATAAAGATATGTTCTTGTTTAGATGTTATTTTCCTCCTACCGCCTTATCACACCACACATTTTAACGATATTTTTGTGCCAACGGTTAGCAAAGGCAGAGTCCGTTAACGTTGATATCCTTAGCTACCATCAAATATTTACATTAAATTATGATGTTAATTTGCACGAAGAAATGAGGTATCTGCCTTCTCAGTGCTTTTTTCTGTCTTTTAAGCTTGCTTTGGCTGTCCTGAATGGAGCAGCTGTTGTCACAGAGATGTTTTTGGAGAATGCATTAAATGTGCCAGTTGGAAGAAATGTTGCTGGAAGGACGTCGATCCAATCTGCATAGCAGAAGACGACGGCTGTAGAGTTGTGCGTAGCATCGCAGAGTCGGATCTTTCGCAGCGACAGGTTAGTGGATTTAGAAAGAATTATCTTTTCCTTGGCTCGTATCAAGAATATCTGAAATAGATTTTTCCAAAGGACTTGTAATAGTGAGACTGTTCCTTTCAGACACCATTACAAGTTCATTGTAAACAGTATTCAGCTTTCTCGCCCAGTCATTGATCCGGAATTTGACGTTCATATTGCTATATACATACTGAGAAGCTGCAAATCTTTTATTTCGTATCGAGTTTCAGTAAAACAAAACTTAGCTCAATTCGTGCGTTACAAAATACCCGGCTTGTTCCTTCATATTTACGAAATTTCACTACAGCAAAACTCATGGAAGGCTTAAATATTTGGTAAGTATCTAAGTGCATTTCAAATAATGCAATTACGAGGATGAATCTCTGTCCTAACCCCATTTACCTTTTCTCTCTTTAAATTGGACGTATGCATATTACTAGCTCCATAACCGTCTCAAAATACTTCCCAATAGGTCCAGATCGAAGAAGAGAAAATGCACTTGGAAAAAATGGGAATTCTCGCCGTCGAAGCCGAAGAGAATAAAGGAAAGCACAAAGCGGTATTAGAAGCAGCAACAGATGCTAAAAGGCTTGTTGTAGAAGATTCAGGACCTGGCCTAAACGCAGCTGATGCGATTAGAAACCTTGGACCGTTAGAAGAGTGGCTTAGTGTTGACAGCGTTTGCTACAACACATCATTAGAGGAGGCTGCAACTGGATGCATGTACTTCCATGTCAAAGGTAAGCCGAAATTCCCGAAATGTAGACAACCTAGCTAAAATCCGAGTTGCTTTAATGAAGGTTGCTGAAGGCGAAATATTAGTAAGATTGAATAATAGTAAAATTAGCCCGATTGAATATTAGTAAGACTGGCCTCGGAAATACAAGAAAAGCATGTTAATTGTTCAACTTATTGGATATGTGCGTAAATCCAATGCAGCATAATCATGGAATCCATTCGTGATAAGGGAGGCTTGTATGTGAGCTGTTATCATTGACCAATACAACAAAACTTTGCTTCTCTGCGAAATTACGTTTTAAGGTTACACTTACAAAGAATATGCTACGCATAATGAGCGCAAATAATTTATCGACGAGTAGCGACAATAATCCATCTACTTTTAGGACACATAGTTTTTGTTGGTGTAACCTGTAAATTTTCATTGAATTGTTGATTCTAATGATTTGCTGTTTGAGAAATCATATTCAATACATCTAGTAATTTATTAATTTCTTTGTGCCAGGATCGTTTTACAAGGGACCTAAAAGTATCGTGTCCATTGGTAGTTGCTTGAAAGAAGAGCTTGTCAACGAGCTGGCAGAGTCGTTGGCCAACTACATGTTTCCAGGTATAGTAGACACATCCTCAGATGACGTAACAGATGTTAAACCAGATGCTGAAAGCCCTTCAGAAAGTCCTACTGAAAGCCCACCCGTTGCTGAAGATTATAATGGTGAACAGAAATCTCAACAAACTAGCAAAGGAAGCCGAGATAAGCTGGAACAAGATGCATTGTATCAAAGAAAACGTAGAGACATCATGAATATTGATACCGAGATCCAGCCAAAACCCAAGAGGAGGCTAAGCAAAACTCACAAGAATCTGCTTGAGAATCCGTTTTGGGATTTCAAGATTGATAATCAAGATGTGAAATCTAGATCAAGGATTCCTCCTCATCCTGTTAAGAAGCAGATCATGAGCGGGATGTTGCACAAGAGGTGGAGAATTCCAGGTAAAATGCAGACACATTTCTTTATAATAACTGTCAAAGAATTTTACATGTTTTCAAGACAAAAATAATCATTGCCAGATATGAAGGGAAAATTTTTCACAAATGATTCTTCATTTTATCATTGGCACGGGTAATAACTTTACCACTTTTTGCTTTCCAGCGATGCTCTGATGATAACGATGTAGATAGCAAATGCTAGATATTACAATTCTAGTTTTCTACAAAAGTTCACATATGGTTTTTTGCTGTATGTTTCATTTCTATAATAAGTGTTGGCAAAGCTTTTGATACAGCTGTATAAAATCTGTTCAATCAAGGAGACATGTATCATGATGCAATATTTATCAGCTGTTTTAGTTACAAAATCTCCAGACATTGCATTGTATATCTCCCCAGAAAACGCCGCTGGAAGATGCCACATATTTCACCAGTTAATCGACATATGCAAAGACATGGCTGACACTATAGTGCTCATGGACAAATCATTGTCATCAACTGTCAAAAAATACAAAAAGGAGAAGGCGGTTGTCACTGACAAGGCGGCATCCTCGATTGATTTCCTCGGCGAAGCAGCCAAGCTTGTTGATCTCAACGAAACATCAATGTCATCGGTTGACCAAACTTTACAAGTCGTCAACGAAGGTATGGTTGTTCACTTATTTTCTAGCTGAAAAAGATAATTTTTTGCTGATTATAGTTGTATATATGCAATCTTAAGCTGAATATGATAAAGTGGCCTTGTCAATCAAACAAAGCTCTCGCAAATCAGAAGTCGTATATTGTGAAAGAAGGGTTTGTAAAGCAACTTTGATGAATGGATTGGAATTGAGTAGTGCAAGAAATGTTTTTGTTCCTATTCACTTTTGTTGGGCCCAAAACGTACGTGCCAATGATTATCAAAGCCTTATACTCAGAGTAAAATGTGATTAAAAGGCTGCCAGTAAAGGTTCAATAAAAAATGCATCCAAATAGAAAGTTTCGAAGGTCAGGAGGATTTTGAAACTACTTTCTGTATTTTCTAGCCTCTGCTCTCACTCTGCTAAAACCATCCTTTGCTACTTGAATGCATTGAAAATTGTAAGATCTGCCACTAGTTATTTCTCACACTTCTATATGAAAGGAATTGATATCTGGGCATCTAAATGTGAGAAAGAGCTGAACTGGCAGAATTCTGTTGGGGTTCAAAACTGGCTGGCATCAATGGACCTCAGGATCCAGGAACTTGGTGGCTTCGGTGCATTTAGGTTTTTGGAAAACCTTTTCCATGCTTTCGAGGCCTTGTTCGAGGCAACTACGTATTCAGACGACAATGCTGACCTGGCACTAATGCTGTTACAAAGAATTAGAAAAATATCAACGGTTTGCACATTTACATTTTTTCTGTGCTGATCTAAATTGGCTTAGAATTGTAAAGCAAGACAGTTTACAAAATATGAATAAATATTTTCAAATCTCATTGTTGTGACAAGCTTGCATTGTTTGCTATGGTTTCTTGCAATACACTGATAATTGATGTTAAAAATATCATTAAAGGTTTGATGAAAGTTTGCTGGTTTCATTGCCAGAATGAAAAGCCAAATACACGCAATAAAAGGAGATGTAATCCTCTTGAATCAGTTCAATTTAGTGACGTTTTCGACATGACACTGACTAGGCCTTTCAAGATCATAATCAAATTTACTAAAAAACTTTCGACAACATCCTTGCAAGAGGTTAGACAACATTGATCAATCTGAAGTTTAAACAAAAATCCAAACAAGGTGATCTTATAAAATTAAAAATGCTACATCTTCCAAGTAGGACTAATATTTTTGATTATACAGTATAATCCGGTTATAACGTACTTTAAGGGACCAGTGTATTAAGTACGTTGTATCCGAAGTACGTTGTAACGAGGGTAAGTAAAAATTGACTAAAACCAAGCACACCTTTTGCCGGGACCTTGCACACCAGTACGTTATATCCGAAAGTACGTAATAACCGAGTACGTTATAACGGGATTCTACTGTATCAAACTAATGTTAACATCAAACTCTTTGAAATGACAAAAATTGATATAAGTTCAAAAAAAGCAATCATATTGATTAATATTTCCAAGTTCAAAATAGCTTTGCTTTCCTTTTCTAGAAAAGACATTTGTATTTGAGGGGTTTATTACAGCATCTACCACCAAATGAATAGAAGGAAATAGCAAATACTTTCAATGCAAGATCAAACGTGTAATTTATCTTTTTTTTTCAGGATTCCAACCGTATCTTACCAGAAAAACTGTCAAATAAGAACAAGCCAGAGCTTTGCAAAAGAAATAATTGCACCATCTATCAGAACTGAAGCAACGAGCGATTGTTTGCATCTTAGTTAACAATGAGTGGCTGTGCAGTCAGAAGGAAACGAAGACTCTTGGGAGCCTCTATGATAGCTTGTATTCTTAACATATTTGTAGGAGTGCTATGAGACGCAACGCCCGCCACGAAACTCAAAGCTTTGCCGCATTTCTTGACCAAGCAACATTCCCATAATCAAGCTCTTATCTGATCTCCTGGAGAGAGAAAGCCAAGCATTAACAAGAATACACGGGTTGCGTCTACCTTGTACGACAAAAGCAGAATTTTTCCTGTCAATTTTAAGAGGACCGCGCCCATCCCGGATTACCATCCACTAATCATACAAGCACGTCATACACCCGTAGCCGACCATAATTAAATCTCTTGAAGTGCAAAAAAATGCACATTCAAAACTTTTCCTAAAAGAACGTTTACAAAACTTAGCCTGGTTTCAGACAGGCCGTAAGCAGTTAAATGCACTCATTTGCCAGAGGTGATCTCCAATACGGGCTGAGCTTGCTACTCCTGTTTACATCTCAAAA